CCATTCCTATAATTATGCTCAAGCTTGAATTGCAGTTTTCCCCTCCATCAAGTTGAACTTTTTTTTTTTCCTTTTATCATTTTGATAACTAAAATAACTGATGTATTATTCAATGGGAGTGTGAATATTTTTTTTTTATCATACTTGATAATTGACTAAATTGTTTAAGCACCATAAATGCTATAGATCTTCTAGATTTGTTGTTATTTTGTAAAAATTATTTTCAAGACAATGCAAGTAGGACTAATAAATAGGTCATGTTTTATGGTATTTCTCTCACGTTTTGCTAAAATTATTAGAGTCATATTTAATCCAATCATTGTTGGGTCCTATCACATTTAGTCAGATTTATGGTGATCATTTGTTAAAATAAGTTGACTAATTCACTTGATTATGGTTTAAATCATTAAAGTTAAATTCATTTCAGATAAATTTATACCAAATTGAAAAAAATGAGATGCCAAAAGAATGGGAGGTGGCCGGCGGAGGGAATAGTGGAGCACATGGGGTGTAGAAGGAGAGGCGTATACAAGGGTAAGGGAGAGAGGAGCATATGGACTATTGTGTTTTCGATTAATGGACGTTGAATGACAGCTAAATGGTTGTAAGATTTAACTTTGGGATTTTGATTACTGGAATGAGAAGAATGGAAAAAGAAGATGAAAATAAGAGGAATAAAACTAATTTTTTTTTTTTGGTTAGAGTGTCTAGGTTTCAATTTTTTTTTTATTGGAATGACACATGTTTCGATTCTATTAAAAAATTCGATGGAATTAGACACAAAGGGTAAATTCAATCAAATTTGATGATGTACAAATTAGGTTTATACACCACCTGTCAATTGAACAGTAAAAAATGCAGTAATTGATAAGTGAGAGATAGAGATAAAAGCAAGACAAGGTTTATAGTAGTTCGGTCCACGTGACTTACGTCCACTTTGAATGATTAGGGTCGCCAAGTATTTAATTAACTCAAGTGTATAGGGAGAATAGAGAGTTACAAGCTATGAAAGAGAGAGGGGAGATGTGCTCGATTGAGTGTGATGCCCCCCAAGTGTTGGCGGGACTTATAATTTATAGTCATCTCATAACGGATTAGGGCGACTTAATGATAATTAAATAGCTAATCTGGCGGTTATAACAGATTGAGACGACTTAATAGTAATTAAATAGTTGATTCGGTGGAGGTGGCGACCTCTTCTCAACTGGCGAGGCAGTTACAAAACTCTCCATAGGACTCGCTTAAAGAATGAGATGAGGGTTGACTCTTTTCAAGGCGGCGTGGATGAGGCTCTTGGGATGACCTTTATTTCAAGGTGGCTTGGAGGAAGCTCTTGGGATGACCTTTACTCCAAGGTGGCTAAGAGGAGGTTCTTGGATGACTCTTGAATGCTCCCCTGCTGATGTAACTCCTTGAATCTGATGAGCTTGATTAGACGTGAACCACTTTGAGCGCTGGATCTCTTGTAGTTGGGCTCTTAATTTAAACTGGGCTTGTAGCATGAGTTGGGGCCTTGGGCCTGACCCATTATTTGCCCCCCAATGCCCTATGTCCAATGGAACTTATAGAGGAAGGTATTCGGTTGATTTGAATTTCAGTTGAACGCACGATTAAAAAAATTTTGGGAGGCCAAAACATCTATTTCTAGACCTTTTTTGAACTTTTAACAGCATTAAACATAGCCTTTGGTTTGGCTATGAGTTTTGTAGGGCATGCTATTTGATATATTATGGACCCCATTTGGAGTAATAGAGCAAAAGTTACAGTTAAAATAGCAAGCAAGGAGTTAGGCGTGCAATTTGGCGCAAGCAGGCAGCTGAACGCACAATTTTTTATTTTTGAAAAAACTTTGGAGGTCAAAATATTTGTTTTTAGGTCTTTTTTGAATTTTTAACAGCATCAATCACACCCAAAGGCTGTGAGTCTTGTAAGGCTCTCTAAGAACTTCGATTTGATATATTTTTATGGACCCCATTTGGAGTAACAAAGTAAAAGTTACGGTCAAAATAGCGAGTAGGGAACTGGGTGCGCGGTTTGGGCGAGCAAGCAGCTTCTGGGCGCTTGAGAGTTGTTGGGTGCTTGGGTTAGGCCTCTGAGAGATGTTGGGTGCCTGTGTTGGGCGCTTGAGAGGTGTTGGGCGCCGCTCGAGTGACGATTTTGCTGATCGTGATAGAGGAGTACTGTTTAGAGACAAGCGCAAACAGACCTTGTTTGCGCTAGTTGTTAAGTGCAGGAGTGTTGTGGCAACGAGCCGACGTGCCAGATGGATGAGGCCCGTGGTTACAAACGGCCTGAGTTTCAAAAGCGTGCCTAGAGATAGTAAAAATAATGTTATTCCCACATCAAAAAATATATAACATGATTATCTGAGAGAAAGACAGGCTGCTTGCGTGAGAAGTAAAGATAGAGTTTGAGGATTGCTCGTGTGAGAGCTGCACCTTTTGAGATCGAGCTTTCGGTGACCCATGAGAGAGCCCCCAAGCTAAAGGTATAGGCTACCTGTTTGAGAGCAAAGTAGAGATCAAGCTTTTCGTGACTCGCTAGAGAGTCGCTCAATTGGAGATATAGGTTGCCTACTTAAGAGAAGTGTAGAGGTCAAGCTTTTGGCGACCCACGAGAGAGCCGCTAGCTGTGATATATAGGCTGCCTGCTTGAGAACAGTGCATATGTCAAGTTTTTGGTAACTTGCGAGAGAGCTGCTAAATCGGAGATATAGGCTACCTGTGTTGAGAGTAGTGTAGAGGCCAAGCTTTTGGCGACCCGCGAGAGAGCCGTTATCCGAGATATATAGGTTGTCTACTTGAGAGCAATGTAGAAGTCAAACTTTTGGCGCCCGCGAAAGAGCCACTAAGTTGGAGATATAAGCTGCTTGCTTGAGAGTAGTGCAGCGACCAAATTATTGGCGACCCACGAGAAAACCGTTAAGCTAGATATACAGGCTGCCTGCTTGAGAGCAATGTAGAGGTAGGTCAAGCTTTTGGCAATCCGCAAAATGATTCATCTCGCCTTAACTTGTTGATTTTTTCAGCATTCAAATATTTTTGAGCTTTTGTCAATAGTTTTGGCATACTCTTTTGTGGTTGTTTCATTACTAAAAAGAGGAAACTCGATGAGTGGAGGCTTCCCAAAAAGACGGTCATGGTGACTTTGTCATTAAGCTCCTCGATTTGGAGGACCTCCTCATTAAGCGAGTGAGGTAACTCCTCAGACTCTCTTATTGATTTTATTTTACGTTGAGCAGATGGGTGACAGGCTTCTGCTGGCGACGTTCACCAATGAACTGTGCTATAAATGATCTGCTTAGTTTGACGAAGGAGCCTATAGAGATTGGGGTGAGTTTAGCGAACCATTGTCGCGCTGATCCTTTCAAGGTAGTTGAGAATGCCCTACACATAATTTTCGTCGGGGATATTATGCAGCTACATTAAGGTCTTGTAGGTTTCAAGAAGATCAAATGGGTCCTTTGTACCGTCGAAAATTTCTACAGATGACATTTTGAATTTTTGGGGAAGAGGGTAATTTGCCACATATGGCACAAAATGTGTGTCAATTTGCATTACAAGGTAGTCTATGGTTTTTCGTCCATGTGCTTTACGGCATTGAAGATGTCACCCAGTTGATTTTATATTTTTTTTATTTTTTCGTCCCCATGATTTGGAGCTTATTTGGAATTGTCATGAAAAATAGCTCCCATGCTCCAAACTTTGATTCTTGCCTTCATCATCTTGGAAATAGGGATCTCCGGAGGAGGGGTCCCTCATGATGGGCTCCTCTGTATGGGGCGCCCAATGGGGCTCCCCAAGGGGGCACCTAAGTGGGGAGCTCCTTGATGCACGGGCCATGGAACTTATCTGGCTTGGGGTTTTATAGTTTGTGCTTCTCCTTGTTGTCCAGCGAGCATTAGTTACAAATTCTGCTAGTTTTGAGGTACAAGCTGCTGCATTGTTTATAGCATATGTTGTGCATTCAGAATGAGATTGGTTTGTGAAAGAACAACATCTTCCTCTTGTGCTGGATTGTCTTCAGCTTGATTCATGGATCTGGTAGTGATCGTCATTGGTACAACAAGAAAGGTAATTAGGTGAGAATTTTGTCGTTCCCACAGACGATGTCAAACTGATGATGCACAAATTAAGTTTGTACACTACCTGTCAATTGAATAGTAAAAAATGCAGTAATTGATAAGTGAGGGATAGAGACAAAAGCAAGACAATGTTTATAATGGTTCGGTCCACGTGACCTACGTCCACTTTGAATGGCTAGAGTCGTCGAGTAATTTATTAACTCAAGCGTGTAAGGAGAGCAAAAAGTTACAAACTATGAAAGGGAGAAAGGAGATGCGATTGTTTGAGTGTGATGCCTCCCAAGTGTTGGCGGACTTACAATTTATAGTCGTCTCATAACAGATTAAGGCGACTTAATAGTAATTAAATAACTAATCTGGAGGTCAAAACGGATTGAGGCGACTTAATAGTAATTAAATAGTTGATCCGGAAGAGGTGGCAACCTCTTCTCAACCGGCGAGACAGTTACAATACTCTCCATAGGACTCGGTCAAAGGATGAAGTGAGGGTTGCCTATTTTCAAGGCGGCGTGGGTAAGACCCTTGGATGATCCTTACTTCAAGGTGGTTAGAATGAGGCTTTGGGGATGACTCTTACTCCAAAGTGGCTAGAAAGAAGCTTTTGGATGACCTTTGATTGCTCCCTTGCTGATGTAACTCTTTGAATTTCATAAGCTTGACCGGGCGTGGACCACTTTAAACTCTGAATCTCTTATAGTTAGGCTCTTAATTTAAACTGGGCTCGTAGCATGAGTTGAGCCCTTGGGTCTGACCCATGAAAATTCTAATATTGGAGGGTCTAATTGAGATAAATTTAAAGTTTAGATACTTAATTGAAACAAGTTTTATAGTTGAGGAGTCATTTTTGGTAATTTTATTTTTTAAAAAACTGTCTGGGCATGTTTGGCAGCTCGGTTAGCATAAAACGGCTAATCCGGCACCGCCTTTCCTTCTGGGATTCTGGGATTAACTCCCATACAACCTTTTGCCGCCCCACCCCTGCCCCGCCCCCATCCCCACCCCTACACCCTCTGGGGGCGTTTACCGAGTAGAAGTTGGTGTCGGTGACTTTAAAGTGGCATGACGACGATGGAAACGGAGCTTCCAGTGGAACCACAATCACTGAAGAAGCTCAGCTTCAAATCCCTAAAGAGAGCCCTCGATCTCTTCTCTCCCCTCCATGGCCACTTCCCTGCTTCCGACCCCGAAAGGTACCCCTAAATTCATCTCTCCCTCCCTCTCCCTATATTTCTCTCAATCTTTTGGATCCCTAATTTCGTTTTTCTTCATGATCTCGACAAACAGTATACTTCTAATCATTATCTGTCCATATCTTTATCGGTGAACTAAAATCTTTAACTTTATCTAATGACCCAATTTCTTTTTTCATTGATGCAGCAAGAAGGTTCGGATGAGCCATAAGGTCGGTGGTTGTCTTTTTTTGGCACATATATGCATATGTGTGTGCATAGATCTTTATATACAGCTTGTCAATAATGTGGTACAGTTTAGATTGATAATTCATGGAACTTGTATGGTTTTCCTGGTAAAGTGTGTTGTGTGTTTAGACGAGTACACAAAAACATGCTTCAATTTTCATTACGTTTGTATAGTGTCTTCTAATGGGTTGTCTTTTTTTCTTTTTAATGTTGAAGCTCAATGCAGAGTATGGAGGCTTAAAAAGCACGACAACTCAAACTCTTAGTCAGGCTAAGGCAGCTGCACAAGATCAAGATCAGCAAGCCCCTGCCCCTTCCAATGCCCTTACTCTTCCAGGTTCTGAATTCCGTCGTTATACTTAAGTCCTTTGTGGGTATTACTTACTACTTATTTCTTTTAGTATGAAACATTTTTTCTTTCACATTCTGTAAAATATAAAAGCATCTTTGGATAATTATAGCGGTAAACAATAGAACGAAAAGACAATCCCCAATTCACAAAAACTGAAGATATTAAAAATACATCTCGAGAAGGGAAAGAAAATTGGTTTTGTAGATGGTTGGGTCCGAATTACAGAGGCCTACCAGGCAAATATTTATGAATACCATATGCCGAATGAGAGCCGTGCTATGTTACTGTAGAAAGGGCCAATGGGAGATGAAATTTATCTGGAAAAGGTGTAGCAAGTTCAAGCCCTGTTCTTTCTGGTGGATTAAAGATTTGGAAAACTTTTTACTTCCGGAGGTTTACTCTGAGATTCTGCAGCTTTGGGTATGAATACAGGGGAACCGGTGGGGGTACTTCGGAGTTATGACGAGGTTTATTATAAATTTATAATCTATTACTACTACAGGTGGATACTCAAGTGAAATTTTGTTGGGTCTAAACAATGGATGCTTTGTGTTGGAGGAGCACTGCCCTTCATTCCATTACCAATATCGGGCTGATATTTGGTTTTGATAAAAGTTGTGTTAAGATTTCTGCAGGATTAGGCATCCAATATAGTGGTAGCTTGCTGGTTTGTCGGTTGTCTAAATTTCTGGTTGCTTTGTGATGCATTTAGTGGATATAACTCCATTTGAACAGTTTTCCATTATTTAAAAAAAAAAAAAACTCATGAAATGGCAATATATTTGGAGAGGGTTATCATAAGTGAGTACTTCTGCTCAAGTAGTTACTGAAGCTCTAATAGGTTTTTACTTCATAAAAATCCCCTCTATTATTTTTTCAAGAGTAGTGAGAAGGATTTATCAGGTAAATTATGCAACTTGTGTAGCTTGACGAATTATACATTGACACGATTCTTCACCACTTTAAAGCAGTTGAGTTTCTTGGTCAGATTACTTCAATTGATTAAGTAGATTGACTTCTTAACATCACAAAGCAAAATTGGTGGTCTGATTAGCTTGGTCCTTGGTCCTATTTCTTTTCCAATTGATCATCCTTGTTAATTTTATATATTAATTTAGTCTGCTTTTTTTACCTTATTGGGACGACCACACTGTCGGTACTATATTTTTTCATTTGTAACAAAGGTGTACTTCTAAGTTTTTTTTGTTGACTTGGATTTGGCTATCATGTGCAGGTTCTGAAAATACCGGAGATCCACAAAAAGGTGGGGCTCAAAATGATTTAGTTGTTGGTGCATCTTTGCAACCAAAGAGCCTGTAAGTGTTCCTTTTATTTATGCATTTTTTAGGGGATTTGGTGTGAGGGCTCCTGTTTTATTCATTTCCTATATCTACTGCTAAGTTTTCCATGGTTCACTCATGTCCCTGATTGCATTTTCTTCTCTGGCTGTTACCCAGCATCTTGGTTAGTTTTTGACTTTAATTTCTTAGAATAACCTTTTATGTAAACTAGCCACCAGTAGTATCCTTTACTTCCTTAAAGAAAAATGTAGATTTGTGCTCTAATGATGTGTCACATGCGCTATTATAGGAAAAAAAAACACAAAACTATCTGAGACATATAGACTGTTAGGTACTTGATTTGATTCCCATGAGTATCATGATTGTGTTGTCCTAATTTCACTAAGCTGGTGTTTGTATTTCATGTTTGCAGAACTGATGCTGGGTTTTCTGGCAAAAGCACAATGGTTGTTCCTTCTCATGCTTCGTCTGAAAGGTTTCACATTTTCTTCTTTCTGTGCTCTGCTGTCACAATAAATGAGATGTCACCAATGTGTGTCTGTTTTCTTGCCATACTTATGCAAAATTTATGCACCACCTCATGCTATTAGTATGCTTTTCTTGGAAACACATATTTAAGATGCAAAAGTTTACCTTTTTTGCCTCTAAATTTTGCTGTGGGTCGCAGATGTTTTTCAAAGTTTTGAGCCTTCATGTCCTTTTTCTTTACCATCTTCATGATCTGCCATATTATTGGAAGTTTAGACACCTACTTGACCAATTATTTGACATCGATATGCTATATGTGTTGTGCACAGATGCACTCTATCTCCATTTCTTTCCCATGAGATATTGTCACGAAACTTCAGTTCCCTGGGACACGTTGGGCTCTGGGCTATTTAGCATCTTACTTCTATTAAATATAAATCTTAGCAAAGCAATTGAGGAATATTTGTTGCTATGTTTTAAACCCTTTTTGTAACTGGCTTCCAGGAACCTCTCAACTTCAGTCATTATGGAAAGAATGCCAAGCAAGTGGCCACGTCCAGTATGGCATGCTCCCTGGAAGAATTACAGGGTAAGAACCTTTTTGTTTTGGTGGTTGGGGAGGAAGTGGGCTGGTGGGGAGGTTCGTTTGGGGTTCTCTTGTTTATTTATTTAACTGAATAAGTTTTTTTTTTTTGTACCTATGAAGATCTCAAGGTTGTGATTGTAAACAATCAGCGTGACACTCAATTCAGTCATTTTTATTGCCCTAAAGCTACCAACAATATGAACTTCATTCCAAATAATATTCTGATAGTATTTTTTCAATACGAATATAATTGGAATTGAACTGCATTGGTATCTGATTGGATGTTTGTAGTGTAAGAAATAAAAAATAGATAGTAAAATGCCGAAGATATAATTTTTTTTAAAAGGTGGCCCACATGTGTGGGCCCGCTTTATTGGTTTGCTTGGTCTGGCCCACGATCAGTCCTATTGAACTTGTTCTTTTAAATATTATCCCCCAAGAAAAGATATATCTACACAATTATCAATTTAAAGATCATGCCCTCGAAGATAAGTTTGTTGAATAATAGCAGAGAATGATTCATCAATAAATATGTGCATATGCACATAAATATAGACATATAGGTAGGCCTTGTGGTCATTCCATGTGGGCGGGCTTCCCAAGTCCTGTGGTACTGTATGGAAAGTAGGTTGCAAAATCTTCTTTTAGTGGAATTCTATTGTTTATGACATTTTACACTTTTAGGATCTACATCATAGCTCTTTCTAGTAAGGTTGGTAGCACCAACATCTTTGAGACTGAATGACATAACTGAATAGCAGTACGTCTCGAATGGAATTCTAAAGGATATGTGCCTTTCGTCGATTGGATCTCCACAGCACCCAGTAGGCATGTCCGGTAATAATTGTCTCCCATATGATTAAGATGAAATTTGTGTGATTATGTTTCTTTTGTTGTTGCATGGTTGCTTTGAGATTAGTGAAGTGCGCATGTTGAGTACTACGTTATTTGACCAGAAAATAAAAGAAGAATTATCAAAATATGTGAATCTTGTGGCACATCTCTTGTCCTTCATTTTGGGACTTCGATAAATCTGATGCTTAGACATACATGTTAGACATTAGCGAGTCTATTAGCATACTGTTCCCGCATTTTGCATTTTATCTTTCTTACCACCTTTAGATGTTATCTAACACTTCAAATTTTAACTTGTGTAGGTCATTAGTGGGCATTTGGGATGGGTTAGATCACTTGCATTTGATCCAAGTAATACTTGGTTTTGTACAGGCTCTGCAGATCGCACAATCAAGGTAAGAATGGTAGATTCAAATTTTGTGGATGGTTGCTCTCCCTCTCTGGCGGGTGATTTAAGCACATAGTTCACCGATATCTCATTGTGTCAAACAATAATTTCTCATTGTCCATGCAGTTATTGAGTTATAGTGAATGGTTTAAAGTCAAATACCTTCTTCACCTACTTTTTTTTGGGTTGGGGCGGGGGGACTGCATTTGCTCTTGCTATAATAGTGGACAAACATGAAGATTTAAATTTGGAATTGTTGAAGATGCCTTGGAATGAGATAATAAGTGGACGCACATCCAAAACTGGCATGAGGTATATTAAAACCATGAGCCCCTTGGGCAAAGCAGACAATATCATGTTTGATTGGGTTGAGTGATCACACTTTGTATTAGAGCTGTTGAACCTCGTCGTATGAGGAGGCTTGGTTGTATCTTGCTCTAGTGGGGCGTTGGCTTGGTCCATACCAATTCAAAAATTAACGTGTTGGGAGGCTTAGGAGCCATCCTCAGGAATACCACATTGCTTGGGAAACGACCGAGAGACGAGCTAAGAAGTGCACACTTGTCATAAACTAGCATGGAACCTTTTTAAACAGTGAGCCCATTGGCAAAATATCATGCCCATTTGGGATAGTTCGTCATAGATAATGAAAATGAACATCATGGTAGTTTTGTAATGGAACTCTGGGAACTTATTAGAATAAAAAATATATTGTTAGGATGGCAAAATAATTGAGTATAAAAAAATGTTAGCATGAATTAAGGGCAAATAATGGAATGTAAAAAGACTATCAATTGGTGCATAAACTTATAAGCTGATAATTTTTAACATCAAACACACATGCATGCTACTTCATTAATAATACATGGTCTACATATTTCAGGTATGAATACAGATTATGATTTCAATTGAACTAGATAATCTAATTCATGGAAATTGAGGGAACATAATAGCTTGGAACAATAATACCTCTCCCCCACCCCAAGCAAAACAACACAGAAACAATTTTAGTTTGAAAGGTATCATATGATGTCTGCTGAGATTTCTATATTTCCGTAAGAAATCAAATAAATATCAACCTTTTCAGTCTTTCATTATTAAATATACAAGTGTATGAATAATTTTTTTTTTTTGGTGCCATAAATACCACTTATAAAATTCATCAATATTTTTGATATTTTCTTGCACAGCCTCTGATATTTTTATTCCCCTCAACCCCAAACCCACATTGTGGCTGCTAGATATGGGATGTAGGTAGTGGAAGGCTGAAGCTCACATTAACAGGGCATATAGAACAGATACGAGGTTTGTTTCTTACTAGTTGTTTGGTGCCAGTCAAATGTATTAGCTAAATATGATCTAGTCAGTGGCTTTGAAATCATGCCAGAACCCAAAGAAAGCAAGTAGTTAAATCATGCGCTAGAATGGTGAGACTAAATGTTTTTTCTTTGCAGGCCTTGCTATTAGCAGCAAACATACATATATGTTCTCTGCAGGCGATGACAAGCAAGTGAAATGCTGGGACCTGGAACAGAATAAGGTTGGTAATTATCTGACCAAAGCTCTCTCCGTGTAAGTAACTAAGGTCAAACATATGTTTATTTTCTTTCTTTTTCTCTTGTAGGTTATACGGTCTTATCATGGTCATCTGAGTGGGGTTTATTGCTTGGCCATTCATCCCACTATTGACATTCTGCTTACTGGGGGTCGTGATTCTGTCTGCCGGGTATGTTTTTTATCATCCAAATGCAAGTCTAATGCTGCAGGGTCTTGCTTGTGCAATATTCCAGCTAATCATTATAAATGCATTTAACAATTTGCCAGATCCAGTATGGACATAGTTTTCTCACATTTTCTTGCAACAATTTCAGGTTTGGGATATTCGTAGCAAGATGCAAATTCATGCGCTCTCGGGGCATGATAACACAGTTTGCTCAGTTTTTACTCGACCTACGGTAAGCACTCCTTTCGTAGTGGGAGAACTGATGGTTATGTCCACCAATATTATGGGCACTGGTGACCTACATGGTCATAAAGGATTTGTGATACACACTGAAAAAAACTGGAATTGGGCTACAAGATGGATGCAGGTGTCTAATATGACAAGTTGGAAAATGCAATAACAGTGCTAACTTGATGTGGTTTATAATGCAGCAATTTTTCCTTCTATATAATGCGATGTTTATGTACCTTGCTAAGGCAATGTTACATCTAGCTATAGCAATTAAATCCCCTTATTTTAATCGAACCTCATCATATAATGTCTGTTTCCAGGATCCACAAGTTGTAACTGGCTCTCATGACTCAACCATAAAGTTTTGGGACCTTAGATATGGTAGTTTGCTTTTTGCATTATTTTCTTTCTGATTTTATATTTCTTTTTCTCTCCCACTTCTAATAATATTAATTAATCATGTCTGGCAGGCAAGACAATGGCGACTCTCACGCACCATAAGAAATCTGTGCGAGCAATGGCTTTGCATCCTAAGGAGTATGTACATGTTTTCAATTCCTTTTATAGACATGGTCTACGTGAAACATGCTGCTGTAATATCTTTTGTATTTTAAAACTCTCGTCATCTTTCAAATTGCAGGGATTGTTTTGCATCTGCATCAGCTGACAACATAAAGAAATTCAACCTTCCAAGAGGAGAATTTTTGCATAACATGCTGTGAGTTTCCTAATAGGCTTTTCAGCTAACACCTCTGTGCTTATTTCGTGGGAACTTTAGTTGTACACTAGGAAGCACAGATATGGGTGTTGTATCCGATACAATAGAGATATGGGAATACGACAAAGTTCAAAAATATAGGACACGGTTACAACAAGGATACGGCTATTATTTAAAATTGAAATAGATCAAATTAAATATCAATAATTTTCATCAAACATCATGACATCTATTAACATTCATAGTAAGTTACACAACAAAAAATATATTAAAAAAAAGTAAAAATCACACTCCTTTTAATAGTTCAAAGTTGTTTTTTTAATAAAAAATTTATGGTCGTGTCCTAGATGTATCTTGGCTGTGTCATAGGCGTATCCTGGCCTTCTCCTAGGCATGTCCTAGCTATGTCCTGTCCATGTCTGGCTAAGTTCACTATTCAGGACACTTCTAACCATGTAGGACATGTGTCTGACACTGCCACGGCACCCTGTGGAAGTACCCATGCTTCCTAGGTTATAAAATTTCAGTGCTGTAACTTTTTCTGATTTTCATAGATGGCTTCTTCTTGGATGGCCAATATTTTAGGTAGTAAATAATCAAGCCTTAGTCACTTGGTCTTAATTTATTTTTTGTTCAAACACAGCGATGATGACGATGTAATGATTTTTAGTTTTTTTTTTTTTTTGATTGGACTTCCCCTCAAAATATGTCTTCCCCCTCACGAATGATATAATGATTTCTGTCTATCAACCAGTACTTGATAAACATCCTTACGGGCTAATAGAAGCTGATCAGTATGCGTGGACTGCACCTCATTTACAGAATGTCAACAACACATGTAGTTGAATGCCTCCTTTCTCGATTCCAATCTCAGCCTAGGATGTCTTTCCTCTAGTTACTTTCTTCAAGGTCACCAAGATAGCATGGAATGCATCAACAAAACTGTTCTTCCATATTTAGAGATGCTATTACCTTTATAATCCAGTAGCATTGTTCACTGTGAAGTTTTTTTGGTTTGCCATGGATACTGATTTGCCAGAATGTGAGACTTGTTTGGCACCTATGGGAACTCCATTATGCTGCATACCTTTGCAGTCATAAGAGGGTCAAAAACCTGTGTGTGATGGTACTCTTAATTAGATTGATATTCATTTTGGTACTAAAGACATGACAAATGGGATCCTTTTAACTTAGTGGTTGGTAGGTGTAGAAGCACTAGTCAATTTTATCCAGTTTTCTCTGGTCCATTCATGTTCTTTTGACTAGGTGGTGGTGGTTGTTGTGTGTGTGTGTGAGAGAGATAGGGAGAGAGAGAGAGAGAGAGAGAGCGCTTTTAATGGAGATTTGGCACACATTTTGTGAGTGGGCTGTAGGACTTATGAATTCCTCCCATTGGAGATGAAACTTGCATCATCTTTTTTTTGACAGAGGCACAGGTAGGATTCCACTTACAAGCTTCATTCTTACAAATACTAATGCATATGTGGCCTTTTTTCTGTAACTATCATTTTTCTAATTTTATTTGGGGTGAGAAATGTGAGATTTCTTCCGGCACATATTCTCTCCATTTCCCTTCTTGGTAGAACACCTACCTTGAATTCAAGTAGGACCTATTGCACATATGTGGGTCCCTCACTATACATGGGGGCCTATTTGGAGAAAAATGGAGGACAAAAGTATTGAAGGGATTTGGATCCATTTCACTTGGGGACGTTGAAAGATACCTCAATTTTCAACACATGATTATATGCTAAAATGCTATTTGAAACACAGACACACACACACACGTATATAACATTCCATTTTCATGGAAATCAAAAGAATCCTTGGTTTTTTCCCTGAAGGTCAGGTCCATACCTAGTTCACTTCTTCCAACACCCTCAATTAAAGTGTGCCAAATTGGGCAACGACTCGTGCTTTTAATTTTAAAAAAATGTTCGTCAAGGTAGTTAATCAAATCTGATAATTTGTATCATGGTGACATTGTTGGTGTTTTCTTGTGCAGCTCTCAGCAGAAAACCATCATCAATGCAATGGCCGTCAACGAAGAGGGTGTCTTGGCCACAGCAGGTGAGAATATTTCAGTAGCTGACAAAATTTAGTGTAATCAGATGTTAAAAATATTGTGTTGGAATTACTTTGTGCCCGATGTCAAGTCTAAGTTCTTTATTTAAAAAAAGAACAAAAGAAGATAAATGGGATGGAAGAATTTGGTTAATGTTGTTGTGCAGGGGCAGAGCCTCATATGCATAAATTCCATTTTACTTTCTATCTTTTCCTAAACTAAAAGTTAAGGGAGTCTTTGGAAATAGGATGTAATTTGTTTGTTTCTCTTTTTTTTTTTTCCCCCTCATTATTGAAGGTGACAATGGAAGTATGTGGTTCTGGGATTGGAAGAGTGGTCACAATTTCCAGCAATCACAAACTATTGTTCAACCTGGTATGTATCATGGACATCTTGGGTTCATTTCATGGTCTTTTTTTCCCTGTTTTGTCGGAATGAGGGTTTAATCTTGGAGTGTACTTTTTTCTCAGGCTCACTGGATAGTGAAGCGGGGATCTATGCTCTCTCGTATGACATTACAGGTTCGAGGCTTGTCACTTGTGAAGCAGATAAGACTATAAAGATGTGGAAAGAAGATGAAACTGCAACCCCTGAAACTCATCCCCTCCATTTCAAGCCACCTAAAGACATCCGACGCTTCTGATTTGTTTCCAGTGCCTCAAAACTCTGCAGACCGCCTACTTGCAGCAACTTGTGGAATGAATTACTCACATTAAATATCTCGAATATTTATTTTTTAGTCTTAGAATGTTCCAACTAGTAAAATGAAAAACCACGACACCCCTATACAAGGGGGAATCGGTCTTTACATGGCAGGCAGCATAGAAAGCTGAGGGCTTGAATCAACAGAGGAGAATTTCCATGGCGGCTCGTTTGATTTGTCAATTCAAACAAAAAAAGAAAATATTTAGTCAAAGAAAAATAGCTGATTTTCAATTTTCTGTTGCAAAACTGCTAGTTTGGTATTCTCGAAACATCCTGAGTAGAAAATGAGGTAACAAGATTGGGAAACTCCTCGACTATTACATATGATTGAAATGAAAATTGCCTCCTTTTCAAATCTATCAATGTCTTTTCAAAAAAAAAAAAAAATCTAAAAAACGTGTAGAGGTAGTAGGTGATTTTGGTCTGGTTCTAAAGGTGTCTCTAATGATCTTGTTTTTAGTGCATCTCTCTTAACCACGAGATCTATTTCAATATATATATATATATATATTTTTTTTATATTTAGGATTAATAATATTTTTGGTCTTTAAAGTATGTATGTTTTATCAGTTTGGTTCTTAAAGTATTCATATTGTTAATTTGGTCCTTAAAGTATTCAATTCGTATTTAAATGATTTTTATATAGAAGGATTGTTAAGTTTTTGACAGATTGATTACGTGTTAGTTATGTGACTATTTAAAAGAATGATATGTGATCACTTTCGTTAAAAAAAATAACAAATTGTTTAATTAGGGATTAAAGAAATTAAATTAATAAAATTAATATACTGAAGACTAAACAAACAAAATAGATATATTTGAGGGATTAAAAATGTTATTTATCCTTAAATTTATTTCGATAAATCATGTATCGTGAATTTAAGTTAAATTTAATGTATACACATGGTTTTTTTTTATTTATATAGGGTAGGTGATATGTCGACAAAGGAAATAGAGAAAAATAAGTGTTATTATCTTTTTAGGACTAAGTTATCCCTCTCGACCTTTGAATTGTTTACTTTATTTTACGGCTATTGTATTGAAGGTGAATTTGTTATTTGAATATTATGTCTATCAACTTTTCAAAGAATTCATTAGTGTTTTATAATTGTGGAAGAAAATCCAATAGATGGAATGTGATTAACAAAATTAGTAAATGTCGGTTTTGTAACTCTCTTAATTTCGGTCATCAATTTGACATTGAATGATCTGTAACTATTATATTAAAAAATATAAATGTAATGTATTTTTGTTAATTAAAAAAAAATATTTTTTTATTTAATTTTATATAATTGTCCTAGGATGTTAATCGTGATCATGTGACGTAGACGGCGCCCTCTCTTTAACTACTTGAAGAATTAATTGATTATTGGTAAAATTACATTTTGTACCTTTAAAAATTTTAAAAAAATTTATTTTATTCGTTCTTGATAGTTATTTCTTTAATCGGTGGATAGGAGTATACTCTGGATCGGAATCGTGGGGAGTACTTTAATGGGATTTTTTTGACAAAAAATAAGTAAAAGTTAATAGAATAATTTTAATATATTGAGGGTATAATATAAATATTTTTATCTTTAAAGGTACAAAATAAGAATCTTTAAATTTTCTAAGGTCTAAAGTATAATCCTCTCTTAATTATTTATTAGTCAGAAAAATTACTTCATTAAGACAGAAGTCTAGTGGGGGCGTTTGAGCTTCTGAAAATGATGAGCTCTCTCTCTCTCTCTCTCTCTCAGGAGAGACCCACACACTTTCAACTTGGAAAATATTAAATTCAACGCCAGTTCAGAATTTAAATAAAGAATTTTATTATAATCAAACTCAATAATTACAAGAATTGATTTAATAGACAATTAATTATAGGACTTGGGAAGTTGGAAAGAGCATAATTCGTGGGTAAGTATGTTTGTTGTAGTTCGAAAATTTGGAATTGAGTCTTCTCGAATTCTTCTTGTTGATGAGCTCGTAAAGTCGAACTTTTTCGTTCTTGTGTTTTCCAAAACACGTTTCTTTGGTTTCTATTTTTGTTGTTATTGAAAAACTAAAAACATTTGGAATCTTGACGTAGAGTTCTCCAAATTTCGTACTCTTTCTGGGTTTTTGTTACCTAAACAAAGTGATTTTTTTGAACGAATCGAGATTGTTGATGATACTTTTGAGGCGAAAATGTGGATCTGCTGGGAAGAATAACTAGTGTGTTTTATAAGAAAATTTGTGGTGGGTATATTGTAGTTTTGAAATTTGGGTTGTGCTGTTTATGTTTGTTTCTGAGCATCAGTGAAGAACTTGGAAAGAATAGAGACTCCAAACTAAGTTTAAAGGTATGTCTTCAATGATGACATTCTCTAATCCGAAATGTAGATTTGTAAGTTTCATTTAGTGGTCTAATTGGGTGATAAATTAAGTGTGAGATTGAGCTATGGCGAGATGATTACAAATTGGAATGATTGCTTTAGTTAGTGGATCCATGTATGGCCTGGACTGCAAATTCCATCTTCTGAAACCCCCAAAACTTTCTTTCCCCCTCACATGACACCTTATTATGGAAGATTTGCAAGTACACTTTTAACTTTTTGTACGTGTATGTGCACCAATAATCTGTATATGCTGTTATATGTTGAAGAGAATATGTAATACTTGATAGGCTTTGAGAGAATATCTGTACATTGTATTTGACCAAAGGGAATAACTGAGATAACTGTCAAATTTGCTTCTGCTGTAAAGCAGGGATTGTGAGCACACAGTTTCGGTTCCACAGATGGTTTCATGTTTAAGAGATTGAGAAACCCAAAATTGATTCAAGCTGTCTGAAAGTTTTGTAAGATTGAATGGAATGCATTTGGAGTTGATATCGGATTGATTTTGGGAGGCAAATCATTTTGGAGATTTCTGCTGTTTACAGATTTTACAGACATGGGTTCTCAGTTGTCCAAACTCATGCCATGTTGCTTGGTTTCACAGTATAAGGCTTCTGATGTGGAGGCACCACATGTTGGTATGTGGATATTTGTCTATTTGTGTTTCTTGCTTTCCTGATTATTTAGATATCAGTTCAGTTATTTCATTGATTTTCCCCGTTACTGCAGAGAATGAAGAGAATGGTGAAGTTAGTGACTTGCCTGCATTCCGTGAATTCACGTTTGAGCAACTTAAAAAGGCCACATCTGGTTTTGCAGTTGAGAATATAGTTTCAGAGCATGGAGAAAAAGCTCCGAATATTGTTTATAAGGGGAAGCTAGAGACTCAGAGGAGGATAGCTGTTAAGCGTTTTACTAGATCGGCTTGGCCTGATGCCCGACAATTCCTGGTAAAGGCATTCTCTATGTGGCACAATATTCTGTCTCTCTCTCTCTCTAGGTATGAGATATACACACAAGGATGTGTGCTGCAAAGTTTCTGTTCTGATTCTACTTTGCCGTGCAAGCCCCTTTGACATGGGTCTGGTCAGACCCTTCATCATCTACAGTTGATCATTCTCATCGTCTGTTGATATATATATGATTACATATGTTAATATCATCCTCATAATTTCTGACTATATGGCATTTTAACGTTCCCTTTTGTTTCTTTGTTTTTGCATTCACATAGATGGAACTTAAATGGCATGTTTGCTTCTGCTTGTATCATGGCCTACTGGTTGCATTGGTTCATGTGGGGGTTATGTGCATATTTTGAAACGATAAGGAGATAAAGTGCTTGAATGCCAAACCACAAGGGGGTGAACAGAAGTTTTCCTCTTTTTTTTTTAATGATAAGTCTTTGCTCATTTCTTGTACAACTGATTTTTTTGGTTGAGCTTGCTCTATGCATGAATGTTCCTCATCTTCTAGATTGTGAGTTCTGGTGCTGAGTTCTTTCTAATGATGTCATTATCTTGTAATATGCACTTTTTATATGTTGCGGTCCAAATCGTTTGTCATGCTTGGACTTAATCTAAAGATAGCTAATAAGAGGTGCTTATTGCCCCCACAAATGAAGTTTTATGCAATCTATTTCCAGTTCCTTGTCAATTGATGCCTTTTTGCTGTTGGTGCAGAATGTTTAGGAAAATTGTGACCTGCTAAATGACTCTATTAATTCTGGTCAAAGTAATAGAAGTGCATATATCTTTTTCTCCCTCCTCCTCCCCCTGGCCCCCCCCCTTCCCGCCTTCCAGATGGAGGAAGTATGCACATCAATGGCTTATTTGATTTGCAATCATGCTAGATGACATGTAAATTTATTATTCTATTGGGTAAATAACATATAGTTTGAAGGAAAGAAACAAAAGGTGACTTTCATATCTGTTCATTTTTTACGTCAATTACTGTGGTTCCATTGTGGTTATCACTTTCCTCACATGCTACTTCTGGCTCATAAATGTTTGATTTCATGTTGGTTTACCTTAAAAGTTTTGTTCTTTCTAGACTGTGACGGTGGCAATTTACATTTGTCGACTTTAGGAAGAAGCAAGATCAGTTGGCCGGCTCCGCAACCATAGGTTGGTAAATTTGCTTGGTTTTTGTTGTGAAGATGATGAGAGGCTGCTTGTGGCCGAATATATGCCAAACAATACACTTGCAAAACACCTCTTTCACTGTAAGTTTCTTAATGAATATTAAATATTATTTGGTGTACAATGCCACCTTCAGCTTGCACTGGCAGGCTAATTTTCGTAAGCATCATGTTTTAGCAAATTTTTTGCAACATTTAATGGAGCATTTGATGGCTTCAAGTGATCATTTGCTTCTATGCTTGGTGGCTTGTGCTTGTATAGAACCATCCCTTATAGAATGCTTTAATTGGCCAGTAATGTTAGATGCTTATGTGCAAACAAGGTCAGTTACCAAAATCTCTCCATCCATCTACCTCTCTTTGGATGTATTTTTGTGCATGTAGAGAGAACAAAGTGTCGAATATGATCTTAAATGTTGCATCTCTGATTCTTGAATCTGTACTGCATGGGCATGTTTACATCAAAACATTTCCACTTGTCTGGTTGAGTGGGAAGCTTCTACTGATGCTTATTAAGTTTCAATCCAGTTCCATGATGTGATTCCATTACACCATTGATTCAGGGGAAACACACCCAATGAAGTGGGTAATGCGCTTGAGGGTGGTTCTGCATCTTGCACAAGCTCTTGAATATTGTACAAGTAGAGGTCGTGCCCTCTATCATGACCTTAATGCTTACAGAATTCTGTTTGATGAGGTGAGTGTTCCATCATTTACTACTTAATAATCCTCCTTCAATTTCGTCCTATGTTGTTTCCTCTATTTATATATTAGGACTTGCAGGATGTTAATCCTAGACTTTCATGCTTTGGACTGATGAAAAATAGTAGGGACGGAAAAAGTTACAGCACGAATTTGGCATTTACTCCTCCTGAGTATTTGAGGACTGGTATGTGTTCATTTAAATAAGATTAATTTTTATGGCAAAAGAATCATTTCCAAGTCATCAGTCATATAGGATCTATGCTAATATCTTCAATTTAACTCTGGCTGTTATTTCAAATTTTTGGTTTACTTTTGTTTTAGGACACCATGTATTTATCGTTTTATTGACAGTTAACTTACCTAAAGTTGGGTTATTGTCAATTTTCTAATATCTTGGTAGACTAAACATGCTTTAAGACTTCAGAAAAATATCCTGAAGGAGACCCTCATTGTTTTCAGTAATTTTTGTGGATTGAAAAAATGACTTGTTATTTTTGTGTCTGGTGGTAGTTTGTCTCAAGAATGTTATGATGAGGATATGACTGTATGAGACTCTCAACCTTGATTATCTATCCTTCAAGGATAATTGGATTTAGAGTATCAGTTCAATTGTTCTTCGCGTTCATGAATCGTGAGATTCTAGTAGTTCTGTATGCTGTGGCCTATTGGCAATCTTAACAAATTTGACATCACACAAACCTTTGTTACTTGGATGTTTCAGAATTCAGATCACTGTATTATTCTTTTTTAGTTATTTTTGTTTTCCCATGCTTTTCCTGTAGGAAGAGTAACACCAGAAAGTGTAATATACAGCTTTGGCACCCTCTTGCTTGACCTTATTAGCGGGAAACATATTCCTCCAAGCCACGTAAGTAGTTCTCTTCCCTAAATATTCTTATTCTTATAAGCACAATGGACTTATAGGATTCCACTAAAAATACAACAGGAACAGTCAATTTGTACTGACGTGAAAGTCCCATAAATGATTGAGGGTCTTTTCCATTGTCATAGACATTTTCCACCAAGCTAGTGGTAGTGAACGATGGGAGTGACTATGAACTTCCGAAGCTAATGTTTTTTTATGGGGCCTATATAAACATTCTTCATTTAATATCTTTATGTCTCATACTTCGGTTATTGTACCAGGCTTTGGACTTGATACGATATAGGAATCTTCAAATGCTGACAGATTCCTGCTTGGAAGGACAGTTTTCGAATGATGATGGCACTGAGTTGGTACGTTTGGCTTCTCGATGTTTGCAGTATGAACCCCGAGAGCGGCCTAATCCGAAGTCATTAGTAGTTGCATTGACTCCTCTCCAAAAGGAAACTGAGGTTAGTTCACTTTTTTTTCTTAACAATAAAGCTTTTGCATATTGAGACAGCTTGGGCATTGGAATTATGGCTAGAATGTTTTCATTTCTGGTTTTCTGACTTGGGCAGTTACTTTTAACCATTTACATTCAAATTATATTGCAAACTGTATATTGATTTAAAATCATCATTTACTATTATACTTGCTCCTTTTGCTGCTAAAGTGCTTTGGATAAAGCAGCTTGACTTCGTTTTAATGGACAATTGTTTACTTGCAACTGAATGAAGAAGTTTTCATGGGGGTTGCTCTGCGCTTGCATAAATGTTATAAATATCATGAAGAAATGTATAATCAACTGTTTCACCCTGCATGGGACCACCTCCAATTAAATTGCTCGAGCACTTATACACGGCCATAATGCAATGCATGGCTGCTTTGCATTCTTGGTATCGTACTATTTTGGTAATTTATTTAGTTGATGCAACAGTTACCTGTATCTGGATCCAGACATATATTGCTCAATTAATGTGTCAGCCAAACTAGTCAACTGCAGCATTAGGAAAACGCACATCAAATTATTGAGCAACTATGTGCACACCAAGAGAGCTAGCCATGAAGGAATTTGGTTAATTTGGCTTTGAGTACATTCTCAAGCTAGAGATAAGAACAAACATGATAAGCACAACAATGGTGGACTTATTTTCCTTTTGCCATATTTGTTTATAATAAGACCATATGTCGTGAACTTGTTTCTCTTTATTTTGTCTTGGTATTGCCTTCATTCCAAACAGTGTCAACTATGATGCACAATTTTGAGCCTTGACTGGCATAGCAAGTCACGATTCCCTTGAAATAGGCATAACAATGCATCTGTACACAAACAAATCCAGCTGAATTAACTACTAATTTTTCTCCCTTTTCGTCTTATAGTTGTTTGGGAGGCAAGTAATCTTGTTTAGCATTACTATTTGCTTGTTTTTGGTGCTGGCATGCTGTACTTATTATAAGCCAAACTTATTGCTATATATGTCTGTGGAGCACAAATCCCACAGGTGCAAAATTTGGGCAGATATTATATTCTCTCACAGAATAAAAAGATAAAAATGAAGCTCATCATGCTTTGAGCTTTGACAGCAATTTTGTAATATTCAAGTCTAAATCTAAACCGTCATGATGCAGCATAATTATTGTATTTGATGCCTATAAAAGTAAGTTTGCTCCGTTGGCTTAAAGATGGATAAAGTTTGAGTTATTGTTCATTTTATATCTTTTCTTTTTTGCGAATGTGTATTTGGCTTTTGCACCTTCATACCGAGTCTTCAGTCTAAATCAAATGTCAACTTGCGAATAACTGGATTTAGTTCTTAGCATCCTTTCTTTCTTCATGTGCAGGTTCCTTCTCATACCTTGATGGGTATCCCACTCAGTGCTTCATTCTTGCCTCGATCTCCACTTGGTGAAGCTTGCTCAAGAATGGACTTGACTGCAATACATGAGATCTTAGAGAAGACTGGGTATAAAGATGACGAGGGAGTGGCAAATGAGGTTCTGCATACATTTTAAACTCATAATACTTGGGTTTCATTCTGGTGACATGCTCAAATTTTTAACCATCTATTCTCCTGCAGCTGACTCCATCTTCCTCTTTCATATCAGAATGTTTTCCCTTCTGTTACTGATATTATTTGTAGTAGAACGCCAGAACATGTGAACTTTTTATGTTGTTATTCCAAAATCTTTTGACTGAGGTTTATGTTGGGATTTAACTCGATTTAAATCCACTAACAAACACACACAATCGAAGAACAAATCAAGAATATAAAGCAATAAGAAACAAGAAAGAACAAGACACAGATTTTACGTGGTTCGGTAATTTGCCTACGTCCACGAAGCTGCAGGGATTTCACTATTGAGAGAGTTGAATTATAGAGAGTGGTTGTACAATCCACAACAAAACCCTAATCACCAAAACAACAGGGTTTATATGTCCTACGCACTGGGCTGTATAACGGGCCCAAAAATTCAGAAAATTTTCCATTAAAAACCACACAACATTATTTCGGGTCGGGTCATCATCCGGATTACATATACAAACTAGACTCCATAAAAAAAAAACCAACAGTTTAAATTTAAACCACCGATTGACGGGTTTGAACTGTTTCCTCACGTGATAGCATGTGTTTGCGTTGATGTTTGTTATTTTTGTGGTCTGGTTTTAAAGTGGTATTCTCTATTTAATGTTAAATGGGATGGGACATTGTTTTTTTCTGTATCGCATTGTGTTACCTGTAAAGTTCTTGATTTTTCTCTTCTTTGATCAAGTATACTCCAGCAGTCATTATTGAAGACGAAATAGTTAACCTTTTATCCCAGATACGGTTGTTATCCATATTTTTTAGTTATTGTCTTTGCTCATTCTTGCCTTCCCGATATTGCAGCTTTCTTTCCAAATGTGGACCGACCAAATGCAGGATGCATTGAATTCAAAGAAAGAGGGTGATACAGCTTTCCGGCATAAAGATTCCAAAACTGCAATCGAGTGCTACACACAGGTTATTGTTATGTTTCCTCAGTTTGATTGACTCTGGCTGTTGCAAATGATACAATCGTAATACTGGATAAAGTAATCCGGTAGACACTCCTGAAATTTCAATTACATGAATACGTGAAATTTTATGTGTTTGTGTTATATATAGATGTACATATCTTCTTGTTGGCTTTTTTGGGGAAGTGGTGTGTAAGTTTAGCCTTTGGTCTACCTGATATGCTTGTAATTTGCATTGGTCTATAGGGATCTTGGAAGTTTATTGGAAACCATGAACAACTGATAGTTTCTGTATTAATGGACTTTAATCTAACACTAAATCCTGAATCTTTTGAACTCAGAATGTTGGCCTTTTCAACTATTCCGAATTCAAGTTGTCTTAGAATCTATTGAAATATATCGTCTTTTTCTTTTTTACTTGCAGTTTGTCAATTTTGGACCCATGGTTTCTCCGACGGTTTTTGCTCGCCGTAGTTTGTCTTATCTCATGAATGAGATGCCGCAGGAAGCATTAAATGATGCAATGCATGCCCAAGTCATTTCTCCAGTCTGGCACATTGCTTCCTTTCTACAAGCTGCCTCACTTTTTGCTCTTAAAATGGATAATGAAGCACAAATAGCACTTAACGAGGGTGCAGTTCTTGAAGCCAAAAGGCATTCAAATGCTGGACAATAAACCAATTGCTTTTGCATATTTGTAAATCTCCTTTTTCTGGTTCTTTCAATCGCTTCTTTCGTGACAACAAGCATGGCAGCATCTACTAAAAAGTCTGCTTCAAATACTGATGATTGATGAAGAAATGAAGGAGTTAAGGATTCATTTCTCTTATGATTCGATTCCGAAAACTGATGTAGATGACTAAGTTTGGGTGAAGATTTTGGTATTGTTATTTTCTTTCTTTTGTTCTTTGAGTGGATAATATATGCAGTTTTTTTTTTTTCTGATTTGAGCAATTGTGCAAAAAACTTGGTTTTCATTTGCATTTTGTAAAGAAGGATATCTGGTTTTCCTCTTGGGTTTTTACCCCCCTAACATTTGTTGATGTGCAAGTCAATGATGATCTGTTCTTCTATTGTGTTAGGGAAAGTCTATGGTACCGTGTTCGATACCGTACCAAAAGTTATTACTTTTATGGTAAAATTACAATTCAAAAGTGAAAAATTATAATAATTTAGGGAAAGTCTATGATCGACCACAGAGACACATGATCGATCATGGACTTTCTTTGAGCAATTGTAACTTCTCCCTTATGACTTATAATTTGATCTTTAAAAGTTATAACTTACACCTAAAAAAAGTTGTAACTTAACTTAAAATTATTGTAAATTTGGGTACGTCACCGAAGGCCATACCGTAGCCTTTCCCATTGTGTTATCTCAAAATAATGCTTCATTTCATACAAGCTTTCCATGTTTCCTTCCTATTACTTGGCTATTATAAAAACAGACTATTGAAAATTGAATGCTGAATTTTTTAATTTACAGACTATTTGGTATTTAATGAAAGTTAAGCATTGAATTAAATCAATGCTACATAATAAGGGATGATACATATTGATAAATTAAAAGTGTAAAATATAATGAGGATATATTTGTTTATTATGAGAAATTTATAAAATATTAATATTTTCAGCATTAAGTAATAAGTAGGTAGTTTGCTATTTAAAATTTTAAACTATTGTTAAAATGCGCATAAAATATTAAGTGGTATGAATTTTAGATTAACAAACATATTCAGTTTATTAAGTATTTAAAGTATTTAATTTTAAATATTAAGCAATGTTATCAAACATCGCTTATGTTTAGTTTGGTAAGAAGAATAGAAAGTAAGAGAAATATATTGTCTATCTTTCAAGAATGGATAGTAGGATGATACACTTTCCTTCTTTTGTATTTGGTTGGATAGATGAAAAATAAAAATGACTAATTTTTTTTTTATGTTGGCTTAGATTAGGGGTGACAATTTAGTCATGTTGTGTTAGATTCGTATTGAGTCATAAAATTATGAGTCTTTATATTTCTTGTTCGTGTATCAGGTCATTTTTAAGTTCATGTTGAGTTATAATCAAATTCGTGTCATCAAATTTGTGTCGAGTTCGAGTCGTGTCATCGTGTTGAGTCGAAAATTTTTAACCCTAGTTAAGATGAAAAAAATATTTTTTTTAATTTTAATTTTTTTAAAAAAAATTATATATATATACACGTATGAATACATATTTTATTATTGTATTTTTATATGAAATTAACGTATACATAATATATGTATATATAAAAAGATATATAAATAAGTAAGATACATTTCAACACAAATAATTAGCTTTTATCCCCTTTCCTTCTGATTTTGGAGGGATTGATTTTAGTGAGTTAGAAAAAAAGTGAATTCATCCACTTTTCCATCCTTCCTTACTAAACATGATGTTTTATTAATACCTCTAATTTTTCATCATTTTAACTTTTCATCATTTTTTTTTCATCGTACCAAACGGAGCATTATAAACGAACTCATCGGAACAAGAGTATCAATAATGACACTTTTTTGTTAAGTTCTATTGACAATTTTTTGTTAAGTTTTTGATAGAAGTCATTTGAAAGTTTTTCAAACAGTACAAGTTATGATGAAACGGGAGAGAAAGAAAAAAATATTATAAGGGAGAATCGCATTTTGTATCCTATTAGATTTAAAAAAATTTGTTTTATTATTATTAAAGATTAAATTTTTTATATTATACCATTAATGTATCAAAAGTATTGCAATGTGATTCTTTGTTCGATTCCATTAATTTTTTGGTAGTGTCAATGGGTTAATTTTTGACCAAAAAAATAACAAAAGTTAACAGAAGGGTCATATTGCAGTTTTTTTGATAAATTGAGGGTATAATATAAAAAAATTTATCTTTAGGAGTACAAAATAAAAATCTTTAAATTTTTTAGGGTACAAAATGTAATTCGCCCAAAATTAGGAGCAAAATAAACGACAAGCATAAAAAGCTTAAACAGTTCTAAGGGCCCAACCGGGTTCGAACCGGTGACCTATTGATCTGCAGTCAATTGCTCTACCACTGAGCTATGGACCCAAGTGCCCTTGTCAAGTCCAATAATTTTATAAATAAATTAATAAGTTTCTCAAACCACACATAAAAACCAACGATTGAACCAATCTTTCCTGATCCTGTCCTTATTTATAGATAATTTCATGTTTTGGAGAATTATATTTCATTATCCGAAGAGGCCTATGCCATAAACATGACGTAGTAGTTGCTAATTTACTTTATAATATCCATAAAAAATTAGGGCTCTCTAAAATATAATTTTTTTATCACTTACCTCACCAAAACTCCGTTATAAAAGCGATTTTCATACAATAGGTACGATCATTATACTAGAAAATTGTGCGGACATAGAGCTTCCGAAACAGTTGGTTCTTATAAATGGAGAAAATATTAGGTGTAATGGTTAGTTGTTTACTCCATATCAGCATTGTTATATGGTATAACCATTCAATGATAAACAAACAAATAAACAAAATAGACCCCATTATTTCAGATAATCACTCTTCCATGTATGATAGTAACCACCACATATTCAAAAAATGGGATTCATTAGTTAATTTGTTTATTTATTATTGGACGATTATACCACGTGACAATGTTAATGCAGTATCACTGTTACACCCAATGTTTACTCAAATAAATGGTGGTAGGAGACTTCCAAAACAGTTGTGCTTGCAAGGAACCTAGTGGAAAACAAGTTTGACAATGCTTCAGAAAATGAACAGTCCAAGGTGACAATCTTTGTATTTCTGATGGTTTAGTGCCACAGAAAATGCCAAATGGCCAGTGATAACAGCCTAGTGTCTTCAAAGTTTCTCAAAGAGAATTGGTGACAGCAATAAGATGAGATAGTAAAGATATCACAGAAACAGTTAAAATGAAAGCAATGAAGTTAAAATGTCTTAGCAATCTTGTCATCATTTGGCTGAAGACTTGCAACCATTACAGTTGATACAACAATCCAGAAAAACCCCTTTGACCACATGGGGTGAGCCATGATACAATATTTAAGAAAACTATTGAGAAGCGAGAACTGAGTAAGCTGTGAGAAAGCTTTTTTGAGCCGAGTATAAGAAAGGGAGAGAGCCCTTATTCTTTTCAAATGGGGCTCTAGGGAGGAAGTACATTAGCAGCGCGGAATGACTCCTTTGTTCTGCCGTAATAGACTGCGTTACTGCCAGGATAAGTGATGAAATTCCAACCAAAAGCTGATCCTCCAACAACATATGTTCCCTGCATCTGAACATGTTCAGAACGCTGCTTATCAGAGACGTTTCCCAAACGAACAGGCTTATCTACTCTGTCTGGTGGAGGCTGCTCTGTTGATTGCAGATCTTGGTGCTGCTCTTTAGGCTTTTGTCCCTCCTGAATTTCACCGGACAAAGGTAGACCTGGCACATTGATGACCGTTTCTGCTGTCATCTCTTTGTATAGATCCATCAGAAGCTTCATCTCTGCAAATTACAGTTGACATAGGCATAAGCAATTAAGCGTATTTCATGAGCCAACATAATTTGTATTCATATTGCCCCATGAACTGTCGTGAATAACTGGGGAAATCATGGACCCAGCTCTATCATACTCTCAATACCTGGTGACAAGTCGGTTCAAAAATGGCAGAGACAAGATGCGAAATAAGAGTCCAATGTTGTTGCTTCAGAACAACAATTCTAAGTCATGTGCCAGACTAGTGGCTCCATATCAAGGAGAGTACACTCATTAATATGTCACATGCATCAATGATGCTAAGCTGTGTGTTAGACTAATGCCTTCTTAGGAAAGAGGATGCACATTAATCACAGTAAAAAAGCAGTGCATAAAGCTTTCAACACTATGAATTGCAGATGGCGACAAGCCAACCATGCTGACTAAATCTAAAAATTGAGTTATAGCATTGAATATAGTTGCTTATTTGATTACATGGAGGAGAAAATACATCTCAAAAGGCTTACTTTCTTGTATATCATTAGCTGCCTTGCATTTCTGAAAGTCAGGAGTCCGGAGAACCTTCAAGACAACATAAGAAATTTTATTTCATAAGAAGCATTCCAACGCCATGAAGAAACTACATGAGGGCAGCATAAAATTTACAATAACCATGAATGCTGCATTCATTTGATTGCTTTTCCTCACTCCCTTCTCTCCCAAGATTGAAGAATTCATTACAAAACACTCTTTTCTCATACCACGATTTACTGAAACGAAGCGGTTGCCTCCTCGGAGTGGTTTGTTAACCACGCTTTCCATCCCTCAAAACAATGCTCCTCACCAAATGCCCTTCCTTGGGTTGGGGGGCAACACATCAGTGAGTAGTTTGCTCCAGGACCCCACCCCCTCAAGACCAAGATGCCGGCCGAGATGGAGCTTGGAGCATTATTATTCTTGGAATCTAGAATCATGAATTTCTCTATCCAGTGTCAAATCTTCTTAGTCCCACAAATACGGAACAACACATTTTAGTTGGCAATATAAGACACTCCTGTTCATCTTCACAGTAATTCTTGAAGAGGGTCACAAAGATGGTATCTGCCCAGTCCTTTACAAATAACAGGTACACTCTCAGATACAGTCACCAGGTTCTTAGTTTTGGCCAATCAATTGTTACTCCAATCTACCAACACTCATTGACACCCATGTGTGCTGGTTGTTCCCAAGAACTGCAGTGTGAAAACCACCCCTGCTGACTTACTCTAAGTTTGTAAGTGGTTTTCGAGATATAATATTTCATCTTCTGCTCTGAAAATGTTGAATTCGCAATGTAAATTGGCTACAGTGTGTTTAACTCTTTTGTTCAAGATAAACTATGCTAGGGTCTAATTAGACTCCGGATAATAAGTGAACTATCGCCTTACTTCCAAATCGGATTTGTCCTTGCCTTGAGGATGCTACTGCTTTTGGTACAAGGAACGGTTTACACTTTAGGAGTTGAATTTCAAGCATAGATATCGCACACACAAGATTTTGGGCTCCAGTGAGTAGAGACTTTGAGAAAGTCCCTCTCTTTTGCATCATGGGGAATTGGAAAGCATCTTGCAGATTGTTTTGACACTATGATGTTATGTTTAGCACTATTCTTCTGTTTCAAGGCTTTGGGATGGATTTCTTGCCCACCTTTGGCCATTTTTTTGTACTTCTTCACTTTATTCTTTAATAAAATGTTTGTTTCTTATTGCCTGACAGCCACTTGCATACATAAAGTCATAAAACCGATGCTAGACTAACATTCATTGAAATAGAAGCTACTAAAAAACCTAATCAAGAACTAGAAAGGCGAACTGAAAAAAAAAAAAGTTGCAGAAAATGAATTGCTTGTGAAAATGGCTGTCCTCTCTGGAATAAGTGCTTCGTTGCATTATGAATAACAATTTAGATATGCTGAGGCAGTTATTTGATTCAGTTTATATTCTTTATATTCTGTACCTCCCTGAATTTCTGGAAATTTGGCTGACTCCATAACAACTCATCCCATCGACCATATCTTAATCAATCTTCCTCAACTTGACAACCTTTGAACCTTTCAGTTATAATTCTAATTTTCTCAGTAAATCGTCGCCCTAAAGAGGCATAGATTAAGATTCTGGATGACACACTAATATTTCTAGGCAATACCATGAACACTCCACCCTGATTTGGATTTATTCCCTCCAAACCCTATCTAGGTTGATGTACCTTAACTGCAAGCCTAAAATTTCCTAGCTGTCCATGCATTAGAAGAATAAGGTATATGAATTTTGGCTTCACAATCCCGTATAATCAATTTTTGTTCTACATTAAATCCATAAACAATGATCCTTTTATCTTAGTATTTTATTTCTTTCTAAAGATAAAAAACCCAATGGCGCATTATAATTGTAAGTTTACATATAAAAGTCAACTTACAGCTAAGTGTACCTAGTCTTTAATGTAAGATGTCGTGGTTGTCATTTGTGATAAACCTTTTCTGCTAAAAAATGTCACATGATTGTATGAAGGATGTCTCTCCATACCTAATTACCATCTAAATGTCATGATTCTAAAGTTAGTTAAACCATGGCAACCATTCACTATTCAAAAGGTCACGTCTTTGAAATTATGCATGAACTGTGGGCGCTTTTTATAACCTAACACACCTCATGTTCTACAGTCAGTCAAAAAGCATCAAACTTCCAAAAGTACGGCTCATTTTTGTCAATTCTGGATACGAATTTTGGTCGTCATATCTTGCAGTGTCCATTCCTTACCAGGAAGAGAAAAAACTTTGCCCTCGTACAGTTGAGGGTTGTGCCCCAGCAACTTAAACTATAAACAATATACTTATTTATAAGAGATCCGACAAGTTTTATGTTGGTTGTTAGCTTCCCAAAGCATCCTTCTTCCGTTATTAGAAATGAGGACCAGATGTGTAATAGATAGCACATACAAAGTTGGGTACACAGTTATGCTGATAAAACATTAAAATTGAGAATATATGATACAAAAATCATGAGTAAAAGAAAATACAGCAAGCAAGATGGGATTAAGATCTGAAAACCCACATAACCCCCAAAAGATAGCGCCTTAGACAAATAATTACAGTCCATCAACGAAGAGTATAAACCTATATTGAAACAAGTTACATTCACCAAAAAAATTGGTAAAATTTCAAAAAACCCACAGATACTGCAACCTTGTCAATCTTTCATGGAAGGTCAAACTTAAAAGGCTGTACAATGCATCGCACAAGAACCCCAAAATGAAACCTTCCTTACAATGCTGACATAGCAGATGCGCTAAACAATTATACACAGAAGATCTTGTAAAATCGAAAAGAGAACCCATAAACGAAATCGCAAAAAACTATAAAGAAAATAATACGAAAATCTTTCTACCATCCAGAGGGCATTGAGAAGCAATCGAAACAGAGAATTCAGAGAAACCCACAAATGAAATCATTAGAGATTCAGGAAACTAGATGAAGTGGTGCATATTAATGAAAACAATTGTTCTTTACCTCGAGAAAATGGGGACGAAGATCTTTGACAACGGCTCGTATCTTGTAATAGTTGGAGTTTTGGAAGTGGGCAATGTTATCAAGAGGTCTTTTGTTACTCTGTGGAGGTTGGGGAGGAAGGTTTGGAGCCATGGTTTGAGAAGCTTTAGGCTCTTCCATGGCTGATGTTCTCTTCTGGGTACAAGATTATCTGCAGTTGAAGGTAGTTTCAGTTTGAGTCTTGGAGGAGAAAGTGAATGTCGGAATTGGAATGAAAAAACTGGACTAATTACATCAACACCCCCTCCATGTCTGGCACTTATCGAATTTTGTGTTTTTTTTTTCTTTCGAGGAATGTTGTGAAATCTAAATTTACAACTCATTACAACTCAAATTTGTATTTCAAATCAATAAGTATCATTAGATTAGTAATTTCTATTTAAAAAAAAGTTGATAAAACCTACGCATCTAATGGTTTCTGTTCATTTGGTATAAAAATTTGAGTTACATAATATTTTTTTATTTTTTTTTTTTGTGTCAATTGGCAAAATGTCTGAGTTAATTTATGCGCATCTCAATTAATCCTTTCTCCGGTCTGTTCAAAAGCATAACATTCAATCCGGGATTAAGGTATTTATGAGAGATAAATCTATCTTGGTCTGACTTCAAGGAGTTGCTAAAATTCGAACTCAAAACGTTTAAATTAACTGTTCGTCTTTGTTACCACTTGAGCAACGTGTTGAGATTATACTAATCCAATTTTGTGTCAAAAAAACGATTTTCTTGTCAATTTTTTTTATTGAAATAATAATGAGATAAATTAATATTCGAGGTAATTAGTCATTTAACTCATTTCTCGTTTCTTTCTAAAACCCTTATCAAGAGTTAAGTCAAACAGATCAGTGATCTTGTGATTGGTGGATAAAAATTATAACTGTTCTTCCTGAAATATAATGTACAATATAAACGTTTAGGTAAATAAGAAATCCTTTGGCTTGCTCCGCAATGTGAGTTTCATACAAAATCACACCAACTAATTTAATCATCCATGTTTGACTATGCAAAATTGTTTTTTTTTTTTGCTCTCTCTCTCAAATGTATGTGTGATTTTGGTTGCCCGTAGGAATCATTGTGTGCGTGGACTGTGGACTGTAGACCTTCCTCTCTGCAGGTGGTAGTTCTTGCGGAGGAGCCCTTACCCAAGCTTGCACTTGATGAGCTGTGCAAGCTGGTTCACAATAACATCCGGGGAGCTATAACCAATGAGAAAAAGATTCAAGCACAACTTGCATCACTAAAAAAGTGGCATCGCTGACCATTTCGGTAAATCGAACTATGTTATGTCATGTTTAAGTCTTGTGATTTAGCGTTTATGTCTAACGTATATCCTACGATTTCTGATTCATGCGATGTTCGTGAATCAGAGATCGTGGTTATAGTTTCTGCTTCATGTCATATCAAAATTATCATCCATAACTTAGAAAGATCGGTAGAATATGCTCCCGTCTCTCTCTCTCCAAGGCCAGAGCAATAAGCCCAACAAATAGGCATTTTTTAAGGTGCAACATCACTCATTCAGTATTTTGCCATAAACAGAAGGCAAGAATCCCAAGATAAACACATACATGTCCATTACCACCCAAAAGCATGTTTCCCCATTCTCTTCAATAATTTCCACACAAATGCTGCACCTACAAAGGGAAAAAAAAAAAAAAAGAGCCATAAATAGGCACAAGACCAGTAGTTGGGGGCTAAATTTTGACCATCTTCAGTAACAGAGGAAGAACAAAATAAAGGAAAAAAATTCTTGACAGGAATTTTCAGGTTTTTTCCTTCTATTCCACTGCTGTAGTCATTCGATTCCTCCTGAGATCACAATCGCAGCATAGAACCTACCCAAGAACAGAAGTTCTGATAATTTGAAACACTCCCCAAGTTGCCAGTCACTGCCTTCAAAAGTATCCCTCCAGTAAGACACTCTCACCTGATTTCCTAGAAGTTAAATTCTTCAAACTTCGCTGCAGGTTCTTTAATTCCACAGGCAATGCCTCTTCTGTACTTCCACCCCAAATTGGCAGCACTTCCACCACAACCTTCTGAACTAGATTCTGCTCAAAACCCTCTCTCAAGATCTCTTCAAAACCACCAGACTTTCCTCTTAAATCCAACAAAACACTGCATAGTCCTTGACGCTTACAATATTCAAGAATGGTAGTCAAATTTAACCTTTCCAAAACCACTGTTTCAATTCCATTTTGAGCTGCTTCAGGTTCAACAGCTGCCTCTTTGTCCGTGAAGATTACTACTTTAGAAGTTTCGGTGTTGACAACAGGAATTTGAATAGGGAAAGTAGGACTTTCGGCTACTACAATCTTGAGAGGTTGATTCGCCCCAGGTTCTTTAGAGGCAGGAAAGGAAGAATTTAATGAGTTGTGAGACAGTATTATAGCATCATATTCTTGCAACAATGTTGAGTAGTATCCTCCACACTCCGCTACTTCTTCACCAAGCTGATCAGAAAAATGGCCATCAACTGAAAGAGAGTATCTGCAATTCAGCAAGAAACATCTTTCATGCATATTATAGGATTATTTGAAGTCAATCTATACTTTTGTCAAGTAAATGGTAGCCAAGATGTATAGATATATCAATTGTAACCCGTATAATTTGAAGTAAACCATATTATACACACAGACAAGCAAAACACCATAATGAGTCAATTAAATACATGGTTCTCCATACATATTACATAAGTGCAAAAAGATAAGTTACCTCAGCGTAAGAAAGGGCTTTCCTGTAAGCATTTGATGGATATATGCTTCATTAAGCTTATTGCACAATTCCTCCTCAACACCAACAGTCACATCAATCCCTGCATCTCGTAGTCTATCCACCCCTTTTGAAGCCACAATTGGGTTTGGATCCACCATCCCAATGACCACCTTTTTCACTTTGGCTTTTATAAGTGCTTCAGTGCACGGAGGTGTCCTCCCATAATGATTACATGGTTCCAAGCTAACATATGCAGTCCCATTCTCAGCAACATTTCCTGCATCTCTCAAAGCAAAAACCTGCAGTTTGCACCTCGCGGTTCAAATTACTAGCAGAATTTCTCTATCTTCTCTTTTATCTGACTAATCATACAAACTTGAAGTTCATGTAAAATGAATACAAAATCGCAGAGAAGAATACCAGTGTCCATTTTAAAGTCCACGATGGGATGTTATCAGTAAAAAACTACTTCATACATGATCAATCCCAACTCATTGCACACACCAACAGCTTGCCTTGGTGGGACTTAAACAATTCATGTTCAAAGTCTTCAATATTCTTCATCACGAGTTTCTTTTTGGGGAGAGAATTAATGAAGGTCTCGCTCTAGCCGTCTACTACTACATAATATAAAATCCATGGGAGGTGGGACCTATGTTTACCATTAGTCCAGTATCATCCATGATGCGACTGAAGTTTTCATCACCTAACAAGTAAGGTTCAATTCTGGCAGCTCACTTTGCCAGAATTGATCCTACTCTGTCAACCATCCACATAAACACAATTTGTGTCCATGGAACTCTTGTTTCTCAAAATTTGTCCTCCACACTTGTTTCGAAACCCATTATGTCCTTGCTTTAGTTCCATTATAATCTTCATGCAGCAGAAAAGAAACCCTTTTTATAGGATGAAATGACACATTTTTCATATCGTTTTGAAAGTGAATAGGGAAATAATACATCTACGCTTGGTGTTGCTGCTAATATTGGCGTTAGCATCGCCAATAGCCCACAAAGGTAGTAATTGGCTGGCAGAAGCAGCACTGATTGGTGGCAAAGCAATTGGTTGGACTGAAACAGTGGCACCGACTCAAAAGCAAAAATATTGGCACCCCCTTGAACTTCAGCTTCAGCCCCCTCATGTCTGCATATATACCTCCAATTTTAACAGATTTTGCCAACATCATATACATATCTCTCAACCAGGTGGTTAGTGATTCTAGTACTTATATAAAGTTGGGTCTGTGGTGATTAATTACTGTAGATCTCTGTCATGTTTCCATCAATTAATAGCAGGCCATATTAGTTGTGAATTATCTCAAAAAAAAGGTGGATGATATTTGCTCTCACAATCAAGAAAGCACTCTCAGGCTATTCACCAAGTTTAGATCTTTTCTACATAGCATAATGTGATAAGGATTATGTATACCCAATGATGGGCATTGAACAACACATTATGAAAACAAGATACAGTTCTCCTTTATGCATATTACACACACACACACACACACACAAATATATATATATAGAGAGAGAGAGAGAGACCTCGCCATGGGGCTGCCCAGCTTTTGGGTGAAACCCTTCACCAACAATCTTTCCATCTTTCACAATGAGGCATCCAACCATAGGATTAGGGCTGGTACACCCAACAGCCTTCCGAGCAAGCTCTACACACCTCCTCATATAATACCCATCATCATATTCTTTTTCCTGTGACCCTTCACATCTGAGACCAACCAAACCACCATGGTTTCTCAAACCTTTTCGTGATCTAGACGCCATTTTGGCTGAATTGCAAAACCGAGGTTTGAAAATTGAATTGGACGCAAATTTGTTGTGCTGGTCTGTTGCTGCTGAGCAACGGGCAAAGCATTGAGCTGATAAATTTGACAACTTTTCAATTGAAAGTGGTTGAACGTACATTGTTTTGATAATTTGGACGAAACCCACTTGATAATAACAATAAATATGACAAATTTCAATTCACTGACAAACCAGTAATAGAAATTTTGTACTAAATAAAATTGTTTCTGGTAATTTATTGTTTGCAGAGTAAGGGGGCAAAACTGAAAGACCAAATGGGTAGAGATTGAATTTTTCAGAACCCCAGAGCTGAGATTGGACTTGTAGTTGTTCAGTCAAAGGGGAGTAAAATGAATTTGAAGAGCACGGTAAACACCGAACATTGAAAATCAACATCAATTGTTCCCTCCGTCCTAAAATATCTATTTTTTTAAATAATTTTTTTTATTCTATAATGTCTATCGTTTAATAAAATAAAAATATAATTAATATTTTTTCTTTTAAATTTATCCTTAACTTTTTAATACATTAAATTTAATAGAGTTTAAATGTCTTTCATATTCATTTTTTTTCCAATACGTATTAAATAAATAAGAATATTTTGGTCTTATGTAATTATTTTTTACACATATTAGAACTATATAATAAATTTTTTAATCCCTGTACAAAAACCTTAAACGACTAATATTTAAAAACGGAGAAAATAACTTAATTTCGTTTTAGTAGCATCGATCAAAACAAATCAATGAAATTAAAATTTGGGCTAAAGAAAGATTCTTTGAATTTCAATTTCTACCTTTAATGTTTAAAAATATTAATAAGACATAAATTTGTCTCAATGTAAATCGGGTTAACTGCCATGCATTTGTAGTTAAAAAAAGTTTAGGATAATTATAAATTATACATACAAAATTTAAATTTTTCATATTTATGATTAAAAAAGAATTACATCCATTAATATTTGTTAAATACATCTCAATTGTGTCATGTCATGTTATTCTATGTCATATTGTATCATTTTTGTGTTGTGTTTGAGTTGATAAAAAAATATTTTTAACACAAAATATTTTCGGGTCGAGTCAATTGCATTGTATCGTATATTTCACATTTACAACAATTTATATTATACTATATAATATTTTTTAAAAATTATTTTTGCTTACAATACTTGTTAAATAATTATTTTTTATCTACAGTTGTTTTATGCATATCTAATTTTAACTAATCGAACAATCATAAAAAATAGTTATTTAACAAGTATTGTAAGCAAAAAATAAATATTTTATAATTTTCTAAAATTTTAAAAATATTTTTTTATTGACTCAAACATAGTACAAAAATATTATGACACGATCCAATTAAAAGTTATTTAATGATCATTAATGGAAGAAATTCTTTTTCGATCATAAATATAAAATATTTAAATTTTAAGGATAAAATTTATAATTAGTCCAAAATTTTTTAACGTCAAAATAGATGGCAGTTAATTTCAAATACACATTGATATAAATTTATATTTTTTAAAGTATAAAATTGATATTTTTAAACTTTAAGTGTACAAATTAAAATTCAAGTGATTTTTCAGAGTACAAGTTGAGGTTAGGCCTTAAAATTTTAATACATTGAAGGTTTCATATATTTGAGATATTTTAATGTATTTATACATTTATTTTAAAATATTTTAAGATAATTAATATTTTAGAAAAATAATTTTATTTTAGAAAATCCGAAAAGAAATTTTAATGTTCTGTGAGAAATAAAATCATATAAATGTGAAACGGTGTCGTGTGTGTACAGATCTGTTAAAAAAAATGAAAAACATTAGATTGTCCGTGCCGAGTTCAAATTGGGGACCTCTAGTGTACGAGACTAGCGTGATACCCGAGTAGACCTCCCAAACATCTTAATGTCTTCTCGTCATTTTATTTATTTATTGAAAGATTGTGCAGTACTTGGCCTAATGTTTGTGTTAATCTTTTCCCTTTAGAAGTACCGACTAATATAATTCAGGGGATAATTAAATTCTAAGTGGTTAAAGGGCTGACTATCAATTGCAGCTAGAATTAAATATAGTAGTCAATGACAGTCAAAAGATCATAAAAAAGGGTAAAGTGTCACACCGTCTAACTAAAGAAGACCGTTGTGTTATTTATATGAAAGTTAATAATGAGTCGAGGAATTGGGCATCAGTCCTCTTGGATATGGTAGGAGCGAGGAGTAGGTAAGTGAGTCTTGATCTAATAAAGAAAAATAAAATTTAATTGATAGAGACGATGGATTTGAAGGAAGCATTTAGTCGCATATCTCACTTCTTTCACGGGAAAAGAATAGAGTCACTCGCCTTACTTCTATGGATAGATCAAAAAATTTGGAGAGGAACAGATCTAGCGGTCTCAGTCTAACATTCATTATCCCCTTCCCGATGCCATACTCATTAGCTGTAACTTTATTGTACTACCCACTGCTACTTCAGCCCCCGTTCAATTCTCCCTATATTTATTGAGTTTGACCAATTGTTAATGTTGTAATAGTAGAGATATGTTCACATCATGACTTGGTATTCCATATCAATGAATATACAATCGATTACCGGATTTTTCATTCGTTGCACTTTGTTTCTCCGTTTGTTGTGATGCGTTTTAAAAGTGCGATAAATAATTCAAAGCGGACAATATCACATACAGTTGAGCCTAATCACTACAACATGTCGGCGGCATTTTTTCTATGCTACATGCATTAATGTACTCAGAGAAAAAATGAAAGAAAAAATATATAGATGAGTAAATCTGAACAAAGGCCTTGATTTTAGAATAGGAACTAATCCATATAGCATTTCATATAAACTGATATATTTCTCGGCAGTTTTGGGTATATCGGTCCTAAATCATACTAGTCCCTCGACATCGAGGGGTATCTATCCCGTCGGCGTTTTTGCACCTGCAGGGGCTATTGATGGACAGATCACTAACCTAGGTAAGGCTAGACTAGCCATCATGACCTCGTCTTACTCAAATGGTGTCAGGAGGCATAAGAAAACAGAAGGCTCAACCAAAGGGGAATAAGTATGTGGCGTATTGTGTCAGATTAGAGACAAAAAGACCAGAATGTCTTTGCTGACACACAACTTGGGAAAACAAGTATTTAATGCATGAGAGCTTGGAAGTGAAAGGTAATAAATGTCCCAAAGCCTGGGCATTTAATACACCTCCGCCGAGAGAAGATCATTAAATGTTCGGCAGACCGATGAGAAAACATTAGTTGTTCGGAGTCCCGAGCAGTAAAGAATAAGATCATTACTCATAAAAATTGGTGTGCACGCTACCCACCTCCAATGATTACCTACTAGCTACGCTGTCAGTAATGATGAGTTTTTAAGGTATAAATAGTCCTCACAAACACAGAAAAAGAGTATGCAACTAACCCTCTCTCAACCATCATACAGTGTTTTCTTCTTCCCCTCTCTCAAAGAGCTGACTTGACCGTCGGAGGGGATATGCCGAAAAATATTCCGGCTCCCTTGTAACCTGTTTTCCTTTGTTCCAGGAACCTCCTTAAGTTTTCCAGGATCACTCAGGCAACTCATACCAACGATTGATTATCCACCTTCGACCCTCACAACCTGTTCAACTAGCAAGACCAATCACCCAATTTCGAACACGTGTTCACCACGGAAGAGATTTATTCTAGTGTTTATATTGTGCAGGATCTTGCACCCACAGTACTTACTCCCAATCATGAATCAACTGATGCAAATTAGCTCACGAGATGATGCAATCTGACCAACTTAATCAGATGTGTACACATATAAAGAGTAAGATACACCAAAACAAACCCAGCATGAAGATGATAATTACATGTATGGATCTACTGTCCACAACTTTGTTGTATGACACCCTTGTGATTAGTCTTCCAGTGTTCAAAAAAGGGTATGCAGTGCCGGCTGCAACAGGTCAAAAGAAACAGAAGAGAAGAAAATACAGACAAAGCGAAAAAAACGTGTGCTTTGAAAGGGAGGAACTACCAGATGAAGTTTGCACAACACACTACAAGTTGATCTCACAAAACATAACAGCTGCAGCAGGCTACAATGCCATTGTTATGTTGTAGACTCTCTTGAATAATCTCCAGCTGTAAGATTATTTCTTCAAATGTAGGTCGGCAATCTGGATTCTTGTGCCAGCATTCTCGCAGAAGCCTGCAAGCAAGGTCATCACTTCGTTGAAAATATATGATGAGATATAAAACCCATCAATGATTTCGTAAAGTTTGGCTTTTTTATTATACAGCATTGCAAGATTCTATTATCCAAATTGCTGGTGAACAATGGGTGAAATGCATTCAATTTGGGTTCACAAAGAGTGTCTTCAAATCAAATTCGAGGAGAATTGGCTTCTATTGCCAGGGCAGCTGTACGAAACACTAATAATGATGACTTGGTGAGTAAATACACTTAATATTTGATGCAATCATAGCAGTTCACCAAATACATTAAATTTTCACGAGTCCTTAATGGTGAAGTAGGGTATGACACTGTCCCAGAAAGATTTAGTTAACTTACATCTTGATTGGTTCAGGGTATACATATGAAGAAAGAGGTGGACGTGAATCTTCATACGCTCGCTTGTCTGCCACTTTCTCAGGAGCTTCCTCCCTATTTGAAGGTCCCCCTAGGAACATCTGAAACACAACCATTTATGAGATTTACGAATACTCGTGCTAAAAAACAGATTTATACATTCTCATTTCTCCTCCCTTTGGGTAGGCAGGCAGACTTTGATAGGTTTAGAAAATCTATCTTGAAACCTACAAATATGTAAATTTGACTTGCCTCATGTACTAATAGAGCAAATGAAAAGACATCAACACTCATTCCATATGATTCTCGACGATAAACCTCAGGAGCCATATACCGATCTGATCAACATCATAATAACATCTGATTAAATATTTAAATTTGAGAATATTCCCAACATTCAGTGAGGTGGCAGATCATACATGATCCTGTTCCTCCAGTCATTTTATAACCATAAGCATCTTTTTCCTGCGCAATTTTGCTTAGGCCAAAATCTGTAACTTTTAGGCGCCCAGCTTCATCTTGCAAAACATTTCTGGATAGTTGCATAACATAAATGATAATGTCAGAAAACAGTACACATTTTTTCGATTGATGGATGGAAATTGTGTTGTTTGACTTACAAAACACACACTAGTCTGATGCATTTAACATGAACATCAGCACAGAGATTCAGATTTTGAGTACCTTGGAGTCAAATCCCGGTGTATTATAGCATACGGTTTATGCTGATGAAGGTAATTCATACCTCTGCAAGTTCAAACAATCAACTCAGTCCATGAATGATTTATACTAGTTGAGTTTTAGCATGCCCTTTCCTGATCAGAACATTACATGGTTACTTGTGTACCATGGATAGCGCGAAGATGCTAAAACCAGTTATTGAAATATACGAATTTTCTTTTTTGTTGTCTTTTTTTTCCTCTGGGTTTGGGTTGGTTGTTGTTTGTTTTTTTTTTTTTTGGGGGGGGGGTGTTGAGGAAGCCAGCATTGACTCTCAATGGCATATTAGAAAAAAGTTACAGAATCCCTAATCAATTGGCATACTTCCAGATCAATGTGGAACACAATCAAAACAATTTGAAGAACTAAATGGTGTGTAGTTTCAACACTTTCCACGATTTGAAGAACTAAACGATTTGGAACCTAACTGGTTCTTTAAGTATTAACCTACTACAAATATGGATAGAACCTTATATACTAAAGGAAGCATTCATCAAGAATCTTATCATCAATAACTTTCCAAAGTTCTTTGTAAGTTAAGGTCTATGCATGAAATATCAGAGCGTCTTCTGAGAAGCCCGGGATTAGATGAACACGTCAGTATACTGAAGTCACACTGATCTCAAAGCATGGTCATCTTCAAAGATGTATTTTAAATTTCAAACCGCATGCTCTACTAAGATGGCCTCAAGTCCAAAGACTTCAAACTCTACAATTTCTAGATGTTTATTGAAGGGAAAAAATGGTTGTGGTTGTGGGGGGGGGTGGGGGGGGGGGGGGGGGGGGGGGGTGAGGGGATATTGTCGTTGTTGATTCACAGAAAAATGGAAAGAATGCACTTAATCAAGTTCACCGAACTGAGAATTGCCTGAGAAATTTCAAAATCTAAGCTTTCACATAACATATACCTTGCAATGTCTAAAGCATAACTAACAGCTGTCAATGGATCCAACCTTCCTTTCTTTCTTAGTATATCATACAAACTTCCCTGTAATTCCAGTTGAAGGAAAAATTAGTATATGGAAGTCCAAAGCCACACAACAAATAGGACAACACTTACATTGCGAAGATACTCGGTGAGGAATATCAAGCGGTCAGAGTGCTTTAGAACACCAAGGAACTGTACTATGTTTGGGTGGCGCAACGTCTGCCACAAGGCCAGTTCCTTTAGAAAGGCTTTCCTGTAAAGCCATCAACAATAGACAATGGTAAAGATATAGCTGAAACTTGACAAGCACAGTGCATACAGTAGATCAGAGCTTTGTAAGCCGCGCATAAGGGCACATATATCAATTATTGCTCTTTATAGTTTGCTTCACAATGAATGTATCAGTTTGGATTCATTGATTTAGGAGCATATAGAAGCCACAATTGAAATTTTATATTTAAACATGTTAACTTCAGATAACAAGCCATGGTCTTCTATGGTTTTTCCCACGTACTCAACAACAAAACATGCAATAGTAGTGTGAGAAGTGGTGATGGATTTCTTTTGAGAAATTTAGCCCTACAAGCAAGATGAAAATGGAATGGGTGGCAAGCATCAATTCTCCATTAGGATAAGACTCACTTCACCATTTGATTTGACGCAATTGAAGAGCGAATTGTTTTTGCAGCAACTTCTGTACCGCGCCACCTCACTAGGTAAACCTCACCATATGAACCCTGTTTTCAGGTTAACATCGTCAAAACCAGCAAAATTACTTCTAGATTTACTATTACCAGGTGTAGTGATATAAGTGTTGGGCTAGCAACAATGAAGTGAATTCGAATCTCAGGGTAGTCACATAGTGCAACATAATACAAAAGGTGAACCTTTGATTAAAAGTGAGGAAGCTACATAATAACACTTCATTTAAACTCAGAAGCCATTTACAGTGAAGAAATTTATACTTTTTAAGAAAAATAATTTTGCAAAAGAGCGTAGGGTTAGGATACGTTTGAGGTGGTTTCATGGCATATATATGACTTGAGTAAGAGAAATTACTTCTCCAATAAGAGTTGCTTCATTCATGTTCACCTCATCGTGACCAATTTCATAGCATGGAATCTGAGAATCAAGTCCCACCTGTCCCAAAAAAATGGTAAGAAGCACTTAATTAATCTCTATAAAGATTGAAAAGCTTTGACATGTCAAGGAAATTCAGATGCAATGATGACCTGGGTCAATTGGAACCAATACTGGCACTTCCACAGTAAATTGTGAGAGATGACACCTTGGCAATACAACTTAAGATTTATTGCAACAACTCAGGACACTGGAATGGATAAGCACTTCCGTTCTAAAACCTATCTTGCTTACTGAGACAATAGGCAGGAAAAGCTTATTTATCAGGGATCACGCCAACAAAATCATATGGAGAAACATTGGGAAGCTCAACCTGAGAGGCCCAATTTGTGGCTTGTACATGTAATGGAATTTCTCCTCTAGGCTGCCACATAGCTCGATCTCAAGATCAAAGCATTACCAGCAAATGTTTTCTGTACATAATGAAGACTTAGAAAAGCATCTTTTTCTTTAGTGTATCACTTATAATTCCTCAACTTATCCATTAAGTGTTAGAATAGTTATTATATTTAGACTTAGGGGTAGTTTAGTCATTTGTTTTCTTTTATATTGCCCTAACTTAGTTTACTATATAAAGACCTCTTATATGTAATTTTCCTTTTTTTACTGGCCAGTGCGTAGGACATATAAACCCTGTTGTTTTGGTGATTAGGGTTAATCGTGGATTGTACAGCCGCTCTCTGTATTCAACTCTCTCAATAGTGAAATCCCTGCAGCTTCGTGGACGTACGCAAATTGCCGAACCACGTAAAATCTGTGTCTTGTTCTTTCTTGTTTTTTATTACTTTATATTCTTGATTTGTTCTTCGATTGTGTGTGTTTGTTAGTAGATTTAAATCGTGTTAAATCCTAACACGAAGTACTGTTCACGTGTTGTGAATGGTACCGACATTACTGTTTATGCTGTGAACAGTGCCGGATTTCGATTTTTAGTACCTTTTTTGGTGTTTTGCTACTGTTTTTATTTACTGGACTTTTGAAAGTTATGGAATTTGGGTTGTCTAGTTTTTGGATTGCTAGTTTGATTTATTGGCTCGAGATGCTTGTATTAAGGCCTATTGAGCGTCTGCTTCTTCGTTGGTTTCTAGTTTGTGAAGTTAGTACGTTGGGATCTGCTATTTGGATTGCTATTTTTGTTGACTTGCTGCTGCCTCTTCTCTTCTGCTGGTGCTTCTTCTTCTTCTGGTTGCTAGTCTGGTTGTTTCTTCTTTGTTTGCTGCTGTTGCTTTGGGCTTTTAGACTGGTTTGTTGATTGGTTGGTTTTGTGCATTGGTGAGTTGTCACATTGCTGGTTTTTGATTTGTTCGTTTGGGCTTGCTATTTGACATAGCGTTACATTGTTTCGCATTGAATAAGCAAGAAACTTCTGTTTCCATTTGTATTATTTAGCACTGATTAAGTAGGAAACTTTTGTTTTCACTTTTGATTGGTGAGTTTGAGCCTTTGGGGCTGATTTTGTGAACAAATTGTTGGGTGAGTATTTGATTTGCAAAGTTGTTAAGTTGATTTGTGGCGAACTTTAGATTGTTTGGCGTTGGCTACTTCTTTTGGTTCTAGTTTTTAATTTTGACTACTGCTGGTTTGGGACTAGTTCTGGTTTGTTTGTTTTTTTTCTTTGTTGGGATTTGTTTTGTTGAGCATTGTTATTGGTGGTTTTTGTTGAGCTTTGGTTTTCTGTTAGACCTCTCATTGCTATTTGATCGTCTCTAGAACTTCATGTTTACTCTGATGCGCACTGGGTTGGTGACTCTATGGATCGCAAGTCCACTACTGGTTTCTGCCTCTTCATTGGTGATTGCTTTATTTCGTAGAAAAGTAAGAAACAAACTGTTGTGGCTCGATCATCTGCTGAAGCTGAGTATCATGCTATAACCTTCATAACAGCAGAGATAGTTTGACTGTATTGGCTATTTGCTGATTGTTTCTTTACGAAATCTCACACCATCGCATGCTTCCGTTTTCTTCTTAGCAAACTCTTGATGTTTGATGTTACCACATCATGAGTTTGAGGGAGGGTGTTAGAATAGTTATTATATTTAGACTTAGGGGTAGTTTAATCATTTGTTTTCTTTTATGTTACCCTAGCTTAGTTTACTATATAAAAACCTCTTATATGTAGTTTTCCTTTAAACTTTGTTCTGGCTAATTGTGCCTCAATAATATTCTCTTCTTTCTTCCTCTTACTTTTCTTTGATCGATCAAACTTAACATTAAGGACATGCCCTCTTCTGTAAAGATTATGGGGAAAGTTGCAACATTTGCTTGGACCATCTGGAAAGCTAGGAAGGCGATGAACCAAAAGGCCTTTCATCAAGAAGAGCCCAATGCACTTACCACTGTTTTAAAAGCTCAGACGTTGTGGAATGAGGTAATTTCATTTGGAAAAGGAGCACAGCGTATAGTCTCAAATACTTCAAACCAAACAGAACATCAAGTTCCCCAGTTGAATCAAGGACTGAGGCTTTGCTGCGATGGTGCATTCAAAGACAGAAGAGCTGCTATTGGAGTTATTTTAAGGAGACTAATGGAAAGCTTTTGGACGGAATTGCTAAAAGTATCCCAGTGGGATCAAGTTTATATGCAGAAGCAGCGGCAGTCAGGCAAGCTGGTTTACTTGCATATACTCAGCAGTTACAGCATGTCATTATTGAGAGTGACACTATGGAAGTAATCAAGCTTAGCTCGACAGAAGGAGTTCCCCCCTGGGAAATCAGTGTTTTTGTTGAAGACATTAGGCAAGTTGCTAATTCCCTTAATCTAAGGTTTCTACACAAGCCAAAAGCCTTTAACAGGGCAACTCATTGGGTAGCGGCATCGGTTTTATGATCCAGCTCACTAGCCTGGAGTTGGGTCAGCTGTCCGCCTACAGAGTTAATGGATTTTTTATTTTCTGATTGTAATCAACATTTCCCTACTAAAATGAAATTACAGTCTCTTGATTAAAAAAAATGTAGAATTTTGACACATTTATGGCAAAGAATATTTTTTTTGTTTGACTTTTTCAGTCCATTTTTCCAATTAAAAAGAAAATATTCGCAGAAATTTTTGCACCCAAGTTCCATGACACGAACCTTCTTATTTTAGAATGGTTCTTGCTCTTTTACGAGAACATTTTCTTCTAAAATTACGGACGGTTCAAATCTGCCAAATATATGAAGTTGTTTACCTTAGCTCTGTCATAATCTCGTATATTGAGGAAGAGTCACCTAAATTCAACACCTAACTACAGGAATCATCACAGGAAACTAAAGAAGGGGGTGACTATTCCCATCTAATTGTTAACAAACCAAGACACAGCTAAGAGCCTTGGAATCCTGGCATAGACCACCTATGCTTCTAGGTATCTAAATCACCATAATTGGTATTAGCCTATTAGGAAAAAATTATTTCAAAATAACTGTTTCCTCCCTTTCCATCTGTCTGCTGAAAATTTTTTTGATTGCACAATGGCTTTAAGTTCAATTCCCCATGGACTTGGGAAGGGTAAAGAATGAGTGTGCATAAGCATTTTTTTTTTTTTGATAAAAGAGTGCAAAAGCATAATAATCGTGTATTTTGACTTCACATATATATGCAGTATGAAAAAAAGTGGATAAATGTAATGATTTTTTTTTCAAAGCACTTGCCAGGAAAGTGAACTACCGGATCAATTCCTCCATGTGCCTCAAGAATATCACAAATTTTCTCATGGCCGAAGCTACGAGCATCTGACAGTGGCTGCAAAAAAAATAAGTTTAATGGAATAAAATATTAAATTCCAATGGAAATAACGGTAGTGTGGAGAGAATGCTAAAACTTCAAGTAAAATATGTGGATCTAGTTAACCGTGTCGGAGGCCAATCAATAGCTACAGATAAGTCAATGAATCGCATTAACCTTGTTTATAACGAAAACAGAAAATAAATATGCCTCTTTGGAAAGAGAAAATATACAAAACTGCTGCCATAGCAAGCATATAAAATGTAGGAACGACAGGTTGGACTCCTTCCCACTCTTCTTTTTTGTACTATTGCTTCTCCATATCTTTTTTCATTTAGATATGCTTTCCTCCTTTCTTTTACAAGTATAAAAATGCATTTTCCAAGTAATTAATCTAGCATTTCGAGTGACTAGAGAGAAAAAGTGATCCATAGAAGACGCTATTAATGACGAAAAGATCAATTAAAAGAAGAAGCAAACTTAATTTACGGGTCACTTGAAAGCTTTATAAGATTTGCCTATAATGTACAACTGCACAACATGGCTTTAGTAGCTTCTAGCCTTCTACATAATATGCTTGCTCATCATGCCGACAATTCAAACCATGCAACCTTCTATGATTAATATACGAGTATGAACTTACAGTGCGTCCCCAGCGATCAGTGGAGTTCACATCAGCTCCTTTCTCAAGAAGTAGGACAACAACTTCTGTGCAACCTTCGCTGGATGCTAAATGGAGGGCTGTTCTCTTATCATAGTCAGCCAGATTAGGTTCTACTCCTTTCTCTAGCTCCTGTATCACGCCACCTTTGTCGCCCTTACCAGAGCATGAGAGAAGTCGATATGGACCTTCTGAGTCAGATTTTTGTGAAAGCATCTGCTGCTAATAACACCAAGAGCAAAATTTCATTTCTTAGGTGTAACTAAACATGAGACAATGTCTTCAACAAAAAGATCAGTGAAAAGACACACACAAAATGTTTCCAAAATAGCACCCAAAAAAAAAGTTATTTCAAGGTATAGGTGCCAGTCATTTACTAACTATAAAAATGACAGATGAAATTACATTCTTGTAAAATCATTTTGTGGTAATAGAAATCCTTCTAGGATAACATGAGTCCTGCAATGCATTGGGACCAACATTGTGCACTCGACAAAATGTATATAACCTTTCAGAAAAGCTGAAGTACAAGCCAAAAAATTGATGTTGTTAAATCAAATCAAATTATGGATTGAAGAAGCATGAAGAATCCATTTAAAATTCGCGTATAGGAAAGATATGTGTAAACATCTCATCAAGTTTAAATGAATCTCATACATTTTATATGTTCTTGATATTAAAATAGAACAATTTACAATGAATCTATGTATATGGGAGCCGCCAATCTAAGATGGGTTCATGAATACTGGAATCTCAAAAATCACTCTTACTCTCCTCTACCGTTTGTGAGATGATTGCCATTTCCATAATCTCCAATTCTCCATTCACAACCCATTCTACACGTGCCATTTAAGTGATATATATAACAAATACTCTATTAGAATTATTTGGTAAGCAACTGTAAGCCCCCGAATATAAAACTATCATACATTGATACTGACGAGCCCAAATCCAAACTAGGCCCAGCCCCAGTTCGTAGATTAAGCCCAAATCATCAAAAGGCTGGCCACGCTTAGATCATGACTTCAATCCAGTTCAAAGTTCGAGAGTTTAAAAAAGTCAACGCACGTGGGAGAGCAATCATCGGGATAGCCATTACTTCATGCGTGCCCATCCTCAATTGTAGCTATCCTCCCCGACAAACTAGTACCTTGACCCCTATGAAGCGGGGATACGGATACTGGATACAGATACAATATGAATACGGTAACACAACAAAGTCTAAAAAAGTTGGATATAGGTACGGCCAAAATACGACTATAATAAAATATATTTAATATTTTTATTATTTTCAACTAGTTTAATACTTATATATTTTGGTAGTTTTTTAACATGCAATAAGGAAAATTAGTAATTCTTTTTAGTTTCAAGAAAATATATATTGTATCGCTATGGTATATTCACAAAGTGAAGTAATTAATTAAATGAATCAAAACTAATATTTACCTAATATTTAAAAGTAATTTTTGTTAAGATTATAATATAAAAACTTTATTTTATTCTCTTTTGACATGTAATTGTAGATAATACTTAAGAAACACTCATGTACCTTTGTAGTAATATAAATTTTTTGTTAATGTATTGTATGGTATGTGAATTTGAAAAGAGATGTTAAAAGTTCAACTCAAAAACTATATATGTGAGCTAACCACAAAAATATTTGTAATTCTTATCGGATATGTAGAAGGTGTATTCGAAGAGTATCGTATCCAATACGGGTACGTCAACCTCAACGAAATATCCGTGCTTCATAACTTGACCCTCATATCATCGCCTCAGCTATGACTTTGCGCCTATAAATTGTAAACCCCAATATACATGGGAGCAGGACACACACACCACACCTTGAGCGCACTTTTGCTCTCTCTCTCCTACTACCTTATACTCTCTTATTAATAAAGTTCTCCGACAACTGTTACCGCTTTCGGTGGTTAGGTCACCTAGACCTAGCTATCCAATCTTTGTCACTTATTATTTATTGCTTCATTAATTAATTTACACCACACACTCGACTGATTTGATAGTACATAATCAATTTTGTGCATCATCAGAAACCATATCCATAATTTGATGCTCACTGAAATTTGCTCTTTTCATCAAGTCCCTAAAGCTATGCATAACATCACCAAGCTGAGGTTCAGTGCCATTCAATTTCCATTGCATAGCAAAAAACCAGCCCATAACAGTCAAGAGTTTGATGATCTAACAAAACGACATCTACCACTTATTAATCATCTATGCTACTACATAAACAAAAGTGTCAGGTCATTGGGAAATTCACTTGATTAGGCAGTAACATACCCAAAAAAACTTGATTAATCAGAACGATCGCCTACAAAATCCCAATTACCAATCTGATTAATTGCCCCAAGTAAAAGATACGCCCAATAATTGAAGCCGTCAAGCTATCCAGAATCCAAAATTACACAAAACACAGATAAAATGATAGTTGAATTCATATGTGTTTGTATGCGATTTATAAATAAAAAATAAATAAAAAGGAAGAAAGATACCTTGGAATGTAGCGATGAAGGGGTGCAAACTTCCACCGAAACTTCCATGAATGAGAGAGGATAAGAATTTCAATCTAAAAACCTGAAACTCCAACAATACGTACGAAAGAGGACTGTGCAAAGAAGTAACGTTGAAGCAAAAGGAAAGGGTTCGAAAGCGACATGGAAGGTTAGAATCGACGACGGAGTTACTGTTAAGTTGTGGATAATACAAAAACGTAGATCGAAGACGGAGTAGGCGAAGAAGAAGGGTTTGTTTGTTTGTGATTTCTGAACTGGCAGATCGAAACCTTGTGGGCTTCGCCATAGTTGATTGGGAGAGATGAGTTTTCGCTGCAGAAGTTTCGATTTTGGCAAGGCGCTGTGTGATGGTGACAAGGGAACTGAGTCGCACTGATGGGGAAACTGAGTACGTCAACGGCCAACGGTCGAATTTCACAGTAATGTACCGAGAGTATGAGCCAAGAAGGCAAGAAAATTGACCCATAGTTTAATTATTCATTAATAAATCCCATAAAAAAGTAATTTTATTTATTTTGTTAGAATGTGGGTTCTATTTTATTTATTTTTTATTTTTTTATTAGATAATTACACTGTGATATGGTTACACTAATATTTATTCGAGTAAATTACATTTTACCACTTTGAACTATTATTTTTATTTTATTTTGTACTCTTAATTATAAAATATTTTATATTATACTCTAAATTATTAATTTTATTTTATATCAAATAATGAAAAATTTGAAAATCTATCAAAAGAGAGGAAAACTCGAAATGGCTTTCCGTCAAGTGCCTAGTACCACTTTATTTTACTTTTTAAAAGTAAAATAAGGTAAGTCAAAATATAAACCACTCATGTGTATATTTATCGTAAAAAAATTAATAGTTATTATGATATGAAATAAAATTGATATTTTAAAAAATAATGTAAAAAAATTTATAATTAGCATAAAATGAAATAAAAGTAATAGTACAAGTGAATAAAATATAATTTACCCTATTTACTCACGATTATGTCTTGTCATTTACATTGATATGATATAATCATTCAATAATAAAATAACAAATAAACAAATGGATCTATCATGAAATAATTATTACATGATATAGATAAATAATAATTTAATTATCATCTACTTGTCTTCTTGTTATTTAATTAATTATCATAAAAAAATTGATTTTGTTTATAGAGTTTCTTATATATAATCAAAATGAAAAAGAGAGTACGAAGAAAAGAAGAAGTATTGAAATTGCTGCCATTACATTTACAATTATTGTAATTACAGTACCAAATTACAAAAGTAATTTGGTGACTATAAAGGTGCCCTAAGGAAGACAAGGGATTGCGGAAGCTAAAAGGTTATATATAGATAATTTAATGAATGATGAGACATTAGAAATCACTAAAATAAATAAAATGTATTTTATAATGAATACTTATTCAAGTGCATGGTATTTTAGATATTTAAGAGTTGCTAGAGGATAAAAGAGAAAAATAAATATTTTTCCAATATGTGTACATTTAGAAGTAGTATAAATATTGCTTATATTTGTCAAAATGGGACCTTGTTTGTATGTTATAATTTTCAATTTATTTTTTTGTTTACATTAATACAAAAACAAGATTACAATGTTTTTGTATTAAAAATGTGTTTGACAAATATACTTTAAATTAGGAAGCACTGATTAAACACATTATTCATATAAATAACGGTTGAATTCAAACATTTAATCAGTATTATATATTTTTACATTATCTTATGACGATGATAGGATTGAAATATTAATTTCAACTTTTTGATGAGATTTATTGACTTGTAAATCCTTTGTTTTTTTTTTTCTTTCTTCCAGTTCTCTCCCTTTACTTTATTTGACAGGAGGCGGAGAATATCACTCTATCAATAGCAAGAAAAAGTCGTAATTCAGTTTCAGTTTGAGCTTGGAAGCAACCTGCTATTTATAAATAGGCGAAAACAAATTGCTATTGGCTACTTCGCTTATCTATTATATTATGGCCGGCTTAGAGACATTAGAGGAAAAAAGACCATCATCTCAATATTTATTAATTGTAGAAGTAGAATTTTTCGTTTCCCTCTCCATAAAGTGATAGATGATCTTCAAGCTTGACTACTTGGAATGAGTTGAGACTTATTTTGTACTTTTATATATTTCGTCCATTCAATTTGTTTTCACTTTCATTTTTCTCTCTCTAAATCTCCCAAAGGGTTGATCCTTTTTCTAGACTTAATTTTTGAATATGTCATTGTCATTCTAAACAAGACATGATATGTACGTTTGAATTAAAAGATTTACTAGTATACAAACTCTTTGTAAGAGGAATTGCTCGGACTTATACACTCCACTCATTGCCAATTAACGATGAAACCAAGAGCAAAAGGAGGACTCTCTACCATTAACTTATTTCCCATAAGCCACCATTTCGTGAAACACTAGTAAACAATTTATGTATCACTCAATATGAATGGTTTTCATTTTTCTATAAAACCACTTCCTTAACCACCGTTCGAGCTATAAACACTAGGTAGGCGGCCAAGTAAAGTAAGGGTTGGTCTGGTTGTTTTTTCAATGAATATTTGGCCGCTTAGTGTTACTATTGGTGCTAGTTGAAAGGAGTCTTGGTTTCAAGTTAAACAAAAATGTCATTATTGTAATGTGAACTAGCACATTATAATATAAAACAAGATGCTCACTCGCCTTATAGCGGTGATATATCTATTTTTTTAATTCATCTGTAAGAAAACTCCCCTTACTCTATGATAATCTAAACCACTCCACAAAGTTTGCTCGAAATTGATTGATTTCCGAGTCATTTGTTCTCCTTCTTTCAGTTGGTCTCTGCTAGCTATTAGAGCAAGAGAACTAAAGTGAATGATCTTTATTTCTATAAAATACTTTATGACAAAATAAACTCATTGACATCAAATTTTAAAAAATATATATATCAATGTGAGACTATCAATATATTTTTCTCAATTTTATTATAGAGTAAAATACATATACGGGCCTCAAACTATGACACTCATGTCAAATAAGTCCCTAAACTTTTTTTTTTGTGTGTCAATTGAATTCTTGAACTCTTTAATTGTGTCAATTGAGTCATTATATCTGCACCTGTTAGAGTGTGCCACTTATGTGACTATATAACATAAAAAGACAAAATAATTAAATTGATACAATTAGACAATTCGGTGACTCAATCGGCACCGTTAGAAAGTTCGGAAACTTATTTTCGCTGTGGTCTCTGAAATAAGGCAATTTTACTGTTATGGGTGCGCATTACACCAGTTATATGCCTGTGCTGTCCTTTTGCACATCATCGATCCATTTCAAAATTTCAAACCCTAACCAGTTAACGCTCGCTCTCTCTCTCTCTCCCTCGCTCTCTCACACACGCACACACACACACACACACACTAAGTGACCGAATCAATCGACCCTAATGGCGGATCAACCAGAAACCCTAGGCCAGAAAGACGACGAGGAGAGTGAGCTGGAAGAGTTGGAGGAAGAAGTGAACCAAATGGCTCAGAAAATTCTTGAATTCAGAGCTAAACTACCAGATCAGCTGAAGAACACTCTCGCTTCGATTCTTGCTGCTCAGAGACCCACTCTTGTTACACTTTCCGGAGATGGATCTGAACCCGGACCCTCGAATGACTCCGACAAAGGTAAATTTCTAGGGTTTTCATTCCCTATGTTTTTTGGTTTACTTTGTATAGATATTTTGCTCCGAATTGCTATGTCATTCGTACGATGATTCTCACTACTATATATTTGTTAACTTAATTAAATGCAATGCTAGATGCACGCATAGGTTCGTGAAATGAGGTTAATTTTAATCGAACAAACCAGACCTACCACTCCAAAAATTCAGTTTAATGGTGAATAAATCAAGCTACCTGGGAAGTTGGTAATTCGTATACGAACTTTCTGTGTTTCTCAGCATTGAGTTATGGTCTTGGGATTGAATTGGAGTGAAACTAACAAAAAGTTGGAATTATTTTTCTTCCAAATCCAAATTCAAACTTGAATTCCTTGCTTCCTAAAGTAGTGTGCATTAAATTGTTGGGAGTTGCATTGTCTTAGCGTGGATTTTGTATATCGACATTGTGCTATAACTACTGCACTCCGTTAGAAAGAGTTATCTGCTGCATTGACTTGGGAAAGATGGGTAGTTGTGTTTCAACCTTTTCATTTAGATCTCAACAATCCTCTTCATCACATTCCCTCTGTTTTTCAATCTCTTTCACATATCAAGAAGTTCATCTAGGCACTCTGTTGTTCTTTCGAGTGAGTCTAGCTCGTGAGAGGGTATATATTAATAATTTTTTACTTAAGCAATTTTTGTTACTAACCCATGTTTTGTAAATTTCAGTCTCAGTACAATGTTTTCCTACAATGAGAATAGCATGTAAACATTGTTCAAAGGTCTTTATTGTTGTCTTGATGGCATTTTGACGGGATTCATGCATTTTTTGGGGTGAATAAAGGATAATGATTGCAGCTGCGTTGTTGGAGTAATAATGATTTCATGACAATTTTCATGCTTGAAGTGGTGGTGATCGTGGTGCTGTTGGTGTGTAACTAATACATTAGTTGCCGGTACTGTGGGGTGATTTACCTAAAAAAAGCCGAGAAAGAAAAATAGAATGAAAACTAAAGCAAAAAAAAAAGTCAATTTGTTTAGAAGCAAACAAAACTGCCCAGCTAACAGGCCTTCTAAATGATGTATTTTCTAACTGCATTATTTTTTAAAACCTCTTCCCAACCCCCTCCCACATAACTAAAAATAAAGGATATCGTCAGATCCTATCAAATGGTTGTCTTGTGTATATATCTGTGTAAATCATAATTGAAATTATGCTTTGTGGTAATCAATTTCTAAGGATTTTTATCGCCTCCATTTTTAATTTGTTATATCCTTCATTTGTGTTGGATTGACCTTTTCTCACATTTACTGATTCAAAACACCTGTTGATTCAGGTAATGGGGCCTTGCTAGCAGAAGAGGATCAGGAGAATGCTGATAAAATACAATTGTTGAAACAAAAGATTTCGAGCAATGCTTCTTCTATGCCTATTGTTTTGAAGAGGATGAAAGAGTGTATGTCTAAAATGGACAAATTAGAGTTGAGCAATGGAATCATCCATCCTGCTTTTAAAAAGAAACGAACTAGCTAACTAAGTTCATATCAGATTTGCTTGATTATGGTATGTATACCTTCCACTTGAGGAGAAAGGAATGTATTATCAGGATTGACAGGCTCCAAGCTGTGTATGCTGAATCCATGCAGCCAGCTAATAGAGACGACAGGGAGTTGCTGACCAAAATGGCATCTGCCATCCAGGATGTAAGAGTTTTCCTTGTGTTGTAATCACTCCAAAGCATTAATATGTAACTCATGACATTGTTGCTGGACTGCTAGGAGCAGCCACTGATGATTTGATGAAAAGTATATACCTTGCCATTGAGACTCTTTCATTATTTTTCTTTGAGGTACTTTTATTTCTTTACTACATGTGAAGTATATGCCCTAAAAATTAGGCTTGTTTAGAGATAGGGCATATGTTAAAGAGAAGATAAGTCTGTTAAACACGATCTTATCTCTAGAAAATAAGTCTCTAACTTATATGTTGCAAGAAGACTGGAAAATAGAAGATGAAAAGCAGCGCATTACTTGGCTACCAGGAAATTTGTGCAACTCCCATGTCAGATTTTTCTGTAATTCCTTGTTTTACCCCTGTAACTTACTAGGCAGTGATGTCTTCAACACAGCCAGTAGAGTATTAAGACCCTCATGCTCCAAGATCAATTTGACAAATGAACCCAACGAAAGGATCTGGTATATTACGCTCAACTAAAACAGCCAGGAAAACATTAACCAAAGTGAGCTTTGACACGGTTCTGATCAGAAAATAATCATAGAGAATTCATTTGGGTTTCATACAATTAAGTTACAAACTAAGTGGTCCATTTTTTGAAGGTGGACAACAGAATCAGAATAAACTGTTGATCTTGAAACCTACAAGCCACACGTTAAGATCCAAAAAAGGTGAGTGCTAGAGATCGAGCCTGGTGGTTAACCAATCCTAATATCTAGTGCAGACCACTGCTGCACAAAAGTATGTAATGCGATGATAGCCAAAATCAATATTGTCTAAACTCGAGCAAGCCAAAATTTCAACTAAGGATACAAAGCAGTAGATTTGGAAGGTAATGCAATAATCAATGTTGATCTCACAGGATTAAACAAAGCTTGAAACAAAAATCCAAACTCCACTTTAACAAAACAAACAAGGGACAGACTTCACTAAATGCTACTTTTTTCATCAAGGAAACCCTAAGAAAAGTTCTGCTGCAGCAACTCACTTCTTCTTCTCACCACCTCCAGCAGACCTGTATATAAGGAACTCAGCAATATTAAGATATTACTGATCCAATAACAAACACAAATGACCAAGTCGATGTGTACCTCAAAACCAAGCCTGGCTATAAATTTGGCATAACCTCTGTAATTACCTCTTAATTTTTTTATCTTTTGGCGGCGAGGGTTGGTGGTTAGAACAAACTTTCCATATTAAGAAATATAATCATTTGCACAGCCATTTCCATGTCAAGGGGTGTCAGAGAAATGTAAAATGTATAGATCTGTCAATTACCTCATCTTGCGGAGAACATTAGACATCTCCTCACGCTTCTTCTTTGCCCTCTTGTGCGTGCCCAACTTTCGCTTTGCCACTTTGAGTGCACGCTTGTCTTTTCCAACTTTAAGAAGTTCAGTGATTCGCTTCTCATATGGAGCAAAACCAGCAACTTCCCTGATGAGGTTTCTCACCAAATGTATTCTTTTACTGGTTTTCTGAACAAAAAAATAACAGAAAACATAATTTCATACAATAATCTAAACGTTATTAGATAATATACAGTTCCAGAGTAAAATCCTATGTGCATAAAAAAGTTGAATATTATTTGAAAACAGAATCTGATAAAGAAACAAGTAATCATTCAATAACACAGCAAACCGGCCATAGGTGGTGCAGGATGAAATTGAAATAAAAGCAAATATAATGACAGGATGGTGTAACTTACCCCTTTTCTATCAGAAGGGCGTGGTGCCAATTCCTTCTTTGTTACAACATGTCCTTTGTTTAGACCTACAAAGAGGCCAGTGTTGGGCTGTTTTGGAGGCATGACCTGAAACCATCCATGCACAATGCAATAAATCAATCCATTAGAGAATCTTCTAAAGTTTTTCTAAAAACAGTTAAGCAAATATAACAAAACAATTATCAGCTACTAGTCTGCAACCAAAGAACACCAGATTATCTGCAATCAAAGTTTGTATATGGAGACCATCATGATACAAAAAAGAGCACATGAGCCAAGTTTTGAAGCGCAAAACATGAAGATATGGTAAACTAAATCCACTTAACACCATGAAAACATAAATGAAAGGGTGTGTGCCCTCCAAACATGGAAAAAGGGCACATGACTACTGGGCACCACTGGAATGCACACTTGAAGCATATCGCGAGTTTCAAAAAGTTAAAATACCAATATTTTTGCATCCACTGGAATGCAAATTTTTTTTTAAGAGCATAGAAACACGAAGTAATATACATCGATTATCAAAATAAAACAATAAACTGGAAAGGTGTGTACCAATTCCATGAAATAAGAGTGACCAGAAAACTGAGCACCACTGGAATCCACTCTTAAAAGAAAATTGATAGCTTTTAAGATTCTTAAAAAACGTCCAGGAACCATATTATATAAACCAAATATAAAACCCAAATTGATAGTTAGAACACAGGAATCTCTAGAAAATCGATTGGAAACAAATAGAAACCAAAAGCTAAAATTAAAAATAAGGTCAGACTAGCTTTCAATTTCCTTAATGACTGGCACTTTGGAGTATCATAGCATACAGTGAGTTTCATATGGCGCTGGAAACAATTTGCTTAACCCAACTACATCAATTTTTTAATCCAGTGTTACAATAGAACATAACAAGAAAGCACTACTACATCAACACAAATTGAAAATTAACAGAAGGCCGCCTAATGGGTGTTTGCTACCATGGGGACGTCATAGGTTTCAGAATGTGTCTATAATAACATGAAAATCCCAAAGATTCCTCATGAACTATGCGGCAGAAGAAATTAACAAATAAATAATAACTAATCATCCATAAGACATCACCAACAGGATAGAAAACATACAATTATTAAGACATTTGACATATTCATATATCCATGTACATACAAATTGAAAGTACACACTCTTAAGTCACAAAAATCTTGATCCTAACACATTGGTAGGACACCATAAACTCTTCATATAGAGTTCAACTAATGGCCATTTGACTAATACAATTTCACAAGCAGTAAAAACAATGATCTATCCTAAGAAAACTAGGGCTACGACATATGGATAATAGAAATCAGAAAGGATCTGATAAAATGCGTGAAATGATGAGAAAACGATTCGAGGAATTGAAAGAGAAATTTCTTACTCCACCGATCAGCACCACTGAAACTTTTTCAGGAAAATCCTCAGAAATTATTCTGAAAGGAAAAAGGAAAAAAAAAAAAACAAGTCAGATTTATGAAGAAGATACACAAACCTAGGGTTTCAGATCAATAATCAGTTAGTAATTGTATGTTATTGGCACTGACCTTCGGAGAAGCGAGGCGGTAGAGTAGAACAACTAGGGTTTGTGGTTTAAGGTTGTATTTATAGGCGACCGGCGCTACGTAACCCTTCAGTGGTTAAAATACTTAACAGCCACAATGTTTTGGAATATTAACAACTTCTCCCCCGTCACGTTTAAAAAAATACGATCACCCCCTTGACGTAATAGATTTCGTATTGATTTGTGTGGAATAATAGTGTCATATATTTTAACGATAAGTAAGTAGCAATTTATCTTTAAGAAGTTGTTTCGCTATCAACATTTATTATATTTGTGAATATTTTTTTAACAAAAAATGTTATATAATTTAAATAAAACTCAAAAATTATAACTCTAAATGTATATCATTATTTTGATGAGTGGGTCTCACTGAAAAAATTGGTGGGCTCCACTTATTCAAAGTGTGATATGCAATTGAACTATGCAACATTACTCTTTTATCACTGTTATGGGAGTTATTATTACCGTTGTGTTAGCGTATATAAAGTGATATAAATAATTATCGTAACAATAGTAAAAACACCCACAATATTTATACAATATAGTTACCGTAACAGTGATAAAAATACTAACAATAATAAATCACTTACAAAAATAATAATTTTTTTTTTGTTGTAAAATAATTCACAAAAATTATAAAAACACTCATTAAAATAATAAATTTTAGATGTATGGTATCAAAAAAAATTTGATACCAATTTTTTTTTTTTTTTATAATCGATCCAATTTTAAACACGGACAACATTAGTCGGACTTGACATGAGTCCATTTTGATGGAGGTATGTATAAAGAAGTGTTTTTTCTCCATATGGTAATGGCGAATGACACTTTATACCATACGATTACTAAATTTCCAATTTACATTCTATATTAAAATACCCTCATTGCGCCTTTGATCATATCAAAAAGTTGCAATGTTGTCCTAAACTAAATGTCAGTTGCTTTGTCTGTTTTTTGTATTTTTCTATTTTTGCCCATAATTATTTGTGTATTACCAATTTTAAGTGTTTTACATAAAAATTTTGTACTCAATTTTATTAAAACAAGCCACATTGCTACATCTTTTTTATATTAGTACGGGTACAATCTAAATTTTTTAATTTTATAGCATGTAAATTAAAATTTGAGTTAATTACGATGGAAGTCCCCAAAGTATAGGAGTTATCTCATTTTAGTCACCAATTTTTCAATTGCATTATTTTAATTCTTGAAATATAAAATATGTTTCTATATGGTTCCTTAAATAGACAGCATGCAGATTGCTAATAATTTTTTATTATTATAAACTTGTCACGTGATACCTAAATATAAGTAAAATAATAATTTAAATAATTTTTGACCAAAAATTTACTTAAATTTTAGTTAAATAATTACTTAAATTACACATTTTTAATCATGTTCAAAAGGTATTCATATTAAACATTTTTTTATCAAGAACTACCTAAATTTTGGTTAAAGGCTATTAAAATTATTTTTTTATCCATATTTAGGTATTAAACAAGTTTATGATAAAAATTATTAACAATTTAGACGATATCTATTTGAAGGATTATATAAAAACATATATTAATATTTCAGGAATTAAAATAATACAATTAAAATATTATATATCAAAATGAGACAAACTCTCATATTTTAGAGACCTCTAATATAATTAATCTTTAAAATTTTAAAAAATAAATTATAATTTAATCACATAGACCTCATCTGACATATTACACTTACACCTTTACAGCGGAAAAGGCAAATGCAACGGAACGAATCAAAAGACCTAAATGTCCTTACATATTTTATGAAATTCTTTGCAGTGACTAAACTACCCTTCTAATTAAGTATATAAGGTTTCGTCTTAGCCGCTTCCTGGAGTGTCCCTCGTGCCTTTAAACCCCATCTTCTCGACTTTATTCTCCTCTAGATGACGAACATTTTGGGACAGAGTTTCCTAAGTGTGATCACAAAGTCAAAGTCACTCGTGTCTCAAATATTTGGTTTAAGGATAATTTGGTAATTTAATTTGATATGTTACGATGGTATAATAAATTTTTAATGATTAACTTAGCTGAGATTGATGAAAAGATTTATATATAAATTTTAGAGATATATGTATAATATTTTAAATGTGGGAGAGTGATTAAGTGGTCAAAAGCAAAATGATGTGCAATTAGCAGTCTGTCAGCCAATAGGTGTGCATAGCTTGGAGAATAAACAAGGTAGATTCCTCAATGATGTACCTCAGTGTCTCCAGAAAATGGGTTTGTCTTACTTGGAGATACACTGATGCTATATCGTGTCTTCTTCCAATTTTCCCCTTTTTATTCTTTTCCCTTTTGTGTAGTTCATAGGCCTTTTTGGTGTTTTTCTTTTATGTTGGTTGTTTCAGTTTTGGTCGATGATCATAAGAGTAGTTATACCCAGAAAATCTGAACTCAAACTGGTTCTATTCTCGTTCTCAATTCCTGTTATGGATTTTTTTTTCTCGATTATTCAATTGTTAATCTTTCGATTCTTTGTTCAACCAGTTTGATTGATCGTTAGAATACCCTAATTATCGTTTTTCCTGTTTGTCACCAAGATCCCAGAAATTCTGAACCCAAACTGGTTCCATTCCCAATTCCCAATTCCTGTTTCCTGTTTGTTCTTTCTTTTTCTTGATAACTCCTTCTGTTTCTTCGTGTTTATCCAACGGTTGGATTTCTTTTCCCACCCTTTTGATGCAACTATCTATTTTTAGTAATACAAGAGTTTCCTTTCATATCGAAAAATCTTCAATTTGTTTGTTCGACTACGGCCACTGGTTGCGAGTCTTGTGACCAGTTTGATTGACCATCGGAATTCTATAGTTCTCATTTTTCTATTTGTAAGTGGTAATTATACTATCAATACCATGTTCAGTGCATAGCTTTTCTTGATCGTAGAAATCTGATCTTTCCTCTGTTATCAACTAGTTTTGATACTGGTTTTTTTTTGCACATCTTTGTTTATCACCTTGATCTGTAAACACTTCTCGACCCTCTGACAGTAAACTACTGTTCTTATACTTAGTTATGTTTCTGGGCGGCATCAACACCTATTACTGCTTGTCTTTGTTGATCTCTGTGAAAATGATTGTTTCTTAGCCACCAATGTCATTTATCTGTCCACTTATAGAATGTGTATATTGTTTAGCTTGTGCACGGTGGGCATGGAAGAAATTCCTATACACTTCGGGCTATGAAAGTGATAATTGGGGACTTGCCACTGCTAGTGAATTTGAGCCTGTACCCGTCTCTGTCGCTATATACTAGCAAACTATGAAGATGATCTTAGAAACCCCGTTTGGGCTCCTCCTGAAAGGTATGGGATCAATCCAGATTGGGTAGTTCTACGAAAAAATCATGAAGATACTGGAGGACGCGTATCTCCTTACTTAATCTACCTTGATCAAGATAATTCTGATATAGTTGTAGCCATAAGGGGGTTTAATTTGGCAAAGGAGAGTGATTATATGGTCTTACTTGATAACAAACTGGGGCAGGCAGAATTTGATGGTGGGTATGTTCATAATGGTCTACTCAAGGCAGCACAGTGGGTTTTGGAAGTGGAGTGTGAGGCTCTGAAGGAACTCGTTGAGAGGAATCCAAACTATACATTAACATTTGCTGGACACTCTTTAGGAGCTGGGGTGGCGACATTGTTAACAATGCTGGTGATCAAGAATAGGGCTAAATTGGGAAATGTGGAGAGGAAAAGAATCAGATGCTTTGCAATGGCTCCGGCAAGGTGTATATCACTAAATTTGGCTGTGAGATACGCAGATGTCATCAACTCTATTGTTCTCCAGGTAAATTCCAACACAATCAGTTACATCCTTTGTGATTTGAATGCAGTATTATGTTTAGGATTGAGTATTAGATGGATGTGGATGCTGTACTTGTAACTGGAATTCTCTCTGTCACTTGAATCATATGATCACATTGTTACCACTTACCATAAGACATTTGGGAGTTCATCACATGTGTGTTTGTATGGTTTATCATTTAATATGTTCTAGATTAATCATGCTCCACTTTGGTGAATAATGCCATAGGTTAGATCCCACCCTCCTTTTTTTTGTTGGATTTGAGGGTGGTGAGTCAAGAGGTCAAAATATCATCATAGATGTCATGGATAATCGCTTGGCGCCTAAGGCGCACTATGCTCCACTTCAACAAATGAGATTTTTTGGTGGAACCGGTGAACCATGTGAGCTGGTTCGATGCATGGGGCAGAGGGCTCATAGGACCTGCTAGTGCAGCTATGCAATGGAAGGGAAGAAGCCTAAATCGACCCCTTTCTTTCTTTTTTTCTTCAAAGAAAAAAAAAAATCATAACAAGGAGAGTAGACTCTCGGATGAGACTAAGCAGCTAGCAAAGCGTATGGTGCTGGAGTGAAGAAAACTCATTAAACACACACGAACACGATGCTGGGCATAGCATAAATGAAACCGCTGATCATTTCATGAAAGATATATGCTTGAACTTTCTCGATGCATTTTTTTGAGTGACTCACCAACGGATGATCAATGACATGGAAAAAAAAAACATCGTGGAAAACTTAAGATGGAAGCTGAGGCCTATGGACTTCAGAAGCCTTCAGTCACTTCAAATCATGTAATGTTCGATTGCCTAGCTCTACGTTCAGAAGTCATGGAGCCAGTCACCATTTTTTGCATAGCTGTTTTAACCTTTCTAGTACTATTCTTCTGCTTTTTTCTTGTCTTAAGGCATTTTCTTTCCTGTTAGTATCATTTTCCCTTTCCCTTTCTTTTATTATTTATTATTTCTCTTTGTAGTTTGCTAAACCATTTCCTATGGAAAAACAAAATGGCCTAAGATCGTGATGCTGGCAGAATTTGATATTCAATAATTTGTATCACATGCAAATATAGACATGCTAGGAATGATGTATAACCAGTTTCATTATTATGCTTCAATTGATTGTGAAAGGAAATGGAGCTAAATCACAAGGAACATGTATTATGGAGTCAGATATTATTTACTCTTTTTCTATAGAAGTCTTTAAAACATATAATGATCTCAGGGAACTAAAATTTGAGCCTTTTACCTATAGTGAATGTCTTCGAGTTTAAACTTGAGATTAGGCCTTCGTGCAGTAGTAAGGTTGTACCATTGTAACTTGGGCATCAAGCACTTGAGATTAACCACATTAGGGGGTGAGGTTGCATACATTTGACCTTCCCCAAACCTCGGGGTGGCGGTGGCCTCGTGCACTAGGCTGTTTTTTTTTTAAGACTTCAAGTTTAAACTTCAGATAACTCGGTGGTTTTTGTCGAAAGAAATGAGACAAAAGTTAGTATATATCATTTTTCTTCTCTTTAATGCTGTCCCACTCTCTTGAAATGCCGGAATTAGTTCTAGTGTTACCATGTTCTGTATATCAAACCATTCATCTATGCTACATACTGTGCCATGTTACGCACTGCTTGTTTTGCAGGAAATTTGTTATATTTAAGTTAGCTTTTAAATGTATCTTTGGAAAATGTATTAAAGTCCAGAGGGAAGTAATTATTAAGTGAAGCCTAAAACTTAGAAACATACAGACTGATGTAACCACCTTTCCCATTTTAAAAATCTAAACTACTTCCCCACCAAATGCCATATCATATACTGATGCAAGGCCTCTGAAGCATCTTGAAGAAACTAAAACTCTTGGAAGCACTTTCACCAAACATTTAAAGAACATATGTTGTATCGTAATGCTGCTGACTTTTTCTCTTTCAATGAAAGAATAGGGGTTCTGTGCAATTAACCTGGGTTGTATGTGAAAGAGGTTAAATATCTGAAACATTGACCTAAATTATGCTTCTGGCGTTTGGATGTTATATGTGCCCCATCTGCCGAGGGTTCGTTCTGTCGCATTCTTATACTTTTGTTATTATGAAACAGGATGATTTTTTACCTAGGACTACCATGGCACTGGAAGATGTTTTCAAGTCACTTTTCTGGTAAAAGATTGCAGGTCTTGGTCTCCTTTCATTTTTAATTTTCTCCTGACAAAGCATTAAGTGATCAACATTTTGTTAGTTCAAGTTATGCCATCCTAACTCATGAATGCACTACTCTCTGTAATAGGGATACCTACATGGATCATTTTCATGCAAATCTGGGGTGAGAATCTTAACAAATTAATTTTTTGACGTCCAGTGAAATATCCTATACCAGTTTCTTCTGATGGCCTTTGAGAGAAGTCGATGGTGAAAAACTAACTCGGACATAGTTTCAGTCAACTTCTAGTGTTTGATGTTCCTGCCTTTCTGGCTTTTTCTTCCCCCCCCCCCCCCCTCCCTCCCAAAAAAAAAAACAATTAAAAATATAAAGGAATCAAATTCGATCAAGCATTAACATGAAATTGAGTCAAACTTGACTTTATTTCTACGTTCAGCTACAATAAGAATCCAGTCAATTTTCTTTTCTTTTCTTTCAACAAGTTGTTTACAAGACAAATTGTGTGCCTCAGTATTCAATAAAAGGTTTAAGGAGTGGAGCCCTACAAGTAGTTCGTCAGATATTTCCTGTTAAAATGTGTGTAGTTGATACAAGCTGATTGCACCAGTAGAATTTGGGCCGGGTACTAACAATGTTGGTCGTCTTTCCCTTGGACAGTTTGCCATGCTTACTATGCGTAATGTGCTTGAAGGATACATTCACACTGCAGGAGAAGATGCTAAAAGATCCGAGGAGACTATATGCACCTGGTCGACTTTACCACATTATTGTGAGGAAGCCCTTCAGGTATATAATAAATTGTTAATTTTCAAGTACAATATTTTTTTGATAAGATTATTTTCAAGGGAAATGTAGGAGAGCTTCATACCTAGTCAAACTCCATGAATAGTTTTCGAGTAAGCTCCAAATCAAGTTTTTGGTGGTGATGCATAGATATGTTGTGTTTCCTTTCTATCTGGGTGCAGGTGTGGAAAAATTCCACCTGTTGTAAAGACAGCAGTACCTGTCGATGGGAGGTTTGAGCGCATGATTCTGTCTCTCAACACAACTGCCGACCATGGCATTATTTGGATAATTAGAGAATCTCAAAGGGCACTCGATGTAAGTTATCAACTTCTTGTTTAACAGTAGGATTGGTAGTTGATTAAAAACATTCAAACCAATTCTCATCTCCAGCTCCCTTGTTTTGAAATGTTCTGACTTAATAACCTATGACACCAGTATTCATTCATGTGAAGGAGCAGATTCCTAGATATTAAAGAGAATAGTGCAAAGTAGTCACAGCTATAAAACTCTTCTCATTCCTTTCTTCCCCTAAGCTCAATGGTTGGATTTCTTCCCTAATTCCGGGGCGAAAGAAGCAAAATTGCTTTGTTCTTCCTATATAGGAGTTCCTTCTATTTCTCCTGCCCCCCACATACATACATACATACTTTCTGGGTGTTCTCGTATCTGGGGTGTTCCTGTCGTCCACGTTTAGTAATGCTTCAAGATCCTGGATGTATTCTGCTGTTCTTTTTGACATTTAATAAATCTATTTGTCACATAGAAAATAGTAAAATGGCTTCCGGTTTCACAAGGAACTTTAATTTTTCATTGGTTTGCTCTTAATATTATAGTGAAATTCAAACATTTTCTCTTAGTTCAGTTGATGCTGGAAGAAGATCAGGTTATGGATATTCCGGCAGAGCAAAGGATGGAACGGAAGGCATCTCTCAGAAAAGAACATATGGAGGAGCACAGGGCTGCATTACAGAGGGCTGTTGCACTGGACGTTCCACAAGCATATTTGCCTTCCTCGTATGGAACATTCCATGAAATCGACGAAGGGGAGAATTCTGATAGAAAACAAGAATTTCCTTCCACTGCATCTAAGAAAATGGGAGAAAGCTGGGGTGACCTAGTAGGCCGACTTTTTGATACAGATGATTCTGGCCGAGTGGTGCTGAAGAAGTCATCCCCCTAACTCGGGCAACATTCATTTGCTAATTTGAATCACTCTGTTGAATGGCAAGTATCAGAAACTCATACATGTGTAGTGTTTAGTGTATAGTTTTACACCAACACCAAAGCCCAGACAAAAGAGGGGGGTTGAGTTCGAAAGTTGATAGTCAATGTAAAATTTGTCGGGTCTGTGATGAACACTTTGGTTATGTTTGATTATTGGCTTAGTTTCAACTCACATTTGGTACTTCATGTAAATATGGAAACTAATTTGGAGTTAAAACTGAGTAAAATAAGCTCTTGCACTCTACTAATAGTATAGAATCATAGATCATCTGTAGCCAATGAGGTATGAATTTTACATTTGTATATGCATTTAGATAATTACAGTGACAATTCAACTACCACTTTTCTTGAGCATAAAAGAGATGAATAAAGAATTGAAGAACCAACAGCCTCTTACCTTTGCAAGAATGAAACTTCTAGTAGTTAAGAAGAATGAAGATTTATAGTCGTTTGATTTCATTCAATTAGATAAAAAATTAGTTTTATTTGCATTTGAAGGGAAGTTTACATTTGGTCTTCTTAGTCTCTTGAGATTGTAATAAAATGTCGAGTAAAATATATTTAAAATATACATGTATTTACTTGTGTATATTCATGAAAAAGAAAAACAAACTGAGATCTCATATCGGATGTGGCAAGAGGTTCAATTTGATTGATAAGATTACATCCATTTCAAAGATTAGATCCTTTTGGAGGTGGGTGGTTGAACTTGGGTTTATAAGTCTTCATTTGATGCTTTTGGAGGTGGGTGGTTGAAGTTGGTTTATTAGTCTTATTGGGCTATTGCGACTGCTGGTATTTGATAAAATATGTTCAAAATAGACGTCTAAATTCTTATGTGTATTCATAAAAATAAAAATAAAAATAAGCTAAAATCCCATTTTGCCCCTGAAAGATACAAAAATTCTCAATTTGTCCCCCAAATAATTAATTTATCCACATTACCCTCAAAGAATAAAAAACATTGTAATGTGATCCATCATCTTATTTTCGTTTGGTCATCTGTTTTGTGATTCCTGATCGGTTGATTTGACACAAAATAAATAATCGATCAAACAGAAAATAAGGCGGTGAATTACATTACAACGTTTTTATTTTTTTGAGGGGACAAAGTAGGAAAATTAAGCATTCGGGGGACAAACTTAGAATTTGTGTATCTTTTGGGGCAAAATTGGATTTACACTAAAAACAAAAACAGAACTTGTATTCTTCTTTGCTCATACGAAATCCATTCGGGTAGAGCTTCTGATTTCTTTATTTTCTGCAACATATGACCAGAATTCCCTCGTTACTTTCTTCCAATGACCCGCCATGTATTAGTGAAGGACTTACTAAGTTCCACTTGAACCATGACAGGTGACCTACCATTAAAAGGAATTGAGACACAGTACAGGAACCCAAATGCATTTTCCACTTTTTATCACAAGAGGGTCACCTTTCACATATCCATGATCTATATATTTATATTGTTTGTAGAGGTCAGATTTATACACAACTAATCAAAACATAAGTTCCAAACGATTATGGAACATTTCTTTTAGAATACAAACAGGACAAAGAAGGGGCTTTCAAGGTAAGGGGCTTTTATGGTTACCTTCTTCATCCTTTATAGGTCAAATGAAGCCAAGACAGCCTCCACCAGCTCTTCAATTTTGCAACCTCTTTCCAGCTACCTCACCATAGTCGGAACATTTTTTGCACTTATCCGACAAACATCATGTTATAATGCCACTGGCAGATCCTGCATATACTAATTAACATCAGTTTTCTAACTTAGTAGAAGCCGGGCAGTTCATCAGCCGAATGTTAGTTTTCTGAGTCAGAAAATGAATGAAGATCCAAAACTGCTTCCCCTGCAATAGAAAAGGAAGCCAAGGTCAATTGTCTTTGATCATATTTCAGTAGAAAAGACTAATGTGAGCTGAAAACTGCTTCTCCTACCTACAAAGAGATGTCCCATTCTATTTATGTAGTGAGCAAACAAGACAGTGTTACCTAAAGTATGCAAGATGGCCACAAAGCCAAAAAAGATTTTGAGGCAGGCACATGTCCCCAGTGACTGGAAACTGAAGAGTGGTCACATATGATCTAAAAGTTCTGAAAAAGGATGCCTTAAAGGGCCCTTAAAAAAACAAAGAACCATTTTAGATACCGACTGAACAAGAAAATAAAAAAGGAGGGGGGGACTGTTTGTTTGGCACAGTCAATAGGTCGTCGGTCTAGGTGGATACAAGAAACCCATGCAAAGTTGCTCAATTACACCAATTATCTTACACTAGCCATCTCTCTGCGGAAAGCCCCTTCTGGGCTCAGGACCAGCAATATCACAGGTTAGTTCTAAAGTGCGTCCAAACCAGAATCAAAGGATGTCAGAGCTAGTAGATCTGGGGAAATGTCAACTAGGTAAAAATCAAGAGTATATCAATTTGATTCAATGCTGAATGCCCAACCAAATATGCAAAGACAGGGCACATAAGGGCCGTTTGTGACATGAGCGAGAAATAGGTCTAAAAGGTCAAGTATGGATGCCACATTGCCATAGCGACACAGAAAAAGGTGACACTTTGAAACATGCCAATGAAAATAGAGAATCAAAGGTCACAAGGGCTCCACCACCTCGGCTAGGTGATCAAACTCTCTCTAAGGAATCTATAGTGTGCAAATGTGATTTTGTTATCGCGCTAGCAGTCTAGCTAAGGGAAGAAACGATCAAAACGAAACAAAACAAAAAATTTCCACCTTTTACACATACTTAAAGCAGTATCATAGGGAGATGGTGAGCTCTTCCAAACAAGCTAGTACTGTCATAGTCATAGTGAGTTTTGATCCAAATTTAAAAGCCACTGCCAACAATAAAGTGCATGCATTGGCAGAGAAGGGATTTAAACAAACAGATGAACAACATTGCGATCCTACCATGCATTCTCTTGATGAATCGTTCAAACTCCCTGAAGTTGTGTGTCTCCATGAGAACTGAGCTAAGCCTGAGATAGGTAAAAGCCGATAAATGCCTCCCATCTGGATCCGTCAAGGGCTTGGAATTTTCCAGTATCTTGTTATACCCTTCTCTATCATAGCAAGGAAGAGCATTCTCACTTGCAACTGGTATGTTGACATCCCATGCCGCATTTAGCACCTAAAGCATAAATAAATCATTGACAAGGACACATTGCTGAGAACATCATATAATATAGAAAGTGACAATCGACAAATCTAGAAGATTTACAACCCATATTCAAGTTCCATTTCAATAGTGAGATCAGATTCACTGTTTAATGAAAACATGGTCCACTTGCGTGTCAGAAAATATATGGCTCTAATTTCAATTGTGTGCTACGTTCACCACTTATAACAAGAAAACAACATAACTAAATAAAGCATCCTATCTACTTGGAGTGGCTTCTCTAATAAATGACGAGTACCTGAGGACAGGATAGCATGAATGCATTAGGATCAGCATAGTCATCCAATACAAACCGGTAGATACTTAGGTTTAAAGTTTTAAACCAACAAGATTGCTTCTGGTCTTAAGTGTATCCACACACAAGTATAAGGGCAAGTGAGGGGACTCAAACCAATCCATTTATTCATGCCACATTTTTAGGCTTTTAGCTCTAAATTCTCCACATCACCGCAGATCTATTATCCGGTTTCCAGAAAGAAAGTCTTTTTCACCAAGGAAAAATTATGCATCCCAAGAAAACCAAGGCAAACTAACAAGATGTTATCTTTTTGCTTACCTGCCAAACTAATCCCTCGGGGTCAGCCAGAGCCTCTGGGAAGTCCTCGTGCTGGTCTAATGTACGCAACTCAACACATGTGAAATTGAGAGCAGCCCCATGCTTCCTTAACATCAACGCAACTGGACCATAGCCATCACGATTGCATGGGTTGTAAAACCCAGCAGTCAATTCAGCAGCATGGCTGGCTGTCTTGTACCACCAATGAATACCTGATAGCTGCTCATTACTCAAAATACATGAAAATCAATCACAGAAATTGAGAAGAAAGGATACTTTGATGGTAACCTTCCCTTTGCTCAAAGACGTAATTTTCGTGGGAAGAATCTCACTCCTGCAAAGTGCAGCATTTACTCACCTTCGTGGCAATGGGAGTGTCTTCAAAAGCCAAATTTGCCAGTGCAAGTACCCGATCACCATGATCAATCAGAACCTGAGAGTACCAATTGAGAAAGAATCTGCCATAATAGCCATCATAATCACCTCCATCACAAAAAAACCTGGTATCATGTGGCCGGGAATTATAGGAACCAGCATTATCCGGTCCTTTACCCCAAAATGAGTGCCCCCTTGCTTCTGCTGCCTTCTTCAGACTTTTCATTAAATACTGATCATAGCACTGCCAGGGTTTAAAGACAAATGTTGATTATATAAAAGAAGAATCATGCCTCAAGTGTAAAGACAAATGAAAGGAAATCTTGGTACAAAATAAAGACTTGGATAGGAGCACTATCACTTAAGAAGAAGTTACCTGGAATTCGCCAATACCAGGATACTTCCAACCAAAGTTTGCAGGATAAGAAGGGTACCGAAGCTCTCCACATGGACCTAATCCAATTTCAATCTCAGAGATGATTCCGTTCTCAAAGAACTCATCAAATTCTACCCGGAAGCTTCTCATGTAATCAAAGTAAACCTACATCAATTTAATAACAATACAATAAACTAGAAGATTAAGAGTTAAGATTATGCCTTCAACATCTTTGTTTCAATACCCAGTCTAAGAAAGAAAAGATGCAACAAAATACAACACAGATTCATGATCAATAATCTTTGAATCTGACTTGAAAACAAATTAAACATCTCAACCCAACTCAGCAAAGCGTTGTCCAGGTTGTCCCAACTCTTTGGGGTAAGCAACATGAATCATGTTTCTTCTTTGTGCTATATCAATGACGACATTTTACGGTAAACCATGAGCTACCATATCCTTTTCACATGTGAATAATCAAATTTATACGACAAAAAATTATGGTGGTTGCTTTTAAATTTTGGAGCAGAATAAAGCATGAGTTCCATGACCAACAGCAAAATTAAGAATCTGGAGCAGCAGAAAGCATGTAAAACTTCCAGAAGGTTGGACACATCTTGATTTTCTTAAGACATTGAGAAGACAACATAAAAGCAGGAAACACCCCGAAATATGATGAAAAGAATCTTCAAACTTTATTGCTCTGCATGAAGACTCCCTACAGTTTTACATCATAACTGAATGAAATACCTCAACAGCAGTCCGGCCTCTTAAAACCCTTTCCTTGTCGATTCCCCAAGTGAGACATTCAGGGTTGCGTCTTCCTTCTCTGTCTGTGAAAAATATGTCAGGATTTCTTTGACCAATTTCTGTCACCCATTGAGGGAGTGGAATATGAACATCATCACCAACATTGCCTCCACATTTGTGAAATGACATAACAACCTGTACAGTTCTTTAGTGAAATGACTTGCCAAAAATACATTATGGAGTTAATAGATATAGCAAAAACAACTATATTCCAATGAAGCCAATCTGGCGAGCCATATATTTTGTTCCATTACTTACAAGAGAATGCTCACATGTAACAGAATATGTGCTAAATGTCAAAACAACTTGAAAACTTCACCCATTTTTCTCCAGAAAGTAAATGTGGACTTTAATAGCTTAGCAGCCAGAATATTATTAATTGTCTAGGGCTCTATAAAGTGGGGGCCAAAGAGCTGTAAAACATATCGACAATTTTTGCTAGACTTGCTAAAGTTTTGAAACAATTACCTGTTTCTTGTTCATCAAGTGGTGATGGTCAGCATATTGAATTGTTTTGGGAAAATTTCTGCTTTGCCCCAAAACCCTTCCATGGGAGTCATCCTAAGCACAATCAGCAGTTAAGAGAACAAACCCCAGTTCCCCAAACTCCCTCGCCCCTCTATCTTCCCATAACAAGCATTCTCCAACAGCATGGCATAACACAATAACTAAAACAAAAAACTCAAAAAGACCTTATATTCCAATAATACACTTATTGCTTTGCTGTGATTCATAGATTACTTCTGCTGTAAATATATCTTGCCATGTGAGAAAAAATAGGAAAATTATCATTATATGCCTACATCTTTACTTTGCAATACTTGTCAACATCCTTGATGATGTATTCTGTTATCTCTAAATTTGAGATCCAATTTGCAATCTTTAATTGGGAACATATTTATCAAAATCGAAATCTAAAGCAAAACAGAAAAAAAAAAGTACCCAAGAGAGAATAAGTTTAAAAATGTTACGTAAGAAAACTGATATATTCGTTTACCAATCAAAAGCAAAAAAAAATCATGTGTGAAGAACAGAACTAACAACATAACAAGTCCACGGGAGGCATAGCAACATCAGTTTAATACCACTCACCTGTAACTTAAGCTTAAGGTCACGCACAATCTGAAAGAGCTTCTTGTAGCCGTTCCAGTTATATTGTTGTGGAGCATGTGCCTCTACTATGCCCCACCAGCAATCAACCATCACTCCGTCGACATTGACTGACTTCAATGTCCTTAGCTGGATTTGCAAATCATCAAGATCAAGCAGCTCACAGTCCATATTAATGATGCCTAGCTGCCAACAACAAAGCAAATGCAAGACATGTGAAACAAGTTTGAAAAATTGTATTCAGATGAACAATTAGTTAAGAATGAGAATATGGCGACTAAGGCATTCCCAATATCGGTGCAGCAGTACAAGTTAAAAACAAAGTTCTGAAAAGTATGCCCCTTACCAAGAAAAATGGCCAAGAAAAAAAGAAAAGAAAATGGAATGCTTAAGATGAATGAGGTTCATAATTAAAGAAGATCGCAATTGAGAAAAATAATATTACTCACTGGTAGCATCACATATATGGGAACATAAGGGGTGCCAGAAAAATCTCGCTCCTGCAACTCCGGGGGCTCATCTACAACCTACAACAGAACAAAAAGGTTCACAACCGATTTTAATTGGATCGTCTTAACATGCGTCATAATGAAGATAGATTTAGAGACACATATATTAACAATTATTTATATTTTCCTTGGACAAAATTATGTTTCTTGTGAAAATTAGTTTGACTCCAACTACAGCATCCAAGAAATCTGCAATTCAAAAACAATGTGCCAGTTATGGTGGGGAATTGGCAGCATTTCCTCCCAACATCACAAATTTACTTTTCGAGCCACCCTTGATGCACTTGGTTTGCTTTCAATGAAACAATACTATCAAGATGTGTCCTCAATCAACATAACGTGACATTTTGCATTTTCAGTGGAGGAACCACAAATTTGATGGGCTGCTCTCAACAGATTGTCCATGCTATTGCCAAGAATATTAGTGATATAACTTGACTCTGAGGCCACCGATAATTATTTTGATCCCCTGATGGAACATGATCTGATAATATAAACCCATTTTATCAGTCTAAACAGATTTAATAAGTACATCTCAAGATGTGTATACCATATGGCTCACCGCTATATGATTCTATGCAACATACTTTACACAGTTCACATTAAATGTGAAGCCTTTTTGGACTTCACAACAAATTCACCTCTCTGAGAATACAAATCAAAGCAGATGGTCCAAGATACATGTTCATAAGATATCTAATAATTTTTTCGTTTGATGTCACCTACACTCTCTTCTTTGATCAATGCTTAAGACTTGTTGTGTAAAAAATAAACAAGACACGTGGTTTAGGGGCCAAAATTCGTATGGAACTCAATACCTTAGATGGTACTTACCTACTAGTTCTATACCCCTCAATCAAAGAGGGTGAGACCAACTGTTTCAATACAGTAATTAAAGAGGTAAAGCCAAATGTTCCAACTTCCAACACATAGCCATCTCACATGATAACTAATAACACATTTCCATTAAACGTCAATAGGGCTCTAAATTCCTAGTTGTATGAAACAACATCTGTACTTAACGAAAACACTGGAAATCACTAATTAGGTAGGACAAGAGATACTGAAAACTGAAAGCATAGAGATAGCTTACACCTAAACAGTGACATTTTCCAGTACATTTGCTCAATTTCCCACAAGAAATAGAATATTAAAGACTTCTCTGATAAAAATTACAGCGGAATGGATGATATGAACTAGTACTTGGAAAGCATAAAGATAATTCTTGAGTTACCTCCCTGTCGTCGACGGTGCCCATCGACAATGCATCATCAACAAGAGGGTGGTCCTCCATTTTCTCTCCTTTTTCTCTCACCGTGGCCGAAGTTCTAGTTCGAGCACCAGAGTTCAGAAAAATTGCCCTCAAACTACTCGGAAAGTACTCCACTGAGCAGCAGTGACTAGAATAGACTCTCAGAGACTGTGTTGGCATCAAAGTAGAAGCCACCGTAGCTCTCGGAAACCTTAACCTCGCACTCTTCAATACTTCAACTGACGAAATCGCCATTTTTCCCGACACTCTTTCTTTGCGATTGACGATATATAGGCCTAAAAGTAGTATAGCAGAGTGTGTGTGTGTGTGTGAGAGAGAGAAGAAATCCGTGACGGTAGTTGAAGGATCCGAAACAGGTTTTTCAGTTTCAGTTTCCAAAGCAACCACGCACATGGATTCCGTCGGGTGACCCGCCCCGACCCCGATCCGACCCGTATAAACTGTTTATTTTGTGGGTTGGGCTGATCTTTAGGGTCAACTAATTGTAACATATTTTAAGTCCCAAGTCTACTTTCCTTGGCTTCCATTATAACCTAATTTAAAGTAAAAGTAATTAATCTAAAGTAAAATCCACTCACCTATCATGCATTTAAAGGAGACTTGTTATTGATTGGCTCGGGTTAGACTAGGTCTAGATTAGAGATGCAGATCAAGCTTAGCTCAAAGATACAGGCAAAGTCCACCACAGGATCAACAATAACTCAGTTAGACCAAGCTCACATTCTTGAAAGATCCAACTCATCACATCGCACGTGAGAGTCTCCAACCGAGGAGAGAAAATCCTTGAAAATGCAGTCATTAAAGGCACATCACCAATCTCACAAGATCTCTTGCCCATTACAAGATAGAGCTGACTTCAAAGAATCACCTCGTTATCACCTTGCCCATTATGAGAATAGGACGAATTTTACGAAATTACCACGCTCTCTCTACGAGGATGGCGCTTCTATCAGAATCTTTCAGAGCCAACTTTAATTACCTATAAATTATAAGGCCCGCCTACACATGAGAAGTATCACACACATCTCAGCATACTACACTCTTGAGCAATAAGATTTTCCGGCCACCGTAGCCCTTCCCAGTAAAATAGGTCACTCAGACCAAATCCACCAAATATTTGTGTTTACTTGTGTTGAGTCTTTCTTACTCTATCTATTGATTGATTTCACATAAATATTTTTGTACATCATCAGTTATATATAAATAGGTTTCACACGCAATAATGACGGATAATGTGCCAAGAGGAGATTTGAAACAAAATATATATTAATGGAGATCAAAATTCGAGTCTAACTGAACCCAAGAGTAGTGTTTTTAAATTTTTATTTTTACTTATACATGATATATAAAAGATGAGATTTAAACACCAATTGATTAAATTATTGCAAATGGCAATTTGTCACTTGATTAAAATCGCCACATGTCATATACAACATATTTTCGAGTGTAAAACCACAATCTTTCTAAAATGAGATAATATTACTAACCACTTTCGAAATCTTCAATACTAAAATTTTTAGTTTAACACACATACTCAACTTTTTACATATTGTTCTAATCTATCTATTGTCATTATTTGTTAGTTAGACTAATGTACCGAAGTATGTATGCATTACCCTCAAGAGTAATAAAAATAAACTATAAACTCAAACGTCCTATAAATTTGAAATTTAGCAATTTTTTTGAGGCCACGGGGCAAAGACACAAGAAATTTATCCCCATAAATTCCCTAGTCCCGACGTTTGATTAGATTAGGAGAACATTAATCGAGGTGCACATAAATTAACAGAGACACTCCTAATGAAAATACCAAACACCAAAAAAGGAAAAGAAAAGGAAGTATGTATGCATTATATCGAAAGACATAATTGAATAGAGACTGGATACACCTTTTTCATAGACTCTGAAAGTGGAAAGGTATTTGCACCATGGTGACTATCTCAAATTCCATAACCAATCTCTAAGGTATATTTTTTTCCAAAGAAACTGCCCAAATATTTCTGTGTCTGTTTCTGGTTCAGATTTTCTCAATGTTCATCTGTGCCATTTTCTCCAGCTTTTGTATTCAGCCAACACCTGAAAGTAGAACCTTTGCAAAGCAAATCCTGAGAAGAAAATCATTTGGAGGAGAGAACTAAATTACCTTTTATCAGTGTAGGGATTAAAAAGTACAATTCATCCCTGTCACGATGCATAGTTTGCAAGACAGAACAGCTGTTGCAGTAAAGATTTCTCTGATGGCAGGGATTCGATGATTCCTGTCATTTTTGCTTGTTTTAACATGAAGCAATGATCATTTTAGGTGATAAAAGCATACCAAGATCAGATATTTAGCTCAATTTTCCCAGCATTGAGTACACTAGGTGCCATTGCTGCTAGTAAGTGGAGCTCCATAGCAACTCTGTTTTGTCTTAGATGAATTGCTAAAACGGCATGGATTTTCTTTGCTAAGAAACTGAAATATGGTATGCAGAACAAGGAGGCATGTCATGAAACTCAACGAGATCCGAGTCGTATAGGAACATTGCTCAGCCTCGACGCATAAAGAAAAAGTGGCAGTTGCAAGTTCCTTGTGTTCCTCCTGGCCGCCTCTCTGAAAAGCCAAAGTAAGCAGTTGAGATACAAATGTGACTGCTAATCAAGTTCACAAAGCAGCAATGGCAATTAGTAGTAGTGTTCTTGCTGAAATGGAAATCCCGGGTACCTACATGGCATCACTTCCTAAGGTTAGTCCTCTATGCGGACCCAAAGGTTTTATTAGACATATGATAGGTCAGAAAGAATCCATCAATATCTAGGTAGAAATACGATAGATTTCTTTGGATCCTATCGTATCCATCAATTATCTCTAATAGGTATCTTATCAACTTTTCCTGCTTGCTGACTTCCAAAGTCTCACTATATTCAAGTAGAACTAATTGCATTGTCTTTCAATCTTATGATATAAGAAGAGAGACTACTGTTGTAATGTTTCAAAATGTTCGGCTAACAGGAAAATCAAGTAATTCATGTGATTTTCACCATACTGTGATTCGGAGAACTAAGAATATAAATTTGTGATAGATCAAGTTTCCCAATTGGGTAGGCTTACTGACGCTATGATATATGCAATACAGAGCTTAGTTATTCAATAAGCAGCGTTTGTACCAGAAGATTCACTAACTTCGACTTCTATGATGGTGTTTATAGAGTGGAAGAGCAAGTATTGGAGATACAATTTACCACTAAATGTATGCTGCTGAAAATTTTTCTCCTGAATATCTTCTTGACTGCCTCAATATGAGAAGCATTGAACATGAAGCCCTTGAGCTTGCAGACTAACCTGACTACATTGAAGCTTCGATGTAGGCGTGGAGGCCTGAAGCATGCATCAGCCACTCGAACATCTCATGTTTGATATTGACCGGAAGTGACAAAAATCATGTCTTAGCAGAGAGAGTAGAGAGCTTGCTGTTTTGCTTGAAGCAGAGATTTCCAGAACTTTCAGAGACAAAATTGGACTCGAGCAACATCCAATACATAGGGTCAGAGTTAATCTATCCATACATTTATATGAAATAGCCACGTGCTAGATTTTTGATAATTTATTCAACATGTTTTTTCATGGAGGATGTGGAGCAAGCTATGCTAGAGAGCTGCTTGTTATGGAAGGTTTAGCATTCAAAATTGTTGCTTGGATTGAAGATGTAATGTATGCTGATAAAATCATTAGAAAACAGGAAAGATAAACTCAACTCAACTCCATTCAACAAAGTCTTGTTTCGACTTTTTGGGTCGACTACATAAGTCATGTTTCGAAAAACCACAACAGGGAAAAGATGGAAACTATGAACAAGTTCAAGTTCCAAGTAGGTATTCCAATCCTAGCTCTTCCCAAATCCTCAGTTTCAATATTTTCTGCAACAGAGGAACTCCATTGCATAATCCAGCACTCAATGAAGCACCACAAAATAGGAGTATGCCCTCATTTAAAGGCCAACGCCAAGTTGCTCAATGTGATAGGAGAGACACTATCCGATATGTTGATATCAGCAGTTTAAGCAAGATCATTCGGCATTCTTGAAAGAATCCAACAGGGCAATTGCAAGTCCACCACAATTTTTCACCAGAAGCTAATTCGAGAGCCATGATCTACATGCCCCTCAAATAGTTGGGATTTACGCTTTCTAGTTCTGCTTAAAAGTAATACTAGATTCCAACAATGGATCCTTATGACCGTATTATCCGAATATCTAATAACCCTACAAGGACATAACACATTGTTTAGTCAATTGTTCTCAGCATGATTAATAATAATTTTATCAGAAAAATTCATGCTGAAGACTTACCCCCACCATAGGAACACCAAAAGAGCCAGACAAAATACCCGTTTCAACTTCACAAATCAAAATTCAAAATTATCTGACAAAAGCAAACCTAAATCCATGATAGATTAAGTATTCAAATTCGATTCTATATAACATTATAGAATATATATTTCTGGTTCTGCTGAACAACATAATCTAAGAATCTTTTCATTAACACATTCCTCTACAACAAACATATATAATACACATTGATTAATCAATCAATTGTTCTCAGCATGATTAATAATACTTTTTCTTCTCTTATTTCAAATATGTATATACATACCCTTATCCAAGAAAGGCCTCAAAGGCTTAACCTTACCATATGAACACCAAAAAGGCCAGACAAAATTTAAATGACAAATGACAATCTAAATCCAACATAAATATATGATTAGTAATAACAGTAAATTGATCATCTTTTTTCGCCATCATCACAGACTAGGAACCTTGATCAATGCCCATATGTGAATTTTTCACACATCAGTCAATGAACCACTCCTAAGCCTTAAAGGTCTTATTGGCTTCCTTGGAGGAGTAGAAGACTTGAAAGCTTCAACCACTGATCTGCATTTAGTAGTGTCCCCTTTGTTTTCCTCCAAGCACTTCCTCAAAGCTTCATCAACATCAACCACTGTCTTTGTCTTCTCTGTACCACCACCAGCACCACCAACTCTCTCTCTCTTCTCTCCATCCATTTGTTCACAACCCAGAAATAGAAATTCTAAGAAATTAACAATCTTGTCTCCTCTGAAACACCTGAAGACAAAAATATTTAGAGATTTTACATAGACAGACATCATAGATGAAGAATTCTAAAGAACAAGAACATGGATATTCCACAATCTTATATTAATTTGAATTTTAACTGAAAAAAATTCAAGAACCCAGAAAGAGAAAAGCTCAAGAAATCAACAATCTTGCCTTCTCTGAAACGCCCTGAAGGAAAAAAAAATTTACAATCTCAAATAGACTTCAAAGATAAAGAATTCTAAAGAACATGGATATTCCACAATTTTGTAATAATTTGAATTTACACTGTAAATTCTTAACTTACTCTATCAATGTGTCTCTGTGTTTGACTTGTGTGTGTGCGTGTGGTGAGAGGAGAGAGAGAACCCCCGTCGGGGGGGGGGGGGGGGGGGGGGGTTGGATGGAGGTTTATATGCTTACTTTGAGAGGAAGACTTGGGAAACCTTTTTAAAGGCTTATCGAAAATATCAGAACAAAAAAAGAAAGGGTTAATCCAATTTTGCATCTTACAAGATTGTTCAAATTTTAAATTATACCCTCAAAGATTAAAAATTTCAATTTATACCCTCAAATATAAAAATTTGTATCAATGTGCATCCAAAGATAAAAAAATCTCAATTGCACCCTCAAAAATAGAAATTTGTATCAATGTGCACCTAAAATTAAATTGATAAATTATATCTTGATCCCCTCATGTTTGTCACTTAATCATTTGAACTCCTTCACATTTAGAATATTCTTCTTACATCTCATGACGTTTGTACACGTATAACACATAACCACTTTTCGTTGATATCTATTAATATAATTGTTAAAAAATATGATTTTATCTTAATAAAAATTATAATTTTATATTACCTTTTATTTTGTGAATTCGATACACTCTAAAGTTGAAAATCAAACTTACCATTTGAATGTCTAATAAAATGTAGATATTTATATAAAAGGTAATATGAAAAACATTATATAAATATTTACATTTTATTAGACATTCAAATGGTAAACTAGATTTTGAACTTTAGAATATATTGAACACATAAAATAAATAGTAATATAAAATTATAATTTTTTATTAAGATAAAATTATATTTTTTAACGATTATATTAATAGATATAAATGAAAATGGATTACGTGTTATACGTGCACAAATGTCATAAGATGTAGGAGTAATATTCTAAATGTGAAGAGGTCTAAATGATTAAGTGACAAATATGAGGGGATCTAAGTATAATTTATCAATTTAGTTTTAGGTGCACATTGATACAAATTTCTATCTTTGAGGGTACAAATTGAGATTTTTTATCTTTGGGGTGCACATTGATATAAATTTCTATCTTTGAGGGTGTAAATTAAAATTTTTGATCTTTGGGGGTGCACATTGATACAAATTTCTATCTTTGAGGGTGTAAATTGAGATTTTTGATTTTTGAGGGTGTAAATTGAGATTTGAACAATCTTTCGGGATGTAAAATGAGATTAACCCAAAAAGAAAAAAAAACGAATTTATATCGAGAATAATGCTAAATAGATTTAAAAATTAAACTTAATAACTTCAACCATCGAATAGGTAGTAGGTCTTAATAAATATTAGGACCCACAATAAAATCAATTATTAATTAAAATTATCAAGTTAAACGTATTTATATTGAAATCCAAATTGTCAGCATACCTTAACGCCAACTAAAAGAGTTTCAGATTTCTTCAATTACGAAATAGTGCAGATTGATCAATGTGCTAAGCTCCAACCCACCCAGCTAAATTTGAATAAAATTCAAAATGAATTGAATTTGAGTCGAGCTCATAATGATCCGAATTCGAATTGAGTTTGAATAATTCAATTATTTTAAATGTTACCAAGTTGAATTTTATGAGTTTGTGCCAAATTTTTTTAGACTCGTTTTTTGAATGAATCTAAATTTTTTTTTAAACTATGCTCGTTTAGAAAACGAATCGAGCCATATACGATTCGAATCTAAACTAAACCCAAATAGTATGACTTGATTATGAACCTTACTCACATGTTCTAAACTTTTTTTTTAATTTTTTTATATGATTAATTCTGACAAACAAATATTGAAATTGAATTTTTGACATAATATCAAATAATTTTTAAATTTTGTAGCCTCATCTTTAAGGTTATATGTAAACAAACTTAAACAAATTCTAAGAAATATATCAAGTGGTAAGATAGACAAACTGTCTATTAAAATGTTCTTAATTTGAATCTTGATAATTTTTTATGAAAGATTTCTTCTCTATGAATATTTTAATTCCGACATAGATGATCTATTTTTAACTAAATTAAAAAAAAATATTAATTAAATTAAGGGTAAACCGACCAAATCATATTCAACTTGTCCTCCAATGCAGACCTGAAATTGTGAGGAAAGGGAAAGAGATGACGACGTCGTCTGAATTGACGAAGTCTTGCGGTGATTGTAACTGAATGGTGTGGGAACCCATCAAACGCATATAGAAATACACAATCAAAGTATATACAATAATTGTCCCACATTGTGAGATATATGATGACGACTTGGGATTCCACTGTGTTATCGAACAATTTATTTTTCATATTATATTAAAAAATAATTTAATAAAAATTGATGTATAATGTCCCAGTTTTTCAAATGCGTTATTTAATAAATGAGAGAATTACATTCAGATTTTTTGGATTTTGTAACTTAATCATTTAAATCCCTTAATATTTAAAATATTGCGTATAAACCTCCTAAAGTTTATATGTTCATAAAACTTAGACACTTGTCTTCAATATTATCCATTAGTAAATTATATCTAATCCCTTTAAAATTTATAGACATATAATACTTAGATCTCTCAAATAAAAAAATAATATAATTAGATCCAAAATACTCCAATCAAAGATAAAATATCAAATATTTTAAATTTTACAACAAAAATTCATATTCTATTATATCATTTATTAAACCATTGATTTATATAATTGTATACTACTTATAATTTTTTTTTTAAAAATAAATTTTTATTTTTGATTTTATTTTAATAAATATCATAATAGAACATGAATTTTAATTATAAAATTTAAAATATTTGATATTCTAGGTATTTTTGTCTAAATATAACATTTTAAACTTAAAAAATCTAATATTACACATCTACAAACTTCAAAGGATCTAGGTATAACTCACTAACGGATATACTAACGGATTAAGAGTCTAAGTGTTACACTCATACAAATCTCAGAAAGTATGTATAATATTTCAAATGTCAAAAAATCTGAGTAATTAAATAATAAATCTTAGAAAATCTGGGTATAATTCTCCCTTGATAAATTATTACGACAAATATATCTTCAAATACTGGACAATTCTAATTACCTTAATAAAAATAATAATTATAAATTTGATGACTTAATGTCGATAAATTTTCTAATTTAATTTTAATATTATAAAATTCATATCGAGATTCGCCTAGAGAGAGATGCAATGATATATTGAAGTGAAAATACAGATCATTCTTGAGGTGTTTTACTTGGTTCATCTACAAAAGATGTAACAAGATATTTGATGAGAATGAAACAACTAGATATCAACCTTGATGTATTCACTAGTCAGCTCAATGAAAGCTAAAAGCATTCTCCCTATATATACAACAAATCTCTGAACTGCGCCAAAGTGCAGAGAGTCCAGAGAGAGGGGATTCATGAAAGGGTTAGTAGTCAAGCAGGGTCTGAGACCCGGTCGGACGAGCATCGGGAGAACATCACCTTCTTTCACAACCCCCGAACACCCCTTCAAAGGAGGTGCCACCCAACAACAAAAGGTAATTTATAGCCGACGCAGGGAGAGGGAGAATGATAAATGTACCTTCTGAGGGGTTGCTCATTCCGACAAAATCACGAATGAAGTTAATAAGATCAGCTGTCATCATCCACAGCACCTATGTATGTGAGGTCTGTCCGTCTCACCCGTACAGCCCCCTTAAGCCAGCTCGATGCTTTCAGGTTAGCAGGGTCACCAGCACCGACAACAGCAACATTACTTGAAGATGGTCCTGACCCTGCTCCATCCTCCAATAGGGTCCAAGGGTCAATATCAATATCAAGGTCAGGTTGCAATGGCACCGCCTTGGTCTTCCCCGCTATGCTAGTGGCAGTTCGCACCAAAGAAGCTGGATTCCTTGGCAGAATGTTCGAATTTCCAGATGGTTGCCCAGATACCGGGATGTTGTGTTGTAGAGAAGCAAGGGCAGCAGGCGAGACAGATGGAGGTTGGCAAGAGATTGACCACCGGACCGATGGAAAAAGAATTGGCATTGCAGTTTGAATTCGCCACCGAACCGTATCAGGCAATTGCATGCGATCCAATTCATTCTGCACCCATTAACAACACATCACATGCTGCAATGCAGTTTATTTCTTTTTTCCCGAAAAGAAATTGATTGATAGAATATCAAATATTAATGTTTGGTGGGCACTCTAACCTAGATCTACTCCTATCATCCCCTCCAAGGAATTATCATTTAAATGGTATATCAATCAAGTCCATTGAAATATCAAAAAGCATTCAAACAGAGAAGATGCTCTCCATAACTAATATTGAACAAGGCTAACTCCATTCTAACAAGGGAATTCCAAAATGAATTCCCATTATTTTAATCCAGTGATTGTAAATGACTACTTAAATTCGTTTCCCTAGGGTTGGGAAGCGTGGAATCAAGTTGAATAAACCTTATAAGAAGCCAAATTTATAAAGAGTATTGCAGCCAATTCCTTCCAGCAGAAAACCAATCGTACGTTAAAAGGACAAACCTGCAAATTCTCTGCCACCTCATGATCAAACACAGCAAAATCCTTGCTACATTCAGTTGTTGACTTGGAATCGGAATGCGACTTCAGCCAACTTGGCTGGCTGCTGCTCAACAACCCATATAGAACCAACAATAAACATTCAAAGAGAGTTTCACCAGAAAAACCTACAGCAGCAGAGGCAGAAGTCTCCACCAGCGACTCCAGCTCCCTCTTTGGCGAAGAACTGGGCATCAAATTAGAGTGGTCTGCATCTTCACGCACAACCCTACTTCCTAGGAGACGAAGTACCACGGACGCAAATATATGCCTCATATTACGGGCAGAAGGCTCCCTAACAAGTCAAATATATGAGAGAGGCACTATATCAGTATCAAGTAGCAAAAACTACATAACCAAATTGATAAACCATCTCATAAGACCGTTAAGTATGCCATCAAATTGATCAACTTAAGAAATTATAGTGAAAAGCTTCATAATGGAAACAATCAAATTTGCAGGCAACAGGTACAAACAATTATACAAAACAGCTGAACAAAATAAGTTGTAATGAATCAAGCACAAATTTGGCAGCTATTATTACCTATCAGCCCAAATAGTAGAGAACAATCTAAGGAGGAATTGCAATCGCAATGACATGGAAGCTCGCAATGCCGCAGTATCAGCTGGCACTGTTGGTCGCCTGGCTAATCCAGGACTGCTGCCTCTCATACCCTTGCGACTATTGGCTTTATTAGCAGGACCTTCAATACCAGAAGTCACTGTTCCTGACTGCTTACTTGCTCCTCGGGTAACTGCATTTATTTGTTGCTCTATATTATTCAGTTGTTTAATCAAATCGCTTGCAAAAGTATTGCGTGAGTCATCGGAGCTTTGATCAATGCAAGGGAGAACCAATTCAACAAGAGCTCTCTCGGTTACACGCTGCTGACTGACAATGAAGCCTTCAATGTCTCTTGCATGGCGTTTTAAGTCAGTTACTTCATCAACTACCTCTCCTTCTTCAAGAGGGATGACTTCAGACTTCCGTTTGTCTCCGTTGTTTGCAGCAGGATCAGAACACCAGCCCCATGGTTTCCAAAACTGTGCCTTAGTTGACAGACCTCTACTCTCAGCAATATTAATAAGCCGTTGCCTAATAGACTTCCGTCCAAAAAGAACATCGTGGCCTCCCAAGAACCATTTAGCTTGCAGCAGCATTGAATCCTCGAGTGATCTCCCAAAAAGATGTACCACTTCTGAGAAAAGAGGAGCAGCATCAGGCCTGACCAGTAACCTTGTGAGGATGATTTCAATGAAGTTGTTCTCATTCTCAGAAGCAGCAGATTTATCAGGATCTGGTGAGAGAGAGCGTATAGCCTCCACTAAGGAGGTATCACGAGTATCCAGTTTCTCAACCAGAGCTTGCTCATTTAGAAGAAGCCTGAGCTCAACCCACTGCCAATGAAATTTGGCAGGTTGCAATGTATCTAAAACATGTACAAGCTTATCCACTAGCTTTCTCTCACTTTCTCCACACTGGACTTTTGACTCACCATGCCCAGAAATCCGACTCCCATCATCCTGTGTAACAACTGGCTGCGGCATGCTACACTCAACTATTGCATTCAGAAAAAGTCTTGCACGGGTAGGCACAAATGCCAGAGATTTGAAATGCATATCTGAACCGTTCGATTCTAGAATGGCCGCATACTCGGAGTCAGTGGCATCAGCAGCTACGAGATCATAAAGGCCATTAGTGTCTCTAAGACACACGTCACGAAAAGGCAAGTGCTTTATGGCATCACCTATGGCAAGTGCTAAGGATTGATACAATTGAACGATGTCCTCGCGGGTTAAAATACTACCACTAAGAAGGAAAGGCCTCCATATCACATACGCAAATATAGAATAGGCAGGAGGAAAGACCAAGTTGAGAGGAAGCGTTCGCTGCATTCTCGAGAGAGCTACAATAGATGGTTCACCCAGAAGATCCACAATGAATCCATCAGATACTGTTCTGCAATTCCCAACAAGCACCCGAAACCAGTGCACTGAAATTTCAACCAAGTTATCAGCCTTAAAAGCCCCAATGGATCGCGCATTCCCATTTGAATTGGATCTCAGACTCCTTACAAACTGAATCACATCCAATCCTTCCTTTAATCTGAAAACAGTTACCATTCTCTCAAGGCTAGCAACTCCATGAAGAATTGCCCCAACAACGAGGGCAGAAATAGCAGCCATAGCTTTTGAAGCTCTTCCAAGAACTGCTTTTGTAGAATTGTTTAAAATTTCATTGGATAAGTTTGCATTGGAATCATGGGCTTCAGGAGAGGGTAGAAACTGACTACGAGGAGCCTTTCCAGGAGTAAAAACTTGGGCAAGGGCAGAAGAGGCTTCAGTAGCAAGAGCTATATCAAAGACACGGCTTTGACGCTCTCCAAGTGCTTCCTTAAGCAGACATAGGCAAGTTATATGTATGCGTAAAAAATGCCGAGCAGAATTCAGTGAACCAGTGGTGGATGGAAGATTCAAATGATTGCCACTTGCTGTTAAATCAGGCATTTTGCCAATAACCTGCCCAACGCTACTAACAATTGCAGAAATAGCAGCAGACACCAAAGTAGGATCTCCTTCTTGAGCGGCTCCACCAGTCTGTCTAATGCAGTCCATTAGTCCCATTACTATTTGTTGAGCTATCTGATACCCACCATCCCCTTTTTCCAAGGCAGGACTTTTTATTGCACCAGCCGAAAAAAGCTTCCTCTCTTTGCCATAAGGATAGTGAATTGCTTCATCAACCTGTCTTTGCACTAGATCTCTCATGCTTAAACCGACTCTAGATACTCGAACACCACTTATCTTCTGACGGAAAAAATCATCGGGATCTTCGACTCCTGCTGGCACTCCAAGTGGAACAACATACTCTCCGCCCAATGATCTTGCAGATTCAAGTTCGGATACAAGTCTTTTATCACATTTTGCCTTAAAGTTCTTTTCCCATTCAACAACAGTAGCCACATTGCCATATTTCTTCAACAAATGGCGAGCATAACCTAATGCTGCTGAACCAGAAACCCTTCCGTTAGAGGCTATAACTGTTGCAACACGACGCATTGAGGCCGACAAGGTCTCAGGAATAAGATCAGATGCAACAAGTATATTTTCATACCTGCACCAAACCCGTAGTGGAATAAGCACTGATAAGCTTTCTATCAATATTATCCAAATAATGAAAATGCTAAGTGTAATCTTTAACAGAAAACAATGAAGATACTCAAATTGTATACGGTAAAACCAAATGCCAATGTTTACCAGAAAGCCAAAGAGATCACTCAAATTATACACTTTCCAATAAACATCACCACTCAGTGCACTCACCCATGACTTACTATACGGAAATAGAATGAAGAAAAATACATAAACATATCAAAAGTGGATTTTTAAACAGGATAACAATGGAAAATCACTGGTTACCGAAGATACCAAATGTAAGAGAAACAATATAGTTGTTTCACGATCTAACAGCGGGAAAATTGCAAAAGTGGCTAAACAGTTTTAAATTCGAGATGTCTTCATTTTCAAAATTAAAGCTGCAAGCTTAACCTTTGTTTTTCTTCCTTCTTTGGAATGTTCTTCTAAGGGTCAGAAATCTCGAAGAGAAATTATCTCACATACAATGGGGATCCTAGGATAACTGATATCAGTTGAAAGGGTTCACAAAAACTAATTTCTCTCAGAAATTCAATAATTGTTCACAAATTTGACATAATGCAATGGCCAGAAGATCCATGGTGATATACTATACACTGTTCAGCTTAAGGGGGAAACAAGGAACCACAAGCAATTCAAATGATATCACCTCAAACTATTGTGCCTAAGAACTCATAAATAATCAAAGACCAAAAGGCACGTCCTGGCATGGCATAAGAAATTGAAGCATCACACTTTAGTTGACTACGGCTTACAATAGACTCCTTACTAAATGTTTAGATGCGGAGCCGCCCCCCCCTTTCTCACCCCCAAAATGGAAAAAAAACTCACCCCCCGGGGGGGGAATAAAAATAAAGGAAATAGTCACGAGGGGAAACTATTTCTACTTATGAATCCATTCCGTTCCCATAATAAATAAATCGATCAGATAAAGTGTCAATTGTCAAAACAGCACACCCCTCCCATGGTTGGTTTGGGATTCCAATAAAGTAGCACAACAACAGGAATTTTAAGCATGTAAGTGAGAGGGAAGTGCACTCAAAACTGTCAAGTAGTACGTTAAGGCATTGACCACAAAGCCACCACTTCATTGTAATTTTACTGTAAGTGGTGCACACATGAGCAACATGTGTCAAAATAGCCTACAAAAGTCAAATAAGGATGAAAGAAGTAAGCCAGAATAGCAATCCAATAAAATAGTACTAAGTGAATTATCACTACAGTGGATCAAATTACAGCAAGAAGGATAAACCAAATGACAAGGTAGCAGGCCTATAATAGAGAAGAAGACATCAAAGCAAGCACAAAAAACTAGATGGTTAAAAATGATTGGTGCAAGCTATTAACATAAAGTAGAGTTGAGTGTGCACCTCCGGATGGATGACAAAAGGAATGCTTCTCCTACTTCACCCACATGGTTTTCCACATTCCTAGGCAGCATTGAAATGTTTCTCCCGCCATGGATTGTAGAATTGCTATTAAGAACCTTTGGCAACAACCAAAGGAGAAATTTCGCAGCCGAAACCAATTCATTAGAAATATCCATCAGATATAGAATGGCTGATAACTCCTCTTCTCCAAGCTTCCATCGTACAGTGCACCGCTCATCGGAAGTAGGCAAAGGCCTACTGTACTGGCCTACTCTGGCAGCAGTCTTTTCAGTCTCTTCAACAAGCTGGCTCACAACAGCTATCAACCATACTGCGATGGTCCTCTTCTCTACAGATCTAAACTGCTTTAGAACTTTTCCAATTGAAACAATATCTCCGCAACGGACTCTTATTCCATCCATTGATTTAGAAGCATCTCCTTCAACACCAGTTCTGTGATGCGGACAGCTTATCCTACTGTCACAGACGTGGCTTGTTGATGCACCCTGGCTACCTTCAATCCTAGCAGCCGCTAACTGAGCAAGACTTTGAGTTTTACGCACAACCTTCTGCCTACCCCTAGTGGCCTGTTTGGCTGGCTTAAGAGGTAGATCCACTTTAAAAGACTCCAAGGATTTAGGGCCCTTCCTCAACCACCAGATTTCCTCATCATCTGATGGATTTGGTGAAGGTGCCTGCAGGTACGAACTCCTATCCTCACTTAGTTTTTGTCTCTTCACCTTTCTGCATTCTTCACAACCAGGTGTTCCTTCTCCCAGATCCATCCTGTTCCTAGTTGACTCAATCGACCTCTTAACACTCCCCAGTGACTCATCAACTCCTGTATCTGTGGATATAGAAGAGAAATCCGGTAGTTGCAACAACACTGAAATAGCAGCTTTTAGTTCTTCAAGGTCAGCAACTCTGTTGACATATTTCCTGGACAATGAACTGGATCCTGGCAGAAAAGCTTTCCACTGATTGGGAGAGGGGGGTGAAGCACCATCGCATCCATAGGTTAAATGATGTTTTCGTTTCCAAGACAAGGCTTTTGCACTTTTTGGAATTTTATGATGATCAAGAAGCCGGCAAAGTACAAGGTGTCGTTCCTTTGAGTAAATATGCATGGCATCCTTAAGTACTGGCCAATCAATGATTTGTGCTTCTTCCAGAGCATCACAAATATAGGGACCAGGCAGTTGCTTCAAGATCTTGTGGTGTCTCTTCCTTCTGTCTAAGTCAACCAGAGGTCCATTCCAATCCATACATCCACCAACAATCAGCTGCCTCACATATGCCTGAGGGTAAAAAATGCCAGATCGTATCAGCTCTATTATGAGGAGTTGAAGACGTTTGAAACCTTCTCCACTTTGCACTTCATGTTGATCCAACCAACAGACAATGATATCATGTAAAGGACCTGGGCTTTGAAAAAGATCTAATAAATCTTTACTTTTTCCATCCTTAGAACGATTTTTAAGGTCATGCACAATTCCAGCTGATGTCCTTCCAGAATAGTTATTCAGATGAAAAGGACCGTTTGGAAGGCTAGTGACTACAGAGGGGCTGTCATTCTTGCGTTGGAGTGAACTTTGCATGTCTCTCATCTTCAGCTTTAAAAGCCTTACGGCAACGTATACCTGAGAAAAGTCTTTTCTGCCGGTGAACTTCAGTCCATGAGGTTGGACTGTCCGGAAATTCCTGAAATCACATGTTGCCCATTCACAGATGAAAAATATAGAGCAAACAAATGACAAGCTCATGGTACCAATCCACTTGAGTGATGAATACAAGGGTGGGCTGACTTCTGCTGTCCAACTTTCATCAACATTACCATCACATAGATCTTCAAAGAGGAATTTGTATGCCATTCTCACATCACCCTGTACAAGAGCCTTATCCAATGCCTGTACAGCTTTAGCCATATTGCGACCTGGATGGCCAGGTTTGGCAGCCCTGGCAAGGTTATCAGCACGTTTCTGGACTGATGAAAAAACATGACCAAGGGACACAGACTGACTTTGAACTCGAATCCCCTCATATCGAGGCACACAACCAACTTCTACTTGACCATTTTTCACCTTTACAGCATCCTCAGCTACCTTTGATGAGAGATTCCCATCATTTACCTCGTGAGATACCACACAAGATGGCAAAGGAAAGCAATCCAAACCAACAAAAGCATCAGGCACCGCCTGTATCAAATACCGAAGCATCTCAACCAGAGCAGAGGTGGTGTATGCCCTCCGGGAATTGTCCACGAGATCAGAACCACCAGGAGAAGGTTCTTGGATGAAGCGAACAGCTATTCTTACAAGAGAGCATACATAGGTCTGAGATAAGACAACAGTTTCGATGACAGCATAAATAACTGGTAATAGCAACTGGAAAATCGCAAGCAATTCTTTTTCCTGAAAAGACATAAATATGATATTAGAATCCAAACGATGATTGCTCGATGACCTTAGATAAACGGCGAGTTTCTCCATCTCACATATCCTAAGAATTAGATTTCAAGTCTGATGGCTTATAATAGCAATACCTGCAGTTGGTTAAGAACCCAATCTATGAGGACAGAAGGAAGAACTAGCCCTTCTGCATGGTGCCATTGTAAAATCCGCACCACATACCACCACTTAAAATGTAGGGATGGCTCCTCACCATCGACAAGTGCTGCTGCTGGATCACTCTTGTTCTGTGTAGACCCAACATAGGCCAATTGTGGTGAGCGATCTCTAATGTGTACATTAGAATGGGAGTTATTTCGCGAAATAAATTCATCCAGGAGATACTGCAAGTAATAGATAATATCTTTTGTCCACTGCTCTGAACGAGTAAAGTGTGTCTTATCGGAAGCTCCAGAAGATACACTGGATGATCCAGGCCGAACCTGCAAGATAAAACCATAATCTGCTACCTTCCAAGATGAAGAGAAGTGCATACAGCTATGAAGCAAAATGAAAATGGTACTTGATGCCAAAGAATTTGTACCTGATTGAGGTAAGTTACTTTGATAAACCAAGTGGCTCTCAGTAGCGGAACATTATTTCTAATAAGAACTTCAAAAAGTGACGTCCTTCTATAACCATGAGGAACATGATCGGCCAAAGAACGCAAACGTTTATGGTGCTGTGATAAACCCTGAAAAGAAGTTTCAGAATTCAAGTCATCAAATTTCACTTTGACATTTTAGATGGCCACACTGAACTACAACAAAAATAGATCAGAAAAAATCCACGTATTTGCAACCTAACACAATTGAACAAAAACAAGTGAAGCATCATGGCGATCATATTTTTCACTACTTCTTTCCTAATCTTTTTTCTTTTTCTGTGTGTGTGTTTTCAGGGGAGGGGGTTCTGTTTTGTAGCTGTCTCTAAAATTTGTCATGCCAAAGCTGAAGCACATGACAGAATCGGATGTTTTGAGAGTTGTCTCTAACATTTTGATCAGGCTGATCAAAATCAGTTCTCGTTTCACTAATACCTCAAGTACAGTAGCCCTGTCATTAATCTGCCATAGAATAACCCATTTGAAGTGTAATGATCACACATTCGTAACACATTGTAGGGCCCATAAGAAGTCCCATTCTTCTACACTTTCCCAGAAGTCAGCGACAGAAAGCATGAAAAAAGGGCTCGAATGCCACAACTTAATCCCACTAATTGAATTTACCAAATATTCCAAAAGGAATCTATGGGTGATTTGAAAAACCATAGGCTTCAGACATTTTGGCAAACTGTATTGATTATTCTCTGGAAAAGAAAATACTTCTAATTTCATTTGGAAATATCCCGGTCAGTTCCCCTTATCACTTGTTCAATGAGAACTTATCAATTGATTGATGGGGAAATCTATACGAAGCAATTTGTTGGAGGGGAAACCATACAATCAATGACAGTAAAAAGGGACAAAGCCTATTAAAAATGTTACCATTTCAGTACAGCAAGTTTATAAAGTTATTGTATAGTTTTGAAGTTTTCGCCCCAACCTAGGTTAGGGGGTCGTCAGACCGTAGCTTGCTGCTGAAATACATAATAGGCTAGCACAGATCGCTTCAATCTTCAAGCTCCGCCCCCATACTCAACCACTTACTCTGTAAAAAAAAGTGCTCAGAAGAAGAAGACACACCTCAATCCATTTCTTCCGGAAGTCTTCTACACACGGCCTTTGTTCAGGGTAGATGCCGGACTTGGTCAATAACGTACCAGAAAGAGGCACTCCATAAACTTGACCCGCCTGTAACACCGAGAACATACCTCCATAAATTCAACCTCCATTATAAAATCCTAGAACCATAAATCATAAAGATATGCCAAACACAGGATAAAAACCGAATGTATTTCGTTTCGGCAAAAAAGCGTGCAACATTCAATTTACAGCTGATGCATGCAAGTTCCCCCACAATATCACATGAACTGAGGAAGGAAAGCTTCATCACCTTACGCTTTTGGGCACGAGATTCGTTGATTGCCCTGTGACATTTTCGGATTGCCTGTGAAGAAGCATAAAGAGTTGGACAACAGCAATGAGTGAGCACATCTAAACAAGAAAGCAAACACATTTAAATAGTTGTTTGGTTTTTGTCGCAAAACAACAAGAGGACCATGGCTTTCAATTCATGAGATTTACCTCTTTGCAATTTAGGATAATAGGCTTCGTAAAAGTTTGAACCTGTGATAGTGAGATCTCCCTAGCTTCCTAACAAAAGCAGCAAGTGAACTCCAGTAAAATAACAACACTACTGATCAAATAACAGAAAGAATGTAATAAACATTGTCAAAATGTACAAAATCGAAAAAATGAATAAGCCCTTCTTTTGGAGAGGAAGACGGTTTATGGAGTATGCATATGCAATATCATGAACGTGGACAGGCTGGAAACCATTTATGGTCAGGAATGTCCCAAGGTTACAACTGTCAAGGTAAAACAGCAATTCCACAGATCCTTAAATGCCACTTCAAATTAACCAATTTCGTATAGAAAGACTAAAACACTGTTTTGAATGACGTGCATGCACATATATAAGCGTTATTTAGGAAAACAAAAAAAAAAAAACAGAGGCTCTACAATTATGAGTTATGACAAGGAAAACATGGGAATTGGATCTACACAGTATAGTTACCCCATAATGTGCAATCAAAGTGCTCAAAATATGAATTATGTATCAGGATATAGTGTTTCTGTTTATACTGGTAAGCGCAACATAAGAGAATTTACAACAATATTAGATTCTGAAACAAATTACCCAAGGAGTCTAAGAACTCAATAGAAACAAGTATCGACTCTAACTGCTGCATGACTTCGAAAAAATTACGGGCATTCTGGTTAATTGGACATCATAGTAGGTAAGGTCATTCAGCATCGAAGACTGCTTTTCAACCTTTGTATTGCTTTTCCTCCCTAAGCTCCTATTTCCAGTTTTCTTGATGTGACCGTCAATGATAGAGAAGTCGAGAATTCAGGTTCTTTGCTCGACACTCTCTACACCTTCGATCCTACTTCTTCTCATGATCGTAAGCTTTGGATTGGGGATAATCTGAGAACTTCTCTAGTAGATCTTTTGATTTCTCTTCTAAGCTGCCAAATGCCAAGATATCTGTTTGGTCTATCAATATCATGACAAGGTGAATACTAAAACTTTGCTGCAGGTGAGAAGGCCTAAACAAAGCTTTAAGTCCTAAATCCTAATAATGCTCAACTTGTCAGAGAAATGGACAGTCAAATGCTCATCCATTCATTCATTACCCTTTTTCTTGGGGTCTGCAGAACAATTGGTTTAATGTGACTGGAGAGACTTTAGTTTGTCCTTCTATTGTGAAGAAGCCATGGCAAATTAAGTTCTGAGGCTTTGGTCAAAATGAATAAGCTAAGGTCATTTTGAATTGTGCATCGATGGCAATTCTTGGCGTACGTCGTAGATATAAATGGAAGAATCTATCATGATTCTTCCTTTACACTGTGTATGACAGAATTCTATTTCTCGCTTCTTTAAGGATCATATCCACTAGGATCTTCAAAAAGATGCCTTTGTCATATTTTCGAAGGAATTGGAAGAAAGTTCTCTTTTAGTTATTTTCCTTATTTTTTGCATTTTTTACCGTGTTTTTACCCTTTTTGAGGACATCATGTCCTCCATATTGTAACTGTATGCTATCTCATTTTCCTTAAGGGCACATTTGCATGGTTGTAGTCTTAATTGGGAATGCGTTTGCATTCCTAGCAATGAGGTAACCCAGGTTTCAATTACCATAGTAATCTACGCATTCCTAGTAATGAGGCACCCAAGTTTCAATTACCATAGTAATCTAATATTTAGTGTTTGGTTATTGCCAGTAATCTAGTGTGGGAATTAATGTCATTGCCAAATTATTTTAGGAAATTATTTAATTTTAGAAAGGAGATTGATTTTAGGAGAAAATTTTAATTCTTGAAATGAAGTTAATTTTAAGAAGGAGTTTCATTTTGGGATTTTTATTCCTTTTATTGAATATCCAATCAATGTAGGTATGAGATTACCACCATTGACCATGGGTTTCGAATACCCACCATTATTGGGAATTGGATTACGGTAGTAATTTTATTCCCTAGTTAGATTACTGAATAATTGACTCAACAAACACAGCAATCTAGGATTTAAGAATGGGATTCTCATTCCCCAATCAATATTACCGCTATCCAAATGGGGCCTAAAGATATTAATCTCGTATCTACAACAGCAACATCAAATCATGGCAAAAGTCCACAATAACCACGTAAACAGTTAGGTCAGGCAAAGAAATGTTCACACAGAATATCCACAGAATCACAGAGGATAAATTTGGCAGAGAGAGAAATTCGGCGTATAAACACCACAAAGTGATGGGAAGACAAACGAAAGACACTAAAACAGATAATTCAAAAGCATACCTCAAGTCCCTCAACAGTCTCCCTGTATCCAGATTGCACATATTCCCTGGTGAGAGTCTCCTCAGGACAATTTAGCGTAGGAGGGAGAAAGTCAGGAGGTCCAAGTCTGAGGAAAGTTCATTGACCAATATCAAGATATATGACAATAATGATGGTGGTGACAAGATGGAGGCAGAAGTTAGATGCAAGTAGTTGAAAATTTTGGAATTAAAGCTGCAGAAGTCAGCAAGTTCTAATCCACTTTTCCAACAGAAAGCAAACCCAGAAAAGACGAAACATAAGGCTAGAGTACAAATCTATTCCATTTAATGTCTTATTTTAACCCATTCTGCACCAATGGGAAACTAGGGTGTCAGATGATCACATGCTGGAAATCGTATAATTGGAATGTAGAAATTACCTAGAATTCAAGGGATCTTTATCGCAACGTAACTTGTATGGTATCAGCTGTGATGACCGCCTGCAAGCAAGGACAAAATTATTTACCACTTTGTATCAAAAAATTCTTTTTCCAATGTATACTATGCTGAGAAAAATAGAAAGACAGAGACTAACCAAAATGAAAATACTTCCTATAACAAATAAAAAACAAGGCATTCCAATAAAGAACCTCAACGAACAATCTAGTAAGAGGAAAAGCAGAATCCCTAAAGGAAAAAGCAGCACATAAGAATCAAGAAAAGGCTTTTTCCTTGAAAAAGATCCCTAAGCCTTACTGTTTAAAACAGATGGCAGCCAACCCACAACACTTTACAGAGGAACCTCTTATATTTTATTGGAATAAGAACCTCATACAATTACACTAGATCCCAAAATATCTCTGCAAACTGAACCAACTCTACTCGATATCTTGTCTACAACTAATTATTTGCCACGATTGATAACAAATAGCCATTCTTCAAAAAATGAAGCCACTTTGACATGTCTACCCTCCAAAACATAACAATTGTACAAGCTAATCTCTTTAGGCAATTCATCGGTGAATTAAGGGGTGAGAAGCTCTGGTTTATATCTTGACCAAGGCGTTAAATATTAAAACCCTTAGCTGCTCACGATTGTGTTGGAAATCTACACTAAACCTCTCTTACAAATTGTACAGAGAGCTTGTATCCTACATCTAGAACCACCTAAGGTTGATTTATATGTTTGAGGGACTTCTTCATTCATTGCTAAGGTTTTGGCATTGATGCCTCTACCATGGCATCAAAGATGGCCTTTGATTGTCAATTGGTTCAAAGTCTCTCACCCATAAATTCTACAGTCTATTTTATGGTTGCTTGGGTCGATTTGCTAGTCCATGTATGAGCCCAAGTCACATGTGAGGGAGGGTTCCTAAAGCCAAACCCTCATTGGTGGTCTTTTGCATCAAAATCATATGTGGACATCTAAGAACGTCGATTTCAGATTAGTCAACTTGCATTGAAAGAAAAAACCAAGACAACGAACAAGAGCCTTCAAGGCAAGCCAGCCCAATCACGGGTAAAGAAAGCTTAAGATTAGTGCTATCTGAGACTGATTTATATGATTGTAGAGTCTTTCCACCTTTTGCCAATTCATTTCAGGTTGGGTGTCCCGTGCCCCTAACACTAGCAACCAAGAATTCACTAGAGTTGTAGACACTCCGATATCACTCAAATAAGATGTTTGATCTGATGGAATAAGCATGTATTAGTAGGTTTCTGTTTCAGGTAATATATATACCATGTACATTATTATACACCATGCAAGGAAAGCAAAACCATAATGATGGTGTACTTGAAAATAATAGAATCAAATGAAATGTCCTCATACTCACAATACAATAGGGAGAAAGCAGTAAAAACTCCAGAAATGTGTTTGCTAAATTTTCAATATATTTTTCCTGATCGCAATAAATATACTCTCTTTGCTTCCATAATGGGCTGACACATTATTAGAATCAGAAAAGGTGAAGTTGTGGCATTATAAGGCATGGGATTGATAAAGTTCTAGATCATATCTCAAGAAAAAATCAAGTACCAACAAGTGTTGGCGGCATCAATTACTGGAAATTCGAAAAATGCCCCTAAAAAATTGCTGAAATCCATATCCAGACACAAATGCTATCCAAGCAACCACATTTAAGCAGAACTTAGTATGATAAAATATAGTAGGCCCTAGAATAAATTTAGCCTCCAATCAGAAATTTGTGTGTGCATGTGTTGATGGTATAATAACCCCACAGAAACATGTCTCCCCAATAAGACAGGAAAAAAGGATATTTTTAGCTATATGTATGCAAATATGCATACATCTGCATGACTGCATGGCATGCCCATACACACGCCCATGAGAGAGAGAGAGAGAGAGATTGTATCAAGCAAAAATGATATAACATAGGAGCACATTTACCTGGGATTCAAAGAGAAGTTTGCTGGAAGTGGAGAGGAGTCAGATCGGGATGTATCCCTAAGTGATGACCCACCAAGAGCACTGTTGTTAACTGCACTAGTGCAGCTGGCAGCATGATACCTTTGCATTTCTCCCAACTATCATCTGCATGCTGCCTCCAGCATTGAACCGCAAAAAGATACTCTACTAGTCAAGCTGCATTAAAAGTTGCAAACAGTTCATGACGAACCATAAGCAATTAAAGACAAATCACATGACAACTCAACTGAAAGGCAACACAAGAAAATCCATCAGTCAAAACATGCAGGGTTTTAATGCTACAACCTCAAGAACAGGGAGAATAAGTTGCAAATCCCCTGGCAACCATTATGGAATAAGTGATGATATTTATTTTTCAATTTGTTTGTCTTTTAGCTAGTGAAGAAAACAAATCTACGGGTTCCAGACAATTTGAAATATTACAGTGTGCAGGAAAAAGGGAATATCATTATGCCACAAAAGCTGAGTGCCTCTAGAATAAATGGCGAACAAAGAAGTATTCACCAAATATGAGTTACCCACTTGTGTCTAGTAACTTAAAAGTAGCATCATGTTTATACAAATGGACAATTGCACAAACTTTATAATTCTAGCAGAGTAATCTAGAGTCGTGATAGAAGTTTTGAGAATTCAAGAGAAGGTCATGGTGAGGCAAGCCGTTTATCATTACGGTAAGTGTCAAGTGGAAGTGCAGTGATGTATACAGCTAAGGCATCCTAATAGACCGATAGACTTGAACCTTGTTAAACACCAACCTTTTTTTCAAATCAAATAAGCAATATGTAGAATTCTAAACCATAATAGGAAATAGGCAAATCAAAACTTGGGCAGGATATTTAGTGGGTATGAATAGTAATAGACACTAGAGATATTTAAAATTCTGAAGTACACTAGAGTAAATTCTGAACCCCATGAAAAGCTGCTCCAATGTTGGCCCTATGTGGCTATTATTCAAACAATTTTACAATATTAAATTGTTGAGACCTAAAAATAACATGGCTTGAAAGTTGGCATCAGGCTACAGCCTATAGTGGGATCTCCCGTATGTAATCTTACCCCCCATATAAGTGGTGAGCATAACTGGGCAGTTGTCTTATGAAAATTAAATTCGTTAAACAACTGTGCCATGTCATACCTTTAAATGTATAACATTTTCCATCCAAACCAAGTCACCCACGTAGTTGAAATCAGCTAAAAATGGGCTATAAATTCATTGCCAAAATAATTAAAAAGGAAAGACGAAGACCTTAAAGGCTGCTACACTTTTGTCAACTTATCAATCCGCCCGACCACAGAATTTCAAGATAACACATTCAACAGCATATTCAAAGCAGCCTTTATCATAAAAATATAATGATTAAATGATGAGAATTAAGAAACATAACCCAGATTTTCAATTCTCCACTGCATAAATTATGAACATGAATTCTGCATCCTCAAACAGTAGAGAGTAATACCAATGGGTCAAACACTGCGATCTCAAGGTTCTAACAAGTAATTCCAAATTCAAATACACAAGAACTGTACTTTTTACCCATGAATTTAACAAGACCCTGCAACAAAGAAGCAATGCAACACCAACTCAAACCTAAACACAAACCTAAAGACTGATAAACCAATACAAAAAGTTAACTAAATTGCATCAAAAAAAAAAAAACCCAGTTTCTGGGTGAATCAAATTACACAAAACTAGAACACGCACCAATCATCCAATCACAAGAAAACAGCTAGAGCCAATTCAAGAGTCAATCGCCTTCGGAAAATAAATCAAACATACCTTGACTACAAAAGGCCCAATCAAGATTATATCTGGATGTCCAATAGTTTCTGACACTCTAGTCGAGGAAAGATAATCTTTCCTTAGGGTTCAAGATGGAGGTTTTCAAGCAGACAAAGAAACTAGGGTTTTTGAATGCTGACAGAAAATCGAAGGGAAAATTAGGTAGAAAGATCAGGATTTGAATACAAATGTTTAGATTGAGAAGTTAAATACAGAAAGAATCGTCTGTAGATACAGACAGAGAAAGAGAGAAGGTTCTCGTTGGTGTTGGGGCCGGGGTGGGGTGGGTTTGACTCTTTAGGTTTTCTTTGCTGATGATGGCGATGATATGCAACCTGTGTTTGTATTGTGTTGTTGCTTACAGTGCCAGGGAGAAAAATGGAAATTAAAAAAGTGAAGATTGATTTGCTTCGTGCTATTTTCTAATTTATTTTCTCGTTATCCCATTTTTATAAATATATATATTTTTCAAAAAAATAATGATAATTTTTTAGCAAACTTCAAAATTTGAAAGAAAAAAAAAACTTCTGCTAGTTTAATGGTTCTTTCCCAAATAATATGCTGGTGATATTAGGTCGATTGATGAGTAATTTGTTAGAGTCATACGTCAAGTCAAGATCGAAAGCAATTGTTGAATCGTGTATTCAACTCTAGAGATGAATCAACAAAAATATTGAGTCTATATTTAATTTTTTTATACAAATAATTAATCTTTTTATTGAAGGATCATAAAAAATTGTTATTCTTTTCGACAAAACTATATCAGAGTCTTGTAACATTAGAAGCAGATAAAAAAATGAATAGTTGTTCTGTTCAGCTACCAGTTTTTAAATGTTGGTAAATTCTTATACGTCTCACTCGTTCGCCATTAGAAACATTTGTCGGCTTAGAATTTGATTCTAAGGACTAAGGCTCTCCTTATTTATTAGATCGTACCTTTTGACATCGCAATGCAATCGTATCACATTTCAATTTGGACGTTTATGACTTTTATAGTTTTGATGATTTATATATTTATAATGATATCATAATCTCTATCGCTTATATCAAGAATCGGAATCATTCGATAATTAATTTTTTTGAATCAGTTATCATAATTGGTGAAGAATACTTAATTTTTATGGTAAAAAATTTAAACCCATTCTATTTAGAATGTATGAGGATAAGTTTTAAATTCAACATCATCTATCCTTGTGGGATTGATTGGAAACATGCCTTAGCTTTCATTTCATTTCTTCTATTCTATTTTCAATTTTCATAAGTAAGTCGATATTTTTTCTAATTCTCCACCTACCCTAAAAACATGCACAATAAAAATAAAAAACTATAAAGAGGCTTACAAAAAAGTCTGAACACATTCACCGTGAGGGGGGGGGGGATATTATAGAATTTGGTTGTCAAATAAAAATTTAAATAAAACTTGAAAAAAAATTGAAATGAGACACCAAAGGTAAATAGTATATCGATAATATCCCCCTTAAGAGTCTTTTAATTTATTTGGGGTGGGGGACTTGGGTTTTAAGGAAAAACACTTCATATGTTTGCTTACCTATCTATATACTAGAAAAGCATTTGAAATGTCTGTAATGAAAGAAGCAAGTGAAAAAGAAACATGAAGGAAGTTTATCTAATGCAGTATTTCGGGGAGAGACTTTTTACTTTGCTTTCTTTTTCAGTTCGGTTAAAACTACGACTCACATGAGGTCTAACCGGACTCGATGAGATTCTGAGATGTCACCTCCCATTCTCCAGATACACAATGATTGACTAGCTTACTTTGCTTCCAGTCTGATTTCACTACTGAACTAACCCATGAGAGACAGGGCCAGTGGGACGAGGTAAAGGAATAGCACGTACATATGACAAAAAATTACCAGTCTCTTAAAGAATGCGACATGCGTTGAACTTACCTCTATTGTATCTCCTATTGAGAAAAGATCTGCTAATTACAGCAGTCCTGCATTCAAGAACAACCCGCTGAGGACAATGAATCTAAGAGTACAAAGCAATTTCAATCCTTCTAAAAGTCATCTTTATAGCACATTTGACAACTAAAAGCATATGAAGTAGTAGCCACCAAAACTCACCCCCAGTGGTCAAAATAGATCGTGAAGAAACTTTACAAGTCTCCGCTAAAACCATCACTCATCACTCCAAGAACAAATAGAGCTACTGATGAGATTTTGTTCAAATTTAACAATTTTTTTTCGTTCTATTCGTTCCATGCCTTTGTATCGAAAACACCAAAAGTCAAACAGGTTTTCCAGCAATGCAATGATGGCAGCACCCCTCCAAACTGATGGAATATAATGAGACGAAATAGTGTCTGGTGTTAACGTCACACATCTGCATGCAACATTAAACATTAATAGCATGTTACACAAACATATTGGAAACCATAAGAAGCATGCAAAATGAAAAGAAGAACACTGACATTTTTTAGAAAGCTAGGAAGATAAGTAGGTAGCGTAATGGATTCTCCAAAATACCACAAACACTTCGCTCATATGGTTTTGGCTCCTCTAACCTCCCTAGACGACCTATGCAACTTTTTGAGTATCTTTGGCAGCTCCAACCATGCCAATATGGACATTTTTTAGAAAGCTAGCAAAACACTTCGTTCATATAGTTTTGGCTCCTTTAACCTCCTAGAACCTATGCAACTTTTTGAGTATCTTTGGCAGCTCCGACCATAACACAGGAACATAAAACCAAAGTGATCACCAACTTAGCAATATTCAATGAATAACACTCATCTTGAACCTTCAGAATTTAATTCTAAAATTGTATGTTGATAATTTGCTTTAGCTAAATGTCAGCTTGTAAAGTCTTCTTACCTAGGATAAATGATGATTGTGATGTGATGTGAGTTTTCAGCTGCTGTTCTTAAACCTAACTTATTCATACCTGTGAAGTATGGGGGAATTGGTTTGACGAGTCAAATATGTAATCTTTGGACAATTATTGGACAGCTTCACCTTGGAAATGTTATGTACACATTTTTAATATATTTTTGTGTAATATTAAAAGTAATTATTAGGAAGTTATTTTAGTAAGTGGGTTAGTAATAGTGTATTTTGTTCGTAATTTCTTTGGTGGTTACTAAGATGGTGATCTTGTAATTTAATGGTCTTCCAATCAATGAAATTGATATGTTGAATATTTTGATAAACTTTCTTGTGAAGTTTGAAAATTAGGTTCTTCTTGAATTGAGTCATCGGAGGTTCTCACGCCTTCGAAGTTTCTATTTTTCCCTTTCTTTATATTTTTTCAAAAGTATGTACGTAACAAATGGTACGAGAGCCGGACATGAAAAACCGAGTTAGTCGACTTGAAGCGAAAGTTTGCTCATTGAGAGTTGGACAACAAAAGATAATGAAGAAGTTACATGAGTTATTTCAGTCTGTGAAGTCATGATTTGATCAACTGGAGTTTTCTTTTCTAATTTTTGGGTAGGGTTTTTTGATCTTTTGGGTGCATAAAAGACTGTATAATTGGGTATATTTGCATTTTTTATTTTTTGAATATTTAAACGTAAATGTAAATATTTTTGGTAGCACTCTTGTATTTTTTTCAAAACTATATATAATGTGTTTGATGATGTGTTCTGGACACATGAATTATGATGCATGAATGCTATTTTTTTCCCTTAAATTTTTTCATTTTTTTTTTTGAAAATTGTTTTGGTCTTCCATCTAGCCTTCTGAGTTCCGAGGGCTGATACTGTGCTGTAACGTCGCAACCAATATGTATCAATATGCTCTGAGTCAATGACTGATACTCTTGAACCAAGTTCTTCAAATTTCCAGTAGTGGTTTGATGATGCAATATGTAAATCATTATGAAAGTGTTATTGATAAATTTTAATTTGGTTCTTCAAATATTCTCCTAGTAGAGGTTTGATGATGCATTTTGTAAATCATTATGAAAGTGTTATTGAGAAATTTTAATCTTTTCCTAGGTATATAAGATAGCTAGGAAAACATTGTGTTGGGTTGAAATTTGTGCAAATGTCATGACCATTTGCTATGTGGTGAAAATGTAACAGAAGCTTTTAGTTTTGATTGAATATTACATATTTACAGATGTTTCCTTTATTATCAGTGCTTTTTTCTGATGATTCCTTCTTTTTTTTTTGGTTCTTTGTGAAGTAAGTTAGATCCTAAACTTAAAAATGTTATTGTTTATGTTGTCATTTTGACAATCTGTTTCAATTTGCATGTTAAATTTGTCCTGTCATTTGTTGCTTTTGGACCCTTGTGCATGATTGTATGCTCCTGGATGCTCAAACACATGAATTTAAATTTTAATCTATTAGCTTCTCATTGGTTTCATTCTGTTTTTGGCATATCGCATAGTTCAGTAGTCAGCATTTGATTATAATTCTGATGCTTAAGGGGGGAAAAAAGCTAAGATATCTGTGAGTGATGGTTCTATGTGCAGATTCCTCATGTGAGACCTGCTGAGTACAAGAGGTCCAGATTATCAAGGAACCAAAGGACTGTGAACCGTGCTTATGGTGGTGTATTATCTGGACTCTGGAGGTGCCGTGAGAGAGAGGTTGGTTCATGTGACATCCCTTAATCTGTATGCATAGATAAATAATTAGAACCCACCGCGCCATATAATTGTTCACATAAGCATTATGGGACCACATTTTCAGAAACTTTGTTCAAGTTTCTCACTTGTTTTTTGGGAAAACTTTGTCTGATTAAATATTGCTTTTGTAGGGTTATCTGTGCCTTCTTGGTAGAAGAGCAAAAGATTGTGAAGAAGGTTATAAAGATTCAGAAGGCAAAAGAAAAGCAGGCGGCAAAGAGCTAAGATGATGCATCTAAGACACTTCTGTTTGAGTTTGCTTGAAAGAAATTTTGACTTCAAGACATGATTATAATTTGTGCACTATATTTATTTTGAGGTGATCATTTTTCAATTTGACGTTTGATTTCAAATTCCAGACATTCAATACTGTGGTTTAGTGTACTCGACGAGGATATCGATCTGTATCATCAACACATTATTTTTACCTTTAAATTTTAGCAGACAATCTCATGTTTTATTTGTTTATTGAGACTTGGAATGGAATGGAATGGGATCTGTCTTGCTATCTACAGTTTCCATGCTGCAGATACTGTTTTCCACCAGTGTGCTTCTTTTAACTGACAGCATAATGTTTTCGTGATTAGTGCATGATCTGAACTGAACTGAACTTCAAATGGACAATGCAGTGTTGTGGTTTTTAGTAGTTGAACAATGCTTTCGTTGGGTATAAATAACCAATCTATATAATAAAACAGAAGTGTGTTTGAATTTTATCTCAGTCATATTTTTCTCCTCAAAACCATCATCAATCACTTACCTCACCCATCATCCTTTTGTTAGACTCAGTCGTCAAAATCGCACCACTTATTTCTATCATATGTTTAATTATTTATATATTTATTTCCTAAAAATATCACACCACTCATTTATGTAATTAATATATTTTTAAAAAAATTAATATAATAGAATCGATTTTTTGGACGCTCGAATTTTATAGACACGGGTTATGACTAGTGATTTTATATCCTAGCAGCGGATATTTTATTATTTTTTTTTATTCACTAGGGACTCATAATGAATCTAGCTTGCATATGGGTTGTTTGGTAGCAATTTACTGAATGCTGAGGCATGGACATTTATGTTGGGGATGTGCATTATTAACACTTGCAAGATTGATGAATATGGTGAAACGTATTTGGCGATGGGTGGAAATATATAAAGTTGGGCAGAGCATATCTAGAACTTAACTTAACAAAGCGTTTTTTCTAATTATTTGGTGTCGGCTAATAAATTTTGTTTCTGCATTGTGTTCTATTTCCTAGCTTACTAAAGATGCCACTGTGGCTTCAATGGTATGGTATGGTATGGTATGGTATGAGATGAAGTGTTAGTCATGTTGCACTTTCAGGTGATCCAGAAGTGTGTTTTCATATGTAAATTGGGTATGATGCTTTAGTCTTCTTTTTAGTTCTTTTTGCATATGCTGAGTGACATTGCATAGCATTGTAGATCTAGAGGTTTCTAATTTTGTCCTAATGATCTAGAGAATATAATTACTTGGTGAACATTGGATCGATCATATTAGAACCAGTTAATACTCTGGTCAAGGATTTGACCAACATGTTGGGGTGTGCAACTATTCAAAAATCTGATAGTAGTACCTTCAAACCGACTCTGCCTCTGTCAGAGTCGGAGTTTGGATTTATACTTTCCGACTCTGACTCTGTCTCCCTAGAAGTCGGAGCCCACCTCTACCAACATGGTTGCACCTTTAGCGGTACCCAATCTTATTGTCTCTGTAATTAGTTAGTTTGAATTGATTTCCATGTTCCCTAATAAACTACGGTCCAAAATATTTGGGAGATTGTCAATCCATATGGTTCTATGCATTCTAATTAATTGAGGAAATAAACAAACAGCTTTTCGTACTGTGTAATAAAGAATCATGTGACCATCTTTATTGAGAATAAAGGAGAGGACGGTGAGAAGTTAAACGAGAACAAGGGCAGAAAATCAAAGGAATGAAAAGTTGGGGGAGTAAGGAAGGGATTATATGCACAGGGTGGAAGAAATTGATTAGAGAATTTTTTTAAAAAAAAATTGAAGACATTAAGAATAGAAGAATTAGGCAAAGAGTAAGGAAAATCAAGTCCTCCTTCCTACAATTTGATTGTTATATGTTGGCGTTGGCCTTATTACATAACACGGAAATAGTCTCCAGATGACCTTTATATCCACCATTCACCCCTCCCACCGGAAAAATTGATCAAGGCTTTGGAATCTGCAGAGCATTGTGTCGAATGTGCTGAAAAAAAAAGCCACCATCTTAGCAGGGGGCGGTACAGTCTCTTTCACCACGGGGAGCTCATTAAGAGCAGTCACCCATGAGAATGCAAGTGGATTCTTTTCGCGGTCAAGAGTTTCATGCCAATGGCTTCTTCAACTGCTTTGCAGGAGCTCAGAATCGAGAATGCTACTAAGTCGAGCATTCCCAAGTTCTCGCCATTGATCACTGGAGTACCACCTGGGAAAAGATCTTTCATTCCCTCTTCCACCACCTTGAGATTCTCAAACCATTCAAACTTCAAACCTGAAACAACATAAGGAAATCATGGTAATAAAAGTGTCTCCCCATAAAACATGGAAAATAAAGTTAAAAAAACAAGCACATCTTTAATTATAGACAAATGTCCAACCAAACTATCAGTTTTATTATGCCCTCTTCTTGTTATTGCTGAGAGTCCACTCAGGAAAAATAAAGAACCATCCTCCATAGTCCTCTCTTACATGCACAAAGTTAAACAAGAAGGAGACGAAAAGCGGGGAAGCCAACCTGCACAATTTTACCACAGCTTCAGTAAAGGCATAAAAGGAACTTGAATGGCTTTCAAATTGTGCTTCCAACAGCCATTCGATAGCATGTAGTAAGAGAGGCAACTCGTGTAAAACAATACAAATCAATCAATTCATCTATTTGCAAGAAAAGCCAAATAGGCAAAATGGATGTCTAGAAGTGGAATACGTAAACAATAGTTCCTCCGCAGACATTGGAGGCCACGTGCTTTCAACAACAAAAGCAAGTTCATGCATTTAAAGTCTGCCAGCAGAGATCTAACCAAAAGTTGGATCAGTAAAAACTGACCATAAAGCATTAATATTTTGTAAGTGGGAATGGCAGCATTTGTTCTATCTTCTATATTTTATTATGGGGCAAATACAGTCATCAATCAATACCAGGACCATTTTAATTTGACCAAGTGCTTAAGTCATTTAACCTGCTAAACTTGTCTTTCTTTGTCTCAAGACCACATCATTCTTTCTTCCTCCAACCAGAATTCTATCTCCCCCCCCCCCAAATAAATAAATAAAATAAAATAAAAGGATTGGGCCTGACAATCTAATCTTTTGACCAAGTAATCTAAGCATTGCTTACTGCAAGATCGTCAACAACTAACATATAAAGACATGGAGTATCTAGTTTTGTCACAAATATGTGGTAGATTCTCATAGAAAAACATTATATATCTGATACATGGCCACAGCCAGCCTGTGGTTGAATATCCCTATTATCTAGTTTTATGACAAATATGTAGCAGAATCTCGTAGGAAAACATTATACCACCTGACACTAGGCCACAGCCAGCCTCTGTTGGTTGAGTCTCCGTATTGACTTTGATTTTAGCCCTGAAACATCCATGGAATCATATCACCCTGTCTGAACATAATGCGGAAAACCAAAAGTAACTAGTAAAACAGGAGTACCATGTGTTTGCAATGACATATTGTCAGATGCCTCTATAACTCCATATCCTCCATCTTTGTACCAGATGCTACTATAAATTTCGGTTGGATGCTTTCCTGCTTATGCTTTTTCCTTGCAATCAAGATATCCATTCGTCATTTCAGCAAGTTCTTCTGGAGTCCTGTGCACGCTTATTTGGAAGCTTTGTCTTTAATAGCTTCTTGTCTCTAACACCATCATATAAAAGTTCATACGCATAATAAGTTATATGACTTTTCTTCAATAAGTCTTCCACAACAATCTTAGGTGCTGCTACCTCCTTTTTATCAGCTTCAAAAATTGTGTTTACAGTATCAGGGACAATCCTCTTGTGCACCATAAGGCGAACAATACCAACTGCTTCATGTATTTTATGCTTTACACACAAGCAATTTATTACTCGCCCAAACGTTGTCAATGAAGGAATAAACCCTTTATCCATCTTTTCGAGGAGGAAATTGTACCCAGAATCAACATTTTCTGTTTTGCAGAAGCCATCTATCATTACTCGGTAAGTATAATCATCTGGGGGGCAGCCATGGCCACACATCTCACAAAAAAGCTTTTGTGCCATTTCCATGTTTAGCTTCTGAGAAAATGCTTTTAACATGATGTTGTAAGTTGCTGTCGTGTGAGAAACTTTATATTGTTTCTCCATTCTTCTAAATAGCTGGTACGCTCCATCCAAATCCTCATTCTCACAATACCCATTGATTAATGCGCCAAAACTAACATCATCGGGAATCAGACCCTTCTTTTCCAGTTCCTTAAGCAAGTCCAAAGCATCCATCAATCTTCGAGCTTTGCACAGACTTTCTACGAGTATATTATACGTGATAACGTTAGGCACACACCCCTTCTCCACCATAGCTTTGAAAGTTTCCATCACTTCGTCAGATTTTGCAGTTTTGCAGAGGCCATTCAATACTGAGTTATACGTGATAACATCAGGACTAACACCATGCTCCCACATGTTATTTATAATCTCAATCGCATTGTTCATCTTTAACTGTTTGCAGTAACCATCAATCAGAGTATTAAAGGTGAATATGTCCGGAAGAAATCCTTTGGCCATAGCATCATTCATAAGATTATTGGCATCAGATACACAACCCATCTTGCACAATCCATTTATAACTAAATTATATGTCCATATATCAGGGCTGCAACCATTTTTGGGCATCTCATTCATCACCTGCAGGGCTTGCACAATAAGTCCCTGTTGGGACAACCCTTTAACTATTGTGTTATAGAAAATTACATTAGGTTTTAAGCCCTTCCCTAACGCCTCGCTAAACACACCCATAGCCCTATCTATGTCACCATTCTGGCATAAACCATTAATTAGGGAGCAGTACGTGAACTCATCAGGCACAAATCCCTTAAAAGCTGCATCCTTGAGAATCTTGTCTGCATTTTCTACCAACCCCAGTTTGCAGTATCCATCAATAACTGTATTATATGTGAAAGCATCAGCGACCAACCCCAGATTCACCATTTTATGCAAATAGCACTCCGATTCCACAACCTTAGAGTTCTTACACAAGCCACATATAAAAGTGTTATATGTGACAACATCAGGTGTTAAACCATCCTTTTTCAAACTATCCAACATCCTGGCAGCCTCAGTAAGCATACCTTTTCTACAAAGGCCTTGAATGAATATATTGAACGTGAACAAATTTGGGGACACCCCCCGCTTGAAAACCTTGTTGAGAAGTCTTTCACTTTCTTGGACATCCCCATTCTTACAAAGAGTGTGTATAAGCTTATTAAATGTGATATTATTAGGCAAGAATCCTAGTCTGAGCATCTCAACAAACAATTCATATGCCTCACCTGGATTATTCTCTTCATAAAATCCCCTGATCACTGCACAATAGGCAACTGCATTATACTCACATCCTTGGGCTGGCATGTTGTTGAGAAGCCTCAGGGCAGCATGCGGTCTCCTCATCCTACAAAACGACTTTATCCTAATTGTGAAGGTATATACATCAGGAAGAATCCCTCTATCTCTCATTCTCATGTACACTTTGTGTGCTTGATCAAAATACTTATGCTCAACCAATATATTCATAATTGCATTATAAGATTGCACTGACGGCTCACAATTGTAAAAATCCATTCTCTCAAACACATTAACAGCGTCTTGAATCTTCCCTTTCCTACCATAATTTCTAATGGCACTAGTATACACTCCTTCCAACAAGCCATTATCCATATTCATCCTCATCTCCGCAATCATACCTTCCATGGCTTCAAATTCCCCATGATAACCAAGCTTTTCAACCATACATTTATAAGTTAACAAATTATGCTTAAACCCATCTTCTTTTTTAACTGAATTGAACATTTCTAGTGCCCTTAGTGGGTCTTTTTGGTGTTTTACAACAGCAGCTACATGCTTAGGAAGTACAGCAGAATTCATTCCAAAACTACAATTCTAATCAATATTTTCACGTAACCCCATCACTCCCATTTTAATCCTACGCTGATTATAACATCTTTTCACTTGCTTCAATTTCACTTGCTTCAATAACCCCATAGCCTACAACCAGAGAACAACCTAATCAGCAGACAATTAACACAACACAACCATGAATATATACATTTATCAAAATCTTTCTTACATGAAATTGGAGTGAGTGACGTTGCCGCAGGTTGTTGTCAGGGCTAGATAATGGAGGGATTGTAGAGACAAGGGCAGGTTCTCTGAGGTATATAGCCTTTAACCTGTTATAAGTCAATAAGATCCAACCACATCAGCATGATAAAAATTTGTCCAAATAATCAAATGCTTCAATTTTATTTCTTTTTGCCATAAAATCCTTCCTTTTTTAATTTTCACCTTTCACCAAAATTATTTTTCAGATTTTTCAAAATTACCCTTGACCTAATAATATTATAAAAATATAAAATTTGTCTTTTATATTTTCAATTACTCTCAAAAAAACTTTAATTCTTGTATGGTACTAATTATACACATGATTTTTCTAACTAAATTATTTTCATCTATTACACTATTTAGTGCACACGTGCGTTGCACGTGAGTCATTTGAGGATAAAATATTGTATATTGAATCCGTGAATAGCGGTGTTAATCGAGCCACGCTTTGCGACCTTGAATCTGAGCCTAGCGAGCTTATTTTTCTGAACGAGCCTAAAAAATTGTTCAAGTTCGGCTCGTTTAGAACTTAAACCGAGTCGAACCCGAGCTGAGTTTTGTGAACTTGAGCTAGTATTTTAGGCCCATTTTGCTAAACGAGCCTAAAAAATTGCTCAACCTCAGCTCGATTAGAATACGAGTCGAGTTCGAGCCGAGCCCGAATAGCTCATCTCGATTAACACCCCTATTTGTGAACTGTTTTTCCAAAAGTTCAACCCAAGTTAAAATTGATAATTGGCTACTAAATTATGCATCCCACAACGACAACAAAACTAATGCATTCACATCTAAAGCGCTTGTGTTGCACAGTTTCATTATTTTTATTTGAATCATCACAGCAAAAAGAAAATAGTGCCTTTAATTATCTATTCAGTAGCTTGATTGTAATTTCAAAACACATATTTCTTACTTTTTTTATTTTTAGTAATTAAAAAACAAAAATCATAAAAAGAGGATGGGTAGCATGTCAGCTTAAGCTTAAGTAACACGATAATCACAGTGAAGGTTAAAATAATAAAGAAAACATCCATAAAGAAAACTCAAAAAGAAGTCAACATTGAAACAAATACAGCCTAATAAATAGATTTTTATCTTATACATGCTGTAATTTTTTTTTTTCATGTGTCTACTCTCAACACTAAGACCTTACAACACAACCAGCTTGATGACAAATATTAATCCTCTCAACTTCAAACAATCTGTTGGCTTGTTCAACCCCCATAAAGAATTATTGAACCTCATCAGATGCTTAATATCACAAAAAGTGAAAAAATCTATCTATCCTATATATTATTCCAATCAATTTAGGATACAAAGGGCTTGAGAATACTTATTTCCTCATTTTACATTTTCTCTAAGAATTTTTATTTATTCAATTAGAACACAAGACTTAATTCAATCACATTCTACCATATTCCAATGTAACAACCCTTCCACCCCAGTAATTACCTACCACTCATTTATGTTTTTTCTAATAAATCATATCATCGTATTGTTAATTATATTTCTTATCTAGTATTCTAATTGATGAGGTGGAAAAATACAAAAAAATAAAATAAAAATGATCATAAATTTTTGTGGATTGCACAGGCGTTAGTACATCACCAATGAAAATTGAAGTGTACCATGCAGATTTTGAGAATTCAATAGATTCAATAAATACCCAAAATCACATCTATTATAAAAATGTCATCCATTACACTTTATCATTTAACACAATGCTAAATGATTTGATTATATAACCTGAACGATGTTGAAATCACTAGAGTTTATATTGTTGTTACAATAACAAGGATTGCAAGTCATACCACGAGACTATAGATATGCTAAAAAGAACAAGTAACAAAAGAGAACCATATTAAATTTGTCTTCAATATAGAGTCACTCGTTAAACTATCACTAATATTAAAATTTTTATTTCTGTAAAATTTATCAAAATTTTTTTTTTACATAGTATATAGAAAATTTTTATTTGTGTAATATTATTTATTTTCAATAAATAGAAAATTTTATTTCAAAATTCTTAATGAATTATTCCTCAAGTATCCCACTATATGATAGTGGATCTCTAAAGGAAAGCTTGTCAATGTGGCATCTATTTGCCAAGTACATACAAGTGTGTGCACATATCATCCTACTACATTAAATAAATCAACTATACGAGGCTATTTTCACGAATTATCCACCAACTCAGCCTTGTAACCATAACTATCCCAAGAAAAAAAAATCTCGTGTGTTTTTTAACCGCATGTGTATGAAAATAGTCTTAGACAAAGGATGGATATGATTATCTAGATTATCATAGGATAAATCTTGAGCACACAACATTGGATACCTGTATTAAATGTATGTATTAATAATTGTTATGATTAAGAGAAGAAATAAAAAATTTAAGAACTTGTTGGTAGAACTTAAATGTATGTATTAATAATTGTTATGATTAAGAGAAGAAATACAAAAATTCAAGAACTTGTTGGTAGAACTCAAGAGGAGAAAAAATATTTCTACTCAACGACATGTTAAAAGAAATGGCGTGATCTTTAAAAATATGACATATGTGCAGTATGATAGTAGATTATGTTCAAAGAATTAAAATGTAAAGTGAAAGAAACTTATTGGTGAGGTTTTATGGGCAGATAGTTTGTCTATTATTGGGAAGCTTTATGTAGCAATTCCATCCATTTTTTATTACTATTATGGTTGTATGTTAAAAAACTATGATGTTAATTAAATAATACAAGGTCTATAATTATGAATTTTGATTTGCATGCTTCATGCTTGGTCATTTTTTATTTTCTTGACCCTATTACGTTTTATCATGACCTCATGACCTCAAATTTTCTTTTCCTAGTATCTAAAAAAAGCTATTTTCTAGTTATTAGAGTAAAGACAATCAATTTTTAGCGAATCAAGGTAATCAGGCATGCGAGATTTTCATGCCGCAAATGATTAAGTAAAAAATGTGTAAAAGAGCATACCTATTTTCCCATTCCTCCCATACCAATCAGGATTCTTTTTCAAACAATAAACCTATATTTGGAGTAAAAATATGAGAGAATTGATACTAAACCAATATATAAAGAAGAAGAGATTTTTTCTCTAGTGTTAAGTGTAAGGGAAAAAATTATGAAATCCAAACTAAGTCCATATTTGTGAGAAGACAAAGTAGAGAAGTAACCTGGAGACTAAAGAGGGCACATGTTCGGTCTATGTTGTAAAAGCAAAATTTTAATGCACAACTATGAACTTTTTATTACGAGAAATAGTTCAAATAATTTATGCTTGTGTTTCGTATAGAGAGAATAGTTTGAGAGTGAAAATTGTGGTGCAAACTAGAGCGAGAGGAAGATGAGGGTTTTTATAGATAGAGTTTCCGCGATTAATCCTAATAATTTAAGATCGATTCTACTTCTACATGCTAAGATTGATCCTAAAATTGTTATAATAAAATCACAAACATCACATCAAAAACCTTAAAAAGTAATTTTTTTTTTAAATTGACACTAACTTTTCTATTAAAAAAAGATCTTTCAGAAATTATAAATTTTTTTATCATACCTTATTCAATATCGAACTCGAATCCTATAGGCTAATCAAATTTCAATACATTTTATTTCAAATAGGTAGATATCACTGATAAATAATTTGGAGATAGAGGTTAGGAGTCACACAGAGTCCACTTAAGTTCAAATTAAAAATGAGCCTAGTCTAAAAATCTCGGATTGTTGTTATAAAAGAAACGTTTAGCACTACATTACTCTCTTCGGTGGTATACTGAATTTTTTTACGAGTCGTAAATCTTTTCTTAATTTATTTGTAACCATTAATCTTAAAAGTAAAATAAATAATAAAACATAAAAAAAAAAAAACTGTACATTCTGGATGGTCAATGAAAACAAAAAATGGGAGAAAAACTAGATCTGAAAAGTCGTAAAGGAGAGAAAGAGAGAGAGACAATTAGAGGAATCTGGGGTTGTTGATCGAGAGAGAGACGAAGGGGCTAGACTGTGGGTGTGTGTGAGAGAGAATAGTCTTCACCCCGTATCCACTTCAAAAATATTCATCCATTCTGATCCAGTCCTATTAATGGGGGAAATTCTGTTCCCATCCCCCGAGTAAATTTTAATTCTCATCCCCTTTCTCGTCCTTGTCATCGTCTCCATCAACAATAATTCATTTCTATGATTTTAAGAAAAAAAATAAAACCTCATAAATGGTTATTTAAGACAAATGAAACCCCATTATATACCAAATAGATCACAAAAAAAAAATGGTAAAAAAAAGAGTGTGTGGATGAATGGGGTTTTATGATATTATATATATGTACTAGTAATTATCCAAGTGTCTAAAGGCACTAAATGACAAAAAAAAATGAAAATTATAAATTTGTGCATTAGCAAGAGGTTTGCTTTTCTCTTTTTATTTTAATATGAAGATAAAACAATTCTAATTTAATCGCATAAGAAGCATGCAAAGAAAAATTCAACCATAGCCCTTAAATATATGCACATGCAAAAAGGATAAATACAACTGCTTTTACTTCATAAATATGCTTAAATCTACTTCATGGACAAATAAAACTTCATAAATTTTAAACTGAGGTTAGTCGGTGGTTACAAAGATCACCTATTACATATATTTATTCTCCTGTAATATTACATATGCAGACTAAAGCACGCAAATTATATTTTGAGAATTATTTGGGAATCAACTCATTTAATTTGACTATAAGGCTCATGATTAAGAAAACATAAGACAACCCACTCAAATAGCCCGATGAAAGCGATATATTAGCTAATTTTGTTTTCTTTGCTAGTCTATATGCTGATCCCACAAAATAAAAGGGCCATGAATTGCCAAAAAAATCAGAAAAACTGTAACAAAATATGATGGCTAGTTAGCAAGCTCCACACCAATGTCACTGTCCCAAAAAAAAAAAAGCTAGCATAATAGAATAAAATAGGCTAAGCAAGTTCTAGTTTGTAGTAGATTTGCAAAAAACCCTACAAAATTTATAAGCAATTACATTCTCTTTTATTAAGCAGGATTTGAAGAGAAAAAATTCAATAAAGAATCAGAAGAATCATATCATCAGCACCATAATACAATTGAAAATTCTAGAAAATGTCAACCTTCACATTCAACACAATTCAAAGTTATCAAATTAGCCAAAACAATATGAATTCTTGAACTATTGAGATTGAGAGGTTGGAAAAAAAAAAAAAGAGCAATTGAACTTGGATTACCTCAAATGGCAAGGATTTATGAACTTTCAAACTTTTCTCTCAGTCATCTCAATTTCTATCCCAATGTAAACATGCACATAGACACTTCACAATTTTTTTTTCAAAACATAATTGAACTAAAGATCTCTAATTTTTCCACCTTCAACTTTCCATATCCCTTTAAACTCATAATTCTTTTTTGACCAATTAGAAAATTTTCTTTTTCCAAAAAAAAAAAAAAAATCAGATTTCTACATCAAAAGAGACAAAAAAAATTGAAAATCTACATATCCAAGTCATTGAATGCTTCAATGACTTAACGCTAATTATTTCAACTAATTCAAATTCTAAGGTCAAAGAACATAGCAATTACCTACAGGACATCATTCCCTTGGGATATTAGAGGCAAATCAGCTCAAAGCCTTCAACCAACTTAAATGTATTCTGCCATCCGGATATGAAAAGTTAATAAATCAGGAAAATCAATGACCATAAATATCAAAAAGCTTGCTCAGTTGTAGCTTTCAAATTCTGCAGAGGTACCCTTTATACATAGATTTAAGGAGTAGGACCAAAACAAAATAGAAAATGTCATTAACTGATGGTCATAGCTATTAGGACCCTTTCTTTATGGATGACAAAATTTAAATAAAATATATAGCTAAAAAATCAACAATAGAAAGTATGAGAAATTACCTTCCAAGAGCATTGTGTGGCATCCCTGAAGTGTTTATCATGCATTCGTTTGACAAAATTATAGAACATGGTGTCTGCACAAACAAAAAACAAATTTGAGATTTCCATAAGTTTGAATTAATAAATAAATTACTGTAGCAAATACTAAGGTAAAGCCCGCAATATAATTCTTTGAAGAAACAAAACTCATAGAGGCCATAGTCAAGTTCACATATTATTGCCCCGTACCAAAAAACACTGTATAGCACAAAAAATAATTTTATTCTACAACATTTAATAAAATTTTCAAGCAATTTTGAGCATGTATCGTAGAAAGTAGACATTCAATAAAAGATCACCCACACACTGCGAGCAAGTACAACAATATTCCATGAGACAAACTGAAATATAAAATTACATAACTATATGAGCTACATGTTCTTTGCATTTTTTTTATTTTCCATAGCACCCATGCTTCTAAAACATGATCATTTACAGATGGCTATAATAGGCACTAAATAGACTTAAAAATAAAAATAATAGGAATGCCTCTAGTTATCTTGGTTCGGGTGGTGAAGAGAGCTATAACCACATGAGCATTTTATAAGTCCGTTTTGTTATGAAAATCACAGGTTCCAAAAGTTTTAAGAGATTGACATTTGAACGCTTGATGAAAAACAAAATTTATATAGTGCATGACACAAACAGAAATTACCCAAATTGATGACAATCCTTCATTCAAGCAAGAACAGTTGATGAGTCCCACTGCCAAAAGAAAGCCCGTGGCTATGCTGGTGTGCAAGAAATATCCACAAAATGCTTATGTGCAGGAAATAGTATTTCTGGAACTACTGGCAACACAATAATTATCTCAAACCCAAAACCAACATACCCACCATTCAACATTAAAAATCTAGTGTTTTGGGGCATTTTGTCAAACATATTGTGTGCGTAGTGTGTATGTCCTGAACGTGTTGTTCGTTGTGTATGTCCTATGCAGTCAGCGGAGAGAGAGAAATACGGAGTGGGAGAGAAACAGAGAAGCAGCGGTGTAAAGGGGATGGTAAAAAATAGAAAAAAAACTGAGATACCTGGCCAACTTCTGGGTGTTGAGTAGTGGGTGGCGGTGGCTGTCGTTTGACAGGGGTTTTGCTTCGCAGAAGAGAGCAACGATGAAGCTCTAGATGTGAGAGAGAACTGGGCGTGAAAGAGAGTAGTGGGCGACGGTGGATTTGCTTTGCAGAAGAGGACAACGTTAGAGAGCTGGGCATGAGAGATAGGGGGATGAGTTTGGGGTGAATATTGAGTTTGGAAGGCAGGGGTTTCAAGGAATAGAGGAGGTGATCGTAAGAGAGGTGTGAGATTACGGGATTCGGAAGATTTGAGATTGGGAGATAGAGCCAGAAGTGAGATTGAGATGGATTTCGCGAGAGAGATTGAGACGTGAGATTGTCAAAAAAATTTGAGATTGGGAGAGAGATGCAGAAGTGAGATCGAGAAAGATTCGAGAGATTTCCGAGGAGGAGAGATAGGCGTAGTATCTTTCTTATAATTTTGTTTTCTAATACGTTTTGAATACGGGAATTTTAATTTTGTGTAATTATTTTTTATTTATATTAGAATTATTTAATAATTTATTTAATCCCTGTACAACAATTTTAAACGACAGATATTTAGTAACGAATAAAATATGTTATAGTAATTGAAATCACTTATAACATATGTAGTGTAACTTTTGCTATTATAATATATGTTATTTTGATTTGAATTGCGTAACAACTAAAATATGATGTCTTTGAGTTAGCTTGAATAATTTATTCTTGAGATTGATTATACAATGGTTTGTGCTAAGCAATTATGCAATTTATATTTGTTAAAGACATGTTAAGATTTTCCTTGGTTCGTATTTTAAAATGAAATTTTGTTGAATTTTTTTAAAAAGATAGCAAGAATTATATTGATTTCAATTTCTTTACTTTTAGCAAATGAAGAAAAAATTATTTCAAATAATTTTTTTTTAAAGTTGTAAAGTGCTTTTAGGCACAAATTATTACTAGTTTTTTTTCTATATTTTATAGTGATTGAAAATCGTGAATATAGATTTGTTATGGATAACTTGTGTCTGAAGATACGATACAACAGCGTAAGTAAAAAGTGATGGATTGGAGAAAAAAATTCAATGTGAATAGTTTTGAGAGAGATGTTGGTGTCCGTTAAATGAATTTGTTTGAGACCGTCAAATGTACTTATTAAAATCTGATTTGTTTTATATTATAAACTAAAAGTAACTCATGCCTAAAAGCACGGTGTAACATAAGTGATAAATAATAGATTTAGGGGAGGAGAAATTTAATGTGAATGGTTTTGAGAAAGATATTGGTAGCTGTTGAATAAATTTATTTGAGATCGTCGAATAAACGTATTAAAATTTACTTTATTATAAATTATAGATATAGATTACACTTTTTTTTAAATGTACTTTAATATTACGTCTATTGGGAGTAAGCTTTTGGCTGTGCAAAAAAAGATTCTCCCTCTCTCATTATCACTTAAAAAGTTAAAATCTTCCAAAGATCTGCTGCTGTGATTTTGGAAACTTTTTAAATTGGGCATAGGATAATCTGGGTGTGAGATCATGCAGCAATATTTTTGGACTAATGGCGATTATAGGGCCAGGGCGGCCCAACCACAAGGCCCAAAAGTCTGAACATTAGGTTCCATATTTCAATAAGGTCTTAAATTTTTAAAAGGTCATCTGGTGGCCGGTTTTTTTAAGTAAACTTATTTGAACTTAAGTACACTCAAAAAAATTATTTGGAGATAAGTTCATTTTGATTTCTATTGTCCAAAATACCCTCGATAGTTATATTTAATCAAATTTTGTTTGAAAAAAATTAACAACTCCTAAATTGAAAATTGTATTAGTATTAACAACTCCTAACTTAAAAATTGTGCTAGTTTTAAATTTAATTATTGCAATAGAATAACATTATATGTGATTATTTATTCTGTTATGAAATGTCACTCTATTACAATGATTAAATTTTTAATCAAATTTTTATTGAGTATGCTACTGTTTGATATTACTATTTTTTTAAAGTGCATAGTAGTCCAAACCAAAAAAAAATTAGACTCATAAGATTTTAGGTCTAAAAAAAAAACTTTATGGAATTTAATCCCCATAAAAAAAAAAGTGAGTAGTTTGGACTCATGAACTCAACCCATAATACATAAAAACAAAAAATTTAGGGAAAAAAAATACTAACGGTCAAAAAAAATTCAAATTGATCAACTAAAACACACTATTCATTTTTAAGCATTCATTATCTCTCTTTCTCTCTCCGTCTCCTACCTATTTGTCCGAAATATAAAATTTAAAAATCACATGTTACAAATTATTTTTGATTTATATTACAAAAATATACTAAATTTTTTTATTTTTTTTAAATTTAAAAATTACAATTAGCAGGCTATAATTGTTTAAAATAAAAAGATTTCTTTAAAATTAAATTTATAAAATATTCTTTAAGATCAACTATCACAAAAAAAAAAAAAAAAAGAATACTATCAATATAAAAAAAATCTTATAAATGTCACTTATCTAGCACTATATTAAAAGAAATTGAAAAGCACGGGTAATGGATAGGATCCAAACCCTAAAAAGATATGATAGCGAAACTTATTAAACATAAAAATTAATAGTACTTTTAATCTCAAAACAATAAAAAGAATATATTTTAAATAAAAATTATTAATATTAAAAATAAAAAGACTCACTTTTAGTCAGGGGTGTTCACCCTACTTTACAGGTGAAAAATATGATCTTCTATCTTCCTACTCAATACTTTACGGAAGAAATTTTTCTTACCTTATATTATATTTTTACTCGAATTCCGTTCAAATTAATCGAGTAAAAAATCAGGTGAAAATGTTTTACAGTTATTAATTTTTGAATCATTTTAACAATTTAATTAAGTAATTTATACTAATTTAACAACACAATAAATCAATAACACTAAAACCTAAAACAAATTAAAAATCATATTCTATAATTTAAATTCTTAAAAAATTATATACAAAATCTTAGAAATCATATATAATAAAATCTCAAAAAAATCAAAAATTACATACTATGGATTTAATGCGAAAAGGGTGAGAGAGACAAGATGAAAAGACAAGACATGTGAGATAAGAGGCTGACAAGGCATTATATACTTAGGGTTTTTAATTTATATATATGCACACACAGGTAGGGTAGAATAGGAATATAAAAATTTGATAAATATTTCACATTTTTATCTGATTTAATCGAAAGGCAAAAAATTCTTCTACATTGTTACTTAATTTTTTTGGTTAATTGATCAATAAAATTTGATATGATAGAAAATTATGAATAATCAAAAATTTAAACACTCTTAGTTATAGTTGTCACAATTAGGACTAAAATAGCCTTGGACCGTCCCTGCATGGGCATGCAATGTTATTTGGAAATCCGTAATTGGGTGAACAAATATTATGGGAAGTGTGGCTGATTTTGAAATCTCCTAAAATTTTCAAAACCTCCATAATTTTTTGCATTTCCATGGACGAATACATAAAATTACGGAGTCCGTCTCAAAATCTGTAACTGGTATTTTAGTAGAGTATGGACGAATCTCCTACATACACACAGCGCAGCCGCTGCTTAATTCATTCACTCCTTCCATGTTCATATCCAGTCGTTGCTTACTCTCTCGCTGCTTCTCTCTCTCCGCTGCTCATCCATACGCACAACACACACAGCAAAGAAAAAAAAAATAGAATGAATATATAAGGAGGTGTTGGTAGCTAATTATTGTTTCTACCATGGGCTTTTTATACAGGTGTAAAGTTTGGGGATGATTAAGAGGATGATGAGTTATGATCTGATTAAGGATCCTACAAAATAAAAGGAAAAATACCCCCCCCCCCCCCAACCCCACCCAAATACACAAAAAAACACACCAACTCTATATTTATAAGAACTCCTCCAATGACATTGCGTTAAATCCACCGCCCCCGAACTGACCCTTGACACTGACTATATACATTATGGCATGGCAATCCTCATCTTTTGTCTGGGCAAGAACTAAATTCATTGAAACTGGGAATTCCCATTTCCTTTCTATGTAGCAAGGATCCTATATGTTGCAGCTTCCATCAAGGACAACAACTGTGCTAGTGTTAAAAGAACCAGAGAACTCTTTAACTACATATGCATATGATTTCAATAGACAGGAAAAGAAGAACATGTCGGAACTTTCATGTAAAACACGGAGTGAGAGCTACAGGAGGTCTAACCTGACTGGATGAGATTCTGAGATGTCACCTCCCATTCTCCAGATACACAATGATTGACTAGCTTACTTTGCTTCCAGTCTGACTTAAGGGTTCTTGTTTACGCGTTGACAGTGCTCTCACTTCCATTCAATCGATCCAGAAGCATAGGAAATCCCTCTTCCGGACTATCTTTTACTAAACTTAATATGACATCCTCCATCAATTCTTCAAGAATGACCTTCCCAATCTCAACACCAGTATGTCCAGTCTCGAATCGGAGGTCTATCCATGTCCTGGATTTTGCCAAGTCTTTTCCGACAAGACGATCCAAAGAACGAGGATGAGGAACCTTCTGGAGAAGATGCCATTCAACTCCTTCCCATACCTCATGGATAAGGTTCATGCTCCTTGGGACTGGCCGAATGCCCTGTTTAAAAGATGATATTCTAGGGAAGCAACCAAAATAGTGCTCACATATTTCCTTCAGCACTTCATTGGTACAATCAAATAGGAGCTTCTGGTCATGACAAGATCGGTTGGAAAATAACTCTACCTCATCAAACAATGATGGGTCAAGAACTTCATCCAAAGAAAGCCACCTCCAGAGAAATTCATCCCAGTTCAAATCGGAACCTAGCAGCACTGCTTCTACATATTCAAATGCAGATTCCTCTTCCTCCATAGAAGTTCTTGCACAGATTCCTTGTTCAGTAGCAGAAGACAACTGTTCTTCAAAATGGATTTGTAGTGGTTGGAGAGCTGATTCAACTGAAAGTTTTAGAATGGCCTTAATTAAGCACAAGAGCAATAGGATCTACAAAAACATTAATTGGACATGAAGATATAATACCTAGTTACGAAAGCCTACCAGGTCGGACTATGGTGCTTGCAGGGCTGATATCATCATCTACATATAACTGCTCAAGAACTGAGATGGGACTGGGCCGCTCTAATCTATCAATGGTACTTTCAGGACCTTCAATTTTTCTTGTGACTGATGTGCTTGAGGGGGAAACTGACGGAGAAGACAATACCTGAACCTCTTCAAAATCCTGGAAAAGAGAAACAATGTTCTGACACTGTGTGATAGAAACAAGGACAAAATATTACAGCACAAAAACACGGGATAATTGCAACATGGAAAGTGCCTCTATTCACTGGTGGGGGTTTATTCTTCCCAAATGAGATTCGAAACACTTGACTAGGGAAAATATAGCAGTGTAATAGAATCTGCATTAAAAATAAAAGCAACAAAATGGAACCAATTTCAAGCATTGAGATCTTACTTCATCGGATACTTCAGCAGTATCACAATCCTGGACATCTCGGATAACTAACGAGCCACTTGCTTCATGTGAAACATCCAAGGTTTTGCCATTTTCCTGGTATCCAGTATCGGTTGGGTTTAGAATCTCTACCACTCCTGTATAGATTATACAAACTGAGATCAATACCAACAGTTGTCAATATGAGCACAATGATAAACAAGATTCTTCCCACCGGGTTTTTGATAACAGTAAAGTACCTTGGGAACAAATCTCATCTCTTGTTGAAAAAAGGGTTTCTTCCTCAGAACTATCCCTATTAACTTCACATGAAAGACCTGGAATTGAATTAGGAGATGGTAGTTTCTCATCAGGGTTGTCATCAGTAATGCGTGGTTGACTCTCAAAATTTTGCAATGATGAACTCTGATAAACAGCTGGTTTTTCTCGTAAGGGGTTCTTGTTGACCATTTTAAAATTGCTGTGAGGAGATAATCGCATCTGTGCAGTTACAAACCCGTGCTCATTGTCCTTTCCAGGACTACTGCTGGGAGAAAAGTTGTACTCAGGAAGAGAGAGAATTCTCCCCAGGGTTTCTGGTAATTGCCCGCTAATTAATGCTGCATTTTCGTCTCCATTGATTAGCATCTCTGAGAGATGTTTTTTGGCCTCGATATAGATGTTAGATACCCCTTGTCGGGGATATCCGCTGGTTTCGCTTGACATACTTGTCTCAAACGCTCTTGACTTATTAATCTTGTCTCTCTTCTTGACACCAATCGAAGGTTTCACAAATTTTTCAGTATAAAAATGATTACGATTTGGAGAACTCCATCCAGTACTTTCCCCACCAACCCCCTTCTCACCATCCCCCAAGTTTTGATGTATGGGAGGAAATCTGTAGATAGTACTATCAAGAGAGATCCCATGCTGTTCCTTTCCCATAGCATGCTTTAGCTTTCTTTTAATTTCAGTAAAAGAAAATAGGGAAGCATTCCTTTCACTATGCACTCTCTTCTCCATGGTGTAACCAGATTGCAATGATGTGCTGACATTGATTTCAGTGTCAGAATTTCGCAAGCCTGCTGGTCCAGGTTTCAAAATGACAATTCTCCTGGAAGGTGGACATGTTTCATTTCCACTCCTTGAGATATTCTCCCGAGACCTGCTCCTTCGCCTGAAAAAGTTCCGGCGTTTGCGATTGACTAGCTCATCCGGTCTTGAGTTGGTCGGCTTCTCTTCTAACATGTCTAATCCTACCAATGACTTGGAAGTTTGGTCTTCATCTAACTGAGCATTTTCCAATTCTTGAATGCACTTCACCAGTGGTGATTTTGGATCTTCCACAAGCTTGAAGAGCAATTCCTTATTTGAACTTAACATCTGAAGCGCATCCGTGAATTCTTTGGAGTGGTCGGTCTTCCCATCATTTGTAAGATGCTTTTCATTAGTAAACCTCTGATCTATAATCACCTTAATTGCTGTGGTTATTTTTTCTTGAAAACAAGAATGTGCTTGGTTAGACTGCATATCAAGGTCATCATGCCAATCAAGCTTCACAGAATTGGTACTTTTCTGATGGATCTGGTGGCAGAGTTCTTCCGTTTTGACCAGATCAAGATTGATTGATTTTTTTCTCCTTACAATTTGGTGACTAGAGTTTTCTGGCTCTAAGAATCTAGATGCATCTATATTGCAGATCGGCATGTCACAAGATTTATTGCAATTCTTGTTTATTTGCTTATGGCTTCTTCTTGCATGATCCCCATGTTCTGAATCAAACTGTTTCAGTTCCGCTTCAGGGCTATTCGTGTGCTTCTTTGAACCCTCCTCATTACACATTTCTTCTTGCACGAGTTCTTTTACACTTGTCTTCACTGCATCAGCAGTTGCTGTTTTCCTTTCTTCACCATCCTATAAATTTCCAAGTTAATAACACCAGCTTGATGGTTACAACATAAAACTTACAATAGCAGTATACATATATAGACACAAAACACTTGATAGCAATGATACACCCATCTGATTTCTTGATGGCCTAAGGTAAGTTGCCAATGCTTACCTTAATGCTCTGACATTTCTCTTCAAAATTTGTCACCATGTCCACTTTTGCCCTAGAATAACCAGAACCTACCAAAATAGGGGAAAAAAAACTCAGGCTTTCAACATGTGGAGAATTGCAATGTGGAGAAGCTGAAAATATGAACTAATGAGGTACAGTGAAAATTTTTGGCGTTATATCTTCAAAAAACACCTTTTCTGCCTAACAAGGTTTAAATTACCCACTAAAAAGCCCAAGCAAGCTCTCCTGCTGCTGGCTTCCAATTGTTCTTGACATCTTGTCTAGCATGGTTTAAATTGTCCACTGAAAAGCTCAAGTAAGCTTTCCCTTTGATATCATGGCACATCATTGTTCTCCTCCATCATTATTACCTAGCACTATAACGTGTTTGAAAACTTGTGGAGTGTCTTTGACTTCCTAGTCTTCAACAAATAAAAATGTAAAATGGAAATACAAATTTTAGAAACATTATTCCGGGCTAGCAACTATTTCTTGTTTAAGTATGCCATACATTAAGAACCAGAGAATATAGTACGTAGTTTAATCTACATATTAAACAGTGTTCTCACCAAAAGCATGCCTGCTCCCACGCCTCCTATCTGAAAGCAGTTTTCGAGTGGGTCGGCCATGGCGAAAGTCAAGGATACTAATCAAACCCCATATACAGCCTGTCTGATCCTTTTCATGCCGAAGAGGGCGTCTAAGTGATCTCTTTGCCATACCAGGATAAGTAATTCTTTTGACTTTAGCAAGTACTGCTCACCCAACTTGCCTGACCAATACAACCTCGTTCAACCTGACAAATGAAATCGGAAGACACATAAGATTAAAAGAACAGACAGTGAAGTTCAGAAATCCAGTGTGCTGACTTACACTACAAAGTTTCTGAAATAAACCTTTTCTAGCCGGTTCATATGAAGCACTTTTTCTAGAGAAAAGACGCAGAGAAGAATATACAACCCCCCCCCCCTCTTTCTTGCTCTCTCTCTTCACACACACACAAAAAACCCCAGCAAAGAAAATGCAGAAGTACAAAATCCATTTGTCATCTTTGCAGAATAATATACAGACCTACTAAAAAACACAAACAAGGAAGAAAAATTACCTGAAAATTTGGGCACTTAAAATCAATGCAGCCAACAAAAACAAGTATCTAGCCAAATATAACCTTGAAGAAAATCAACAATCCCTTCAAATTCTCAAGCTATCCAACAGAGTGAAGCTCAAGAAACTATAGCTTCCTGTGAATGACAAGGAATCCCTTTTTCTCTCCTTCAGTAAGCCTCCGCCAGTGCTTCACATTCGCTACTACAATCGCCAACATTTGGTAATTGCAATCTGATCTTCCCTTGAAAGAATATACCAATCATGATAATTGTATGCACTCTAAAGTCTAAACCTCCAAAAGTATCATCAAGTAATCTCTCAATAGTCCACAAATCAAATCTCAGTAAGAAAAATCGATCAACAATCCATTCATTTGAATGATGTGATCAAAATTTCAGAAGGTACTCAATCTTGCCCTTTTAACGCCGCTAAACCAACATCTCATTTTCAATGTTTCAACCCAAAACCTCAGTGCTTCCTCTACATTATTTCCAAAACAAACAAGCTAACAAATTTTTGTAGTTTATAGGTCGCATTCTTAAATCAGAAATTCTGATTAAAAATGTGTACTGTTCAACTACTCAATTACCAAAAAAAAACTGTAATGACATCTCAATTCGCTCCAATTTTCAGATTCTCCCTATAAAAGCCTAAAACATCAGGATTTTTGATATTCCAAAACTCAATTGTCTAAGCTAACAAAGATCAAATATCCAAGCTTTTCTGGGCAAACCAGAAATGGCTACAATCAATCTTCTTCAATTGTAGTACACCCACAAAAATTACAATCAAAGAAGAAGCTTTTTTTTCGTCTGATAGTCTTAAGATTACAAAAATCAGTCTTGTGACCAATTGTAAGCATTCTAAAAAAAACCCGGGAAAGAAAAGAAAATAATCTGATACTGAAACTTTTTTGGCTTTGTGGGTACCTTCACCGAAAAAAAAGAGAACCCATATGGCTAAAACACCGGCACACCTATTCTAATCGAGGAAAAAGATACGGGACAGCAGATAAAGACCGATGAAAGTGGAATAACAGAGGAGAGAGAAAGAGAAGAAGATGTGGAAGAAGAAAAAGAAAAGTTTGAAAAGTGAAAGTTGGTGAGAGCTTTACAAAGGTGGTCAGTCTGCTGATGGTCCTGAAAGGAGAAGAATGCTCGACACCTGCGTTCGTATTGTTTGTAGGACCATCAACACAAGAGCTTTCCTCTGAAGAAACGCCTGGGGTGGTTCCATTTTCTTCTTCTCTTCAGCTTCACGTTCAAGAACCATCAACACCACCCCACCCCACACCTCTCTTTCTATTTCTTTCCCTCTCCCTATACGGGTTGCACACGTGGGCACAGTCAGACAATGGACCAGCATTCGAGGGAGGTAGGGAAGGAGAGAAAGTTATGAATTGACAAAATGTTTGAGACTTGAGAGGGCGAATGGAGGGATATATCTCACCTAATATCAAAAACTAATTTACTTAATAAGTAATATAATCATATTATCATAATATCCCTATAATATCACCTAAACTTGAGAGGATAGGGCCTCCGACCAAAAAAACGAAAAAACAACGCCCACCCCCCATGGAATTAATCATGGAACTCAGTATTTAATGAGACCTACAATTAATTGAATCAAACTTGAACAAATTTTTCAAACTCATTTTTTAAATAAATTTAAAAAATTATTCAAATTCAATTCGTTTAGAAAATAAGTCAAATTCGAGTCGAACCCAAAACAAAATTGAACCATAATAAATTGATTATTTTACATATAAACAAACTAATCTTTGCAACTCCAGTTAAGTCCTTTAGACCCATTTTTTAAATAAATCTAAAAAATTATTCAAATTTAACTCGTTTAAAACACAAATTAAACTCAAATCAAACATTTTTCTAGTTGAACTCATATAATTCAACTCAATTATGAGTTCTATTTTTAATCAATTTAATAATTATGATGAATTAAAAAATTAAATCATGTCTATAAACTAAATCTAAATAATATTATTGAAACAATAATATTTATTTAATTTTTATATCAAATGTTGTGTCATATTCACGTGTGATTTGATATAGAGAACTGAAAATTGAAATTCAATAAGAATAGTAATACTCTTTTCAATAAACAGTACACGAACAAAAATTTTTAGTCATTAGAGAATTGTTATTACACAATATTTGTTAGTGATTAGAAGTTGTTAGGAACAATATAGTTGTAAAAGTTTGACTTATTTTCTTCTTGTTACTATGCATAATTCATTGGGCATTACTTTTTTTGTCCTCAAAATTGAAAAAACTCCCCATTGGAATCCTATGTTTATGTCAAAGAAATCATCATAGCAATGATGATGATAATAAAGATCGAATTTGGGACTCAAAATTCGAATGCGTTGCCTCTCTTCCACGGCAGCAATGCATAAACCAATATATTTTAAAGAGTTTGTAATCCTCAACTTGAGAGATCAACCCCAAGTTAGTCTAGTAGTTGCTCAATTACTTGATAAACCATTTATATGAATTTGTCGAAAGTTTGAATATTTCACAAAATATAGTCCCTTAGAATCACTGTCTATAAATTTACTCTTTTGTGTAAATAGATAATTTTACACAAGGTCTAATATTAATCCAAAAATCTATTGAACTAGCACTGGAATATCCAAAAAAAAAAAACTCGAGAGATCAAACCGATACCATCTGACCTAGAAGAACGATGACCATCCAAAGTCCAAATACCAAGGCACAAAATTCACCCAATTAATCAATATACCAAAGATGTTAGCCTGACATCAAGAATTGAATTTTCCTTTCAACGTATTTTTTTTATTCTTTTTAATAAATCATCTTATGTTAACCCACAGATCAAACTTATTGTATATAACTAGTTCGAAGAAAAAGAATTGTTAGAACAGATCTGATTCCACAATTTTCCGGTCCAAAAGTCATAAAAAGTATCTTGGAAATATGAGGAGTGACTACCAGCTAACCCTAGTGGTGATTTATTGTCTAATGGGAAGGCCCACCATAGAAAACAGCTAAACACCCCCCCCCCCCCCCCCCCCCCCCTTCTTCCTCTCTTTCTTCCCCACCAAGAAAGAAACCCACCCCACCTTCTGCCTATAGTATCAAAACTTCCATTATGTATGATAATATGAATACTAATATGATTTAGTGAAATCAATCCAAAACTTGAAACTCGTTAGATTGAATTATTACTTTTTTAATACAAGAGTGAATACATGAAATAATTTTTTTTCCTAACGATAATTATAATGCCATCAAAATTGTAATCACGTCCTAAGAATCTACCGGAGATATCCATATGGTTTCTTGTTTTAACAAAGAGGGCCCACTTGTTGAAATGTATTTTTATCGTTTATTCAAAAAATTAGGGTGCAATTATATAGGATAGCGTTGGGGATAGAGATGACTTACTATGTGTTTTATTATTGTCTGATCCTTGTAATTTGGAATTTACTAGCATATAAAGACAGCTAGCCCAATAAAGACAGCGCCCTTTTTTCATGCCAATATTGAATGAGCTTGCGTGCCCTTGAAGCGATATTACATTATTATTAAAGTGAGGGATGGGGAAATGGTTTACACAAAATGGACCACAACATTCATGCCTAAATTTAATCGTTCCACACCAACCTTTTTATCTGTATACGCATGGTGGGTGATTGATATAATTTAGACTCAACGATAATAAGTATTCACCCTATTTAAGTTATACGTTGTATATCCGAGTATAAAAATCATGCTCATCAAATTATAGACAAAATTACTCACCAGGTAAATCTCCTCAATCTCATGCATAAGTAACGGATTCTATAAACTAAGAGTAATACTATATGAATCTAAAAATTTGACCAAATTTATTGATATAATGATGTGATTTCAATAGAGCCATTAGATCAAGACCAAACTCCAATGTTTGATGGGCCCTACAATTAATCCAAATGTCATAATAAATTAAGTCAACAAATTAAGTCAATAAATTAGACCGGTTCCTCTTTTAATAAACTCAACTACGAATATTCACGAAGAAATTAATGTCAAACTCTTGCTTTTAACTACTAAATCTAAAAAATTCTTAATGCCGATAACTTCTATTTCGTTGACCCCCGAACTTATAAAATATTTTTTAATGTTTGTCAATAATGTTTCTACGTGCCACTATTACCTTAATCAATAATACAACCTAAACTTTTTCACATAGTTGGATAAAGTTAGATTACCAGATTAGGTTCAATTGGATTAGAACATGAGACTTAATTTGGTTAATTTGTTGGTATATTCAGTTGGATATAGATTATCATATAACACTGATGAAAACAACCTTGACTTGACATTTCTAGCTTAAGCTTTTCTTGTGTCTTTTGATGGCGGGTGGGCTAATTTCTCTAGGAGAAGGATTGTGGATATTCCCGTTTCAACCACTCACTTTAAACATTGGATGCTCCTACTTTTGAAAACTTAATGCCTTGAATGATGATAATATATCATGGGAAAGCAAAGTAAAAGCTCCATCAGTTGCATCGGACTCATTAAAGTAATGAAGATTATGTGGTGTAATTTAGTATGATATACGTGAATTATATTTTTTCTGAGAAAAATTTCAAAAAATATTATACTAAAAGTTATGACTCAAACTGAATTATGACAAGCAGTCGATTTAAAAAAGATAAGATTTATTCTAATTTTCGGTGTGATAGTAAATTTATAGACTTTGTGATGTGAACTATTATGAGTTGAAAAACTAGGAAGGGCTCGGAATGATGATTCATCGCATAATCATATAATACTCACCATAATGCATCTGCCGACAGTGGTCTAGGAATAGAAGATCACCATAGTCATATGTATGCTTGATGGGGCATCTCATACCGTTGGCTGTTTTTGATCATCCGGTTCTTAGGAATCTGGATTTTGTGGTTAGGCCGAACTGAACAATCACTGCAAAGCAAGAAAAGGTTGTTGATGGCTATAAACAATGGGAGTATATATAATAATCATAAACAAACGTCAAGGGGCTTTGCTTGATGCTTATCTATACAGCCTTCTTGTTGAAAAATGAGTTGGGTAATCATTGAAAATATAGACCTCCCTTATGCCTTGATCTCCCTGATAAGACAAGATAGGTGATTTGAGATGAATAAACAAGAGCATTATAAAATAAGCAAAACTCAACCATAACACAAATACACATTAAACTCACAGATTAATCACAAAATATTTGTTATGAAGTTGACTAAACCACCCCCATGATTTTGTTAAAAGTAAAACTCATACATGTAAGTTTTACTTAGGAACGTGTTACGAGCCGAGATTCAAATCTCAGGTCTAAAATCCATAACCAAACAAGAGATAAGGTGGTATATAGAACTATATAAAAAATATCCATTCTATGGATACCAGCCAAACCCATAAAATTAACATGCCCTTAGTATTTCTTGCATCACCCTCTCACACAGGGTTTACCATGAATTTCCTAGTGTCGAGTTTAACCTATAATTTTGTCTATATTTAATTGTACACAAATAGATTGACTCGCCAAGCTAAGGCTGTCGGTGGTGGTCTGGAGAAAAAAAAAAGCTATTGACTGGGGGCTAGATGGTAGATGTTGCTCTTATAGAGGTCAACCTCAAAGCCTTTGTTGTTTGGTTTCTGAAAGGAAAGGGTCAATCATTCCCAAGTCGTCTCAGACTACAGAAAGTTAGTGAAAGAACCAACGCCAATTATTGACCAATAGAAGTTGTGGGCTGTGGGCTGTCAACATCTCAATACGCAATGAGCTTGTGTTGAGCTGTGTTTGAGCTCGTCAAACTTGTTGACAAAGCCTTACCTAAAATCCTCCAAACCTCACATTTTCAAACAATGATTTTAAAGACTGTCCCCTCTAGAACCAGAACTAATGTACCCGGTGGCTAAAGCAATTAAAATGTCTAGCCACTGCAGAAAACATGTTATAGCTTTGTGATTTGTTTTTATCCTGCTAGAAATGTACCGAGAACGAAGTTGAAATACGAATTCCAGTTGTTGCTCCACTAGTCCATGATTTTCTTTTTTGGTGGGGGGTGGGGGGGGGGCAAACTATCCTTCAGAACATTCATTTTTCAAGAATAATATCACTTTATAGGACAGTAGCAAATTTTAGTTTAGGGGATGTTTAAGAGCAGACCAAGACTCTAACAATCACTCACACAAGGAAATACACTAGATACTAAAATCTGCAGTATTTTGTTCAGATTGAAATGCAGAGCATGGAAGCAGCAGACTATGACGTGTCATCATACCTTCAATTTAAGAATATAGTGTTACCGCGTTTTCTCTTTCTCCTCGCTTTTCTTAGAATCCATTCAGTCGCTTCCTTGCCATCCTCCATTAAATAGCTTTCCCAGGCCTAGTCAAAATCAGTCAATTTTAAAATAATATCAGGTATATATAAACAATGAGTAAAAGGATTAAATTTCTTTTATCGGTGTTAGAGAGGTTACTTTTCCTAGTAGCAATTTGTTATCGATGTTGGATGTTACAACAATTAGCCCCTGAATATGATAAATGGGAGTCATGAATTAATGCGGGAAAAAAAAAATTCAAGCCTGCAATAGAACTTCCAAAATGGTCACCTGGTTTCTTTTCTTCAAGCAAACAGGATAACCCTCCATTCTCTTTCCTGCATCAGTCACCATCTCTCAGCCATAAAAGCAATATTTCTTCAGGTTTTTCAAATATAATCCAACTTATTTCAAGAGCAGTGGACCTCTGCATGTTGTGTACTCAGTTAGAACTGAAAATATAGTGCAGTAGAAGAGAAGAGACTATCACAAAGAATATACATCTGGTTCTCCTGAACTGTCCTCCACCAGTTCAAAAAAAAAAGAACTGTCCTCCCCACACTCAGAGGGAAAAAAAAAAACCCAAATAACGAAAGAAACAAAGGGAAGAAATAGTAACTAAGAGTCACCAGTACAGTGGGGGATTCTCTTTTCTGCTTGTGCACTTAATTGGAATCCCTATTTGTCAAAGTAGCTTGTTCATGTTTTACTGACATCCAGCTTCCCCCTTCTATCTTTGAAACCAGAGTAGCCGCTTTTACCTTGGGATGCACTATCAGACTAAAACCAATGAAAAGTCTGTTTAGTCTCTTGAAAAGGCTAGAGGCAGATACAACACCCAAAATGAAGTGAGAAAAGTAAACATGCTCTGAATATCGGAAACAAAATTGACTTTTTTTTTTTGGGAAGGGGAAGGGGAAGGGGAGGGGGAAAATAAAAGTAAGGTCTCTAATCTATAGGTCTCGCAGTTTTTCTGATGAACTTTTTCTCTTCTCTGCTGTCATTTTATTTTGTTCTTGCTAGCAAAAGCTGTAGCCTGGTATCATGCAGAAAATCATGCATTGCCGCTATTTCATGGGCAAAACTGAGTTCTCTTAGGCATTGTGTATCATCTTGGCCCAGTAAACATGTTGACATGAGTGGTAACCCCACAAACCACCAATAACAATCTGTTGTCTGAGGGGCAACACATATGCATGTGCCACTGCAACAAAGACATGCATAGGCCAAGATCTAAAACCGAGCCACCCATAGAATCTGAAGAAGTCCACAAATTGAAACAGTTGGAGATCGTTAGGAAACTATTTTATGTACTTGGAAAACAACATCAAGGCCCAAGTATATGTATGTTCAAAGGTGAAAAATATTGGAAATCAAGGGCTGGTTTAATACATCAACAAAAGCTAAGATATTCTACCTTCAAGAAATCACCCTTATGTAATGAAGCGTGTGATGTTGGCACACAATCAATGAAGGAAAAAAATCCAATATAATAAGCTGCAAATTGCTTTATTCCAAATAACTTTGGGAAGATCACTCATTGACAAGGTTGCAACTATTGACAACAGTCAACAGTGCCTAGCAACTGCAAGAAGAAAAAAGGGGTCTTACAAACAAACTTCGTGAGAAATGGCATTTCCTGTGGATTGGCTCCATAACTAATACCCTGCAAATTTGCAACAGCAAAAAATTTATCGGCAACACAAAAATGAGACATTTTTCATGAGAAAAATTAAGTACCTTCGGCAGAAGAATTGTGGGAGTTGGATGTTTTCGGTTGGGAATCTTCCGGCTGCAAGCCATTGCTTGCAAATTAAACTATGAATAGGTAAACCATAACCATTCTATCAGCTACAAATAGCACTAAATATGAGTAAACTCTCCTCAATCTAATCTCAAGGAAATAAAAGTTTATCATCCAACAAATGTTAAATCTCTCCAAGTGTTCCAGCATAATCCAATTCAAATTATACATGCCTGCACTTTTGTGATAAAAATCTTGTGTAGATTGGTTTGTAATTTTAGAACACAAGCTTCAATCTTCCCTGGAAAAGCTGACAGCATTGAGGAAATATCCTGTAAACTCTCTTGGAATTTATTGTGGTTGAGCTGATCTGAAATGGATTTCAAGCCTCCATCGAGGCTGGTTTTAATATCTTCTTGTCCCTTGTTCTGCTGTCATATTTCTCCGTGTTAGTGAATCAACATTTATTGACGGTTGAAACAAAAACACATTTCAACAGATGAAGTATGAGGACTGGCTATGGTACCGTTACCATTTGCTGCAGCAACTTTTCGTGAAGAATCAACTTTTGCCATTTGCTCTCCACTGAATTAGAGAAAATCGAAAGTTATAAGCTTATTCAGCTTCATCCATGAAAAATGACTACCAGGATTCATTTTATATGCGACTTGTTCCTTTTTTGTTTTGATTTAATCTGTCTGATTCAGTTCTCATGGCATTTATGAAAATACACATTATCCTTTCTGTTTTTGTTTTCTTCTTCCATGGGGTGCTTCCTCAGACAAAACCCATGAAAAACTGATTGTTCGTAAGCATTGGGACAATCTACGACTACAGAATAGAACATTTCCCAGTAACTCTTGCTGATTATGAATTGAGGAGCTGGAATACTTACTTTCTATTGCTATTTCCTTTATTCCTCTTTTAATCTGCTCTGAATTGAATCCAAGATCATTCCAAGCCTGCTTACTGAAGTTTCCATCATGCCAATCCTGTGGTCTAGGTCTCCACTTATCTTACCAGCTCATGGAAATCGAAATTTAGAATGTCATGAAAAGACATATCCATCCATGTGAAGAATGCACAGCTGACTGACTAGTTTTTGCATGGTTCTATGAAATATTTGAACTAAATTAACGAAACCTGATCATTCATTTTAACGTATTTTTTGAGAAGCAAAGCATGAGTTCAAATCACTAACAAGATCAACTTATCCATTTAAGTCTAAGCTGTAAACTTAGAATTGTGGTCTGGAAAGGAAGAAGAATTCCATTTGAGTATTAGTTTGGTGGAAGATCTTGATATCAGCATTTGACTCTCTTCTCTTTTATCATTGATTGAGGGAAAGCAACAGATCTTCTTCACTGAAGTTTCCCTTTCTTGAGAATCAAATCTCTACAACATTACTAATGGAGAAGATAATACAATTCCCACCTTAATAGGGGGAATAAAAAATGACATTAATGACTAAATAAGATATGCAATTGCTTTTTCTTTTGTTCTTTATTTATTCTTCTTGGATTTTGTTAGAGTTGGCAAACAACATCTTGACCAAGGGCCATGTTGCCTCTGTTTGATGAATAGGAATATTTGATAAATTTTAACGAGCCAAAGCATTTTCCTACCTTTACCAAAACTACCAAAGAAAAAAAAAAGGTAAAAATCACATTGTTGAGCAATTTCTTTCCAAACTTCACGACAGGATGCCAATTAATCATTGTCTCTTGAACGTACTCAAGCACATGAAGATATGCAGTTGCCCAAAAACTTAGAATGTACAAGGTAGAATGATGTTCTAAAACTCAATAAAGTGTTGTAGACAATTTACAAGCACAATGGTTGAGGTATTTTCAAATCCTACCTAGTGAATGCTATTACATAAATAGAAAATTTCTCAACCAAAGGTAACTTGTAGAAACAGCATCATTCTACTTCACTCCACAAACTTTTCACTGGAAAGTTAGTGAGCTTTCCCCTGATAAGTGAGTTTATAGTAGTGGTTGCTAAAAAACTGTCCCTTAGCCACGGTAGTTAATCTTAACGATGTGCATCAGAACTAGGAATGCAGAGTTTGACCTTCCAACCGAGAAACAGAAAGTAGACTCAGAATAAAACCCTGACTCTAATTTAGAATCAGAGAGCTATAATTATTTATATTTAGTTCTTTTGAGCGTGAACTAGAAAGAATTCATAGATAGCTGTTTAAACCAAAAACAGCAAGAACAATAAATTCAATTTACAACACAATTGACACTTAGGTAACAAGAGAAAATTTCAAAAAACAATTTCTACAGGCTACGCAGCTTATCATTGTCAATATTACACAAAGAGCGATGCTATTTGGACGTAATATGGGGATATAATTTGGGGACATAATATGTTACGCAAATGAAACATTATGCATTCTCTTAATTAAGAATTTGGATTCTAAAGTCATTTGATCGTTAATACATTAAAGAGGAACAACATACTCATACACACACACACACACACCTGATCGTTAGTCACTATCTCGTCAACAGAGTTCTGAGAAAACAACTGCCCGATTGATACGGTCGAAGCTGAGACCATTGTCTTTTGACAAAAACGAAAGATTCTGGTCCAATAGGCACATCGTTCGATCTCTTTTCAGATCATCACCAGAACCAAAAACACAAAATTCAATATGTAAATAAACATAAGCGTAATGCGTGCGTAAGTGTTGTATTTGAAACAGTTTTCAGTCAAATTGAACCTTGATTGAGAAGGAAGAACTGAAATGGGGCTCAGATCGCAGACTTTGTTGATCTTCAAAGCTTCATCAGATCAAATCAACTGTTGAGATCTTCGGTAGTTGTACTGAGTTTCGATTGATTCAGAAAAAAAAATGGAGGTTACGAAATATGAATTGATCAATCGAATCGCTTGCGTGACATTGAGAGTTTTTTGAATATCGTTTTCTGCTTCCAAATGCTTGAGAGAGCGCGCACCAGAAAGATAGAGTGGGGCGGGCGTTCCGCGTGAGCGTTAAATGCAAATTTTTTGGCGCACAAAGACGGTTTTTAATTTTTCAATTTACCCTCAAACAATTATAATCTTCGACATTATACCCCCAAAGTTTTGAAATGGTGGAAATGTACCCCTACAATTCAACAGTTCCAAAATTTTCCTCTGTGCACTTCGATCACTTTAGAAATAAAAACGTTTCGAAAATGTTTTGAAAGCATAATGAAAACGAATAAAAAATTAAGAATTTATTTTTAAAATATTGAATCAAATATACCAAAATATCTCAAAACATTCTGAAATAATGATAAAAATACGCCGAAACATCACGAAATATCTCAAATCATTAATGTTCCATTTGGTACGAATAAAAAGTGAGAAGAAAAAAAGTTAAAATGATGGAAAGTTGAAGGGATAAATAAAACATCATGTGTTGGTAAGAAATGAAAGTAGAAATGATGAAAAAGTGGATGGATTAATTTTTCTTCCAACTCACTAAAATCAATCTCTCCAAAATCGGAAAGAAAGTGAATGGAAAGTTAATTATTTGTGTTAAAATGAATCTTATTTGTCTACATATCTTATGTATACATTAATTTCATATAAAAATACAATGGTAAAATATGTATATATATTTTAAAATTTAATTTTAAAATAAATAAAAATTTTAAATTAAAAAAATATATTTTTTCCATCTAAACTAAGGGTGAAATTTTTCGATTCAACACGATGATACGACTTGAACTCGATACGAAAATAAATAAGTCAATTCGCAACTCAATACGACACAATTAGTTAAATAAGTTAAGTTATGTTTGACAAATATTCGATACAAGTTCGTAATGACTTAACACGAATCTGACACTACACGACTCGCTTCTATTGTCACCCCTAATTTTAACCAGCATTAAAAAAAAATAGTCATTTTTATTTTTCATCCATTCAACCAAACACAAATGAAGGAAAATGTATTTTTCCTACTTTCCATCCTTAAATAATAGAAAGTGTATCCCTTATATTTTTCATTTTTCTACTTTACATCCTCTTTACCAAATGGAGCATAAATTTTGGTTTTATCACCGATTTGTTTCAATTTTCTTGAAAACATAAATATTTCAAAAAAATAATAATTTTAATCCTTACTTGATATGAGACAAATATGTTTTTATATGTTTTGAGTGATTTTATGTTATTTTGCTTTCTAAAACAAAACGTGGTTGTTGGAAGACACTGTTATTGCTTTGAAAAATTCAAAATGGAAGTTAGACTTTTAATCTTGGATTATTGATACTATTGGTCCCTAAGGTATGTGTTCTTTGTTAATTTAGTCTTCAATTTGTGTCTTATTGATCATTTCCTAACTTCCATCTAAATTTTCAACATAATTATATCATGTATTCGTCATGTGATGTATTCTGAGGGGCAAATTCGAAAAACAAATCCCATTGAAATTATGAAAATTTGTAAGTTAAAAGTGTTACAATTGATGATAATCATCCCATAGTTTTTCCCCAAAAAGAAAGAAACTAATTAAAACCAACGAATAAAATGAGTATTTCAATCATCAATTGAGGTTCACGTCAAACTGGAGATAGAGAGAGTAATAAAAAATTTATATGAAATGATGAGATGTGTGGTAAAAACGTGGGATTCCCATCAATTAAGTTTGCAAGTAGCGATTATACAATTATTCCCCTTTTTACATGTGTTTGCCCTTATTGTTTAAGTCAAATAAGATAGATGGAAGAGGATAAAAGACTAAAAGGCGGTGATTCTTTGAGAGCATTTGCATTCATAGAAGGAGGTGGCATGGGGAGGGTAGTGATGGAGGAGGGTAAAATGGTTGGAGGGTGAGGCCAATTGGTGTCCCCTCATCAAGAAAAACCTAGGAACAAAACGGATTTTGTAAGATTGACGAAATAAATCTCTTTATCAAGATCGGAAGCATGACATATTTATTAGAAAAATTATAAATTGTGGCAGTGGAGATAGCAACTACGACAATATAAACTTTGGTTAGGGGAAAGGGGGTAAAGAGTGAAGTATGAGGAGGTTTGTGGCTGTTGTAATCTCAAGATGACAAGTGATATTGACAATGGAGTTGAAAATGGTTGGGATTACGAGTGGCGATGAAACTATGTGTGTAAAAGATACGGTAATGATGCATTATTGAAAGAAATATTGACTTTACCTATTTTTTATTGAAAAGTTGAAAATCATATATTGCTGGATTTTGTGAAATTTTTTGTCTAATAAATGATGATGGATTCCATACGGTAATTTGGGAATTTCAAACAAAAAAATACATCATAACCACCAAATTTTCATAAATTCCTAAATTGGACTCTAACATGTTGGAATATGAGTTGTGTAATTCAAAACATCTACGAATAACTTTGTCCTTTTATAGTTGAAACAATCGACAAATATGATTTAGCGATAAATTTTACCGAAAAAATTAAAAGTGACAAAATTTTATGACCAAAATTGTGGCCTAAGTGACACCGGCGCAAAACCCATAAACTAATAAGGTATTTTAGGGCCACCTTACTTAGTGGGTGAGTGAGCTCACCACATCTTTTGCCACTACCATTTAGGCTATCAATTTGGTCCTAAACAGTAGTCAAATTAGTATTGTTATAAACTTGAAGGAGGCTAAGTATAATTAACCATTGACACCAAGTACATGGAATCTAACTACAGGATTATTCCTTTATTTAAATCATCGGGTACAATCTGATGACTTTTCTAATGTAATCAATTTGGGGCGGTACGGTCCATACGGATGGATGAAAATAGGCAGGCTCTTTACTCTTAGTTAAACATCATCCCACGCGCTTTTCATTTCCGTACTATCAACTATGCAGTGTAATAAAATATCGTGAAATATAATGAAAAATTTCAGTTACGCCCTTTATAGTTTATTATATTGTTAAGTATACTTTTTTTAAAAAAAAAATCCTCAATGACACCTCTATTAGATTAAAATTGTTAATTATATTATAATTTTATTAAATTTGTCATGATATATTTTAATAAAAACTTTATCCACACACCCTTTAGATAGACATATCTTAAATAAAACTCCTCTATTTTTAAAATTTTTGTACGTTTTAAAATTTGGGTCAATTAAAATTCAATTTGAGTTAATTGAATTTTAATTGGCTCTGAATTTTGATACATAAAAAATATAAATTTTAATTGATTAAAATTTTAATAAGTAAAAGATAAATTTTAATCAACTTAAATAGAATTTTAATTGACATGAATTTTAATAATTAAAAAAATATAAAATTTAATTTATTCGAAGCGAATTTTAATTGATGCTAACAACTCAGGTAAGACTTAAATCGACTCAAATTTTAATACATAAAAAAATTATTGTAATAGGCTTGAATTTTAATATGTAAAAAAAAAAAAATTTAATCAGTTAAAATTGAATTTTAATTAGCTAAAATTTTAATATGTAGAAAAATAAATTTTAATCAGCTCAAATTTATGTATAGAAGATTATTTAGAGTTTATGTAAGGATAATTTTGGTATTTTAGATGATTTTTTTTATTAGAAATAATGGTTTAACGGAAGGAAATGTCAATAAACTAGAAGGGGTGTGGGTGAATTTTTTTATTTATAATTTTAAATATTTATTTATTTTAATTATATAATTTAAAATTAAAATGAATAAGATAAAAAATAAGAGAGACGAGAGAAAAAGAGAGAGAGAGGGTGGTTAATATTAATGAGTTTGTTTGACTGAGTTATTTGACATTAGAGGTTGGAGAAAAAATATAATTTTTTTAAAGAAAAAAATTTGAGATGAATTTTGTACCATTAGATCAAAATAAAAAAAATTTAAACTAATATTCATCGTTATTGTATTTTTATAAGTTGAGAATTTAACTTATTAACTGTAATATTAGATAGATTGATCTAAGTATAATTTTAAAAATTATTTCAACACAATTATATAATGAATTTTATGCTTATAGTTTATATTTGAACCTATTAAAATTATTTTCAAAGAAAAAACACTTATTTAAGATTTTAAAATTTAATTCAATTAAAATAAATCAATAAAAATTAGTTCACTAAATTATATTTGCGTTTGACTCCAATTTTATTAAAAAAAAAGTCAATTTCATAAAATATTTGGTTACAATCTAGATTATAACCCAGTTGAATATTAACATATTTAAATTCAACTATTTAAAACATGACGTAACAAATTTGAAATTAGATTTAGATGGAATACTCAAAAAAATAAATTTATTTGCAACTAAAAATAAATACCAATTAAATTTAAATTAAAACTAATTCAAATTTGCAACTAATTATGAAAAGGTCATTTTGGTGCATATTTTGTTTTTGAGCAATGCTATGTGGATTTTAAAAATAGACTTGATAATTTCAACCATTAATTTTATTGTGGGTCCTAGCATTTATTAGGACCTACTACCTATTCAATGGTTGAGATTATCAAGTATAATTTTTAAGTCCATCTAAGATTACTTTTTATTTTTTTGAAAAAGTTTATAAGATATTTTGAGAATGAGATGAAAATCAAAAGTTCATTTTTTTAAAATATAAATTAAAATACTTCAAAATATAAGAAATTTGATGCTCTATCACTAATTAATTTTAGTTATTTCGGAACGAAATTTCAGTTAACTTGTCGTGACAGCCCTGAAAAAATTGATTTCACGCGCTGACGTTTCGAGTGGGGAAGAAAAGTAGTAATAGGTGGTAAGGAAAGTAAAACAGCTATATCAACGGTTAGAACACGGCAATCTTGTCGTGAAGAATGCCAATAAAGCAACTAAGCTGAGAGAGAGAGAGAGAGAGAGAGGAGAGAGAGAGGCTATAGAACCTGATCGAATTCATATACATCCTCTCCAGTGTTCGTCTTTGCCGCTGCTGCTTTGTCTCTCTGTTCACACTTCGGTTCTCTGTTTTCTGAGGAATTTGTAGTATTTATGTGATGGAATTGAAGGGAAGTTGGTGTTGGTCTGTGTTAGTAATTGTAATTATAGGCTTGTGTTCTTCGTTGGTCTATGCCGGTGACATAGTCCACCAGGACGATATTGCTCCGAAGAGACCTGGTTGTGAGAACAACTTTGTTCTGGTAAAAACCCTAATTCTTTCTGATTCACACCTTTTTCTTTGTGGAACAAAGATTCTCAGACTGGCTAATATATAGCATATACTAACATAAAGATTTGAGGTCTATTGGTTCTCTTTCTTTCTTTTTTTTGGTCAGCAGGTGTATTGATTTTCTTGAGTTAATATTAGAAAGTGAAGCTTGAAAGTTAAATTCAACACATATTTACATAAAGATCTGAGGTATATTGGTTTTTTTTTTTCTTGTGATCAGCAGGTGAAGTGGGTTGCTTAAATTAATAGCAGAAAGTGAAGCTTGAAATTTAAGTGCGTTTTAATGGGCAATGGATTTCTGAACCTAATAGAAGTGATTATTTTTTCTAGTTCTTTAACATATTTGTTTTTATTTATTTAGATTGGATTTAGAAGGGTTTGGGCTTTTATATTTCCGGGGCTGATGTTTGTTGTGTTTTATATAGCCTGTTTCTGTTTTTACATGAACACTGCAGCTAGTAAGTTGAAAATTCATGCAAAATCCTTGCTATTTGATTTCTTTTTTTTTTTTTTGTTAATAGGGATGAAGTTGACTTGATTTATGAAATTAGATTTTACTGTTCTATGAAACATTAAATAGAAATTTGCAGTATGAATTATAGCAATGCTTTGGTATTTGATGCGTGTGTCAGAAGATTGAGACCAACCTGAATTTATTTTCCCCCTCTTCTGATTGTGGTTTCTAATTGAAGCTCTGATTTGCTTCTGTTTAACAGGTAAAAATCCCTATTTGGATCAATGGTGAAGAAGTAATGGAGTTTGTTGGTGTTGGTGCTCGATTTGGCCCCACCTTAGAATCGAAGGAGAAGCGTGCCAACCAAACTAGAGTGGCCGTCGCAGACCCTCCTGATTGTTGTACGAATCCAAAGAATAAGGTTTTGATTTGTTTGCTTCATTCTTTCTGTTTCCACTAATTGTATATCCATAGATACATGTACCTATATTGACACTGGACTCTTTTCATTGAAAGCTTTAAAATTTGTTATGTCCATAAGCTCAGCGTTTAGAGGGTCTTGTTGTTTGTTAGCTTACTGGGGAGGTCATCCTGGTGTACCGGGGTAACTGCAGTTTCACAGTCAAGGCTAATGTTGCAGAGGCTGCTGGTGCTTCCGCAATCCTTGTTATCAATAACCAAACTGGTATTTGCATTTCCCCTTCATATGTTTCTCAATGGTTCTTCAAATTGGCATCTTCTTTTTTTTTAAGTGATTTTTTTATGGGTATCTTAATATGGTCAAAGTGTGAATTTTTAGTTAACTAGTCAATGCAGATACAGATTCTGAATGAGAATAAGATGTTAATCTAATTGGGTGTTGGATTATCTTGTTTATTATGATTTGGTAATTGCTTCCTGCTGATGCTCAAGCATGGATCTGTACGGGAAAGCATTTCCAAAATTTTAGTCCCTTACGGAAAAGTTAGTATGCAATTTTTATTTGTGGGAAGCTATGAAACATGGACATTTCATTAAGGTCGACATATCCGTATCGAATATTCTGTGCGTCGGATAGTCGAAGTTACGCATCGGATACACGCATCACGTTTTCCTAAGAAGCACGGACACGGACACGCAACATTCCTAAAAAAAATAGGATATGAACAGGTTGGGGACATAATATAGATAATTGTATACTATATAAAAAAAATTATATAATTTATGACAAATATAGAGATGATAATATATTATTCATAAAAAATTTAGTACTTGATGATAAGTAAATGTAATGTCTAGTCATCTAGATTGAATTTTTAGACTAATATCATAAAATTCAATAATTATCAATTTTTTCCGTAGATGTGTACCACACACATATAATTTAAATAATTGTACTCATTTTCTGAATTGAGTTTTTTGTTTTTATTATTATATTTTGAGTACAACTTTAATATGTCTAGTGTTGGTAATTACATGTTTTCTCATAGTATCCTATTTCGTGTCACGGTTTTGATACTTGTTCTATAATAGTTGCGAACTTGTGATGACACTTTGAATTCTAGAAAATGCCCCAGAGTTAAGATAATTTATTAGTAAATCCAGTGGCAGAACCCATTATTGCATCGGTTATCCTCATGGATAATGTTAAGAAAGTAGAGATTGAATTTTCTAAGCGATGCTATGTTTGTTACTTAGCCATGTGGTTGTTTGAAGCGCAGAACTTTTCAAGATGGTTTGTGAACCCAATGAAACCGACATTTCTATTGGTATACCTGCGGTCATGCTCCCACAAGATGCTGGTGCAAGCTTACAAGAAAGAATAAAGAACAACTCTGCTGGTAAGCATTATGCTGCATTGCTGCAAATGTTGAAATATATCCCAATTAATATGTGGCTATGTTTCTCTAAATAATATTGTTCTTTACATTACCTTGCTTAGTGATACCTGACGTGCCATGTTGTTTGCGTGGTTTACTTCACTGGCACTGTTACTTAGAGTCCCCTTTCTTCAGTTTCTGTACAGCTGTACTCTCCACAGCGCCCATTGGTTGACGTTGCTGAAGTATTTTTATGGCTTATGGCTGTTGGTACTATCCTATGTGCATCTTATTGGTCTGCATGGAGTGCCAGAGAAGCAGTTATTGAGCAGGACAAGCTTTTGAAGGTCTCTCATATCTATTTATGGAATAATTTCCCATATATTAAGAAGGATTCTTCTCATTTGTATGACCCAAATTCTGACAGGATGTCCACTGATCCATCCTTTGATGGACTGATGCCATTTTTGTAGGACGCATCAGATGAATATCTTGGCTCAGAGGCCACTCCCTCTAGCGGTGTGGTAGATATCAACACAATGTCAGCGGTTTTGTTTGTTGTGATCGCGTCCTTGTTTTTGATCATGCTTTACAAATTAATGTCAGAGTGGTTTATTGAGGTTTTGGTGGTGCTGTTTGGAATTGGCGGCATAGAGGTGTGTGGATTGTTCATATTATATACCTTCTTGCTATATATGCTCACATCACAGTGACAAGTTTTCAGATTTGTTTAAAGGGAGTGGAGAAGTTGAATTATACCAACTTGTCTAATCAAGTGTCTGGTAAACCAGATGAACACCTTTTTTTTTAACGAGGGCTTAGTCCTCTGTCTGTCTGTTGTTTTTCCTCCTTAGAAACTTGCATATGTACTTTCTCAGTTATTAATGATGTATAGGTTAGTTATCTATATGGGTACTCACTATTCTATATTTTGGCATAATGTCTTAATGAATTCACAGAAACCTAAATTTGGTTCCACAGGATCAAGGCATGAACTTGTGAACTTGCATTATCTCCCACCTACTTAACCTTGCTTTGAATTGAATGCTGAACATGTTTCCTCATTTTGATTACAGGGTCTGCAAACGTGTTTGGTTGCTTTGTTATCATGGTATGTCTATTATTCAATTGCTTCTCTCTTTTACTGTTTTGTGACATTTCAATTTCAAGGGAAAAGCATCCCGTGAAGACAGAAGAAGAAAATGTCCAAAGATTGTACATCTGTAAGTTTGAGAGAGTGCAATCAAATCGAATGAAACCTGGCAAAAAAGAGCTATCTTTTCGTGTTGCTATATTTATACTTTTTTTTTGACGTTCCTACCAGTCTATCCAATGGGTTTGCCTTTTCCATTGATTAGAACAAAATGCTTCTTAGAATGTGATCAGGCTTAAAGTGTGATGAAAGTGTGCTACGCATTCAATGGGAAAAATCTTTTTAAAAATATATAGTGATTTATCCTCAAAACCTAAGCTTAAAACAGTCTCCTAGTATAGCATGAGGCTGGTTGCTACCATCATAATTTACATTACCAGCATCTCTCATGAAGTTTTGTTTTGCTGTAAGTGTGGCCTTCTTTTATGTTAGTATTTATTGAGTTTTCCGGGGGTCATTGAATTTTGATCAGTTATTAGTATTTAGGCCGACGATCAAAACAAATTGAATTGCATTAGAAAAAGAAAAAAAATAGAGGAAGAAGAAGAATGTGTCATATATCTGTTTTGTTGTTTTGTTATTGATTTTAGGTGTTATTGGGTGATTTGCTCATAAATATGGCTTTTGGAAGTATGGACTAACATTTGGCTATTTATAGTTTCAGATGGTTTGAACATGCTGGAGAATCGTTTGTCAAACTACCCTTCTTGGGAGCTGTCTCATACCTGACTCTGGCTGTTTCTCCATTCTGCATTGCATTTGCTGTTTTGTGGGCAGTTTTCCGTCGTGTGTCCTTTGCTTGGATAGGTCAAGATATCCTTGTAAGCGTCATCTTTCTTTTTATTCTCTTTGCAGTTTTGTGATTATTCAAGTTCCAAGAATTGTATATAGTTTCATCCAGTGAATGCATGCAACTTCCTGTAGTGTCCTCTTTTTTTTTTTTAGTTTTTAGTTTTTTGTTTTTGGGGGGGGGGGGGGGAGGGGGGAAGGGTGCTTGAACCCTTGACCTACCATTGGACCAAAGGCCCGTTGGTTCCTGTAGTGTCCTCTACTTTGCTAATTCAACTCTTTATGTGTGGACAATTCCAGCATATATGTGGCTGTATTCTTTATGGTGATAATATCTAAGAATAATTTATGATATTTTCTTTTTTAAAATGTACATTTGTAGGCAAGTCAACGAAAAATTGTTGGACACAAATAGAGGGGATACATCAATCAACCGACTTTGTGTTTTAAAGTCAATTTATTCATTAATATCTGAGATCTGAAATTTGACTCGTGAAGCATACTTTGGCGAGGGATTATCGGTTCCCACCAAACAAATATACAGTCACGTACTCCCTTGGTTTCATTTTCAAAGACATGAAAAAAAGAAATGGGGAGAAAAGTGAGAAGTGAGTTCAGTGCATTGTAATACAAGCCCATCCGATCTTCTAGAATCCAGAAGATGGCAATGAGATATATAGTAGGATTTTAAAGGTCTTATACTGGATTTTTAAGTTTGTTTTTTTAGAAGCTTTGTGTTAACATTAGGTTCTCACCGTATTTATTTCTTGCTTTCCCAAAATTCCTTTAATAAATGTCAATATTCAGTGGCACTCAAATGTCTTTCATGGTATCATGCTGATTGTCTTTCAGCACCAGGACTCCATTTTTCGGTCATTTAATTGCTTTCATTGTATTATACTGCTTAGTATGTATGTTTTCATATATCACACTTTATTTTTCAGATAGTCCTCCTAGTTTGGACTCTTGATTCCTGCTCCCATTATGGCCCCCTCATCCGTCACATAATTAATTAGATGATGGAGTTGCTTGGTTGTCGTTGCCTCCTACATTATTGTTTATTTCCTAATGGGAAGAAAGAGCCCAAGTAACCGTAGCTTACTTTCTTTCTGTCTCTTCAACCAGGGTATTGCATTGATAATCACAGTTCTGCAGATTGTAAGAGTTCCTAATCTCAAGGTATTTATTAAAATTCATTCCTTGGATGACTGCTTGCCACTCGTAGTTACGTTTCTACTTCCTAAAGCTATGGTAAAATGTTACTTGGGAGTTTCCTTCTACTGGCGTTAGGTTGATGTAGTGCAGAATATGTGACACACACGCACGTGCATGTATATAGGCCTTTATACTAAATAAATCCCAAGGGTTGTAGCTTTTGGACAGAGGTGGTTTTCTGTGAACTCATTCAGTGTAATTTATAAACATTGTTTGTTTATTGGTGTAAGTCGCAGCTACTACAAAATATTTGAGATGGTAATTGAAAAAAGGGACATGGAAAACTCCCAAATAATACGTCTTCTCATTAATCAAATTGTAAGACGTTGATAATAGCAATTTTCCTGAACAGACAAGATAGAGGAAGAGTTAAGACAGCTTATGCTACTATAACAAGCATGTACGGGTAATTATCGCAATAACAAACATGGATAGAGTAGTTTAACTAGTTTTGGTCCCGCTGAGGTGTAAGGTGTTTAGAGAATAGATTGGATTCAAACTCAATCTTTGACACTGCACAATCTGGCTGCGATCACATTTGAACCTGACATAGTGTGTTTTTACAATTGTGGTCACCAATTTCCCCTAGATTAGGTTCTGTTTTCACTTATAAGGTAGAGTAGATTTGGTAGGCATGCTTGCTATCACTGGATACAAAAAGCATGATGCACTTGTCTAATCACGAGGGCCTATAATATTTTGTAGAAAACTTTGCATGGGCTTAATGTATAACGATTTTTTTGTTCCAAGGCCTGATCAAAATAGATGGATAGTTTCATCACAGGAATGTACGTTCACATTTTCTCCTTTGAGCGACAGGCCCAGATTAATTTTTAGCATGATATTTTGTTGGTTTGAAAAGTGCCTTTTGATTAAATGTTAAGAGCCATAGATCCAATCCAATAAAGTATGGTATAACTTATCAATATGAAAAGAACAGGAGAAGAAGGTGAAAAAGCCTACAAAGTGCTCTTGTGCTAGTATTATTGCTGATTCAAGTGTTATTTATATTAACACAGACCCCTTGATTTGATTAGGTTGGAACCATTCTTCTCAGTTGTGCAATCGTGTATGACATTTTCTGGGTGTTTGTTTCCAAGTGGTGGTTTCATAAGAGTGTGATGATAGTGGTAAGCAATTCTCTTTATCTTGTTGGTCCACTGGTACCATGCATAGTTTCTCATTACCTATGCTGGCAAATGTCTAAATTTGTTGTTATCTTTATACAGGTAGCTCGCGGTGATAGAAGTGGAGAAGATGGCATTCCAATGCTGTTGAAAATCCCGCGGTTGTTTGATCCATGGGGTGGCTATAGCATCATCGGATTTGGTGACATTATATTACCAGGATTGCTGGTAGCATTTTCTTTAAGGTTTGATGTCATATCCATACAAAATTCCACAATAGCTGTTGTCTGTAGGTCTATTAAAAAGTCGCACTGTAGCCATATTCTGTGTGCTAGAATTCTTTCTCTGTTTTATGGTTGGACTCCCCCCGGTTCTAGGTAAAAAAAGAAAAAGGCAAAAGATAGAGCAGTTTAGTGGAATATGAAAGGCTATAATTTTTTTTTATCCTAGTTGGTGCATCATAAGATTTCTCTTCCAGCTCTTTCTCTTGGACTTTATAATTTTTAAGTTTTACAAAATTGAATGCCATGAATATTCGATATGGTTCAACTAAGGTACCTGCTGAGCATAGATTACACTGTTCTGGTTGTGAATGCTAATCATAAAATGGTTTTCCATGTCCTGCAGGTATGATTGGCTTTCCAAGAAGAATCTTCGAGCTGGATACTTTTTGTGGGCAATGATTGCTTATGGCTTAGGTATGGAAAAAGAACTATATATGATCTACCTTGCATGTTTAAACCTCTCTGGCATAAGTCCCATAATCCAGGGAATGGACATCATTGTTTGTGTGTAATTTGTGAACATTAATTTTTTCCCTTCCTAAGGAAAAAAAATGGGCCTGCTTGATGAGAGATCCTCCCTCTCATGAATGTTTTTTTTTTTTTTTTCCTGTGGGTGTGCACAGGGTGGGAAAGGATCAAATTTTCGTTTTGTTCCTGTCTTTGGAAGCTGAAACAAAATCTGTGATAGAAATCAAAATTCATGCAAGTCGGAATGTTTAGTGATGTTTTAGAACTTTTGGAATCAAAATTCTATTTTTTTCTTCTATTTCTAATATTTTTCTAAAATCTTTCTTGAACATTTACTTTTGCATCTATGTTTCCAAGCAGACTGAAACTACATATTGAAACGAAATTCTGATTAGGGGGGTTGATTGGGGTGGGAAGGGATTAATACTATATTTGCTTTTGTGTCTTCGAACCTATTTTTCTTAGGTGATGCCATGCTACATAGATACAGCTTAATGCAGTTATGTGGAGTGAACTGATCATGTCTGTCACTGAGAGACAAACTTACCCTTTTGTTTCGGTGGATTATTACATTGCTGATCTTGCAACTTTGAGCTCGCCTTATGTGCTGCCTTGAAATGCATTGCAGGTCTTCTCATCACGTATGTAGCTCTGAACTTGATGGATGGACATGGCCAACCGGCTTTGCTTTACATTGTTCCTTTCACTCTAGGTAAGTTATAAGAGCATTTGAGAAGTATCTTTACGGACTCACACAAACACACACAACTATGGACAAGAAGTACATTTTTGGCATGTACATTGATGACAACCTTGTAGCATTTCTTGAATGCATTTGGCCTCGTGGTAGAGATCCCTATCATGTAGGGGCTGGGAAGGGAGAACAAAAATAAAAGGTTCACGTATGTTGAGTCCCCTGGGGAATTAATTGCTTGATCGTCTTTTCCGGCAGGAGGAATCCTTGTATCCTTCTGGTCCGATTAGTAGGCCTGTCAATGAATCACATTTTAATCCTATTCCGATCTGAACTCAAACCCGATTAGTCGGATATGAATTAATATTTTTTACCGATAATCCGAACTTAAATTCGATATCTTATATTTTATGGATCTGGATTTGAATATATCTATATTCGACTTGATTATGATTCAATGTGAATTATTTATATTTTTTTATATAAATATTAAAAGAAAAAGTGATTATTTAAAGAAATTTAGATATAATTTGTTAAAATTTAGTTAATTAAGTTTTTTTTGTGGGATTCTGGATTATTAACAGATTCGAATATAGACTACGGAAATAAAATCCATATAGACTACGGAAATAAAATCCGTTGGATTATCAGGATCAGACTTTTGAAATCGGATTTGAATCTGTCAAAATCAGATCCACGTTGACAAGCCTACTGATTAGAGAACCATTTTTTAATTCCTTTTTGGAGAAGACTTGGTGCTTGAAATGGCAATGAAAATTACAGTTTTTTTGGCTCTGACGGAAAAAATTATATAGCCCCATGAGGTTAAGTTACGACTCAATGAGGCAAAGCTAAATTAACCTCATTGAGGTATAATGTGATCTGGGTATGGTACTGAAAAGTAGATGCTACATCTTCCATTCCTTTCTGTTAATAAGTGTGGCTTCAAATGCAGGCACTTTTTTGGCATTGGGAAAGAAGAGAGGTGAACTGAAGAACCTGTGGACAAGAGGAGAACCAGAGAGGCCTTGCATGCACATCCGACTCCATCCTCAACCCACTCAATAAATCAAACCATGCAAAAATAGTATTCATAGGTCACTCCGGTAGGCTATCCTGCTTAGGTTAGTCACTCTGGTAGGCTACCCTGCTTAGGTTAGACTAGTGTTTGGAATGTAGTGATGTAATTTATGAAGTAAAACTCACTTTCTATTGCTAATAGAAGAATTATCAAGTTCGTGTATGTACGGCGAGTAATGACATGTCTATCAAATGTTTTACGAAAGTTTGCTTAGGTGGTTGGATTAGTGGGAAAGCTCTAGAGAAGAAAAAAAAATAGATGGAACCCACTTATCCAACAGCAATATTCACCAAGGTAAATAAGATTGGACAAAAAACTTGGCAAGAGTAACATGTTGATGTACTATAGGGCTCAGGTGAGCAAAGCTCACCCTTAGCACTTAATTCACTTGCTGTTGGTTGACTTCAGCTTAATCTACGGCTGTTTTCTAACATCCTTAGCTTGGCCTCCCCCACTCATCTGATCCCCCCCAAAAAGATGATCACAATATTCCAAGTTTAGCTACCACTCGTGACGGTGAGTATTACTGTAGCAAAGCAAACAGGAAGATTAATTGCAGGGTTCAATCTAGGCTGCCAACCAGGATTCAAGGGAAAGAAACTCGCGAAGAAATCTGATTCCATAATGAAGGTTAAGATAGACCTTATGTTTACTTTACAATAGTCTTTGCTCGACATTGTCAAGCGATATTATCTATCCAAATAGATTTGAAACTAACATTCTTCCATATATCAGAGATATACGGTTTGCACTTCTAGGGGAGCCGCATAAATATACCAATCCAAACTTGACCAACAGCATAATATACAATTTAAATACGATACAATACGAGTTTTCTTTAAAAAAAAATGATATAAAGAAAAAAATTCCACATAAATAGACCAATCCAAACTCGACCAACACCACAATATATAATTTAAATACGATACGAGTCCAATGATATAAAGAAATAAATTTTGACATGACACATCACTCTACTCCACAAATTGCAAATTCAGCAAAATGAATCAATCACAAAATACCAACTATGAGAGGTATAGCAGATTTAACTTTGTGGCGGCCTTTAGAGGAGAGATTCAACTAAGCAAAAGATTAAAGAAAACTTGCAAATCCCCTAAAAGAATCGTGCAATTGTGGGTGGGTGGGTGTGACTTCTTCAATCTTCGTCAAGCATACTAACATTCCTGCTCTTATATATAAAAAACCCACCACCGAAACAATAGCAGCATAACAAGCAAGTATTAACATGTTGCTCGGTTTCTCGCCACGAGTAAAATAGATCATTCACATTAAGAAGCAAACTAGAATATCACAATCTCTACCATTCTCTCTTTGGTTTTCTGTCATCATCTTAATGATCTGTTGAAGTTCTGCTGCCAATAAAGGAGCCCCGTCGGTGTCCGCCCACAATGACGTCTTTCAATCGAGATAAGGGGCTCAGCAGCTTGCTCATCCTCTGTTAATATGGCAAAGAAATAACAAGGTTACTAAACAGTCAGCTGAACACAGGTCCCCAACAACAGAGCTTAAAACGTCTTACCATCATTATCATTGCAAGGAGACATAATCAGGTAGATACCAAATCCTAACTTTGGCTTAGGTTTAAGCTACAGTCAGTTGAAAACATTGAGTAGATGCATTTAATTTACTAGAAAAATTTCTATAGGCACGTCTCCATGTTATAACATGTACTTGATTCTTCTCCAAAACCAATGGAACAAAGCCTTTCAACTGGTCTAATTGCCTTAACAATCATGTTTAGTGTGGCAGTCTCCTGTCTTTGTATGAGGGTGTCCTCCTCAATCAGGAAACGGGCAAGGGAGGACGCCACTTCTCCTACACCTGTTCGCCCAAATTAGAAAGGTTTTCAAGGAATTGCCATTAGTTGCGGAAGTGGAAAAACCTGTTTTTTCTTATTATGTAGAAAAGGCTCCTTTGGACCTAGTTTGTACATTATATGAAGAAATCCATTGGGCTAGCTTTCTTGTGATTTCTATAAGGTAAAGGAACATATTGATGTCAAACAATTATTTTTTGTCGGATTTAACAAGATTTTCCCTATATGAAGACACACTAGGGCTGGTAATGGGCAGTGCCAATCCCCAAAAAGCAGTTTGAGTACCAGGCCAAACCCCAAAACTTCAGGCCAGACTCACCTGGACCAACCCATGGGCCACTGTTTCACGATCAAAAGCAAGCTAGAGGCAATTCATGATTTCATCAGGCAACAAATTGTCCTATATTATAGCATATCCAAATTTAGATTCCTTTTCGTGAATACAAAGTTTCACACATTCTCATTATAAATCCTTGCCACAAAAGAAACTGATACTTAAGAGGCAGATTTTGCTGCTTGACATGCAAAATGGGCTTTCTATTGCTTTAATAATGATCAAAGAGGAGGAGATAGTTCTGAAAATACTATGCACCAATACATATCATCAACAACAGCACAAATTTCTATAATTAGACAGCGCTAGCATGAAAATAATTCACTTTTTTGGTGGATCATCAGGAACAAATTACCTCATCATTGACGGCAAACTGCCACTTAAGTTGCAAAACCTGCCATCTTTCTTGCTGCCAGTGCTGCCCAATAATTACAAGGCCCATCACAGCTGCAGCAATGAAAATAGACCAAAATGCATTCGCTTCTTTAGCACGAGTATACAAAGAAGCAGCTCGCCTTTTCCACCAAGCTTCACAAGGTTGGTCAGGTCCATCATATTTATCTTCATCTCTACGCTTTGGCAACTGTGAGATGTCCGAATCTAAGCCTTGGTCTGGAGATTCAATTGGTCCAGCAATTCCCAAGTTCTCCTCGACTGTAGCTGATCCACCCATAGATGCTTCACTGTGGTAGGAACTAAACGTGGTATTACTGTAAATACCCTGCTCTTTGTCCCCCAAATTCAATCCAGTCAGGGTCATGCCTTCTTCGAAGTTTGTACCGCTGATGGATAACTTATTACCCTTCTCATCAAAAAACTGAATTCCTGGAAATTCGTCTGACATACTCATGCCTTTAATATTCCAATTTTCTTCGGTCTTTGTACTTGACATACCTCCTTCCTCTGCAACTATTTCAGAAACAGGACCTTCAACTCCCTGTTCCACATAAATCTCCGACTGTTCAGGTTCTAATGGCAAATTTTCATGCTGACTTGGCGGAAAAACAAAATGACCAGACATAAACATTGCATGTGAAGTTTCAGCTTCAGCTTCATCTTCTCTGACTGCATCACCCGTTTCATCTTCATTTAATCCAACCTCTTTTGGACCAGGATCAGGAGCAGCAGCATATGTTGATGCCGAGAGTGACACTACTTCCCACCCATTTCCACGGGAAGTAGTTTCCTCTCTCTCCTCATTATCTGCCATCCACCTGTTCAAAGTTTCCCAGCCTTCACATTCACCCAGGAAACACAGAAAAACAGAGAAGGAAAAACAATTAAAACATGCATAGAAAGGCCAACGTAGAAACTGGAAGTAAAAAAACTATTAACAGAATTCTCCTTTAGTATAACTCACAAGAATAATTCACTAGACTGACAGATGAAGGAATTCTATGAATTCCCTCATTGTATGGTGATCTCTCATTTATACAATTTGCTGCCACTATAAGGACATCCAGGTAAAATTTCCAGGAACTGTTTAGTATTTTTCAGTTGAACTAGATAAGAAGTAAAAGATATTTTTAAGTCCATATGCTCACAGTACATACTGGCAAACTTCCATTTTTTTCCCCACGACTCAATTAAATTAACACCAAAAAGAAAAATGCTCAGGATTGAGCTGGAAATATATATCCAAATTGTGAATTCCTCACAACCTTCCGTGAAGCAGGGTAAGTAAAATCTCCACTCCAATGAGCCTTAATACCACTGCTTAGCAGTTTCTTTTTTCCCTTTTTTTTTTCTTTCGGTTTTTCCCTTTACTTTCTACAAATTAACACGACATGAAACACCAAATTCATCTCCCTTTCTACTTTTTTTTACCTGTTTTCTCAGAAACCAAACAGAAGAATAACAACTACATAAGCCACGATCTCTCCCTCTTCCAAACACTTCCAAACTAGACCAACAATTATTCAAAATATCCAACGACTACAACTCACATCACTCAAACAAAATCGATGGAAACTATATCAAAAAACTCGCAACAAACACACCCTACCAATACTCAAACAGCACATATATGTATTTATCATATATCACAATCAATTCAACTAAAACTCATATTGAATAAACCCTAAAAATCCTACAAAAAAATACATACGCAAACATGTCTACACAAGGACATACAGATCCAAACAACACATCACAAAACTGATTCATCAAAAGAACAATTGAACTATTAGACGCCGATTACAGTCAACTATTGTTAATCAGATCCTTCTCTCAATCAAATATAAACTATGGAACAATCTATAATTATCTAACACTCACAGAAATTTATCCAAATAGATCAGAGACGATAACGTAGCTCCCGGTGACCTAGATTGAGAGGAACTGTCTCGGGAACGAGAGAGAGAGATAGAGAGATATGTCGGGTGAAGAGATAAAGGAACCTGGGTGGCCGGTGAAGGTGCGGTATTACAGGCTGTGGCAGGTTAACGGCGTCGTTTAGTGGGATAATATGTGCGTTTCTGTACGGTGGGATGAGTAGTTCCCGGTTGTTTCGGACCTTCGGTTGCGTGGAGAGAGAGAGAGAGAGAGAAGTATTTATTGGTACGCGATGTAATGTTTTGCGAGCGCCCTGTTTTTTTTTTTCAATGGTTAGCTTGTCGCAAACAACACATTTATATTTTGATTAATTTTTTTTAATTTGATCAAAAATAAGTCATTCAATTTATATTCTTATAAACATTATTATATTGTAATATATTTTTATTATAATCGCTAAATTAACTCTAAATTCTAGTAGTATAGTTAATCATAGAAATATAATAAATTAGATCAAAATTACGGTACTCTACAAACAAAGTGATAAAGTGTATCTAACTTTTTTTTGACATAGAGTGGTTATCTTACACGAAAGGTACTTAAAAGGATTGAGTGAGATTCACTATGTCTAGTGCTAAATTATCATCAAACAGTTACATCACATAACAATAATAATATAATATAACTATTACACGGTGTTGATTTTTTTTTTTGTGGTTTGAAAAATATGGTAAGGTTGAATTGATCTGCCCACAAAAAAATGTTTAATGATTCGAATAATTTGAATTCGATTCAAACTAGATTGTACTTTGTTTTTCAAACTTGTTTAAAGTATGAAATAAATTAAATTAATTTATATTTCTTATTTTATTTTGTAAACAAGCTAAATTTAAATAACATTGGGGCAGAGTTGGGTTGAATACATAATTTCTATTTGAATGTCAAAGAAACATGATGCATTATATACACTCCTCTTCATCTATTATCTAAATATTTTTTAGAGAATTTAAACTTGTGGAATTAATTTCATTGTTGATTACAAATTTTATGGTAGGTTGTTTTGGCTTTATTTTGAAAAAATAAATTATTGAAAAATTGAGGTTAATTTTAGCTTGAATGCGTATAAGTTTTCCCTTGGGCTGAGATTGACGAAGAACTTAAGCTCGATGGTTAGCACCACTTGGTAGCTCTAAAGGCCCATTGGGTTAACCTCTCGAAGAGAGAGCCGACGGGGAGAGCCCAAAGAGGTTTTCCGGGTTTGTCACAAATCTGTTTGGCAGCTGCGAATGGAGACGTGGCATGTTATCATTGGCTACAACGCGACACCCACTTGGACTGTATTTGCTTTGGGGGGTAGCCCTCCGAACATAATCTACAGGGAGAGCTGTACGCAAATTGTGTGATTTTGTGTGCGTGTTGTGTGTGTGTGTAAGAGAGAGAGAGAGAGAGAGATGGGGGATCTGTATGCGTTGGATTTTGATGGAGTGCTCTGTGATAGCTGTGGAGAAAGCTCTCTCTCTGCTGTTAAGGTTGTCTTCTACTCAATGTCTCCTATATTTCAACCTATATATATTTGAGGGTTTGACTGAATGCTTACAATTTATAGGCTGCCAAAGTGAGATGGCCTGCTCTATTCGATGGTGTAGATTCAGCGATGGAGGATTGGGTTGTTGATCAGATGTACATCGTAAGCTTACTCCAAATTTCTCGTTTATTGACACGGTTTCTCTAAATTTGATTATGAAAATTGACCTTTCACCTAACACTTTACGAAACTCTCTATAATTAAGCATTTTGAATTCGAAAAAAGAAACACAAGAAAATGTCTGACAGGATTTGAGCTTTTTTCAGAAATTTTTGAGATTGTTCTTTATAATTGGCACAGTATGTTGCAAAGCAATTCAAAATCCATGGAACTGTGGAAGGTACTTCATGAAGTGAAACATAATATATTAACAATTGGAGTTATTATGCAATGGGGCTCTATTATGGATTTCTGACCACATTCTCCATAAGACCCTGTTGTCTAGGATATCTTGCATTTTGAGAGAATTCTCAAGTGAATTGCCTTACGGAAATAGTCAAATTCTCAAAATGTGGCAGGTGCGGCCTGTGGTGGAAACTGGATATGAAAATGTACTATTGGTGAGGCTGCTATTGGAAATGAAAATTCCATCCATTTCCAAGTCTTCGGTGGGTATATATATTAACAGAAGCTTTTAAGTTGTGTTGATTAAAAGGAAAACTATTTATATCAACTAGATTTTTATCCCTAGCTCTCTTCTGCGCCAGGATGTTACTAATACTCCCACAAAAAAAAGAGGGCAGTGAAATTTCTAATTCTCTTGCCTAGAAAATGGTCTGGATCTGATGACTATGGTTTAATGTGCAAGGTTGCAGAGGGACTCACAGTTGAAGGGATATTAGAGAATTGGTCAAAGATAAAACCTGTGATTATGGAAGAATGGGATGAGAAAAGGGATGTTCTAGTAGACCTTTTTGGAAAGGTCAGGGATGAATGGATGGAGAAGGACTTGGCTACATGGATTGGTGCAAACAGGTAAATTACCTTAGCTATGCTTATGGAGGCACTCAAGTTTGCAGACTTCTGATGTTTCTACTAAATGCTTGATGCATTTTTAGTGAATCCAAAAGCTTCTCTTACCATATGATTTGTGACATTGCTTGGGTCATATTACCGGGTCTTGGCTAAAAAAATGATTCCATGTATCTTACTGACTCAAAGAATGAATTCAAATATTAATCAGGAAATGGTTGTCCTGCAGATTTTATCCAGGTGTTTCTGATGCCCTTAAGTTTGCTAGCTCAAGGATATATATAGTCACCACAAAACAGGTGTGTTGTTTTAATTCTTATGTTTGAAGGAAGTTTTATTTTAGTGAAGAAATTATGGGGAGAGAGCAAGCGCAGAGACAGAGAGAGCGGAGGATAGAGAATATTGATCCTAGTTAGGAGAATCCTATCATGAAAATTTCAATTTTTTCAAGCAACTGATAAACGAATATGTCTGTTGCTTGATGGATGTGAATTTTGAATAATTTAGCTGCAACGCTAATATTTAATAACTTTTCTTTGTTTCCCCCCTTCCCCAATTCCCCATTTCAGAGCCGTTTTGCTGATGCATTACTTCGAGAGATTGCAGGAGTAACTATAGCACCTGAAAGAATCTATGGTCTGGGAACTGGGTGAGTACATTTTTACTTGCTGTGGTTGATAAGTGGAAACTATAGCCCTGCCTGTAAAACGAATTTGTTGTTTAATATTGGAATATTCCTTCAGTCCCAAAGTAGAAGTGCTGAAGCAGCTACAAAAGAAACCAGAACTCCAGGGATTGACATTACAGTACGTTCTTTGCTGCTCTCTAGAAAAGTAAAAACAGTATGTTCTTTGCACTTTGGCTGTTAGTTACAGCCCATCGCGATGTGTTGTGTGGAAAACAGCATCTGGGAAAAAAAATTGACCTCTCAATTTTGACCAGCTTTGTAGAAGACCGGCTTGCCACCCTGAAGAATGTTATCAATGAGTCTGAATTGGACAAATGGAATTTGTACTTAGGTAATTTATTCCCATTCTTTGCTTCTCCCCTAAATGTGCATCGTATTCCTTCCCTTTGGTTTTTCTCCCTCCTTATTGTTGTGGTATGTTTGGTTTGGTTGCTGATCTGGATTTTCTTTGAAGCAGGGGACTGGGGATATAACACTCAGAAAGAGAGAGCAGAAGCTGCTAACATTCCCAGAATTCGCCTTCTTGGGCTATCTGATTTTAGTAAGAAGCTGAAATGACCATCTTCTTCGCCTTAATTTTCCAAACCCTCATACAGAATCTACCAATTACATATTTCATGAAGACGAAACATTTTCTGGCAAACTGTCAAGAGTCTTCTGAACAAGGGAACTCAGTATTGCATGATTTGTTGGTATCATATGCACATGATTTTGAAATTTATTACGATGAGATTATGAATAAGTGGATTTTTCCAATGATGAATTGAGGCACAGTTTTACAATATTATCTGGTCCATCTCTGCAGGTTCCTTTCTCAGTTGATAATACATTCTATGGAGTAAGATTCAGTACCATTGGGGCAATGAATTAACATCCCTTCTAAAATAGAATCTTTATGATTAAGCAGAACTAATGGAAGAAACATGCACATATTATATGTATAGCTTATGCAGATACTTGAAACAGTGATATGTATAGAAGCAAAAACTGTCTGATGAAATAGGAAGAGAGGAACAGACATTGATTAGTAGATGGAACTATTTGTATTTGGGAATGATCTCTAGGAGATGCATATGTCAATTGGTAAAATGTACAAATTACATGACTGAATTCATTTAACTAACCCATAACTTCATGGATAAAGCACCATGAAGTGAGCATGTTTTGTAGAACTATACAGCGCGCTAATGAAGGACATGAATCATGATATTCCAAAGCAGGTGGAGAATAAGATTGTTCATCTATACAGAATGAGGTATTCTTTTGTTCATTGGCAAAGAAAAATCATCTAGATACTATGCGTTTCTTTTCAGCCCTTTTGCCTGCTAGAAATCCCTGTTCGTGAGGCTTTAGTTAAATAAATATTGGCTGTAAAATCTTCGGTCACACTTCACTTATCCTACTTTTTTCACAGTGAATAGGAATTTAGACATGTCACTTGAGCTTACAAAATAAATCTGACCAAAAAAAAAAAGAAGAAAAACAGCTTACACAATGAAAAGGGGTGTTTATTCGTATAGAAAAGAGGGCACTTGTAAAAGAAAAAAAGAAAAAAAGAAAAAAGAAAAAGAAAAACAGCTTACAAAATGAAAAAGGGTGTTTATTCGTATAGATAAAACAGCACTTGTGCAAGTATCCTAAAGTAGGAACATACTATAAATATCATGAAGCATATTAGCATCTGTAAATGAACATTGCTCATACAGAGAGCTGTTCCTCCCCACAAGCTATTGTGGGTTCATCAAACCACACTAACTAATCACTTGACTTCAATTAACGATGGATCGTACACCTTAAAAAAATTGTATTGTGTGGGGCTATGGGGTTAAACGAACTGCACATTAGTACAGCATCTAGGCATGGACGGTGTAACAGAAGAATTTCAAACATTGAAGCAGCAAACTTTATGGTCTACATATCAGCAAATTTGAGGATAAATCAGAACTCATTTTTCTGGTGTCTGTCATGTTGGGATTTAACAGGATTTAAATCCACTAACAAACACACACAATCGAAGAACAAATCAAAAATATAAAGCAATAAGAAACAAGAAAGAACAAGACACAAATTTTACGTCTACGAAGCTGCAGGGATTTCACTATTGAGAGAGTTGAATACAGAGAGCGGCTGTACAATTCACGATTAACCCTAATCACCAAAACAACGGGGTTTATATGTCCTACGCACTGGGCTATATAACGGGCCCAAAAATTTTCCTCGGGGGTGTTGCCCCCAAACCCCCACGAGGCTTGTCCATGAGCGCTACAGCTTAGGCCTATCGGCCCAAGCCTCAGAAAATTTTTCATTAAAAAACTACGCAACATTATTTCGAGTCGGGTCATCATCCCGATCACATACACAAACTAGACTTCACAAAAAAACCAACATGTCATCCTCTGTGGGCTGGTGTTATCTGCATCGTTCCTTTCACTATGGAAACTTCTCAAAAATTTCCTCAAATGGAGGATCTCCTGGACTTCTAAAAAGTTGGTCTCCTATCTTAATCTCATATGCCTCTGGCTGGCTCAGTAAAAATTCTTTCAACTGGGGAAAAATGGGTTATTAACAAACCATTACACTCAAATCGACTATCATAAACATGCCAAATCATCCATATTGGATTCAATCAGGATAGCATTGCAATGGGTTTCATAATCATGAACTCATAGAAGTCACAAGAAAATGCATTCATCTTGACAAATTTCTTGGGTGAATGAAGGAAAGTAACAAAAAATGACTGAAAGAGTACATGCCTCAGTGGAATGTGTGAGCAGTGTAATGCAAATCATACAAAAGTGCAATGAAATATGTGAGCTTTGGTTCTACTTGTTTCTAATTTATCCTTATAAAGATTGGTCCATGTGCGATATGTATTCCTCTGTCAAACACATCAGTCATATGTTTTTTTTCTGTTTAATTAGCATATCAAATAGGCTCCAAACATCAAAAAACAAAACATATATAGTTCTCGGCAGTCACATGAAACCAAAAAAATTACACTCTTTTCTGAATCAAAAACTGTATTCCCAGATTATAACTGGAAATAAAAAAAAAAAACCAACCACCAAATAATTGCTCAGAAAACAAAGAAGTAAAAGAAAACCTAGAATTCCGCAAATTTTTTTTTTGGAAAGATAGTAATTAAGTACAACACTGTATAACTAAGTGTATGAAATCAATACTTGTAAACCAAGATTCCCAAGGTCTGTGTGTGCTTGATTCCGCAAGTGAGTGGGAGATTACAACATATTTCGAGTTTTGCGCCATAAACGTATCCCTAAAATTTGAAACTAGTGCAAGTTGTTTGACGAGGGATGTTCGTATTTAAAAGCAGTCAGATTTTAATTTTTCTGATTTAAGATAGTGGCACATACCTGAAAGGAGTCTTGACCTTTTTCCATAATGAACATGATTGTGCTTAGATCGACACCCATAAACTTTGCCTCAATAGCTCCAGTTCTTGCAACTTTGGTCCATTTCATGGCAATCTCAGATAACATATCCTATAAAATGAGGGATATGAATTAGCTACATCTCTTTAATGAGAATCTTCCACCATGACAGAAAAATAGGCAGAGATAAAATGAGCTTCTAAAGCCTGGCATTAAGCACCTAAGTTCGTGTACAAACAGAAAATTCTATTTTCCTCACACTCAAAACTTATTCAATATGCCAATTTTCAACTTTCCCCAATAAGTTTCTTCACATATTTGGCCATTAAACTGTATAATGATTACAAATTGCACGAAAATCAAACACAAATCACTGTTTTAATCAAACCGTAGGACAACAAAACCAAAAACCCAAGACAAACAACAAGTGTTCCCAGTATTGAATTTATTAGTTGCGAAACCATCTTTGTGTTGGCGAGGATAAGACCGGGTACATCTAATCTATCTTGACGGAAGTTTCGAATACTAGGTATTAACTTGTAAACCTAGCCTTTCGCTCGCATTACAGGCGCAAAGTGGACAAAAATCAAACCAAAGTATCATCATTATTCAAGAAAAATAAAAAACGGTTCTGGTACCTTACTGTGACGATCGCCAAGTTGAAGTTTGACGAATCCGAAAACAGGACCGAATTGGCGCTTCATAATCTCGGCCTGAATCTCCGACAAGTCCATATTTGAAAAGTCCGTCGGCGGTGGATCAAACTCCGGTTCGTATTCTTTCCACGCTTTGTCCTCCTCCTCGTCCACCACGTCGTCCGGGTCGTCGGTGACATGGATCCGTCGCTTTCCGGCCTCGCACAATCGGAAAATCCCACCACGTTGGCTGGCAACTAGCAGTAGAAAGAGAAGGAGGAAGGATTGAAGTAGAGAAGACGATAAGCTAATTGGTCTTGCCATGGTTTTCGTGGTGTGTGTGTGTGTAGATTGTAGATTGGAAGGGGTGGGTGTATATATAGGTTTGGTGAGGTGCTGAGGGTCTTAACCTGCGCGTCGGTGGAGCATAACCATGTCAACCCCACAACATGCACCGGTGCGATGTGAAATTCTTCCTTTGGAAAAAATGATTAGAATAGACAAATTCAAATTTTTTTAAAAAAATTAAATTTAAATGAAAATAAATTCAAATTGAAAAAGAAATAAGAATGACTTAATTTGGCAGAAGTTTGAATCATGTGTTAAAGCAAGTTTTTTAAATTTTTTTACTCAAATTTAAATATAAGTAAGGGTGGAAAATGCCTAAGAGCATCTCCAATATTGCTATCTAAAATAGTTATTTAAAATGTATTTAAATATTATATTATCTACTTTAGCTAACTACTTTTAAATTCACTCCAACAACGCTATCTATTTTAGCTAACCACTTCAACTAACTTTAACTAACTTTCAATAATAAAATTCAAAAAATAGCAATTCAACTATACATTGAATTTTTTGAGAATTTTGCTAGTTTTTTTTGATTGTTTTTACTAATTTTGGGGGGTTTGTTGAATTTTTTGGGAGTTTACTGGATTTTTAGGGGAATTTATTAGATTTTTTTACTACCTTATTGATCTTCTCGTACAAAGCCCATTAATAAAAATATAGATGGTAAAATCCCCAAATTCATACGAACTCGGATGATGCTTCAAACTGGGAAATCAAACAGAGAGAAAGAGCGAGAGCCACAAAATCATGCTTCAAACCCAGACATGCTTCAAACCCAGATGATCCCCAAACACCAACTGCCACCGCCTCAGGAGCCACAAAAATAGAACCCACCTCTGGGGAGTGAAGACGATTTTGGAGTGACGAAGACGATGGAGCTGTGGAGACAATGAACCCACCTCTGACGATGAAGATGATGAACCTCGATGAGTTTTTGGTGTGATTATTGGTGCAATTGTAGTGGGGTTTTCATAGGGGTTTTCAATGGAGCTTCGAGTTTGATCGATTGATTAGAGATTTAGGTTTTGTGGCTTGTAGCTCCATTGCCTGAGAGAAAGAGAAGGCGACAAAGGAATTTTAGGGTGCTTGTGGCTTCATTGTCTGTGAAAGCTTCGAGTTCATCAATCGATGGAGAGGCGAGGGAGGTAGAAAGAGATAAGAGTCTGGCGCCAACGAGAGAGATATGGGTTAACTAGATGTATCGAGTGAAAAAAGGGTTATGAGAAATAGATTGCCAGATAACTAGTCTGTTAGAGCCATAATTTAAGGGAAAACTATCTAAAATAGCTAAGGGGAAGGATTTCCCTAGCTTGTTGGAGATGCTCTAAGTGAAATATTTATACATTGGACTTTTTAAAATCTTGAAAGGTAACAATAGAATTCTTTAAAAACATATGGGATCTATTGAAATTTTTCAAAATTTGAGGTGGCCATAGCCACTAGTCTATTAGCTTTGACTGTAAATCCAATGATAAAGAATAATTAGTTTAATTCAATAAAAAAAATGTTTGTGGGCTCCTCTCTACTAAATGTTACATAGTTACAGTTCTTATTTGGTGGAATATAGTATCCTTTAAAAGATAGGAGAACAAATCGAACCCTTAGATAGAGGAATGGTGACCTAACCTAATAAGTGATTGCTGATCTGTTACGACTGATACTGATTCTTATTCACATGTCATTCTTACATTTAACTGATTCGGAAGCCTAAATTAAATTCAACTTTTTTAAATCCAAATTAACTTATAAACATTTTGATTAATCTCTTTCTGGGTTTAATAAAAAATAAATCATTCACATCAAAACTAAGATATTCATGTACACTTAAACACACTTATTGAGTCCAAGCTTGAACGAGAGCTTTTCTACAAGTGTTTGGGCTCGTTCAATAAACATATTATAAGAAGATTAAATATTAAATTGTACTATTTTTTATTTAATCAAGTCTAATACTTTGTTTAATAAACTAATTTAATACTGTATTAATTTCAAAAATATATATTAATCGTATATTTATTATATTTTTTTGTACAATAAACTCATATTATAAAGATATTTTAATACCATCAAAAAAAATGTTATTATAATCCAAACAATTAAAAAAATTAAACTATCATCAATGTAACAAACATTAATTGAATATATTTTGTTAATTCAATATTAATACGATAAAATAATTCTCTAATTAAACAATTGATTGAATTAAATAATTATTCTCTAACATTTATGTTGTATATTATCAAACACTAAATAAAATTAAGTATTATTCTAATATCTTATTTTTTATGTATCTATATTATATTAGACTAAATCATTTTACCGAATCTTTCCATATTTAAAACTACAACTAAACAAATCTTAAACGTTTAAAATTCCGTCCTACATCGTTCACATCATGTGCAAATTTCCAAAACAATCCCAGGTGGGACCTGTCGCTAAAGGATTCACTATAATACTAAAGCCCCTATAATTTTTGAATCTCTATTTTCTTCCAATAACACTCCTATCTTTTATCACTGCACAGCCACCACAAGTGAAACACTGTCGGCATCGCTGCCGCCACCGCCACCAACTCCAAAAAATTCCCCCCCCCCCCCCCCCACAACGGTCATTACAACCACCTACTTCTTCCGGCCAACCCACCTAAGAGTGTTAATTGAAATAAACTACTCAAATTCAACTTAGAGAGCTCAACATATATTTTAAACAAATTAAACTGAATAATTTTTTTAATTTGTTTAAAAAAAAAAACATAAAAATTTCAATTTAAACTTGCAAAATTCGACTCGTTTATATATAAAATAGTCAAATTACTCGAACTCAAACTTAGCTCATTTTCTAAATAAAACAAACTTGAACAATTTTTTATATTTGTTTAAAAAAACAAGCTCAAACTCGCTCAATTAACACCCCCAACCAGAACCACCTCCCTCCCTCACACACACCCCACAGCTGCTTCAGCTATTCAATACGCCATCACTGGTCACTGCCACAGATTTCTTCCTCTCTCTCTCTCTCTCTACCTACAGATACGCACATAGACCTCCCTGTAAAGCCATTGCCACCGCACATAACCCCGAGCCAGCATCCTGTCCACAAAAACCACAGATAATATTGCATTTCCAAAAAGGAGTATCATCCAGACCCAAGAAAAAAAAGGAGAATCATCTTCCATCAAAAGCATGGGCATCAAATTACTCACTTTGGACCCATGTGTATAAGAGTGTGCATGTATAATAGAAACGAGATATATTAGCAGAGGAATAGAGAGCCTAAAATGCAATTACCTGAGGCAAAAGAAATTCACCTTAAACTATGTTTAAAGAACCCCATAACATGATTCAAAGTTTCTGCCGATACTGATACAAGTCGGCCAAGGCGAGCCCAAGAAAAGATAGCAACTAGTTTTTACGCGTTTTGATCTATTTATCTTCATCATTTGGGTTTTTTCCATTAAACTAGAGCTACTGAATTTGGCCAACATTGCTGTTCTGTAAATCCCACCAACATAAAAAGATTTAAGTAATAGTACCTGTTTCGGGCATTCAAATTCATAATAAACCGAATCAGAAGTATCTTGCGAACCAGAAAAAACAAGGATCAAAAACAGCTGATCAGCGACAGAGTCGTGCAGGCCTCTATGATTAGCTGCCTCCAGCACCATCCATGTCATTCATTATCTCTCCCGTAGTATCCCTTCTCATGACTGTTCAGCCAGCATTGATGTCAGTAAATCCAGCCAAGAGTAAAAGGGTAAGGAAAATTATAACTTGAGAACCAGAAAAAACAAGGATAAAAAACAGTTGATCAGCACCACAGTCGTGCAGGCCTCTATGATTAGCCGCTTCCACCACTGTCCATAGTAAAAGAGCTTGTAATAATTAGAGCCACCCAAGGTTGATTTATATGCTTTAAGGGTCTCTCCACTTATTGCCAATTGGTTTTCAGTGGGATATTCTAACATCCACGTTATCTCTGCCATAGTATCACTCCTCTCCTAAACTTACACTTTTTGAATGCCACTACAAACTTGCTCCCTTAAGCAATAAGATAACCATCTTTACTATCGAATATGACTGAACAGAAAAACCAAAAAAAATTCCTGCAGTTTACTTTCTTAGCCAGGACTATAGTGTGAATCCAGCTTTGAGCACTATCTTAAGTTCAACTGTGTCTTCTTCAGGGAACATAGGATAGAGCCAAGGGGCTTGACTGCTTGACGTTTAAAACCTTCTGCCGATGATGCAAAGTCTGACTCATCATCATCACTATCAATGTTACTTGAAAACAACCTATTTTGGTAACCCCTACGCCGGAGAAGAAAGACGTTGAAGTAGTAGCTGACCAATTCTTCTCTGCTTTTGGCAGGGAAAATCTTAAACATCTCATCCCAGAAATGCTTGTCCATAGATGGAGGGTTTGACATCACTATAGCCTGGAATTTCTTTTCGTCCTCTTTTGTCCAAGAGAGTGCAACTTCCTCCCCCATCTTATCAAATTTCCAACAATGGAAGGCTATTCCTAATTCAAGGTTTACCTTCTTTCTTTCCTCGGTAACATGGAATTTGACACATCCAACAAAACCTGGGAATTGGCAGCCACATGGATCCTGTCTTCCTTTTCCAACACTATCCATCTCAATCAAATATTTATTCTGATTGTCTTTTTCTAGTGGCCAAATTTGGGTACCTAACCATTTGCAATCACTTTCATAATTCTCGCCAGTCCATTCTGGTACTTCTGCCTGGAAATATGGCCCCACGGGAATTCGCTTCTGGCTATGGTAGTTGCCCCACAATGAATCTGCAACCAAGGAATAGGACTGTTTGTCAAAGCAATCCTCTGACTCACTCCCAGGACCCGAGGGTGATGACTCTGAAAAAGTTCGAGACTGCAACTTTTTGGAAGAAATCAATGCTTGAGAATCTTTTGCAGAAAGGAGCCTCTCACTGCATCTTAATCTCTGGGATCCAGTATGATCATCATACATGGCCGGATGCATCTTTTGCTTCTTCTACAAAGTAGAAATTGATTAAATTACGTACTTCATTGTCACTTATAGAATTAAAACAAGATAGACTAAATAGAGAGATGCATCTGGTATATTATGTGCTCTAACTTGTAGGCTGAAAGACAAGTTCTACATGACAGTCATAAGACCAACTATCCTTTATGGTACTGAGTATTATACCATTAAAAAACATCTCCTCAAAAAACAAATATAGCAGAAATAAGGATGTTGTGATAGATGTGAGAGAGATATAGAAAACAAAGAATCAGAACCAAGAACATTCATGAAAAGCAGCAGTAGCAGAAATGGGAGATAATAAGGACAAAAGAATGCAAAATTAATATAAATGAGGGATGCATATGATTTGGGACGCTGTAATTGTTGACAAGAAGAAGAAGAATGAGAGAAAAATTCAAGTCTTAATTTCGCAAAATTGTGTTGTGTCTCCTTTGGTATCTAAAACTCATCTATTTATAGGTTCAACGGTCGCCTTTGGCAAAAGAGTGCAACCATTTGAATTGGTTTGCATTGGCCAAAGGGTGCCAAATTTGACCTCAACTCAGCTAAAGAAAACCTTCATCCCAACTATTTGGGGTAATTGGTAGGAAATTTGAAATTCAAGTTAATTTTGAATTTTGGCCATTCAGATCTTGTCATATCAAAACTACAATGCATATTACACTTGATCCAATGGTCATATTAAATTGCAACAGATACACCTGTTTGACTGAGCTCGAACGGGAATTCCACAAGTCACCACACCAAAGTAGAATGTTAATTAAAACGTTGAAGTATAGTGGCCATACAAAGTAATAAATAACAAAAAAAAGACACAAACAAGTAAAAGAAGTCTTTTATTTATATATTAACAAACTCACCAAATACCCATTTATCAAACTAACGCAACAGTATATGGAATCTGGAAGACTCATAGATGAGAAATTAATAAGGAAGCTACATTAGAACCAACCAGTATTATTCAATGCAATCATGAAACCATGCTGCAGGGACTTGTCAAGGACATGGAGCAAGGGTGGTATGCTCTCTGAGCGTATCAAAATTGTAAATTCTTAAGAGCAAAAAAGTGGACTAAGGATGTATATCCTGACACGCAATAACCACAGTATGTCTCTTCATCATCCCTTGATCCTCTGGAGACTGGTGGTTTCATTCCCCAAGATATGTTATTTTTTCTATATAATACCATTACGTCAAATTTTCACACAACAATGATTTAATTCCCCATTTATTACAAATGTTCAGGAGCTTCAACCAGAAAATATTATGATTAGACCAACATAAACTTATAAAGGTAAAATGAGAATTTCAATTTCAATAAAAGCACAAACAAAGACGGAGAGATATGAACAATGGATGAGAATAATTACCTTCAAGATTTAGAAAGAGAACCAAGAGGAGTTGCATTCTACAGAAGCTCTATTGAATAGTTCAAACTGAAACATGGTCTCAAGGATAAAAAATGCAGAGAAACAATACAACTGAAGTAACATGATCATGCATCCCCATTGAAGCATCAATCTTGATTACTTGTCATGTCCACAAAGTACCAACAAAAACACAAATGCATATGAGTATAAGACTCCATCAGGGAAAGTTAAAGATAAGATACTGCCAACACTTAGTCAACAAATAATTAAAACAAATTTGAAAAAAAAACTACAAACCATTGAAGTAACCCCACTCAATACAATGTTAAGCAAGAAGTGGAGCAATTAAGAAACAATACTAACACAGACACAACATGGCAAGTTAAGATTGCAAACATGAAACTGAATAAAGGACGAACTGAGAACCAATGATTTCTCAGTACACAAAAGGCATAATAAGCATGTTCCTGAACAGATAGGAAGGCATCTTGACCCAGGCAAGCAAATTTACATACAGACACTGTACACCACACTTAAAATACCACAAAGTCAATAGGAATGAGTTAACAATAATGTAGAGACAGATGAATAAATCTGTTAGAGCAATCAAATTTTATAGAAAGCCTACTGTAAATGCATATCAACTTAACTAAATAGTTCACCTCCTAAGAATTAGAATGCGGGGTGCATTGTAATGAAGACAATAAGAAAATGAACTAAGGTATATCACTAGAGCATCCTTCATAGAGAAAGCAGTGTGTTATCAAACATTCGCCTACAATTCATCTGGCTTTCTTATTTGGTACTAGTAGAAAATAAAATTTCATAAAAAAGATACCTGCCAAACTGATTGCGCAGCACTTGAATCAGAACTCCTTTTCAAAAGCATCGCCTCTCGAACCAACAAAACCTGCTTCCACAACTCTTCATTCCCATAATAGTTCCACACAGAGGATTCTGGTCGGGATATAATAGCCGGATCACAAGGATCCTTTGCAACCTCAGTAACCCAATCAAGTATTCCCAAGCTACGCTCTCGCTTTTTCTTTCGATTAGAATCATCTTCTTTAACCACAGTCGAGTCCAAAACCATATCATCTTTAACCTGATCAACACTTTTTTGATCATGATCATTATTTTCCTTGCTGTCATTGGACTCCATCGAGCTCCAAACCCCATCACTATTGCCAAAATTTTCAACACCCGTAAAACTCAACTCATTCTTCTTCAAATCCACATCTAGACACTTCCCATCTTTTTTCTTTTGATCCAAAATCTCTGCTGACTCCAAGTCCAATGAAAACCTATCAAGATCTACACCACTATGCTCTAACCCACCGTTTGAGTCTTTTTCTTTAACAATCCGTTGCAACCATCTATCCAATGTATCCAAATACTTTATGTAAATCAATTTCACAGCCGAACCGATACCCTCGAACCCACACTCTTTAGCGACTGAATCCCACAACCCATTTTTGGAAACATTCTCATATCCACCTTTTTCTCTCACTACTAAGTATAGCTTAAACAAATCCATTGATTGACCGTTGCCAAATAATGGGGGTAAAGGCCTAAAATTATTACTTCCACTGATCTCTTTGAGGAAAACACAGAGAAATTGATTGAATAAACATCGAAGATTGTCTATCTCGTTATCTTCGACGGACCCTTTTGAACCTTTTTGGGGATCCAACAAGGGGTCGCTGGTTTGAAGCTTTTGGAGGGTCTTAAAGCAATCTAGATATGACCCATCAACTATCTTCGACCACCCTGCCATATTGAGTTCAAAGACTAAAACAAATCATTACATTTATATATGCATACATATATATACATAACTTTGCAAATAGAAATGAAAAAAGATCCCAAAAGAATGACCAGAGAGAGAGAGAGAGTGAGAGTGAGGGAGATGTATACATAGGTACCGTTCAAACATGTCATGTGGGTATTATTTGAGTGATGGGTTTTTGGCGCGAAGCCACTGAACTATGGAATTAGAGGAAAATTGAATCCCATCAAATTTGAGTCCCGCGTCGTCATCGGGAGAGAGAGAGAGAGAGAGAGAGAGAGCAGACATCAGACATACCAGTGGCCTGCGGGGTTCGGATTGGGGGACCCATGGTGACCTCCTTGTCCTTTACCAAACCCATTTTGTACGGCTCTTCATTCTGTTGGAGGCCCAGCCTAATATTGTTTATGGCGGGCCATGTGCCTATATGTTGGCTGGCCCATTATTAAAGCTTCCTGGGTCTGGTCGATCCGGCTCAACAAAACACTGATAAAGCCCAGGACCTGTTTAGATATGTGTATGTTGCTGTTTGGATTATCCATGATAGATGCTAATTCCAAGCCTTTTGAGGCAACAATATCCCAACACAGTGTTTTTTAAGCCACATATGAGGTGGGTTTAATTAAAACATGTAAACTTACATCCAGACAAAAAATAAATAAAAATTAAAGTAGGTGTGTCTGGAGTGAAGGATGGTCACTCAAGCCTAGTAACCAAAGCTAGGGAAAGATGAGATATAGAGAGGGGAGGGGGGGGGGGGGGGGGGGAAGGCGAGTAACGCTATTGTAACTTGAAAAATTGATTCAATTTATTGATATAACGACGTGTTAAGTAATAGAGTCTCAATAATAAAGTTCAGCAATTGTAGTTAGAATAATACTATTGGACTATATTATTATCACATTATTAGATCTCACTAGTATTTTTTTTGGGGTCAAAATATAAATTTTCATTAAAATATATAATCATGTGTACAATCTTAGTTTCATCTTATTCCTATTCTAGTCTTCCTATGAATGATTTCCATCAGTTGGAGTGGAGGGTAGGCCATCCAGTATGCAGGTATGACTTCTTGACTGGTTTGTTTGGCCATTGTGTAGGTTGCTAAGTTGCATTCCCTACGTGCATAATTGTGTATGAAGTTAGGCAGTTGATTTGCGTAGTACCAAATATGTCGTTGGATTGATTCAATCTCTCTTATGGTTATTGCCGACCCTTGGTTGAGAGGATCAAAGAGCTCATTTGAATCGGATTCTCTAATTACTTGTGCTCCGTTTAGTACGATGAAAAATTAGAAGGATAAATAAAACATCATATTTGGTAAGAAAGGAAAATAAGAAGGATGGAAAAGTGGATAGATTAACTTTTCTTCCAACTCATCAAAATTAATCCTTCCAAAATGGGAAGGAAAATGGATAAAAAATTAATTATTTGTGTTGAGATGTATCTTATTTGTCTATATATCTTTTAATATATACATATATTATATATACATTAATTTCATATAAAAATATAATGATAATATATATATATAAAATTAATTTTAAAAAAAAAAAAAATTAAATTAATTTTTTTTTTTCATCTTAATTAGGGGTGAAAATTTTCAACTTAACACGATGATATGACTCGAACTCGATACAAATTTTATGACACGAACTTGATTTTAACTCGACACAAATTTTATAACACGAACTTGAAAATGATCTGACACGCAAACAAGAAATATAAAAAGCTCATAATTTTATGACTCAACACGAATCTGACACGATACGACTCGAATCTCATCCCTAATTTTAGCCAGTACAAAAAAAAATTAGTTATCTTTATTTTCTATCCATCCAATCAAATACAAAAAAAATAATATGTATCGTTCTTATTTTTTATTTTTGAAGGATAAAAAATTTATTTCTCCTGCTTTTCATCTTCCAGTAAAGGGAGATGACAAGCTTCGTCCACAGCCATCCTGCGAGTCCTTCTTACTGCACTGTAGCTTCAGCCACTAAAGCTGAAGTGGCTATAATGTTTACAGTAGTTCCATTTATAAAGTAACCTTCATAATTGTATACTACAGTCGAATAAACTCATTTGGTAGCTGGAGTCCATGTAGGCTTTACTGTTTGCATTCCCTCTTATGATTGCTGCTGATCATCCATAGCCATCCTGCAAGTGACTATAATGTTTGCAATAGTCCTATTTATCGGTCGATCTTCATAATTGTATACTACAGTTGCACTAGTCCCATTTGAGGGTCATTTTACAAATTTTGTAGTAACTTATGATTGATCACAAGTAATCACAAAAATTATAATTTTACCCAGAAGGTTATAGATTTTTTTGTTGGAGATAAATTTCAAAATTTATATGAAAACCCATAAAAATTATAAAATTTAAAAGTATGGTACCATTTCTTTTTAGATACCCTAGTCTTGTCCATATGCAGGAGATGAGAGTCTACCCACTAGACTGCCACATCAGTTTCAAACCCAACCATTCACGGTCAATGGTAGTAGAATAAGGTCTGCAGTCTGAGCTGTAAAGCATTACATTTTTTGTACCATAAGGTTGAAAATGGATTAAAGAATAAAAGTTGTAGGACCTCATCACAACAGCATTATGACACTTCACCATGTACAAACGGCCAAGGTCATCATAGGATATGAAGACCAAAAACAAGGTAACCCAAGGTAACAAGAGGAACTTTAAACTCAGACGTTATGAGTTTAAATCTTGATAATTTTTTAAGACCAAGTTAAGAGGAATTCATCTATCATGTATACTCTAATTTTAATGTGAATTGTCTGTTTTTAATCGGATCAGCGAAGAAATTAATTAAAATATAAGAAAAATGATCCTTACATAATAAAGTTTCAAATGTAAAGTTTTTAGGATGATGGATCTCGTCACAAATTCATTATGACACTCCATTACATACAAAGGCCCATTAGGCATCAAATGCTATGATGGTTGGAGAACAAAAGCAAAGTACCAAGGTGCACTTTATTCCGGTGAAAGATATGGGCTTATTACAAGGTATCCAGCAATCAAGATTATCAAATAATTGCAAACTCAACTCTATGTGTGTGTGTGAGAGAGAGAGAGAGAGAGAGAGACTGTGCCTAATAAAGGAGGTTGTCAAATTGAGATAATGATGATTTGTGACCTACCCACTACCAAAAATTTAAGAGGAAAAAGAAAGAAAGAAAAAGATGGAATGAGACATAAAAAACTAATACAATTTTTAAAAAAATGGGGTAGGTAGGTGATAGTGAAGTTAAAACATCTTACCCCCACTCAAGTGAAAGAATTAGGAAGAGTTCTAAGGACCAAAATTGCAATATGCAACTTGTTGATGCACAAAATGGTGCTTCGGCTTGTTCAAGCTTTGCTCCTTTTTTACTCTTCTAGGAAAAATGAGCTAAAGTTGACCAATTTTTTAGATTCGTCTAAAAAATAAGCTCGACAACCTCAAGAATGAATTGAGGTATTTTGAAGCTTAAAGCAAAAACAATAAATGATATATTTTTTATTTTTTAAAATATAAAATATTTATTTAATTTTTATGTACAAGCTTTTGTTATTATATTTAAACTTTATGGAGAGAAAGAGGGTGAGGAAGGAAGATAATGATTGAAAAATTATGACGTAAATTTGAACTTACTTTTTTTTTTTTTAAAGGTTAAAGACTTGATTTTTTAGTAGTTTTAGTTTTATGTAAACTTTTTTCTTCTGTTTTTTTTTTCAAAAAATTGAATTTTAGGTTCTTTAAATTTCATAAGCTGAAATAATAGACTTGTTTTTTTTTTTTGAAAGGTTAAAGACTTGATATTTAAATCTTTTGTTTGAATTTAAACTAAATTTTTTATGAAGCCTATTTCTTATTAATTTATATTTTTGTATGGGCTATATAACTACAAACCTATAAATTGTGAGGTCTTCTTTAAAGTAGGGCCTAAAACCCAAACTTTATAAGCCTAATGATGGGGCCAATACGAATAAGATCGGTTCAATTGTCTGGGTCTTCATGTATTTTATTTGAACTAAGCTTCCGCCGTTAATTGTATCGAATGAAACAGATTCATATAAAAAAAATTATACTAATATCTAGTTTGTTTATTAATTCATATCTAATAAGTCGTATTATATCATATTTGTGACGTATATAAATCATATAAAACTTGTATAAAAACGAGTAATGTCGTATATTTTTTTTAATTGACTACAATAATACTCGGTTCGTTTATTAATCGTGTCCTATCAAGTCGACTCGTTTATTTTGACACCTTAACTGCTAGCTGACTGAAACCTCAAGCATCACTGACCAAAAAGTCTTGGTGTGTGAGGTCTAAAATCTAAATCTATAGGAGTGTATAATTTAAGTAAAAGTGAAAGAAAACGAAAAATATATACATGGCCTTTAGACTAACGAAATTTAGCAAAAGCATCAACTTCTCTATGACAAAATGGAATTCACAATATCACATTTATCTTGCAATTGACTGCTACAAACAAAGGATTGTGAGGGAACACTACACCCCATTCAAGCTGAACAAATACACATTCATAATGCAATGAGCTTTAGACATTACCTCCACAAACTTGTTAGTTGAAATTCTAAATTGACTGGCAAAGAGAGATCTTAGAGAGATGATTGAGAATCCTTGGAATTCCTGGACAATTGGAAATTATCTTCAGAATACTCATCACCACCAGTTGAGACCTGATTGCCAGAATTAGCCCCAACTCCATGAAACGACTCGCCAGAAACCAAAGCTTGAAGCAGCTTTGGTGGTGGTGGGAGAGTTACTTCCACCATACCTTCCAACATTTTCACCACCATCCCCATTGTAGGCCTCATTGCCTCTTCATCCTGTATACACCACACTGCCACCATTCCAACTCGTTTGGCCTCTACTATATCATACATGCCACCAAGCCTCTCATCCACCACCGCCGCCACATTTCCCTCAATTATCTGACGTGCCGCCCATGGTGGAAAGAACCACTTCTCTGTCCCAAGCCCTCCATCACCACCAGCTGAAGGTGGTCCCTCAACATTGCGACGCCCACCTATTAATTCCAACAATGTCATTCCATAGCTATATGCATCAGCTTTCGTGGTAATTGCCACGCCAGAGATCCATTCGGGTGCAACATAGCCCCATGTCCCCCTCATGGTGGCCAAAACCCGACTAAAATCACGACCAATAAGCTTTGCCAATCCAAAATCCGACACTTTAGCCAAGAAATCTTCATCTAATAATATGTTCTCGGGCTTAATATCACAATGTATGATACAATTTCTACACTCCTCATGTAAATAGGCAATGCCTCTGGCAGTCCCAATTGCAACCTGAAATCTAACATCCCAACTCAAACTCTGACCATCCTTCTTCAAATACACACTCAAAGGACCATTAGGCATGTAATCATAAACAAGAAGCCTGTGAGAATTCTCAGAACAAAACCCTCTTAATCTTACAAGATTAACATGTTGAATGTTCCCAATTGTGCACACCTCTGCTCTAAACTCTCTCTCACCACCACCAGGTCTTTCAAGCCTCTTCACAGCCACAATGGAAGAATCCGATAACTTGCCACGAAACACTGCTCCGAAACCACCATGGCCAAGCTTCTCAGAGAATCCCCTTGTGGCTACATGAAGCTCTTTGTAAGTAAACACCTTCAAATTCGTCACCGGAAACACACCTTCCTCTTCTTCTCTCTTCCTCTTCTTGATCCTCATCTTCCTCCAACCCAATAAAATTGCAACCACCAACATCAACACCACTAAAAACCCACAAATTGTACCAATCAAAACCAAGGTTTTCTCTTTGTTCTTCTCTTTGATACTCCCCTTTTGTACCCTCAAGTATAAATCATCCTGAATTGTGTTATCAGAAGTGAGATTTTGAAGATTTAAGACAGGCCCAAATAAATTCTTGCAAAGATTAGTACTTTCATGGTGATATAAACCAATACATGAACAATTACTCAAACATCTGTTCTCACAAGTACTCCTACTCGCCGGGAAAGAGACCACAATTGCACCGTCGTAATTCACCGGCCCAACCACCACAAGCACATCATTTTCACGGCACACATCACTGCTCTCACGGCGACAACCGCCGGAAAAATCCCCCGAATCCCAAGAAACACCATCAAGGGGTCGAAAACCTTGCAAACACTTGCAAGGATTCAACGTTCTACAATTACAGAACCCCAAATTCCCACAAAGTCCGTACACTCCACAACGATTCTCCGGCTGAGACCAGAACATGTTCCAATTCTCCGTCTGTGGCGACCACGTGAACTGTCTCAACTGTCCGGTGAACTCCAGGTTGAACCGCGTCAACGGCGGCTTCATTCCGGTCTCCAACGACCTCTCAGTGAACCCAAACGACGCCATCGGAGTAAAAGGGCTTGAAAAATGAAATCTATAAATATAAGGTATCGTCATTTCGGGAACACCGGAGAAGGCATTGCCGGTCCAGTTTCCGGTGGACCAATACGAATGACTTCCATTGAAGACTAGCTCGATCTCGCCGTACTCCGGCTGCTTTAACCGGAGGAAATAATTCCCCGGCGACGGATCGTTTAAACTCTTCCAGCAAGATAGCCATTGCTGACTCGTGAGGTTCATTCCAGGAAGCCATGTATCAGTAGGATAGTGAAAGCTTTGCCACACTATTTCTCTCTCATTTGTGAGTAGAACCAAATTGCCCTGCTCCAGAAGCTTAAACTCCACGGCCATCTCTGTATTACTCGTTTGCCATATGGTAACGTCGCCGGAATCTTTCACAGTTAATTTGCCGTCCGTCGTAATTCCTGCTATTGCAGAAGATATATTTTTCACCGGCGTTTCGCGATTTGCGACCCAGACGTAGGTGGGTGTAGGTATTGAAGCGTACCAAATACCCAAATACCATTTTGATTCGTCGTTGGTGTGGAAGAATCCGAGCTCGAAAGTCTTGTTCTCGCTCAGAATCGTAGTGTTTCCTCTGATTATAATCTTGTAATCCGAGAAAGTCTCCAATCTTCTGCTCCTCTTCGAGATAGTACTAGATTCTCCAGAATCTTGAGTGTTCTCATCGCGTTGCAGAGAATTATGTACTGTGAGCGGTCTTCTTCTATCAATAAGAGTTGAATTTGTGCAGGTTTTGAAGCTAGAACTTCCAGTTGAGACTGTGTTCGTCGAGAGATTTAAGGGTTTTACTGGTTTTGAAGCAGCTTTTGAGCTGGGTTCGAGTCCATATGCTATGGAAATGGATAGAAGAAGACTTGTAACAAGTATTAGTGACATTTTTGTGGGAATTTAGAGAATTTAACGTAAGATTAAAGAAGACATTTTACTGTGGTCGTAGAACACCAATGAATTAATGAAGTTCTCTGTTCTTGAAGTTTGAGAGGGAGTGAGATGAAAACAGAGGATTGCTCTGTCCTTCACGGAGCGAGAGAGAGAGAGAGAGTAGGAGAGTGAAACGATATTGCAAAAAGCTGACAGTCACGGACAAGAATAAAAGAGGAAAGGTATTTCAAATTACATAATTGACCTTATAGTTCATGGAAACCTGAGGAGGTGGTGAGGTAATATTTGCTGTCAACCGAGGTTATTTCGGTAAATATAAAGTGAAGAAAGTCTAGGTACAGTGATATGGTGGCAGACCGAAGATCTGGAAGTCCACTCACGAGTTCATCAGTTTTCAACAAAGGAATAAAATATAAAATAATAAAAATTAACTTTTCCTCCCCCTAATAAAAATTAGGTCCCTTTACCTGCTTTGTTGACAAACATTTCTTCATGTTGATTGCAAATTCATAGTTTTTCATAACATCCAAAGTCGGAGTCGGTGTCTAATTTGATCAACTTTGAATTATGATTTTCTAGGGAAAGAATCTTTGATATATAGTGGAGTCAGAGTCAAAATACTCTGTTTCAAAGTTAATTGATAAGAAGAGTCAATTACCGTCCTTACAGTATGTTGGATTCGATCAATAATTATCAAGCGACTATTATAAAGAATTTAAATATTTTATTTCAAAATTTTTTTGACTAAAAAATAATAAACAAACATATAGTGCTAAAAACTAATAAAAGAAAATTTATTTATTAATTCAATCGAAATATTTCAATTATAGAAAAATTGAATAAACAACAAATATTATAGCAGTAATTACTTTCTAAAATTACTATTTATGTTTAGATCGTGAGAGTTTGGAGGGGGACGGGGGGTCTTCTCTATTAAAGTCATAATCATTTTCTTCTACAATTTTTTCTACCATTTGATTATTATTGGTCAGTAATTTTCAGTTAGTTATTCATCTTTTTCAAATATGGTCTAGGCTGATTTTTTTTTTTTTTTTTTCTTCAGATTTTGTCACGTGACACTTCTTTAATATATTTGAATTATCATATGTCAATACATTGAATATTTTTAAAATTTAATATTTTATGTCCAAATAGGGTTGGCGTGGACTTATCTGACTAGTTGATCAACTACTCAAGTGGAGTCGAGATTTTTGGTGATGATTCTCAAAATTGCTATACCTAGTTGCAAAACAATCACTGTGTGAAGCTCAATGGGGGTCTGGTGAATGCTTAAGTTAACGATGAAGTGAGCGAGAATGTTGGATTGAAGAATGAGATATCAGTACTTCACCTCAGTTGAAAGACTAAGAGTATGTCTACTATAATAAAAAATTTTGTTCCTGGGAGGGTGATTATATTCCTTAAAGAAGAAAATAGTGAACACATGGGGGTTGTTTGGCCGAGGGAGTATATCTCAAGAAAAGTTATGAAATTCTTTCTTTTACAGTGGTTTCGTCTTCTATTTATACATATGGTCATTTAGGGTTTTTACAATTCTTTCTTTTTATGGCCGATCCTACGGTCCTCTTCTTATTTGTCTTGTAGCGTGGTCTACCACTTTGCCGTATTTTGTGCCCACAATCATCATAAAAGAAATGTACCAAAATATTCTTTTTATCAGAAAATATTTGTTCATTAGTGTTGTATGAGGTTGTCTCTCTCTCTATCCCCATGGACACGTGGCACGATCAGAGCTGCTCGAGGCTAATGCTGTACCAAAACTCTTTACTCTCGAGCTAGCACATGTCCCTGTGCTTGATATGACCGGGCTAATATACTCCCGAGCTAGTAGATCTTGGGCTCTTTATGTCCTCGGCTTGTGGCCCAATCCCATGGTAAGGTGCGAGCCATTAAGGTACTCATTTAAGGAGGTGTATTGGATTCCAAATGGGCGGTTCAAAGCTTAAGCACATCATTATCATTTGATATCTTTTGTTTCTCAAAATTTGAATTTAAAATTAATTTTTTCGGTCAGCCTATTGGACCTAGCAAACCATGAACCACAAGCCATTTACATTATCTTTTGATTGGGAATATGGATAAAAATGAATTGGATATTGGGATAATCTTTGGTATTATTTACACAAAATATTTGCTTTCATCTTCAAACTTTCAATTTCACTCTTAGTTGTTTGACAGTCATTGCTGCACCAAATTATACTCTCGTGTTTTCACCAATATTTGTTAGATTTTTTTTGTTCAACACAGGGATATAATGACCTACTTACGTATATCTCGATTAATCCTTTTCCCGGTCTGATCAAAGACAGGTCATCCACGCGGGGACTATGAAATTCATGATAAATAAATCTCTAATGATCTGACTTTAAAAAATTGTCAAAATTTAAATTTAAAACGATTGAATTTATAGTTTGTCTTTGTTACTATTTGAGCTGTAAGACACTACACCTAGATTATATAATATTTTTTTAACAAAGATGAGCTGTAAAGCACTATATATAAATCATTAGCGATTTTTTACAAATTATATTTGAAATAATCTCATGTTTTCACCAATATTTGTTAGATTTATATTCATATTAAGTCTAACGAATTTTACATTAATTTTCAGTTACATAAAGCAACGCTTCTCTTTTATGTGGACTCGAGGTCAACTGTGGAAAAAATGTACAAGCGAATAACTCTCCAACAAATCTTATCAAAAGTCTAAATCATGCACTTGCACAATCTTTAAAAGTCATAGACATTAGTCTTTGCAAGCAACTATAGGCAACCCAAGATATCACAAATCTACCATATGAATTATCCAATGGAGTATTGGATTTTATCATTTTTTGATGGAATGTTGAATTTTATCGTCCATGACATCTTCACCTTGGGGTAGACTCGGCGTGTAAAAAATAATTAACACTAATAATACTTGTTAAAAAATAAGAATTCACAATAAAAAAATATAGTAACAAATATACCGTAGTCCTAGACAATGTATTCACATTGATACACCATACTCATATCTACGGATCAAAAATTATATCGATATATTATTTATTCAAAATTTTAATCTTTTACATATAAGGATAAAAAATCAAGATTTTTTGCATTTGATACCCCAAAAAATATCTCGATTCCCATTTTATACTTCGAAAAATTATTTTTCTCATATTGCATCCTGAATATCATGAATTGATTTCAATGTGGCCATCGAGTTAACATCTGTTTCAGCTTTCATTAAAAATTAATGTATGTCACCTAAGGATATGAACTGTGAGTTTATATTTTTGTCTAAGAACAACACACGTGGGTCCGTATATAAATTTTTAATGGAATTTGAAAAGGATAGTAGTCCGAGGGCCACATTGGAACCAATTTTATGACATTCAGGGTGTAATGTGAGTGAAATAATCTTTTAGGGTATAAAGTGGGAATCGAGATATCTTTCGGGATGCAAAGTGCAAAAAGCCAAAAAATTATCACTCGATCATCTTCAGATTCAACTTGGCCTCTGGTATCAGAATACTGGGAGCTTCAATGGCAAGTGCCAAGTCATCCCACATGGACCATTCTTTCTTAACCCAACCTTTCTGTTACACTCTTGAAAACTTCTGCAGAAATGGGTTTTCAAAATTTGTGATGCCTCCTAGTTGTTTGATGAAATGCTTGTTAGAAATATCGTGACTTTGGAAGACATTTGCTATGTGGTTTTAGAAGGCTGCGGTTGGAGTTTTAAGTGGCAACTGACTTGTATGTTCTGAAGTAGCTTGCAAGTGTTCTAATCAACTACCTGCGATATTGACCAAGTAAATTGAGACAATTCATCTACTAATATAGTTCTCGCCAATACAGCCCCCTATTATTTTTGTTACCCATATCTTTTTTTTCATTGTTGCCGTCCTTTTGGGTAATGTTCACGAATAGGTGAGAATTCATAAATTTAGTATAGAACAAACAAAAGGGTTAATCTCATTTTTCATCTCGAAGGATTGTTCGAATTTTAATTTGTACCCTCAAAGATAAAAATTTTTAATTTATACCCTCAAAGATAGAATTTGTATCAATGTGCACCCCAAAGATCAAAAATCTTAATTCTCACCCTCAAAGATAGAATTTTATATCAATATGCACCCCAAAAATAAAAAATCTCAATTTGTACCCTCAAATATAGAAATTTGTATCAATATGCACCTAAAACTAAATTGATAAATTATACCTAGATCCCTTCATACTTGTCATTTAATCATTTAGACCTCTTCACATTTAGAATATTACTCCTACATCTTATGACATTTGTGCACATATAACACGTAACTCATTTTCATTGATATCTATTAATATAACCGTTAAAAAATATAATTTTATCCTAATAAAAAATTATAATTTCATATTACCCTTTATTTTATGGGTTCAATATATTCTAAAGTTCAATATCTAGTTTACCATTTGAATGTCTAATAAAATGTAAATATTTATATAATGTTTTTCATATTACATTTTATATAAATATCTACATTTTATTAGACATTCAAATGGTAAACTTGATTTTTAACTTTAGAGTATATCGAATTCACAAAATAAAAGGTAATATGAAATTATAATTTTTTATTAGGATAAAATCATATTTTTTAACGATTATATTAACAGATATCAACGAAAAGTGGTTATGTGTTACACATACACAAATGTCATGAGATGTAAGGGGAATATTCTAAATGTGAAGGAGTTCAAATGATTAAGTGACAAACATGAGGGGATCTAGGTATAATTTATTAATTTAGTTTTAGGTGCACATTGATACAAAATTCTATCTTTGAGGGTGCAAATTGAGATTTTTTATCTTTGGGGATGCACATTGATACAAATTTCTATCTTTGAGAGTACAAATTGAGATTTTTAATCTTTGGGAGTACAAATTGAGATTTGAACAATTTTTTAAGGTATAAAATGAGATTAACCCCAAACAAAATTATTGGCAGGGACCTTATAATTTTTTTTAAAAAAATTTGGGGGTGTTTATTTTTTGAGTATTCGTAATTGAGAAAAATATAACGGCATTTTTCAAATCTTTGACAATTATGGTATTATCCATTTTTACATTTATAATGACAATAATATTATTGAGACCTATTTTTTTTGACAAAAATGATTATAACTACTAAAATGGTAGCGGCTCTTAACGAATAGTGAAATTACACACGCATCTCCTGACATTTGGTTTTATTATACATACACCCTTTTACATTTAAAAAACGACATTGAAACCCTTGACATTTAAACACCTGTGACAATCTCACCTTTTTTATATGACAAACGTTAACTATTTCATAAAAAAAAAATTACCCTTATATCATTGAAATTAACCATCTCTTAATCAAATTTGTCTTAAAATTTAATTAAATCAAACCAATCTACTAATTAAGGTAATTTATCTCCAAAATTCTTTCAATTATAGTTAATTTCATTCATTAATTTAAATTTGGTCCCCAAATTCAATTTTAATTTATACACAATTAACATCACCATGCACCACCAATTGACGCCTCCACCACACAAACCCCACCCAATTTGCCCCAAAATCCACAACACAAACCCACAAAACCATCAATCTCCGCCGTCACAACCCACCTTCCAGTGAAATATACCAAGCACTGTGAGTCCCCAACCCATAAACAAACCCCTTTGCAACACCCACAAACCAACCCTTCCCCTCCCCCCACTGCTTGAGATTCTATTTCTTTGTGTATGTGGCTAATGTACAATCTAGTGCCCCTTTTGACTGTGAAGAACTCAAATTTAAAAATTAAAAAAACTTAGATCTCAAAAATTTGAAAACTCTCTCCGCTCCATTTGACCATGAAGAACTTAGATCTAGAATATTGAAAGAAATATCTCTTTCTCTCTCACTCCGATGCTTATGGCTAAAAGTGGTGGATTGTTGAGGAAAGTTTTTGATTTTGAAGTGTTTGATTGTACCTTGAGGAGGTGGGTTTGGGTTTTAGCGTTGATGACTTTGTGGTGGTGTGTGATTGTAGGCAATGAACGCTGGTGGGAAGTGGTGTTGGTGGTTGTGAATGGCGAACACTAGTGGAAAATGGTGTTGGTGGTTGTGGGTGGCCAACACTGTTGGTAAATGATGTTCGTTCGTATTTTTTTTTCATTTAGAATGAAGGACATTATTGTCATTTTTTCACTTCTGCTAACGACATCCAGTATTTAATAGTATTTGGGGTCTCAGTGTCGTTTTTGAAATATAAAGGGGTGGCTGTATAATAAAATCAAATATCACAGGGGTGAGTGTAATTTTCCCTAAAATAAATCTAAATAATTTTATTCGTTGAAATTACCGACAAATATTTATTTTCGCTTAAAGATTGGTGTGTGTTTTTTCCGTTGGGTCTACGCCTTACTTAGCAAGTAGTTGACTTTTGGTATTTATATCTATGTCGTTCTTGTTGAGATAAATCTTCTTCTGTTGCCCCACTTGGCATTAAGGAGTGGCGTCCAAGCCAATTTTACCAAACAGTGATGGCCAAACTTCTCTAATTTTTATTATTTTTTGAGTTTTAGTGGTTAGGAGTGTTCGAATTAATTTATGTATACTTCGATTAATTTTTTCCTCGATTCGATCAAAAACAAGTCATTCATGTATAGATTAAGGTATTTATAAAAAATAAATTACTCGTGACTTGACCTCATGAGATTATCAAAATTTAAACTTTAAAACGTCTAAATTTATAACTCATTCCTATTACCATTTAATCTCCCTGGAATTACGCTCCTCCAATTTTGTGTTGTAGTAATAAGACCCACCAAGCCTTTTCTAAAGGTGTATGGCTTTCCACGGGAGCATGAAAGGTACATATTCCAGTCCAGCTAAACACACATTTTTTTGAAATTAAGGTAATTTAAACAATAATAGAGATAAATGATAATTTTTTTTAATCAAAACAAGCTCACGAAACATTGTATTAAATAAAAAAATTATGGTTATAATCGGTCAAAAGAAAAACCTTAAACTCGGGAGGGACGAGTCTATCCAATTCAACGGCAGTGAATTGTTTACCTTAACGGCTGTCATTCAATGAACAACCTTATTATAGATCATAAATTATAAATTCAGATGTTCGAATTTTAAATATAATATTATCTTAGTCGACGGTGAATGATTTACCTATTTTTGATTGATTAAAAAAAAAACATATGAGCTCAAATGTGTACAAGTCAATTTGGATACTCTGACCAAAAAAAATCTCTTGCTTTTGGCAAGCTTTGTCCAATCAGATTCAAACACCTGCTACATAGCAACCCAACCAGGTGATGCAATCATAACTCGACCGGGCGAGTTTGTCCACAAATGATAACTCAAATTTCATCCGCGCACGTTAGCCCCACCCACTTTGCAATAAACGTTAATGTCGACGTCGTCGTTGAAATACTACAACTACGCGCCTTCTCTCTCTCGATCTCTCGTACACACGCAATGAAAAGATCGAACTCACTGTTTGGTCGCCGGAACAGAAGCCCCGGCGGTGTTCTTACACCGGATCGTTTTCCCCACTCCCCAAACTCCACTTACTCCTCATCGTCGTCCCAGAAACCAACTTCCGGTCGAAACCCCGTTAAACTGGCCGCCAAATCTGTTGCCGGAGTTTTTGTCGCTTGTTTTACTCCACCGGAGACCACAAGTTCCACGAACTTTCATGATCCTGATACATTCAAACCTCCTTCTGGTAACGAAGAATTTTGTTATGCCTATATGAACCTTTTTATTTTCAATTGTGCATACAATTAGAGTTTTAATGGATGATTTCATATGAGCTTGAAGTTCTTCTGATTCGCTAATTGCTGATAAAATGAGAAAATATGAGAAATATTTCAAGAATTTCTTGCATTATCGTGAATTTTATACACTTTACATCGTTCTGCGAGGACATTGTCTTCTTTTCCTCACATCCTTCATTGTGTTTTTCCTGTTATTTTTATGCTGAATTGTTTCCGGGAAATAGAAAATGAACAAATTCTATCTGTTGCATCCAGTTTTTGATTTTTTTATATGAATGAAATAACGGTCACAAATTTGGATCTATACAGTAACACAGAAGAGTCGGAGCGATGCACATGATTATAAAAACCTGATGGACAAAGGTATGAATTCAGTGTTCAAATTGATGTAAATGACCAAGGCAGTTTAGGATACTTATAGAGGCAAAAAAATCTCCTCTTTATGATTGTATCATCTCCTATTTAGACTATCTTGAATCATTTAAGTGCTGCTTAACTGCATCCTAGGCGACTCGATTCAAAACATGATGCCATGCTTCTTGTCAAATTGGCCCTATTTATACTTTGAGTCTTAAGGAGATAGCGAGTAGTAAGACTTCCTAGGCCTAATTTGGGAATTTGTTGTTTTTCTATGCAATGGGCCAGATGAGTGGGAATGAGTTTTTATTTCTTTCTTTCTTAGTTGTGTCAAATGCTTCTGGTGCTGGTAGAGAGAGGAGACGTAGTTCAAGTTCAAACTATGGTATATATTCCAGTTCTAACAATTCAACACAAATGAGAGTGCCTGGGAGTGTAAAATTCACCCTTGCAGAAATATACCAGGCCACAAGGAACTTTTCCCCCAGTTTCAAAATTGGACAAGGTGGTTTTGGGACAGTCTACAAAGGTCGACTTGAAGATGGAACCATTGTTGCAGTTAAACGTGCTAAAAAGGTCGGAGATCATCTTTTACAAACTTGGCTTTCTTGATGCTTAGTAGAGTCGAAAAAAACTAGTGAAAACTTCCTATATTAAATTCCTACTTTCGTCTGCAGAGTGCATATGATAAACATTTGGGAGTGGAATTTCAGAGTGAGGTCCAAACTTTGGCACAAGTGGAGCATTTGAATTTGGTTAAGTTCTATGGGTATTTGGAGCATGAAGATGAAAGAATTGTTGTTGTGGAGTATGTTCCCAATGGCACGCTAAGAGAACACCTAGATTGTGAGTTACTCTGTCTTGCTGTTTGTGTTGTTATCTAGGAAGCACGGATACGGATACGTGACACGGGTACGATACAATATGGATACGGCAAAACTTAAAAAAATAAGATACGGATACGGTCAGGATACGTCTATAATAAAATATATTTTATATTTTATTATTATTTAACGACTTAGAAATTACAATTTTTCAATAATTCTTTAACATTAGTAAGTAAAATTAGAAATTTTTACCATGAAAAGGTTATAATATCATCTCATTATGATCTGTTCATAAAATGAGCATGACAAATTAAAGGAATTATAATAACATTTAACTAGTTGGTTTTACAAGTATTTATTTTTAAAAGTATAGTGTAAGTGATTCATTTTTTTTATACCCTTTTAACATATAATAATAGATAATACTTAAAAAATACTCGTGTTTTTAAAATCAGATGGAATTTTGTTAAAGTTTTATATTGTATGTGAACTCCAAAGAAGGGTTATAGCTTAAAATTGAAAATTGTACATCTTACACCATGTTTAGAAATATCCGCGAAGTACCCACATATTTTATTAATTATCGGATACGGATGATGCGTATCCGATACGTATCATCGAGTATCCAACGAATATCGTATCCGATACAGTATCGGATACGGGTACGTCGACCTTGACGAAGTATCCGTGCTTCATAGGTTGTTATGCATCTTTTTTATGTGGCTGCTCCTGTGCATGCACCCTTAGTGTATGCACATACAAGAATGCTGAGATGTGATTGAAGGCCTGATGTAGGTACACATGGCAATGTTGTTGATCTTGCAGCACGACTAGATATTGCAATAGACGTGGCGCATGCAATTACATATCTGCATACCTATACAGGTTCGTGTTTGAGTAGCAGCAGAGTTACCAATATAGCATTTCATATTGAATACCTTATGTTTTTTTTGTTTGCAGATCACCCTATCATCCACAGAGACATCAAATCTTCCAATATCCTCCTCACAAATAACCTTCGAGCTAAGGTAGCTGACTTTGGTTTTGCCCGGTTGGCAGCTGACAGTGATTCAGGTGCCACCCATGTATCTACCCAAGTTAAAGGAACTGCTGGCTACTTGGATCCTGAATACATGAGAACCTACCAACTTACTGAGAAGAGTGATGTTTATTCCTTTGGTGTGTTACTCGTGGAACTAGTCACAGGCAGGCGCCCTATTGAACCAAAAAGTGAACTTAAGGAGCGCATAACTGCCCGATGGGTATGATTTCTTTTTCAATGTGTCAATAATTATAACATTTGTTGATATGAGTCATATGACAACATATCAGGAAGAAAGAAAAATCAAAAGCAGATTGTGTCATGTTTAACAATGAGGTCCATCCAGTTAAGGTGAAGAAATAATGATATTGTCTTCTGTTGTGATCTGGATTGGTCTGAATGTAGGCTATGAAGAAGTTTGCTCATGGAGATGCAATTTTAATCTTGGATCCAAAGCTGGAAAGGACTGCTGCAAATAGTTTGGCTCTAGAAAAAATCCTTGAACTAGCCTCGCAATGTTTAGCTCCTCATCGACAGAATAGGCCGACCATGAAGAAGTGCGCAGAAATTCTCTGGAGCATCCGCAAGGATTATAGGGAACTGTCAGCTGCAGACATTCATTCCCTCTCCCTTCACTCCTAGAGGAACATTTTAACAAGAGAAGAATAGGCAAGTGAATATGATTCAACTCAAGAATACCCATACTGGTTTTATTACTCATCCATTTGAACATAAGTGTTGAGCAGAGGAAAAACCGATTGAGGTAATTCGTATCAGAGAACCAGGAAAACATGCCGAAAGACAGAGATAAATGCAGCACTTCCTGAAAGATGGCTTATTGCAAGATTTAGGAGGGATTTTGTTCATAATTTTTGGCTTTTTTTTTTGTATAGGAGATTCATTTGAGGAGATTCAAGGATGTTCTTGCCTCCTGATTTTGTTGTGTTTATGTTTACAGGGATATATCCTGACTCTCGAGTCAGTGTCGCAATATTTCCAAATTTCTATTGACGTTGTTGGGTTTGTTATTTTGCTAAAGGCATCATATACATTATATTGCTTCATAAACCCTTAACCACTATGTCTATTTTTGTGTCTGTTTCACCTCTTACCTCTTGCTCCTTTACATCTTTAAACATTATTTTTGAAATCGAATTTATTAGTTAAAAATTGGAAATTTACATGGTTCTGAAATCAAATTTAAATTTTTTTCGATATAGTATGGACTTCCATCTTGATTACTATCATGTAAGATCTACCAAATCTATATGCCAACGATTATATACAGAGGACCAGTTGTATAAAGTGGGTTTTATTTCAAATCAGAGTGGTCTATAAGCGATCTGTTTTATTCGGATATCAAAATTTTAATTTGAATATAATATAATTATTTAATCAATTATATTTCATTATACATATCCAATATAAAAAACAGGACTGATCTTTGAAGCTTAGTTTGAGCTTAGTTTTAGTAAATTATACCTTAATTTTAAATTAATTGTATCAAATTATCATCTTACTTTATCAAAGTACTATTTATTGACATACCCATTTATATTAGGTTTTTGAAAAAATAATTTAAATAAAAAAGTTCAGTAGAGGGAATTCAAATCTATTCGTCATGCCAAACTGTTTCATCTTTCCTTCCGTTCCTATCAAAATATTTTGTTTTGCTATGGAGTCTTGTGTTTCCTTTTTTGATATGTACTGATTGAAAATTATTATAAGTGTCTTATATCCTTGTTACAATGAAATTATCTTCATTATAAGTATTAAGTAGCCTTGTTCTAAATTTGGATATAACCAGGGTTGATAATTGAACTCGGTTCAAATCCGACTCATATAAAATTCGATTTCTGTTCGACTTGTGTTTTAAACGAGTCCAGTTTGAACAATTTTTTTAAATCGTTTAGCACAACGGGCCTAAAATACTCGATTTGAATTCGCAAAATTTGACTAGTTTATACGTAAAATAGTCGGGCTCGGGCTCGGGCTCAAAAAACCTCAGTTTAAACAATTTTTAAACTTACTTAAAACAACAAAATCAACAGGTGGGTTTGTTCCTTAGGCCTCTTTCAATCACGGACCTCAGGAAAAAATCCATTGACTTTTATAAAATATTAAATTACGTTTCTATCCTTATATTTCAAGGATTGGCTATTGAGATTAAAGTAGTAAACCTTCGATAAAAGACCTGCTATTCTCACCGATGATAAAACGCAATCTAAAAAGTACTTTGACCAATACTAAAACTAATACAATTATGATAATTTCAATACATTCATCAACAACAACGCACAACCACAAATATCCTTAGTCCCGTTATCGATCTCCCTCTTCACATTAGAGACTTCAATGACCTAGCCTTAATCGGTTTTCGAACTCTCCTGTATTCAACCTCGCCATTCTCTTCATCTTCGTCTTCATCTTCTTCTTCGTCTTCATCCTCAACATAATCAAATTCTTGGTTGTTACGAATCTCTTTACAAATTTGACAAGATGAAGATGGTGATGTAGTAGTTTCGACCAAGACTACGACGGGCTTAACAGGCGCTTCACTACCGATACATTTATTGAGCTCAGCTTCTTTTTCAACTCTTCCGGGCCCTCTCCTTTTGCCCCATAGTGGTCCGAAGCCCGAATAATAGTAGAACTCGTTCGGATTCTTGGATGATGCTGAAGCCTTCTTGGGACGAGGACGGCGGCGATTCTCGACGGCCTTGTCGTGTTTCTTGGCGGCAGCGGCGGCAGTGGGGTGAGCCAAATTGGTGTAGTTTTGAAGTTGGGTCAAGTGGTGTTGGCACAATGAATGCCCTTCTTTAGCCTCTCTCTTGCAATGCCAGCCCTTCCCATCAGTTTTGCAGCACAAAATGGATTGGTGTTCTTTCTTAAACCCTAGATTGTTTTCTCTCTCCTCCTCCTCCCCATTCTCACCTTGACCTTTCTCAATGCCATGATAGACCTTAACACTATCTGAATAAACCCATTTCATAGCATCGAACTCCTCCTTCGTGTTGTTCTCCTCCTCAACATTAAAAGAGATTTTCATTGACTCGACGCTGGAGTGATAATATTCCAAAGCCATTGATGCATAATTGATTAAAGCATCGTAGTTCAGTACAAATTTCAGGTAATCAAAGCTTTAACATTTATTATTAGGAAAAAAATTAAGTGGGTATCGATAATGGAAACCCTAATTATCATCCATAATATAAAAACATTGAAAAACTGTAAAAAAGCTATTGAAATCGAACAAATCGTTTATGGGTTACCTCTCGACAGCTCCGACAGAATCTCCTAAACTCCCATTTCCAGTAAAGCTGTCGTCTCCATCGACCTGAATAAACGATGATCGAAGTCGAAAACAAAGAGGCACAAGGTGTAAACTTGGAAATAGAGCAAAAACAGGAACAACCCATCAAAGTAATCGACTATTCTAGCCTGAATACACGACAGAAATGGTGGAATGAATGACAAACCCTAATGAAGAGCTTACAAGAAAACCCTAAACTAAACCAAATAGCAACAAAAATACTTGGACATTTGACAAAACTGAGAAATGGGTCTTCACATATCTGACAGTGGAGTGAGAAAGAGAGAGAAGAACGATGATTGAACTTACCTGAAATGGAGGAGGCGGCGGCTGTGGCGTTGCGGGGTCTGAAGGAGGGAAAGTGATAACGTCCCATGGAGATTGGTTAAGCTGGCACATGTGGGTCTGGAAGAGAGTCTCGGTTTGAAGACCAGAGGAAGAGAACATGAGGGGAGAGATCTTAGCGTGCTTTCTGATCCTCATGGTTGGAATGAAGCAGAGGGGAGTTTTTGGGGGGTGGGGGCTTTAACCAACGAAGAGAGGCAGATCCAAAAGGCTCTCTCTCTCTCTCCTTCTCTCCTCTCTCATTTATATATTGTAGTTTCTCTCTCTGTCTTTGGGGTCTCTCGTTGTTTTACAGATCTCACGACACTCGATAATGAGGCTTTGTGAACTTACTGTTGCTCTCTCTGATCTTTTCTCACGAGTAAATTATACTTTATACTTTAAAATATTATTTTTGTTTTATTTTATACTCTTAATTATAATTTTTTATATTATACCCTAAATTATTAATTTTATTTCATATATTTCTAATAGATATGGCAAACTTGAAAATTTGTTAAATAAAGAAGAAAAATCTCAAAGAACTTCCCACCAAGTAGTAAGAAAAAGAAAGTTAGCGAGAGAAATAAAATTTGAGACATAGGGAAGATAGAGTTATTGGTAGATATTTTTTTTGATTTTGACCTACGCGTGTATAATGCTTAATGGCAATATAGACTACTCACATACGTATTTACCGTCAAAAATTAATAGAAGTTATCTATTGGAGTGATAAAATAAAATTGATATTTTAGAGTAGAATATGATAAATTTTATAGTTGAGGATAACAAATAAAATAAAAATAATAGTTTATGAGGATAAAGTGTAATTTACCCTTCTCTCACCCCTTCGGCCCTTCATGTAGTTCAACTTCAGATGAAATTACATATATACCCTCACATGTTTATTGTATTACAAAGGTGTCATAATGCTGCCACTCTTAGACGTCATGAGAACTTGTCGTTGATCGAATATTTAATGGGGGATAGGGTTGGAGTAAGAGTGTATTTACGGTCTTACCTTATGTCTTCGTACAACTTGACATAGCCGTTAGGCCCACATCAAATGGGTTTGATGGGTTTCGGCTGCATGTGGTCTACAAAGTTAACGGCTACAATGTTGGTGAGCCTCGAAATAGGACATAATCACACGGTAAGAATTATACATCCAACTGTATAGTTATTATATCGGCACATCACAACCACACACGAGAGACCTCAAACCGTGAATAGGTTATGATGTGACAATGATAATAGTGAGATTCTTAGTAATACACAATTAAATGATGAGCTAATTCATGTCTGAAAGTATGGTGTAATGTGAATGATTTTAAAGGAAATATTAATAATTGTTTGACAAAATTGTTTGAGACCATCTAATAGATTTATTAAAATTTATCTTATTTTATATTATAAATATTATAATACATAATAATATATTCGTATCGTATCATGTCAAGTGCATGCTAAAGATTTTGAAGTGCGCAGAGGTCATGCATCATCAATCAAATGTGTTTTCCACCGATGCGTGTTTGAGTCAATAAGCTCACTAATGGTAGCATTCTCTTCCAAAATAATCTTAGGACTTACCACTTTGAAAGTTGTTAGAGTATGAATCCACCTATCTTTCCATGCGTCAATTTTGAATGGTTATCTCTCAAATATGAAGTTCGACATTTGAATCTTATGTAGTGAATTGACACGTATTATTCATTCAAGTGAGATTCATCACGTGCAAATTGGTTCTTTACTCATCAATAGTGGATGATGTGTTACGAAGAGCATCAGAGGAAAAAAGTATTAGAGACATTCTGGATGCATAATAATAAAAATAATAGAGGTTATAGAAAGTGGGAATGAGTTTTTCAGTGTTGGCCCAATATATTGGCCTGCTTAAGGCCCATAAATGTGGCCTCTCTAGTTGGAGCATGATCCATTCAAAGTGCCTATTTGGACCTGCTCAATGTCTATGTTATGGGCAACAAATTCTTTGGCTGGGATGGGCTGGGCTGGTCTGGCAGCCCAGCTGAAGCATATGCCAATTTGCCCAGCTTTAGTTTAAATAAACTAATATTTTTGACTACTTTTTGGAGTCAGGCCACGAGGGATAAAATTTCTCATGAATATTCTTGGTCCATACGTGGATGGTTTATTTTTGACCAGACCAAGGAGAAAATTAATCGAAGTGTGAGTAAGTTGACCCAGACATCCTTGACTGTTAAACCAAAAAAGAAAAGAAAAGAAAAAAGAGGTATGTGTGATAGTGGATTTTCTGGAGAGTGTATTTTGATTGAAATGTTTGATATTGAAGGTCATGTAAAAATGATTATGTTTTAGAAAATGATATTCCGACCTAAATCAATGAAATCATTGACTTGAAAATAAATTTCATATAATATTAAAATTCATAATTATTTTTGTGGCCGCATTGTATTAGATTTTAATTATTATGTTGAAACTCAAGAAATGGAATGAATTTATACTATTAAATCAAAATAAATAAAAAATAAATTAATCTTAATTATTATTATATATTTTTTAAATTAAAAATTCAACTTTCTACTAGATAGATCTAGTTGAGATTAAAATATAGTGAAAAATATTTGAATGGGTATAAAAGCATAGGGTGGTCCAAGTCCAAGATCATTGAACACGATCATTCATGCACCCCTGCTAATGCACGTCTCTGTTTGTCCCTCACCGAGTCGTCAAGCTTCAGAAGGACAACAACTGCAGTGCCACGATTGGTCGGTAATCAGCACTATAGTCCCAATAACTTTTTTTTTTTTTTTAAATTATCATTATTCACTTCTCAAACTAGACTGCGATTCACACCTGTTTGTATATAAATAATGATTATTTTAAAAAATAACAAAAATTCATTTATTTAAAAAAAAATATCTTTTTATTTAAAGAGTATGAGAGATACATTTTCTATTTTTTAAATAAAAAAATATAAATTAATAGAAGTTTAGGGCCTCCGATACCTATAAATAGAAATTATTTTTGGTCTCCATTTGTCAAAGGAAGATGGATCGAACTTATACACTGACAAGAAAGATTTTGAAAAATAAGTAAGAAGTCGAATTTTTTGGTCAATGAGCAATGAAACCACATCGATCATCACTTCATAAGCGTCTACCTTTCTGTGTTTTTTTTAAAGCTTCTCTTAAAACTTTGAACGTTACATTTTTCTCTCTCTTGTTTCATCTGTTAGTCTTACTCCTCTCTGTCTGTCTGTCTATCTGTTGAGTATCTTTGAAATGCTGTTGCCTTATTCTTTGTGAATGAATCTCTATAAAAAGAACTGTTGCTAGAGAAGATGAACAATATGGAATTACATATTCAATGAAAATAATTGACTAATAATTTTTATATATATTATAATAAAAATTAAAAAAAATAATTGAAAACATTAAACCTTAAGATTAAGACATCATTATCAAACACACAAAATAAGCAATTTTGGTATCTATCATAAAAATAAGGAAAAGATCCAATCAATCTTAAACTGTACCACATCCTGGAGACAAGATCCACTGAAATCTATTATAAAACTCTGCCTATAACATTACCAGACATAATTAACAAACTCCCACACTTTCATGCCACTAGATTCATTGGGTGCATATTAGTATATTCCCGTATCCAAATCCATGAAAAAACCCATCTCACAAAATTGAATCACCTACTTCATTTGACACCATTACCTTACCTTCAAAACCACCTCACAAAAACTTATCCGGGTCGGGTTATAATCATGAACCTTTCCATTATCCCCATACATCAATTAATCCCCTGTCTGATGGAAACATCCTAAGGAGAAAGGCGCCAGCCAGGGCTATGTTCCATCAATGTTCAATGTTAAATTTGACTGTGAGACTTTTTAACCTGTAATTGACTATTTATTAAAAGATCGAATAGACATGAACAAAACCTCAAATTTTTTTTTTTATTTGACACAAATATTTTTCATGTATATACATTTATATATCTCAAAAAAAAAAAATACAAAAATACAAAAACAACCCATCAATAATGTCAAGGTTTACAACCCAAAAACTGTGTTGTTGTCACAAAAAAAATCATGCGAAATACCAGAGGCGGCCCATAGCCGTCGATTAAACTCATCTTGCAAATCAAGTGGCACAAAAGGTGTCCTACAAAGAGGACAAGTCAATTGATCATGGTCCATCCAACGGTCCAAACAAGCCCGGTGGAAAATATGCTTGCAGTTCGTCAACCATCTGATCTCTTCCCAATGCTCGAACTCGTACAGGCAAACTGCACAACTTTCCGGTGGGTCTCCGGCGCCGACGCGGGGGAGATCCTCAAAGTTGAACACAGGAAGGAGTTCTCGGATCAGGACTGCTGATACGGGCGGGGCTTCGGGTCTTTGGGTTGGGTTTTCTTGGAAGAAAACATCTGGTTCGAGGAAATCTGGGAGACCCAGAAAGCGGAAGAGAGATAAAATGAGAGTTCTGATGAAACCCAGAAGGGAAAGTGTGTATATGAAGAGTTTGGGAAGAAAATCTTCTGTGTAACCCACTGGGAAACCCATAGAAGCTCAGAGAGAGAGAGAGAGAGAGAGAGAGAGAGTTTTGCGATGAGACTTCTGTGGTAATTTACAGAGAGAGTTGCAGTCTGAGGATATAAGAAGAAGATGGTCGGAGGAGAGAGAGAGGGGGGGAGGTCAGAGAAGCTTCGGATTTGGCCATGAATATATAGTGGTTGAACAGTATATTGACCACTTGAAAACTATTGTGACGGGCTGTGATTGATGTTTTTGAATGATCCAATAAAATGTAAGTGAGTGTGCGGAAATTTTAGTGTGAATTTACACATAAAATGACAGTGTTAAGTTAGAAATAAATGGCTACCTTCAATTAAATTGTGAGATTTTTTTTTTCAGCTGAAAAAACCAATTTGTGTGCTAATAAATAAGGCTGATAATCGAATAAATCTATTCAAATTCGGCTCGTTTTAGGTTTGTTCATATTTAACTTAAATAATTTTTTAATTTTATTCAAAAATCGAGCTCGAAAGACTTTATTCGAACTCAATATATTTGACTCGTTTATATATAAATATTTAGGCTCGGCTCGTATTATGCTTATTTATATTCGACTCATTTTTTAAACGAATCAAACTTGAATAATTTTTTAAATTCGTTTAAAAGAACCAAGCTCAACATGTTCAGCTTATGCATTTTCGGGCTCATTCGATGATCAACTATACTCACAAATTAGTTTTGTGATAGTATATATTATACACCACATGATACTGCTAACTATGCCTTAAATCTAGTCAAACTTTTTTCATTATAGGGACTTTTCAGTTATTTTAAAAAATAATTGAAAAAAAGGCTTTTAAGGTGGGAGTTAGATTTTTTAAATATATTTTATCTTCTTGACCAATCATTTATAATGTATTTAAATGAGATTTATTATTCGTAAGTTAGTCTTTTACTCATTAATAATAAATTTTAAAAACAAATTAGAAAAAAATGTATTAGATAGATCTCAAAGAGACTGTTTAACGTGTTGTGATTGGACCGTGAGGCAGAGTACAATTGCGTACATGTTAATTTAGTATATGAGGGGGGCTGCGCTTAGAGGTCGGATATGATTATAAATTGACGTTAGTGTGAAAGTTGCAAACTTGTATACGTTTCACGTGGCACAATTGTTATTCTTTTTACAGCACCATAATCTAGTGGTTATTATTTCTAGGTTTTAATTTTAAGTTTTGTAACAAAATAATTTTGATTTAAATGAGTTTGGTAATAATTATGTGTATTTAGATGCATATATATTGTAATTTATGAATAAAAAAATATGTGTGGTTTTAATGATTATAAGATATTAAAATTTTAGTTGAGAAATTTTTTATTTGATAAAAAGGGTTAGAAATTGGGTGTTTTAAAAAATTAGTAAGATTTGTGGTTGTCCTAATGTCCTTTGCCCCCATTGCATCTTAAAATCTCGAGTTCAAATCCTGTTATTTTCTAATTTTACAATAAGCAATGATAAAAAAAAAAAAAAAAGAATTTTAGTTGAGAATTTTAGCAATCAGAGTCATTTGATATTTAATAAATTTTAAAAGACCTACTACTAGTCTAACGGTCTAATTTAAAGTGATGTACAAAAATAGTATAGAAAAGTGGTGTGCGTAGCATTATTATTTTTTATTTAATTTTTTTTTTGGGGTAAGTATTTTTATTTGGTTGTTAGCGGAGGCATAATGATCATCTTTTCAACTGTGCTTTTGCCATTGAGCTTCGGTGATGTGATAAGATCAAAACAAAATACTATTTAATGAAATCTTAATTTAATGTAAACACGCATTCATTAATCTTCTTATCCGACCCCAACCTCATCTTCCTTTGTTCTTTCGTTTGCTTTTATACAAAGTCAAAAGTGTACTAAGACTCCTCAAAATTATGAGTGTTCAAATTTTTGATTAATTATAATTTTTTACACTATTTGATCTTATCTGACCCTATTGAACGGCTAATAAAAAAAAATCATATAGGAATGCAGAATAATTTTTAGTCTTTCGATTAAATCATGTAAGAATGCAAAATAACTATTAATTTTCGTATTCTTATCCTATCCTACTTGTATTATATATATAAACTAAAAACCCTAATTCTCTAACCATATAGTTTAAACTTAAAAATAATTGTTATTGTATTTGTGCAACAATTATGATGAATTGATGTTTATGTTTTCTTGTATTTTATTGTAATTGTTGTTTTAATTATTTTAGATTTTAGTGTGATTGGTTTATTGTGTTATTAAATTGGTGCATGTTATTTAATTGAATTGTTAAAATGATCCAAAAATTAATAATTACAAAAGTGTTTACCCGAATTTCTATCTGATTAATTTGGCCGAAAGTCAGGTTGAAATACCACACTTGGTCGGGTAGGGTAGGGCAAGAAAAAATTCCTCCGCAAAGTATCTGGTAGAAAGATAGAAGATCATATTTCCTACCTATAGGGTAGGATGAACACCTGCTCAAAACTAATAAAAAACCTTTTTCTTAATTCTATATATGTCATCAAGAAACAACTTGGCAAGTAGGTTTTAATTTTAATATGATAAAAATTAAATTTTGAATTTCATATTTACCCTTTCTTTGTTGGGTTTTAAAAATTTTTGATCAGTGTAAAAGGGTCATTCCATTGACACCTTCCACTAAAATTTATAATTTAACGTGTATTTTTCCAATTTACGATTTGTAACATTATAATTCACTTGATTATATTGGGCTTCTTTGAAACTTACTTTTTTTAGGTGCGAAGTAAAGTTTTGAAAAGTACAATGAAAAATTCATAGTTAAAAAAACTCTTGAAACTATATAAAGTGTTTTTGAAAAAGTCGATTTTTTCTTAGAAATCCTTGAATGAGCCTCATTTTTTAGTTTTTTTTTAATACTAATAAAAGCTATTTTTGACCAAAAAGTTAATGGAAAAGTCATTCAACAAGCTCGAGTCCAAATGGATCAAGCTTCTTTTACTTTGAGGCAAAAAAAATCTATTGTAATATTAACTACTATATATTATTCATGAGGTTTTTAATTACAATAATTAGAATTGTTTAAGGTCATCACATAACAATGGTTGCAAATTCATCAAGACCCACCAATAGATTTTAATCTAATTATCCAAATCTTCTTTGATGACATGATAGACGCTTGACCTAATTTGTGATCCATGTGAAACAATCCTAATTCTATAAATTAATATCACTCTTACCAAATCTTGACTTATATGTCACTTTACTCCATGACATACCTTCTAACCTTCCTTTCCAAAGAAAAAAAATTATATTAGTTGAAAACTTGTGGTACACTAACTACTACTGGACTATAGAAACTTGTAGGTGTCTTTGCAAAGGAGGTCAATTGAACCCACCAAACAATAAGGCTACTAATGAGTTGAGTCGTGTAAAATTTATCTTGTATCAAAATTTATCTAATTTATACGCACTCTAAATATACCTATATATAGTTAGGTTCTTATCGTGGATAACTGTGTTGATGTCGACTCATTATTATCATGTGTGTTGACACATTTATTGTATGTCAATTGGATTATGACTTTGACTCATTAAAAGTAAGTCCATGCGCAATAATTTTGTGCAAATTTTGTATCTAATTACAAAAATGAGTTGTTAAGAATTCGGGTTAATATCATTTTATACTCCGAAAGATAGTTCGAATCTTAATTTATACCCTCAAAGAGCAAAAATTTCAATTTGTACCCTCAAAGATAGAAATTTGTATCAATGTGCACCCCCAAAGATCAAAAATCTCAATTTGCACTCTCAAAGATATAAATTTATATCAATGTGCACCCCAAAGATCAAAAATCTCAATTTGCACTCTCAAATATAGAAATTTGTATCATTATGCACCTAAAACTAAATTGATAAATTATACATAGATCCTCTCATGTTTGTCACTTAATCATTTGGACCTCTTTATATTTAGAATATTACTCCTATATCTCATGAAATTTTATGCACGTACAACATGTAACCCACTTTCATTGATATCTGTTAATATAACTGTTAAAACATATAATTTTATCCTAATAAAAAATTATAATTTCATATTACCCTTATTTTATGGGTCCAATATACTCTAAAGTTCAAAATCAAGCTTACCATTTGAATGTCTAATAAAATGTAGATATTTATATAATATTTTTCATATTTTCCTTTTTATAAATATCTACATTCTATTAGACATTCAAATGGTAAGCTTGATTTTGAACTTTAGAGTATATCGAATCCACAAAATAAAGGGTAATATGAAATTATAATTTTTTATTAGGATAAAATCATATTTTTTAACGATTATATTAATAGATATCAACGAAAAGTGGTTATGTTTACACATGTACAAACATCATGAGATATATGGGTAATATTCTAAATGTGAAGGAGTTCAAATGATTAAGTGACAAATATGAGGGGATCTAGGTATAATTTATCAATTTAGTTTTAGGTGCACATTAATACAAATTTCTATCTTTGAGGGTGCAAATTGAGATTTTTGATCTTTGGGGGTGTACATTGATACAAATTTTTATCTTTAAGGGTGCAAATTGAAATTTTTGATCTTTGGGGGTGTACATTGATACAATTTTTTATCTTTGAGGGTGCAAATTGAGATTTTTAATCTTTGAGGGTGTAAATTGAGATTCGAACGATCTTTCGGGGTACAAAATGAGATTAACCCTAAGAATTATGTATCTTTTCTGGATAAGAAAAAAATAAATAAAAAATTTCTGAATTTGGTTTTAATCAATTCTTAATTTGGTTAAATCATAACTGCTTTTGCAATACTAAGCTACAAAAGCGGGTGAAAGCTATTTTTTCGATTCTAAATAAAGAATGACTCTCACTTGAAAATTTAAAAGAAGTAAAAGTAGAATCCAAACACACTCTCAGATACATTGAGAATCAATGGGTCTTTGGTCCGATGATATTACTTACCTTGTAAAAATTTTACCTTTTTGAAGTCCAGAGTTCAAGCCCCCTCCCCTCCCCCTCCCAAAATATATGGGTCCCCACCACTTGAAATTTAATTATAAGGGGAAGACACGGAGAATCAACTAAGCCCATAAGAGTAGACCAAAAGATTGGGGAGGAAGAGACATGACAAATAGCGTCGGTGATGAGAACCCTCGCCAACCAACAACCCCTTATATTTATGGATTGTTTAAAGTCCATGGCCAAGACATTAATGCCCCAATTTGCCTCCCTATCATGTTCCCCCACCACCACACTATTCCAGAGTCTCTACTGTTTTTGGATGGATAGAGAGGGCCATGTTTTGGATATTAATATTATTGAGACACCTAAAACATTTAGAGGAATGATGGTTTTAGTGACGGATCCAAGAATATGCTATTAGGGGGCAAGGGCGGAGTCAGATATCCATTTTAGTGGGGCAAAAATGAGCGAAAAACTTAGCCAAATGATATTTAAAAAAAAAATCTTTTCAAGCCTCCGTTAATGAGGATTAAATTGAGAGTTATTTTCAAATGAATAATTTTTAAGCTAAAATATAAGAAAACTATTAAGACCCAAGACTTAACTATTACGTGAAAACCAAAAAATCAACATTCTTTAATGATTTGAACTTATAACAATGTATGAACGTTTACTCAAAATTTAGTTATCCCAAATCTTTACATGTCGCTTCGCCCCCAGGGTGGGTTAACGAAGGGGGGTGTGTGTATATATACATACTTGGGTGTGTTGCAACAACTATTTATTAATTCAAATAATAAGTCCTAAGACTGAGTTTAAAAATTCACTTCAAGTGGTTGAACTTGAACCTTGCACACGGCTTGCAATTTTTGTATGCATACATATCTAGATACAAAAAAGAAACACTAAAAAATATGTATTATTTCATAATTCTTTTTTCTGGTGAATTATTGCAACAAAGTAGGTTGATGTTTTCAATGGAGGACCCAAGAAATTGTCGTGCAAAAGGGGTAGTGACAACAATTTAAAATTTGGAGGGTGAAAAGTGTAATTTTTGAAGTGAAGAACTTTTCTCAAAAACAAACATTTCTTTTTGCTTTGTTTTTTGTGCTTACAAATTTAATTAATTATGGCTTGGAATATTACTGGCCTTTGATTGGGCCTGTGCATAGCCAATCCAAGACAACCATGTCCCAACTGTTTCCCTATCATTCTCTCTCTCTCTCTCCACCCCCAACACCACTCCAAAGTTTATACTGTTTGGGCATATGGTGGGTGGCCAGAAATGACTGAACGACTAAAACGTTTTCCTGAATTATTGAGACACAGCGGCTTGTTGTTTTTAGCGGCGGTCCCAACAATTTGCCTCCAAGGGGTAATGAAATAATTTAAAAAAATTTGGAGAGTTGAAGTGTAATTTTTGAAGCCAAGAAATTCTAATGAGGTTTTTTTCTTTGTGGGTCATAATATAAATTCTAATGAGGTTGAGCGCGGAGATGTGTGTGTCTGACTCTTTGAGTACACTTTCTTACTTCAAAAACTCTCGAAAATTAAACTTTGATTTCTACAAAACCCCTCCACCCAATAAATAATTGCATAAATGATTTTTTGTATTTTACACCCTGAAAATTTTAAAATTCTGATTTTACACTTCAAAAATTAAATTTTTCACATTACAACCCTTAATATATCAAAAGTGTTACATTATGACTCTTCTATTAACTTCTGTTATTTTTTCTGTCAAAAACTAATTCATTGAAACTGACAAAAAAACTAACGAAAAGTTAACATAAAAGTCACATTCTAACACTTTTGATACATCGAGGGTGCAAAATAAAAAATTTAATCTTGAAGATTACAAAGTGAGAATTTTAAAATTTTTCAGGATACAAAGTGCAATTTGTCCTTACCAAAAAACCATGTTTGATGACTAACTTTTAAAAAGTAACATAGATATATCCTCCCATAACTTATAAAGTATTGAAGAAGGAATAGAACCTGAACAATAGTAAATTCAAAGAATTATTTTTATTTTGTTTGCTATTTAAATATACTTTCTTGATATATATAAATTTCAAATATCTGTAATCACCAACAAGATTCAATTCCGAGACATTCGAATTTACGGTACATATAAAAGAGTTAGACTACCTGTGCGGGATTAAAAATGCTTTTTTAAAATAAAACAAACACTTATTTTTCGTTTTTTTCGCTTGGAAAATATTATCAAAAAATAGTACATAAGATTTTCCTCTATGCCTCAAAATTTAATCACAAGGGTCCAACACAAAGACGATATGTCCGATCTCTGTCTCCACTCTCAATGGCTCTAATGCATTCATACCCACAGGCTCAAAGCTTATTCTTATCTTCCTTTGCATTGTGGGCTTCACCTTCTTTGACCATTGATTTGGACTTTTTGTATTTGGCCTTTTTTTGGAGGTCTTCATCAGCACTGATTTAATATTTATGGATTGCCATTGTGTTTTTTCTTTGGTAAGTAAATTGTCATTGTTTTTATTGTGCAACATGTTACTAGTCTCTATTCATTCAATAAAATTAATCACGTGTTTTTGGACTTGTGGCTGTCATGTAATTTCGAGATACACACAATTATCCACAAAACAGATACTAAATTTTTTTTTAATAAGTATCGAATTAAATAGAAGGTCTATTATGAATTTTGAATATAAAATATCGAACGATTAATCATTAAGGCCTTTTCTTTTGAATTTTATGAAGATTTTGTGACATATTATGGAAGGATATCTTTATTTATTTAGCCACTTTTTATTTATTTATTTGGTTAATTACGTTGGTGTTTGCCAACATATAGAATATTATACGATTGATGTATTCTTTTGTGTTTGCCAACAAGTTAGAATATTATACGTTGGTGTTTGCCAACATGTATTCTTTTGATACACACACTACTCACCACACTAACACTAAAAATAGACACAACCACATACACGACTAAACCACTATCCACTTATCCATTCATATTAAATTGGGTCACAAAAGGGTTGAAAGGTGAATTTGTTTTAGGGATCAAATTAACATAAATAAGGTTAAAAGGTTACATCTAAAACTCATATTTGCATTTTTGGCTAGATGTCCGTTAATTAATATACCATAAGTTGGAATGTCACTCATTGAGTTGAACTACTACAACGTTTTTGTGTTGCATAGTGTCTTCAGGTACGATCATTAGCTAGTTGTTCAACGTATCAACACTTCTAACTTGTTCCAAACATCCCCTCTTCTTTTATTTCTTTGCTCTCTCTCTCTCTCACACACACACACTAGCCATATATAGTTATCAATACACGACTAAACTACTATCCACCAATTGATTCAAATTAAACTGGACATTTGATCTAAACCATGCAATATCTCCCAAAAATGTCTTCAAATTCAACTACAACAAATAAAATCATGCAAACTCTATCAATTAAATAAAATCAAAAAGAGGAGGAGGAGGAGGAGGAAGAAGAAGAATCTTGCATATTTAAACGTGAAAATGGGCTAACAGATAACAAAGGTCATGGCCGTGGTCCAAACTATTGAATAGACCATAAGGCGTTTACCTAAAATACGAAGGCATAACCCACCTCACCTTCCCTGATAGACTTGGGCTTGGATCAATTTCGATAATCAGGCACACAACTCTCATTACATTTTAGGCCATCTTTTTTTTGAGATCATTATTACAAATACGAGATACTACTATTGTAGTGAAGTCCGATAGAGAGTTTGAAAGAGGAACATAATAAAACCCGAAATAGAGGAACATAAGAAAGCAATTACATAACATTCAAAGAGAGTGTCAAAGAGATTACGACTCACCTAACCTACACGTGAGGGACCTCGTGACATGGTTGTGTAATAGTTTTGATAATTTTTCTTAAGACAATTAAGTCATACTTTTGATAATTTATTTCCAAAAAGTCCTAAATTTTATCGATAGTTTCTTTTGTTTCAATTTTATTCTTTCCACGAAAACACACATTATACTTTTGTTTGTAAGTGTGATTGAGTGAGAATCATCGAGGCTCAAAGAAGGGTCTACAATTACAAATTTCAAGGAGCATGTATATAAATTGCGTGCCTACAAACTTTAAAAAATTTAGATATAAGTTACTAATCAACATTATCAACAGAGATTTAAGTGTTACATGTCTATAAACTTCAAAGAGCATATATATAAATTTCAAATATCAGGAGATTTAATTGATTAAGTAATTCTCCATTTTTAAGTATTGCAAAGTGTTTTTAAAGACGGATTATTCTTAGTTGCTCTTTAAATAATATATTTATTTATATTAGCAAATAAGCACAAGTTCGTCTACTATTATTACTTTAGGAAGCAGCTGTGGTTTATGTCTCGTTGTAAATTAATAACACAAGAGTCCTCATAGTTTCATAATTACAATGGATACCCCATAAATTTGTGTAATGTAAAATACACTGTCTTTGACTAATTATTCGGAGGCCCTTCCATATTTTAAACATCACATAAAACACCTAAAATTTGTTTGTCTTGGCAAATATACTCCCGCTGATTCAAGTGAGATCTAGAGCTAATACCAATTTGTTTGTCTTCGGCTTCCTTCGGTCCTCCTCGTCTTCAAGCGACAAACGGGCAGCTATCTTCGTCTTCCTTCGGTCCTCCTCTTCTCCAGGCGACGAACATGCATTCTCAGTTCACCAGTTGTCTCTGTCTTCCTTCGGTCCTCCTCTTCAACTCAGTGTAAGTCCTCTCTCTCTCTCTCTCTCTCTCTCACACACACACACACAGGACAAGAGGATCTGCCGCAAGTAAGAAATTTTTTCCAAAGGGGCTTGGATTTCATTTCTTTTTTTAATTGTAAGACAAACACATTTTAGCTAAATTATTATGTTTTATGATTTGTTTTTAAATTTTTTATGTTTTTATAAGTCCGACTAATTGATCCAACTTGAACCAGTGAACCGGTCATCTTACCGGTTCGATGACCAGTCCGGTTCTGATAGAATTGTCTTGGACAGTATAGATGAGCACCGAATTGTTCCCATGATACAAATCCCTCCTCTTCACAACTCTTTTTTTCGTCTTGCTTAACAAGCAAGAGGCGCTGTTCTTCTTTTGAAACTCTTTGTTCATGTAGAATCCAAAATCAACCGGTAAGTGCCAAATTGTTCTAAAGTTTTATACTAATTTCTTGTTATTTTTGTAGAATTCATTCCCCTGGTTTGTCTGCTCAGAAAGTTATAGGGGAAAAAATGAGAAAGAAACTAAATTATTTGAATATGAAAGGAAAAAACTGAATAAATAACTCTTGAGCAGTAAACTGAAAGATGAGCTTTTCTTTTCTTTTCTTGTCTTTTCTCGGCAATCAAACAGGGGGCAGCTGAGAATGTTCTTGTATAGTATCTTACTTTGGTGGTTCACTATTTGCAGCATTGGGATTGGACACCTGTAAAAACTTAGGGTTTTCCTCCACTGAGATTGATAGGTATGAGTGTTTAGTTTCTGCTCAGCATATTGACAATGGCTGCAATTAGATTTTCAAGTTTGAAATCATGTTGTTCTCGCATGAAATTCGGTGGATATATGAATCGGATTGATCCTAGACATTCGTTCTCTTATTTAAATCAAACCTACCACACAGAAGAATCTGGTTTTAGCCAAAATGATATGAACAATGATTGTAGAATGATGGGTTTAAAGTCTTTTGTTGGTAGATCATCCTTGAGGACAAATCCTGTTGGTATAATTTCATCTGCAATACCTAATTTGCGTGTTCAAAGGAACGACTTTATTTTTTGGAGGAGTTCTATAGCAAGTTATCGATCGTATTCATCGGCTGTTGGTGGCAAAGGAGATAATTCGACGAGTCCAAAAGTTTCGGCTACTTCCGATGCAAGCGGCTCTGATGTTAGTGACAATGACTTTGGTGGTGCTTGGGTTGAGAAGTTTGAGGTAGTCCGGCAATCTGTTATAGATGCTGTGAATTATACAGGGGAAAGGGCTAAAGAAGCCTCTACTGAAGTCACTCATTATGTTCACCAGTTGCTTAATACCCATCCCTATCTTAGAGATGTTGTTGTCCCGGTTGGTGGTACTTTAACTGGTACTATACTGGCATGGGTGGTGCTGCCAAAGATTCTCAGAAGGTTGCATAGGTACTCAATGCAAGGCCCCGCTACATTATTGTCTGGGAGCTCATTATGGGGGCCAGTTCCATATGAGAAAAGTTTTTGGGGTGCTTTGGAGGATCCATTGCGTTACCTGATTACCTTCATGGCTTTTTCACAAATGTCAGTATTTGTCTTTGTCATGCTTTGCTTTCATTTCACGCTTATTATGGGTTCCAGTATGTTTGTGAAACATGCTGTGAATTTTAAGTCTTGTATGCAGATGTGTGATGGTGGCACCAACCACTATTGCATCACAGTATATTGCTCCGGCTTGGAGGGGTGCTGTTATCCTTTCATTTGTGTGGTTCTTGCATCGCTGGAAAACTAATATGATTACTCGTGCTTTGGATATGAAGAGCATGGAACCGATTGATCGAGATAAGCTGTTAACTCTGGATAAAATCTCATCAGTAGGTCTATTTGTCCTTGGTTTGATGGCTTTATCTGAGGCATGTGGAGTTGCTGTGCAATCTATTTTGACCGTTGGAGGTATAGGAGGTGAGTTTTTGTGGCTACTTCAGATGCTTTTCCTTTGCCTTTTTGTTGGCGATACGAAGGTTGCAGTTATTTTTCTTTTAAGATGGAATTGTAAGATTTTTATTTTCCATATTTATGACATCTCTCTGCTCATAATTGTACTACTTTAGTTGTTAAATGTCCTATAAAGATGAGTTTTAGAAGGATTGACATTGTTGTGTACTTTCAGATTCATTGTCTTCAGTGGGCTATTATTGAAATCTGACTTGTACATCTTTATATCTCTATGTAGGAGTGGCTACTGCTTTTGCAGCTAGAGACGTCCTCGGGAATGTATTTAGTGGGTTGTCTGTTCAGTTTTCACGACCCTTTTCAATAGGAGATACGATAAAGGTAAGCACATGTTGTGTTCTTTAGGAGACATTGGTAATTTTTTTGTCATATTTCTTAAAAACTGGAACAATATTATTGTAAGTGTTCTTCCCTCACCTTGTCCCACTGGCCCTAGCTCCCATGGGTTAGTAGTTTAGTAGTGAAATTGGTCATATACTCTAGTAATTTATTATTTCGAACTATTTTTTCATCCATATCTATTTACGTGCCAACATGTTGCTAGCGTTTGGTGTTTGGAAAAGTGTGCATCACTTTAGGCTTTCTTGTGATAAATCAAGCTCTCAGTTGGTAATTAGCTGCATATTTTGTTGCTTAAGTTACTGTTTTGTTTGATATTGAAACCAAAACTCTAAGTATTTATTTGCTTATTTGTTTTGGACAAAATAAGGATATTCCTCACTAATAGACTCTATTATTAGTCAATAAACATTCTTCTGTTGATCAATTGTCTTTACTTTTGCATTATGTTAGGCGGATCCAATCAAGTAGTTTATTGAATTATTCATCATGAAAATTATAAGGAAGTAGTTATAATTGATGACGAGAGATGGCTTGCCTAACCTTCCCATGGTTGTGGGCATGTGATGCTTTCCTTGTTTTGGCCATCATGATTGTAATGCCTTGTATGTCCTTAGGGAGGAAGATAACAAGAGAACACTGTCTATATAAATAAATCTTGCTTGATGAAGTTAATGCTTTTATCCAATCGAATGCTTGATGAAGTTAATGCTTTTATCCAATCGAAGTAAAACCATCACTTTGAAGTTTTTTAGTATAGGCCTTAAGATTCTTAATCGGGGTCCTGCTTACAAGTATTTGTTTCACATTCCACAGTCTGGGTCCCTTCCATTTAATAGTGCCTATGTCTGTGTATGGCATTAGGATAGCCACTAATTGGCAAATATGATTTTTTACTGGCCCATAATGGTACTGTATTTGATGCCTCAACTAGTGGGTTAGCAGCATCTTTGCAAACTTCATCTTCATTCTGCTAGCCCACGACCTCTTGTCTTTCTATTTCACAATTTGTTTCTAGACTCCAAAACTTTGGATAAGCACGAGGTTTTCTTAAGTTGGTTGCCTATGCACTAGGCATTTGTTGGTCATGTTATGGACAAACACATACCATTCTGTCCTGTTGTGTGTCATCTGACGTTGTTAGGCTATTTACAATTTCACGAGTTCAAACCGTTTTGTGGCACCCTTGGAAACATGATGTCTTGTGGAATTCTACCTAATCCACGGCTCTTACTGGTTCATGTTTTATGGTTTATTCAAATTTCTACATCAAGAAGGTTATTTATTGGCTAGCTTTTGACCGACAACTTTTTATGCTATAGAATAATCAAGCAATAAAATAAGTTAATACAAGCATTGTGGTGACTCTGGTGAGATGGATGAGTTGCAACACGAGTCAAGAAATCACAGAACTCGAGGCAAATAAACTTTTGAGAAAGTGGTATAGACTGGAAATGAGATGATGAAAAAGTAATTTAAAGTGATGGACATGAGCAGTGATGACAGTCATCCTTGCCTAGATAATATCATTAACAGAATGTTGTCCGGTGCTCCCAAATGTACTTTTGATCCACACACTTATGTAAGTTAACAGTGGGGTGGAATTGATTGTGAGAGATGGTATCAGTAAGGGAAAGTTCAAAGAAATTTATATTCTTCAGATTGAGTATGATAAGTGTGTACCAAGGCAGTCTTTTAGAGTATACAAAATGAGTATGACAAAGCAATGCTAATTGAGTAGAGTGGTCTAGTTCCTGTTCATGATTGGCAAGGAAGAGGACAAAAAAGGACTTGGGTCAAAAAGTGAGAATGGACAACTTAGCTTACGGTACAAGTTGAAATTGATACATGCAGCTGTACTCCCACCAATCCCATATTATTGCATAAAACCTTTGTTCAGTTGAAATTTTTACCGTAACAAATGGAATACATATTTTGCTAGTTGCGTTTTTATTGCCGTGACATCTTCACGCAGGCTTGTGTCACCTTGCACAATTTGTTGTCTGCAGAGTTACCAATGACTGCTGAATTGGGAGGCTTATACTAATTTATTAGCTTGCTTTTCTTTAGACTTCTTTCCATGAACATTAATAACTTCTACTTTTGCAGGCTGGATCTGTAGAAGGTCAAGTGGTAGAAATGGGGCTTACAACTACTTCATTGCTAAGTGCAGAGAAATTTCCTGTCATAGTTCCAAATTCACTGTTTTCCAGTCAGGTGGGCATGTTTCCCTTTATTTAAAGCTTTATTATTTTTGCCTCTTTCTACGATTCTTACTGTCAGTTATCATCCTCAAGCCACCGGTCATAACACTTGGATAAAGCTACCCTACTAGCCTTGAAGCTTGTTGCAAGATTTTATGATAGCATAACCTGTTACCGTTCCTATCTTTACCAATGCAATCTTGTTATAGCCTTGGTCCCTATTGATGTTATTAAACCAATGTACAGTTATCAATTTTGTTTTCTAGAAAATAGCCAGTCATATAGATGTGTCCTTGATCATATGATTTGTCCCAATCTTACTTGGATCATAGATCGATTTAGTACATGGCACACAAATGTATATTTTTTCTTATACGCAATACAATTGGGGTGGATTTGGTATGCGATTTTGGATCATGATTTATTTTGGAACTCCTGTTTGGATTGCTTTCAATACCATATTAAATTATATATAATTGTATGTACACCCAGATGCTCATAATCAATCAATATTTATTCATATTTATGGAGAGGGAATACATAAGAGGCTCATGTTAAATATTTTGTATATTATTTGAACTTCAACAAACTCCCAACTGGATGTCGAGATTGAGTAGCAATTTTTGACTTGGAACTAATTTTCCATGTTAACTACGGCAACTTTAGAATTTGTTCTAGTTCCATTGATTATTAGTTACCTTGATGTTAAAATTTTAAATTTGACAAGAAAATGAGAATGTAGAGCAGTTTGCCCATCAACAAAAGGAAGGATATGAAAGGAATAAAGTTTTCTTTCAGGTTCTACGTTTTTGTTGGAAGTTAAATGTGTTGGGGCCGGGAACTGAGAAGGTTGGGAGAGGAAATCATCTAAGGGTTGACTGAATAACCTAATGAATGATGAAAATTGAGTTTAAATGGCTTGGGTGCTAGGTAGGTTTGGGGCATTGAGTAATTGTAGAAACCTACATCTAGGACCGGATCAACCGGATCAACAATGCTAAGAATTGGAGAAAGAACACAAGACAATTTTAACTTCGGTAATTTACTGACACTTGAGTTTGGAACGGCATTGACTGATCCAGTAGACCTTTTATGAATTTCAGAGAGTCAGAATGAGCTGTTTATTTTAGCTGATTCCAAAGTAATTGAGACAAGGTTCAACTAAGTTCAGTTTTATTTTCTTTGCTGGTCACAAACTTTCAGCTTCCTGGTTTGGAAATTGTTGCTCCACATCAGTCAAACTTTGTAAATAGATCCAACTCAAAAGTGATTCTATTCAAGATTTGTATTTGGTGATCCTATGAGAGTGCTTCAGAAGTCAAATTCATTCTTTGCGGGCCCATGTATTAATGCAAGTGTAGTTTGGTTCCCTCAATTATACCTGTGATATCTCCATCCTTTATTGGAGATCGGCAATACCCATTCCATAGTGTATCTTGGAAGGAAGAATTACATCCAATGGCTACCATAGTTGATTATACAATCTTCTTAAGGATAAGTATGCCGATCTTCAAGTTGATTTGACTGATGTTCTCAATTTTTCCTCAAAGAATGAGGTAAGTGTCCTTTTTAAAGTACTTTGTTTCACAAAAAAGGGGAAGTATACTTGGAGGAAAAATATGGTCTTTTGTAATTCCTCCAGCTATTTGTCAGAACACTACTTTAACGAAACTAACAGTAATAAACCATATTGCTTATGGATGTTCATGTGTTTGTATAGGTACATTGGTATTTTGAATGCTTTGCACAGTGCAACTGAGTATATGCATGCATCGATTGAGGCCTCTGGCACGTGAATTTCTTATGGCCAATTCCATATCTAAGGCTCATAGGGTTCTTGATTTGAACGTAAACATATTTCTATTTATGGTTCTTGCTTGTAATGGGTGTCAACAAGTTTTTCACAAGGAATTTGCTTAGCATGCAGCCATTTGGTGATTTTACAGTTCTCTTTGCATGAGTATACTTGTTTGCTTATGATTTCATATACCATTATGGAATAAGATTTTTCATATCATGGAAGGAAAAAAAAATTGGTTGTAACAGATCCTTGCATGTTATGTATAAAATTTTTGTAGGCAATTGTGAACAAATCACGTGCTCCATGGCGGGCCATGGTGACCAAGATTCCTTTGCAAATTGACTATTTTGATAAGATTCGACAGATATCGGAAGATATAAAGAGTATGCTCAGATCAAATCCAAATATTTTCTTGGACAAGGAGGCCCCATATTGTTTCCTGTCACGAATAGAAAGAACATATGCAGAATTGACCATTGGCTGCAATCTGAAACAGTTGGTATGCTTTTATCTCTAACGTTCCCATTAATCAGGCTGTGCGATCCTTTTAATTCAAATGGTTTATATGATGCTCCTTAAATGATTTGACCTGCGTTGAGTTTCTTATGATTTCATAATATTAAGGTCAACTAGCAATCCGAAGATAATGGCTTTCTAAAATGTCTGATTCAGTGGAGTAGTGAAGGCTTACATTTTACAAATATTTAGAAAAAAAATTCAGGCATCTTTACATGATTTAGTGAAAGAATAAGTTTTCAAGTATATTTCTTGCTAGAAGTTTTGAAGGTTAGTCACTGGACCCAATGATGATGTATATATCTCTATCCTAGTGATGTTATGTAGGCCATTGATTCAGGTGCAACTTGCTTCTGCAATGAACTTGTCTTTGGTCAGATAAGTGATAATGCTTTTTTGAATCACGTCACACATACCATAGTTTTGGTTATTTATCTGATTTCAATAAGTTTTTGTTGGGATACAAGGAAGCATGTAGGAAAAGGTAATTAATTGCCAAAAATGCTTGAGAATGGAAGCTTTCCTTAGCATTGTCCCTTCCATACTCTTTTTGTCTAAGATTCACTTTTGTTTACTATTATAGATGTATATTGAAAAGTTTAGTTATGTGAGGTCTGTATTTTTGTGCAATTATATTATGAAGTTTGCCTTCCATGCTTGGTGTTTGGACTTTCCTGTTTTTAATTAACTCTACTGTGTTTTAGCATGTCCTCTATTTTTCTTTTTTAAATGAGCTCTTTTTCTGGTTGTTAGCGCAAGGATGAGCTACTTTCAGTAGAGCAAGAAATTCTTCTGCAAGCTGTCCGGATAATCAAGCAGCATGGTGGTTCATTGGGTAGCACCCTTGAAATGTGACTGGTCAGTGATAAACTTGATATACAAAGAAGTCCTTGTTTTTGAGTATAGAACTTTTATGATGTTTTTACCATCCTTGACCTCTTAGAATAGTTTTGAGGTTACAAGTTTTTTATTTTTTTTGAAAAGTGGAGATTACGAGTTACGCAATACTGAATTTGCAGTTTTGCTGGATGTGATTTAATCCCGCATTTAAAGAAACTTCATGTGCGATGTGATAAACCAGAGAGTTATTACTGGGCACTTCAAAAAAAAATGAAAAATTCCAGGCACCTAATAGTCTTTTTATCTAAACTTAAGAGAACAATTGTTTCTCAATGTCATGGCAATGCGAGACAGTAGTCTTGGGGGTTGAAGAAGTGAGTTTTAGATGATAATGCAGACTGTCGTGCCTGTTGATTTGCTTCTTTGTTTACATTTCATTCGAGAACTTCATGTTGCCTGTTTATCAAGCGTGCACAATCTGGAGATTGTGTGCAGAGTTGCTGTAAATTAGGAGTTGCAAGGAGAGAGAGAGAGAGAGAGAGAGAACTAGCACTGTGCACAAACTAATAGCTTGGTTTGTTTATTTGTTTACATTTCATTAGTCTCTGTTGATACAGGAAAACACAAATCTTTCTCCATAACTTGAATGAGAGATTATTTCTATTCTGCAAATCAATTCCTTAGATACCCAACAAATCTAGCAAGTACCAATGAAATGGTCTTCCAGCTGCCGGTCCTGAAGATCACAGAGGCTTTTCGAGCACAGGCCACATTCTTCTCCTTTTGAAACCATGGCTTCTCTTAGAGGCTTGGATGTGCCGATCCCAGTTTTATAATCCGTCATTGCGCTATCCACTTCAATGGCCAAACCATTGTCAACCAGTAATCTTGCACTCGGGTTGATCAATGATAAAAGGAAAACAACCAGATACTCGGCCTATATTGCAAACTTTCTATAGCAGAACTCCACCCAGAGAGAAAGACCGACCCCCCTTTCTCACCTCTGATTATTCTGGTGGAAGTAATCCCACAGGAATGTTGGCTCCGATAGAGGTGTTGGTTAGGGTTGCTCTGAATAATTTGTTTTGTTGTTCTATGTGGAGCCCCCTGCCAAAAAACAAAAGTCTTGGCTATAAACTGTTGACCCATGGATTGCGTGATCACACTTGGACATGTGACTCGTGAATGGATGCAATGTTTGGCGGTTATTTTCCATACATGAGAAAAAAGATGATAGAGAGAGAAGCATAGGTGGTTTGAATATATGAATCAACCCAACCCTTGAAATAGTTGTTATTGTGTCGAGGGTTGCAATCTTTTCAAAGGGGGTGTCCAATTGAATGAGTGTCTTACATATCTATAGGTACTAGTACAAGAGGGTCTTGAGTATTTAAATTGAATACTCACTTGCTCAATCTAACGATAATATCTTGATTTTTCTCGGTGTTTGCATTATTTTGATTATAACAATTTTTGGATCCATATTGATCCTAAGATTAGTAGGATTAATCACAGAAACTCTAAATCATTTATTATATATAAATATTCTAAAAGATTTTAAAGAAAAACCCTAAGAAGTTCTAGTACCTAAAAAAGCACAACTTTGTCTCTTATTTCATTTCCTCCCACCCATTTGGATAAAAGATGTAACACATTTATACTCTTCCTCTAGCTCTAGTTTTCTCTCTTTCATATATGTTTTCCTTGGGGATGTTTCTTTAGAATATTGTTGCTGACACATAACACTATAGAAAAAATCTCTTATTCTTTATTTATTGGTTTAGTACCAATTCTCTCTTTTTTGCAATTTTATAACTTAAGTTTCAGCATGAGATTAATTATATTTTTTCTCCAAATATAAGTTTGCTTTTTGAAAAGGAATTTTGATTGATACAGGAGGAATAAGAAAATAGGTATACTTTGTTACACATTTTTGCTTAATCATATATTTCTTGAAAATCCCACCATCGAAGAATATCTTGATTTGCTAAAAAAAATTGAAGTCATGGTAAAACATAATATAGGGTTAAGAAAATAAGAAAATTCTAAGCATGCAAAGAAAAATTCATAATATCAAACATCTGGGAAAATTAAAGACCTTACATTATTTAATTAACACCATAGTTTTTTAATTTATACCAATAATAGTAATCAAAAATGAATTGAACTATTAAAAAAAACTTCTCGATAAGGACAAACAATCTGCTCATAAACCCCGCTCTTGGAAAAATCTAGGTTTAGTTGTCATTTTATGCACCATGATTCATTTAAGATTGAATTTTGTCATTTCATTAGTAAGTTTCTTTCGCTAACAACTTATAGTGATACTCTTTGAACATAATCTGCTATCATACTGCATATTTCTTTTACATAATCTACTATCGTACTGCATATTTCTTTTAATAGATCCCCAAATACGGTCTCTTGCTCTTTTCATGCACATGCACATGCAGTTGAAAACACACAAGGGATCTTTTTTTCTTGGGAGAGCTATTGTTATAGGGCTGAGTTGGTGGACAAAATCTCATCCCTTGGACTATTTGTTCTTGTCCTGATAACTTTAGCTGAGGCATGTGGATTAATACTGTGCAATCTATTTTGACCACGTGAGTTTTGGGGCTACTTCAGATGCTTTTCCTTTGCCTTTTTGTTGGTGATATGAGGAATTTGCAGTTGGAATTATAAGATTTTTATTTTTCATCTTTATCACATCTTTGTTTATAATTGCATAACTTTAGTTGTCAAATGCGCTATAAATGTGAGTTTTAGATGGATTGACATTGTTTTGTACTCTCAAATTCATTGTCTTTTAGTGTGTTGTTCCTAAAATCTGACTTGTATATCTTTATGCATGAGTGGCTATGGCTTTATGTCCTCGGGAATGCTTTAAGTGGGTTTCAATTTTTAGTAATGTCATGCCGACCAAAATCAGTAAAATCTATTAGTCTTCTCCAAATCAAGGGCAAATGGGGCATATCAGCAATTGTCATATTATTTGGCCTGACTTGCCCGAACTATCTTGGCTACACGTTGGGCATCTGTTATCCCTGAGGCATTTCCTTCAAAAAATTGGGTGTATACACCTATTGCTTCATAACTCCTATAAGCTACTGTTGACGGAAAATTCACCCACTCCGGTGGTGCTGTCAGACTCTCCGGCGTTCCCCTAACTCTTTTTTGACCATCACCTACCATGTACTGTGGTGGCCCAGAGATCACAGTAAAAGCAGCACAGAAGGCGTAGAAGATAATGAGCGGGACACTACACTCTTGTGCTACATCAACTGCCCAGTGAGGAGTGACATCAGCGATGATCCAATCGGTAACGAATCGCCTAAAGGGTTGTTCCAGGAGATCATATGACACCTTCAAATACTGAATTTTCTCAAAGGGAATGTCAACCGTGGCCTCAGCACCTTCTGGTAAAATGTTTTGATCCGAAGGTGGGAGTGGAAGCTCCACTAGATTCATCAGAGCAGCTATATTTGGATTAAGTTTAGGGAGTCTATGGATGTTCCTGGGAGTTGATACAAAAGAGACATGAACTCCTGCTTTGGCAAGGGCTACTGAAAGCTGAAAAAATGGCATCAAATGACCAAATGCGGACCATGGGAGCATTACTAAATGAATATCTCTTGCCATTTTTTTACCCGTGAAGACACTGGTAATGGTTCTTGTAAGGGAGGATTTGGGGTTTCAAGATCAAGTGGCTCATGTATGAACGGTCACAATTGAACTAACACAATATTACTGTTATGGAAATGATATCCACAACAAAAACACGTGGCTCTTTTCACCAACTGCAAACTATCAAAAACATGGGTTCGTCTATGGAACCCAAAATATTTTTTCGGCATTGCACCGTCAAATTATTATAGGAATTAAATTTTAGGATTACATTTGAAATCTAAATAACGTAGCAGTTGATTTGAGCTTTTTTATTTGGTATCATATCATTTAAGTTCCAATAAAAACGTCAAATAATATGTTATTATATCATTTGAAACATTATTGGTCAAATTAATAAGAACTATTGATTCATTATAAACCGTTGATTAGGTATTTTCTCTTTTATTGGTTACCAAACAAATCGGTTATTCACCTAATGTTAGAGAGAAACACTAAAACTTAGTGTGCATGTTTTGCGATATGTTACTACTTTTTAGGGATAATGTTACTATTTTTAAGGGTACAAAACCACTGTTTTAAGATAAATTACATCTTTTGGATAATTTTACCACTTTTTGAGGGTAAGTTATTATATTTTTTGTGGTGTGTTATCCTAGATTTCTTGTCCAATAAATTGTTAATCTTACATGAAGAAGTACTAATCTTACCCAAAAAAAATGTCAACTTACACCCAAAAAGTGCTATTATTTTTTAAAACTAATTTTAATTTGTGTTACGAGTAAAGTGAAAAAGCATCTTCAAACAAAATTAACATTAAATTCAATAAATTAACATTCAATTTCAACTATTTAACATTAAATTTATGAAATTAATATTGAATTTCATGATTTTCAAAAATGGGTTAATACACTTTTATCCCTAAATTATGGATATTTTATCAGTTTCATTTTTAAAGTGTCAATTTTATCTCTAAATTATTTAATTAATAGACAATTATCAAATTGACATCACTTTAACTTGTTACTTTGGTGTTAAATTGATGAACTGAATATTAATTAAATAAAATTGTATATTACTTTGTTGTTAATTTAATAAATTGAATCTTTATTGTTTGATTTGGAAAGTAAATTCAATGAATTGAGTGTTAATTGAATAAAATTAAAAATTTGTTTAATTAATATAATGTTAATTAGTTGAATTTAAATATTAATTTAATGAATTAATATACTAATTACAAAAAAAGTTGAATGTTAATACCGAAAAAATAAAAGCTGTGGTCTCAACCCAGAGTTTTTCATACACTTGTTTGTGCTCGTGAGCTCTCATCATGTGAATTGTCTCTTCAGATTCCTATATTTGTAGAGCAGAGAGATATGCATTAATGATGCACACGGAGATTTAAGCCACATACAGAAAGAAAGAGGGGTGGGTTACCTCGAATAAATTTGTTGTTTGTTCAGCAACAATGCTATTGATGCAGCACGTGACCACATAGTGAATTAAGATCGTCGAAATTAATGTTGGTTGGACGTTAATTGGGACTAATTTTGGGTGATAGTGTCAGAAAATTTAATCTTTGTGTTTACTTAGGTTAAACCTTCTTTATTACATTCCATTCTTTATTGATTTTGTATAAACTCATTTTTGTATTGTGCATCATCAATAGTTAAAATAACGTTATTGAACTATGTTAATTGTCATTATTATTGATAAGTCCAAATCTAATCTGGTCAGGTCCGATAAATCAAGCAAGTTTAGATTCACTAGAAAGGCAGGCTAAGCCCGATTCATCAATCTGACCCAGTCCAAGATTCAAGAAGCTCAAGAAGATAAGAACACGTGGGGAGAAATCATCAGAATACCTACTCTCGAAGATCAAGACTATTTTAATTGTACTTATCTTTTTTGTAACTATCCTCCCAAAAAACTAATGTATTTATCCTCACGTCACCGTCTCACCATGCCTATAAATTATTAGGTTTCTACATAAGAGGACACACATTAAGTTCTATCTCTATATACTCCACACATAACTTTTCTCTCTCCTAGCTATTGCATTCCTTCCGAGGCTAACCATTACTCTATCTCGTTCACTTTACTTAATCAATAAAATTATTATTAGATACGAATTTCATATCAAATTTTTTTAACGTTCCAATAATGTATTACCCTTAACCCAAAACCAAATCAACATGAAATTATTGCTTCCACAAGTGTTCATCCACACAAATAACTTAGAAAGCCAGTCTTGTGTGGGCATCACGTCGGTGTCATCTTGTTTTTTAGATACTGTATTTCTTTTTTTTTTCACTAATTAAAACATGACTTATAAAATTTTTATATCTTAATATTTTTAAAAATTAACCATCACAAAAAAAAAAAAAATCTCCATATGATCCTCAAAAGCAAGTCATCTATAGGAAAAAGAGAGAGCTAACTTCAAAATTTTCAACTCAGAAAAGCATAAGAACTCTCTAAATTGATCCAGGTGGTAAGTTTTTTCAGTTGGGAATTGTTTAGTTCTTCAAGATCTGTTTTTGTTTCTTGAGAATTGTGTGTGTGTGTGTGTGTTTTTTTCATAGTCTTATGGTTTAATTTCTGCCGTGGAATTAACTGTTCGTTTTTCCTAAATAATAGTAGTTTTGCTAACCTAAAAATTTGGACTAAAATATTTGACCTCATTTACTGATTTAATGCACTATAACATTTGAATTGATAGTGGGTACCATCAAACATTGAAACTTGTTTTTTATCCTATGATTTTAATAAAATCGCATCATCGTATCAGTTTTTTAGGTCTAAATAACATTACTCATTACAAAAGTATAGAGTAAAAAAAAATAATTGAAGAATAATGCTATTGGAACCTAAAAATCAGATCTAATGACGTAGTTTCATTATAATCATTTAAATCCTCCCCTTCTTCTTAGTCATTGAGGCAATCTTTGCCAACCAATCGGAATATTCTTCTTCTCCTCTTATGAAAGCCACGTCGTCTTTTTATTTTGTTGACGTCTTTCTCCATCTTCTTCGTGAGAACGTATCGTTGCGCTTGCTTGATAGGCTTTCACCATCTTCTTCACGAGGAGTGGATGAAAGTATCAATTGCACTTGCCTGATGGGCTTTGCATCTAGTTTTTATTATGCTTGTGGACGGCGATTTCAAGGTCTAGTCCAAGCACCTCAGAGTAACTCCAGACAAATATGCTCGAGTATTCCTTAAGGAGCTAGACAAGACATCAAGTTCTATTTCATTGGTTATTTGTGTCACACCAATATTACACAATTAATCATGATATTATTGCATCATTTAACGCAATTAATCAAACATATCAGCTTAAAATTAGTTACTACTCGTCACAAATTCAAACGCGACCCGATAGAACACGCCCAGACTTACCTACTAGTAAAAGTAATTTGCTTCTCTAGGTGGAGCCCCAAATGATTATTGTCTCTTAATTTCTTCAATGACAAGAAATCCATAATACATGTGATTTAATGACTTATTTGCAATATATTCTTATGCAAGGTCAGGTCGGATAGGGCTTGGGCCAAGAGATCTAGGCCCAAATTCAGGTCCCAGCCCATTGCCTAATCAAAATGGGCTTGTACATTTAGACATGGACCAAATACTTGGAGTTTCAATTAACCAAGATGATAATAATTGAGTCTTAAAAAATTGATTCACTGACACGGCTTGGGCTCTGAAATCTTTGTCCAGAAGCTGGACTGTGCCAGCCCATGGCCGCAATAAGGGCTTTTTACTTTTAGACACATACCAAAATTGAGTTTTTTTGATCAATTTTAAGTCAATCTGAAATGTCCTAATTAGTTCTTTACGGGGTATACCCTCAGGGCGTATTGTACTTTATACTCTAAAAGATTAAATTTTTCACCTTGCACTTTTAATGTATAAAAAATATTATAATTTGTCTCTTCTGTTAGCTTTCCGTTAATGTCAATAAATTGAATTTTAACGAAAAATATAATAGAAACTAATAAATAAGTTTCATTACAACACTTTTAATATATTAAAAATGTAATATGAAAATTTTAATCTTTAAAAATACAAAATAAAAATCTTAAAATCTTTCAAGGTACAAAGTGTAAAAAACCCTTAAAATCTTTCAAAATGCAAAGTGCGAAAAACCCTACTTTCAATTTGATCATTGGATGATTATGACAAGCATTGTAGTGTAGTAGATGGAATCATGGTCAGCTAAAGAAGAACCAGCTAGCACTACTTTGATGTTTTTTTTTTCTTGATTTATCGGTAGTATTTGAATAAACCGTCTACTCAAATAATTGTAATATTAGAAATATGATATGCTAATACGATATAAGCGTTTTATTTCGAAACTAGTCACTGCATAGATACAATGAACATCCCTACAAAAACAAAAAAAAAAAGGGGAGGGGAATGAAGATCAGTAGGACACAGATTTTGACATTCTAGTCAATTATCTGTGAGACTAAACACTTGTGGAAACACCAACTCCATATTGATTTGGCTTAAGGTTGAAGTCTCACTTTAGAAAGGAATTTTCATTAGATAAAAGAGAAAATATCAATGAATTTCAAGGCCCACTTCTAAAAATCAAAAGGGCTGATGTTGCACCTTTGTGTTGGAAACAATTTCTTGATGTTAATCATTTTACAAGTGAAAATAAGATCAACATATAAATAGTTTCATTCCCGTGTATGCCCGACGCAATCTTCCATGATAAAACTAATCTCAAAAACAGCCACAATGTAAGCACTAGAGAGGTTGAACAAAAACACACTTACCTTTGAACAAATCAGTTGGCTGGTATAGCAGCAACGGAAGCAACAGACCAGCATTTTCTGCTGCTTCCATGCAAAATTGCAGGCTGGGGAAAGTTGCTTCCCCCAAGAACAATCTAGTTACAAAGATAACATGATCAGGCCGGAAGAAATATCATGTACCAATATGAGAAAAGGTAAACAACGATGCAAAAACATCAGTGCAAAGTCAAAAGATTCGGTTTAACATGCCTATTCTGCAATCTGCTCTACTCGCAAGGTATGCCTACCAAGTACTGATTTAAACCACTGATTATTACTCCAGCAAACCCCTTGCCCATGATCTTCATTTTAACCAACTAAAGCATAAGTTCAAAAACCTACATCGAAACACTTGTGTGCACACTCACTAAAAAAAAAGTTCAGATTTGTTAGCTTGATGCATACATCAGACTTAAAACTTGCAGCACATAAATAAGAGAAAACATACAAATAAAGCAAGAACAATAGTGTGGGGTCAAAAGAATGAACACATTTTTGTGCAAACTGTACAAACCTTACCATTTACATTACATAACAATGCAAACAGAAGATAACCAGTACAATATGACAATATCACAACCCATAAGTTACACCATACAAAGTACAATACTGTATACAAAGCAGAATATTTTTCATCAACTAAATAACAGAAAACCCCATACTTACACCCATGAGTATACAGGAGAGAATTTAGCTTCAAAGTTCATCTCACAACTTGGTCTTTTACATTATTAGTCTCTGCAATTGGGTCAGAAACATTACTACCCACTCTTAGGTTGCAAAGCAAAGCATCACGTCCAGTTAAAACAATACGGAAGAAGCCATCCACTTCCTTTGCAAGAACATCTAATCCTTGTGAAAGCTTCTCACTCCTCTTCCCCAAATCTGAGATTGAATTCTGGAATGCTTCAGCTTCAACAGGTCCCACCCCATTCTGTATCATGGGGTACAATTTGTTGACAATTATATCAACGTATTCAAGCTCCCTCAATACTGCAACACTTCCAGTTGAAAATACATTTCTTATTCCGCTGTTAACAAAAGCCTGCAGCTCGGTAAAAGCTTCTGCCCACAAGCATACTTCAAGAACCTGAAAATCCATCAACTTCTTTGCCGAACCTGAGAACGCAGCCAAAAAGATGCTACAAACAAACAGAGTTACCACCTTAACTCCATACATTGCACGCATCAAAACCTTGCCTTTGGCTGAGGTTTTCACCTTGGGATGGTTAAGTGTTTCAGTAAGATTGTCTATGATGGAAGAAAAGTTCTCAAGTCTTGGGTTCTTTGAATTAATGTGCTGCCTCCAACCATCAAGTGAAGCACGAGCACGCACAAACTGCTTTGGAGTGTGGCAATCCAAGTTATGCAAGACACACTGAAGTATGAGATGGCCTTGATTCAGGCGTGACAGCTCAGAGCTGAAAGCAATGCAGATATCAAGCAACTTCACGCTATTGTCCAGATATACATCAATCCATTTCTCATCCCAATTCGACACAGGGAGTTCAAGGGCAGTAATGAGGACTTTTATATCAGTGTGCGTGTCACAGAGAGACTCCATTGCAAACCTCATCCATGATAGGCTAAGTACATCTTCCCTGTCTTTTGGCTTAAGCTTCCTAAGCCTCTCTGCCAAGGTTTCCTCAAATGTGTTCAACAGTTCATGAAGCCACGGAGAGAGATGCGGGCCCTTAGGTAACACCATGCGAAATGGATTTCCAAAGGGGAAGAAAGGTCTATGCTGATCTTGTGGAAGACTCATTCCAATGTATCAACTGCAAAATATCTAAAACAACACACGGTATAACTGAATGAGATGACAATTTCTCAAGACCGATCATAGGTGCACGTGTACATAAATGTGGCAGCTCAATGTAAAGAGTTCTTTTTTTCTTTTTTTTTTTGATAATAAACATGATATATATAAAGAATTTTTTTCCCTGGCTTTTACCATTGTATATATGACACATTTTCACTTAAACAAATTACATTTCAACCAATCAGAGCCAAGTTAATATTGTAATAAGGTTCATTTCTCCAATCTCTCATACATGTATAAGCAAGTGTGAAGGCAAGTATTCAGAGCAGCAACTGATATGATATAGGATAAGTTTCTAATAACCTTCTATTCAAACCAACTTAACAAATCAAATTTAGATGCAATAATAATTTATATCTCACAAAAAAAAATATCTAAGAGTCACTTATATATTTGGTTGCCAACATGAACTAAATGCTTCAAACATTTTTTCTTATAATTTCATGAAAACTAATTACTATATTGCAGCAATCATCACAAATTATGGCAAAAAGGCACAACACCACCAATTTCTGGCATAAAGTGAAGTCCAATAGTTATTTCATAACCCCATTCATTCTAACAGCAGTTATGAGAGTACCTTCAAATACTATATAAATCAAATGACCAAATCCAACTATTTAACAGAAAAGCAAAACGCCCCCCCCCTCCAAAAAAAAAAAAAAAAAAACTCCTCAAGGAAAAAATAGGGGAAAGAACATTTTTTCAGCATGAAAATGCTCTCAAATATTTCAAAACCCTTAAAAAAAATAATCTAGTTTCAACTCTAAACTCCTGTCAAAAGCCATGCCTTTTTCACAGATAAATTGTTAAATATCTACATAATAACCACTACATAATCCATCCAGAAAAGCAAAGATATGTATAACCTACACAAACAAATAAACGAGAGATCAAAAATTCATCGAGTTAAAATACTCAACGAACGGTTAGATCTTCAGAACCAAAAAAAAAATAAAAATCACATAATCATATCCAAATCAGACCCGATAGGTAGAAATTAAATCACGATTGACGAACTAACCCTAACCCCAACCCTATATCTTCACACCAAACCAAATCTATAAATTTTACACATGGACGCAAATATGTTGTAGAGAGAGAGAGAGCGTACCCGGGACAGAAATTAGTTTTCAGAGATCGGAAATGTGGTGGAAAGTACCAGACGCGTAAGAGATTGGAGAGAGAGAGAGAGGGGTTGTGCGGATATGACCGTTGAACTTATGTATAGTCCTGTGCAATAACACGTGGCAGAATTCAAATGGAGGAAGTTGTATTTTTGTTTTTTTGATATTGAGTAATGATATGGGTACCAAAATATTTACCAAAAAATGATTTTACTAAATGAGATGATAATTCTATATCTAATTAAGAATTTTTTAATTAATTTTTGGTGGGTTTAGAAGTGATACGAACTGATAACTCATTTGATAAAAATATTTTTTAATCAAAAATTTGGTATGCATAACATTTTTCTATTGATGTACATTTGCTACAAATTACTCTTGTGGCTGGAAGCAGTAGATTGTAAATCCACCCATCCCTTGGGCTAGGGGTGCAATTTAGGTGGGTTAAACGGGTTGAAATGTCAACTTTAACTTAACTCTAGGTATATAATCTTCAATCTTAACTCTACCTCAACTCGAGTATTGCTCAAGTTTAACTTGGGTAGATTCGGGTCGAATTCGGGTTAATTTGCGTTAAAAAATCGAGTTGGCTTGAGTTATTTAATTCGGATTGATTTTTTGAAGTGTAGATTTAATTTTTTTTTAAGTTTAGATCTAATTTTTTCAAGTGATCTGAGATGAAGTATGATGCACAGATGAAGAAAGAATGAGGCTGAGAGTTTAAGACGACTGAGACGAGTGACCATTAAGAAAGGAAGGCTGAGAGAAGGAGGAGTGACGAGTGAAAGAGGGATATGAGAGTGATAAAGGTGTTGGGGGGTGAAAACTTGAAGTGAAGTGAAATATTGAACTCTAAATAGTGAAAATAAATACTAGCGCTAATTAAATATATTTATATATTTATGTACATTCAGGTTCAATTCGATTTTAATATTCGGGTTGAACCCGACAACCCAAGGCCTCAACCCGAGGCTTACCCAAATTTAATTCGGGTTAAAATTTTTTTACCCAGGCCTAAACCAAGTATTAAAAATTCTAACTCAAGCCCTATTTTTTTTGGTTTGGCTTTTATTGAATTCGGCTTGGCTTGCCCATATTGCACCCCTACCCCAGGGCTCCTAGCCTCTCGTGAGCTCATTAAAGACAGAAATTTGGCCTCTACCTGAATTTAGCTCAAATAGTAATATAGATGATTGATAAATTCAAAATTCTTGAATTTTAATGTTGATAAATTTTTAGAGTCAAGTTTTGAACTATTTATCTCTCATAAATACTCTAATTTAAGTGTAGATGATTTATTTTTAACTGAACTGGAAAATAAATTAGTCGAAGTGTACATAAACTAACTAAAATACTCCTAATCGTTGAATAAAAAATAAATTAAAACTCATATATTTTTTTTAGTAATGCCAAGGATTTTAAATTTGGGATCCTAAATTGCATCCCAAATGAATGTAAATCCTTGAATCAGTGGATCTCATTATTAATCCAATGATCCACAGTCATTTGGGGACACAATTTAGAATCCCTAATATTATTCTACTTTTTATTCAATTTTTTCTTGACATAACACATATTATATATTTTTATTTAAGGTACATATTATATATTTTAAGTGGACTGATGTTATTGTAATCTAAAAAATTGATCTATTTTGCTGATGTAGTGATACAACGATGATGTAATCCAATAACATTATTGTAATTGTAATTTTTTTACTTTTTTATTGGGTCTTCGTAATTATTATTATGTCAATTTTTTAAATCTTGGTATCATTACTCGTTTAAGTATAACCAATTGTACATAAAGTTGCCCCCCCGTCATTAATAACAATTTGGGATCCTTAATTGTTTTTTCACTCTTTAACTTTGGAGGAGTAGCAGATGAGTAAATTGGTCTTTCCCTGCTTAGAAAAATAAAATCACCCCAAACTTTGTATTGAGTACGGTATAAGTTTGTAGCAGTTCAAGTCCTCATTAAGGGTAGATTGAACATCAATATCATTGGCTTTGATCCAAAAAATGCCAAGACTTACCAAAAACCTCCAGATGTTCGGAGTAAACTGGGTAGGAATAATGTTCAAGAGGATTTCTCTAACAAACTAAGGCACAGGAAAGTGGAGTCCAACCTCAAAGATCGATTCGTAAAAACAGACCTTGTTAGAAGCAAATGAATCAACATTCTCTTGTGAAGGGGGCAATCGACGTCGCATAGACTCATAAATTTGGTACAAATCCCTAATCTAATTCAGAGTACTATCAGTTAGGGAATGTTTATCCCTCAATTTTGGGAGAGTCTGCGGTAGCGTTGGTCAACAATTAGTACGATACGGAAAGTATGTGGGGCTCACGCCATATAAAAACACAAAAAGAAAAGCAGAAGAACATAAATGACAATCGGCTAAAAAGGTAACTTGCAATTGTAAATAAATTCTGATCGATCATAATTTACGATGAACAATCGAACTGTACTTTTGAGTTACAACAAGATGGGTAACGGTAGGTAGAAGATGAAGGTGGGGGTGGTGGATAACTGTAATTAGGACAAAGATTAATTATTATAATTATGATGTGCATGCACGATCAGGTTAAAAATTGTAAATTTTATGATTTAATTTTAATTTTATGAATTTAAATTAATTTAAATTTTATAAATTTTAAATTAATGTTAATTTTTTTGAATTTTAAATTAATGTTAATTGTACTAATTTTATGATTTAATTTTAATTTTATGAATTTTAAATTAAATTAATGTTAATTTACTATTTATTATTAGGATCGATCTTTATTGTGTATGATCGATTCTAATTCCCCATTCCCTCCATGGGAAAGACGCTCCCCCAGTGAGGTTGTAACACAAGTAGAAGAAAAAAAAACAATTTAGATCGATCATGTGCATGTACGATCGATCTTATTTATCCTTTTTTTGTAACTTCACCCTCAAAAGTTACCTCTTTCCAACTGAGAGGAGTAAGTTTACATTTATGCATTTTATATTAATTGTTACTCTTTGTCGGCTAAAGTTTTCAGTTCAAAATTTTTGAAGGGGAAGAGTTTGTTAAGATGTTTGGGGAGGTCTCATAATGCTGGTTTTGAGATGTTAAGAATTCATTTAGAGAAAGTTGTTATGGGTTCAAAATTTTTATTTGGAAATGGTAAAGAAGTGGATTTTTTCTGTGATAATTGGATGGGTACTAGACCTTTGATTAGCAGGATGGATTTTATACCTGGTAGTTTTCCTGAAGTGGCTGAGGTGCTTGTTAATAATCAATGGAGGCTATGGGATTTTGATGGGGTTTTATCTGATCAGTTGAAGAGTGAAGTTTTGAATTCTGGTATTTACTTATCAGAGGAGGAGGACAGAATTATATGGCAGAGTTCTTCTTCTGGGGAATTTTCTGTTAAATCTGCTTGGGGTTGTGTTAGAAATCAGGGAGTAGTAGATGATTCTGTTGCTTTAATTTGGAAGGCAAATGTAAGGGGTAGAACCCTCTACTAAGGATTTCGGCTTGACGTGGGTTAACTCACGCGAGCGACCCCCAGTAGCCTTTACCTCTCAGTGCCCGCAGGAGCTTCGTCCCACATCGACTGAGAGTCGTCTCCCCCCCTCGCATATAAGCCCTTGTACTCAAAGGAGGAGGTATCCACTAGGCACCTTACCTCCTCCTTTGAGTGCAAGGGCTTATATGCGAGGGGGGAGACGACTCTCAGTCAATGTGGGACGAAGCTCATGCGGGCACTGAGAGGTAAAGGCTACTGGGGGTCGCCCGCGTGGGTTAACCCAGGTCAAGCCGAAATCCTTAGTAGAGGGTTCTACCCCTTACAGCAAACACTGCTCCGAGTGCTCAATTGGTTGGGTGGAAAGTTTTAAAGAAGGCTTTGCCTGTTGATTCGAATTTCATGCGCATTGGTGAGCCGTTGCTGTTTATGTTATCAGAGTGTGGAAAATGAGAATCACTTGTTTGTTGATTGTGCTTATACTCCAGTGATCTGGAGTAAATTTGCGGTTTTTGGTGGGTTTCAACTAGTTCAAGGAGAGAATGCTTTTGGAAGATTTCAAAGGTTATGCAGGATATTTAAAAGGAAGTCTTTCAGTCATGGTCTTCTTAGAGGTTTATCTTTGATTATTTTTTGGCAGATATGGAAAGAGAGATGCCGAAGGGTTGCAGGAGAAGGAAAATTTCATTCCTACTCTTTATTTGTAAGGATTTGCAGTATACTTCGTTATCAAGTTAAAACTATTACTCCAAAGGTGTTGGTTGATGATATGGGTAAAGCTTTTCTGAGTTTTTTTGCAAATTGAGTGCTTGGGCAGTATTTCACTGAAGTGCGTTTGGGTGAAATGGTCCTGTCCAGCAGAAGGTTTTATGAAATTGAACACTGATGGGGCTTCGCATGGAAATCCTGGATTAGCAGGAGGGGGGGGCAGTGATGCGAAATGGATTGGGGAAGGTTGTTTTGGCTGCTTCCTTCTTTTATGCTGAGTGTTCTAATACAATTGTTGAATTTCGTGCCTTATGTGATGGGTTGAGGTTGATTTTACAGTATGGCATTTCAGGTTATGGAGTTTTGATTGAATGTGACTCACTGGTCTTGGTCAAATCAGTGCTGGGTGCTGGTTCTTGTCCTTGGAATTGTTGAGTCAAATTAGAGTCTTGTTACAGAATTTGAATTTTCAGATTGTTCACATTTTTCGTGAAACAAACGGAGTTGCTGATATGTTGGCTGCGTATGCTATATTGAAACAAAGAACAGAGGATTTTTCTATGGATTTGCAGACTTGCAGTTGCCTTGTGCTGTTCGTGTTGCTTTGTCAAATGACCAGTTAGGTCTGCCAGTTTTGCGCAAAAGGAGGAGGATTGTATTTGATGATAAGGGCTAACTGGTTCTTTTGTGTTAAGATCTTTACTTGCTGTTTTTTGATGATGCTGATTGCTTTCCAGAAACAAAGAAAATGGCTGATGCAAGTTGCTGTGAAGGTTGCTGGGCAGTTTTGACCTATGAGGAAGAATTTTATTGGTTTTAACTTTGAAGGATTAAAGCCAACTATGACTTTTCTTTTTTTGTTAAAGCTTTGCTTACTTTGCTTCTTGTAATTTTGGTTTATATCAATAAAATTTTCTTCTTCTTAAAAAAAAAAAAAAGTTTACCTTTATGCATGGTAAATGTTCATTTTTAGTCGATAAACTTGCCTTTATTGTAATGCACATGAGTAACTTTAACTCTGTAGGTGTTAACCTTATTTTTACGACAGATAATCCTACATTAATTGATACTAACCTTACATTAACATGTAGTACCCTTACATCAACTTGTTGTAATCTTATTACAAAATATTTTAACCTCACTCCTAAATATTACAACATTACCTCTCCATGTAGTAACCTGACAATAAGTTGTTATAACCTCACCTATAACGATTACATCTTTCCCACATACAGGAGTAATTTTACCTTTTATCCATTGTAAGTGTTCCTTTTTAGTCGATAAACTTACTTTTTCTTTGAATTGGTAATTTTATCTCAATAGGTAGTAATCTTATTATTAAAATTGTAATCGTACCTATAAACGTAGTAACCTTACTTTTCCATATTATAACCTCACCTCTAAAAGTTATCTCTTTGTCACTGACAGCCGTAATTTAACCTTTATGCATTGTAACTCTCCCTTAATAGTGGATATAGTTACCATTCAATGGCTAACTTAGCCTAATTAGGTGATAACTTTATTTTTAATATTGTCATCTTCCCTATAGAAATTGTAATCTTACATCAACGTGTAGTAACCTTTCATCAAAATGTTATAACCTCACCCATGACAATTACCTCTTTGCCACTGATTGGAATAATTCCACCATTATTTGTAATAATCTTCCCTCTATTATACATAACTTTACCAATTAATGGATAATTTATCTTACATCACCTATAAACCTATTAGTAAAAGTTGTAATCTTGCCTACAAAATTGTAACCTTACTTTTAATGTCCATAACATTAAATCTTAAAACCGATCTTACATAATTTCAATAGAACACAGGCCTAAGATCAATCGTAAATAATTAAGATCGATCATAATTTCATTATTTTGATCTCAAGATAACACTGTATATCTTTTTAGGATCAATCTTTATTGTGTATGATGAATCCAAATTCCCCATTCCCCTCATAGGAAAGACGCTCCCCCAATAAGGTTGTAACATAAGTACAAAGAACAAAAGTAAATTAGATCGATCATGTGCATGTACGATCGATCATATGTATGTACGATCGATCTTATTTTTTCTTACATAATTTCAATAGATCACATACCTTAGATCAATCGTAAATAATTAAGATCGATCATAATTTCATTATTTTGATCTTAAGATTGCACTGTATATCTTTTTAGGATCAATCTTTGTTGTGTATGATCAAACCCAATTCCCCATTCCCCCATATGAAAGATGCTCTCCCCAGTAAGGCTGTAACATAAGTACAAATAAAAAAAGTAAATTAGATCGATCATATGCACGTATGATCGATATTAATTTTCTTTTTATTCACCGACTAAGTAAATTATAGGTTTACAACACATGCTTATTAAAAAAAAAAATTAAATCATCAGATCAATGGTTCTGCACTAATGAGCAGAACATCAACATCTCCCAAGAGGTTTTTGGTACCGTACCACATTTTGACCATTCGGTACCGTAGCCTCTTCCCTTAATTTGAATTGGGGAGAATTCCAAGATTCCAATTGTGAAGTGGATGTATATTTGAACTAATCAAGCATAGAGAGTTATTCTCCGTCTGGTGGGAAGAATGAAAAATAAGAATGATGAAAATTTAGAAGGATACATTTTCTATCTTTCAAGAATGAAAAATAGAAATGATAAATTTTTATTCTTTTGTGTTTGATTGGATGGATGAAAAATAAAAATAAATAATTTTTACAAATTTTTTTTTGTTTAATATTAGGAATAACAATCGAGTCGTGTTATGTTAGATTCGTATTGAGTTATAAAATTATGAGTCTTTTATATTTTTTGTTCACGTGTTAGGTCATTTTTAAGTTCGTGTCGAGTTATATTTAAGTTTGTATCATAAAATTCGTGTCGAGTTCGAGTCGTATCATCATTGAATCAAAATTTTTTTACCCCTAATTTAATTTTTTTTTTTTAATTTAAATTTTATTTATATTATATATATATATATATATATATATATATATATATATATATATTTTATCATTGTAGTTTTATATGAAATTAATGTATATATAATATATAGACAAATAAGATACATCTTAACACAAATAATTAATTTTTCATCTATTTTTTTTTCCAATTTTGGAGGAATTGATTTTGGTGAGTTAGAAGAAAAATTAATTCATTCACTTTCCATCCTTCCTTACCAAATATGATATTTTATTTATCCCTCAAATTTTCTATCTTTTCAACTTTTAATTCTTCCATTTTTTGACCATACCAAACAGAGCCTTAGCGAGTTGGAGTTTGACCAAGCTGCCGAGCTCCACAGATCGAGCATGTCCTATTACCAAGTTTCACCTCATCAGAATTATTTATCCAAAAAAATATAATAAAATCAAACATTTCTTTATTATAAGAATGATAAAGTCAAAAATAATTAAATAAAGATTAGATCCTCCACTAGAGGTGATCCCAACTTGATTTAGATTAAGACATCAATTAATTTTATTATACTTGAGCTTTGGGTAAGGATAGCTATGAATTTGAGAGGTTTCTTATGGATTTCATATGATGTTTCTAGCGGAAAAAGAAGGGTAAATTGAACTTTCACACCCCTTAACTATATTTTCAATATGACTTTTATCCCTTAAACTATTAAATTTTTTTATATTATCCGCTCAATTAATTAAATTAATTTCACATTATTCCAAACACAAACTTTAATTATCTTTTGGATGAAAAATAATAAAATCACATGATTCAAAAGAAAAAATGAAATAATATTTTGTTAGATTTTTAACGGACATTAATTATTCGAGACAATATGAAACTAATAACATATTAAAAGTGCAATGTGAGAAATATACAAGTTAAGGGATAATGTGAAAAAGGGACATATTTAAGGTGTCAAATTATAAATAGAGACAAGAAAAATAAAAGGCTGCAGCAATATTACTAGAAGCGGTGGGGTTGTTTTTGATATTTACCTCTATATATAGTTTTGAAAAGAGTAATTAGATATCAGATTTATGCAGTTCATTAAACAAGTCTAACCCTACGCGCCTAAAACAAGTGTTTGATACGGGAGATATCTCTCTTTCTCTCTCTTAAAAGCTCAACCTTTATCTCTCTAAAAAAAAATTATTTGGTATTTTTCTCTTCATCTTTTACGAGAAAGTTGATCGCTCACACGAGAAAAAGGCAAAGATCAAAATCCCAAATTTCCCTCCACTTCTCCGATTCAGGTAGTCTCTGCGCAAGACAAACCCTAATTACGGACTCTGTTTGATTTGAACAGCTTCCACTTATGCTCTTTGACGTTCATTTGAAGCCTTAGAATTTGTCGAAATTCAAGAATGATATTGTTTTTTTTTTTAACGATATTTGCAGTAGATGATTTGAAGATTTGAGCATGTATGTTTAGTTCCGTGAAGGGAGTAGTTAATGCTGGATGATATTGGACTAATTGGGTTACGGTTTGGATTTTTTGTAGGGTTGAGTTTGATCATAGCATCAATTAGCTGAATCTCTGTATGTTTAGATTGTGGGTGAGTTTCTTCCTTTGATTCGTATTAGCTCAGGTTACTGTTTACGAATGTGCATCTGTGGATGATTAATTGAAGAAGTGGATATTTGTGTGATACTATGGGTTGGTTTCATTGAATCATAGTGTCATTGGTTTTGTGTAGTGGAATAGAATTAGAAGGGATTATCGATTGAATCAATGATAAGGTTGCTGAAATAATTTTTGTGTGGTTTTTTGTGAAATCGGTGTTTGTACGAGTATGGCTGACTTGGGTTGGTGAGTGGTGGTTTTTGTGGTTGGGAGAGTGGATTGGCCAGCTCCTGGGGAAATAGAATTTACTAACAATTGCAGAATGAGCTTAGTAAATGAAGATCAAAGCTCATTGGAGAAAGCTCCTGAAGCATTTCAGGAATCTCTGAAGTAATAATTTGCCTTCCAAGTATACTTTATTCAATCATTAATGTGATTTGATTTTAGGTGTAACTAGTTTTTCTGTTGTGAATTGAAAACCTTGTTTTGATGAAGCAGGCACTCAAGAATCTCATAAATCAGGGAGTTTCTGTTATCCTTAAGTGAGTTGGATGTTTGCAAGAATTTTCCAAGTGGATTTGACCAATCAATTATAAGGTGAGGAGCTCCGCCAGTTCGATATTGAGAATAACATGTCTCATTTCTATTCTTGAACATACCGGCATAGCTTTGCCTATGCATGTTGTGGTTCATATCATCATGTATCACAGCATATCTTGATCTTTTTTTTCCTTGTTTAAATCAGTGAATTTGAGGATATCTCACAAGGCATACAAGATCGACAAAGAATTCCTGGCAATTTTACAGCTCTTAGGGAAATAGAATTTACTAACTATTGCAGAATGAGCATAGTAAATGAGGATCAAAGCTCATTGGAGAAAGCTCCTGAAACATTTCAGGAATCTCATAAGTAATAGTTTGCCTTCCAAATATACTTTATTCAAACATTAAAGTGATTTGATTTTTCTTGGTAACTAGCTTTTCTGTTGTGAAATGAAAACCATGTTTTGATGAAGCAGGCACTCAAGAATCTCATACACCAGGGAGTTTCTGTTATCTTTAAGTGAGTTGGATGTTTGCAAGAATTTTCCAAGTGGATTTGACCAATCAATTTTAAGGTGAGAAGCTTCTCCAGTTCGTTATTCAGAATAACATGTCTCCTTTCTGTTTGTGAACCCATACCGACATACCTATGCACGTCTATGGTTCATATCATCATGTATCACAGCATTTGTTGATCTTTCCTTGTTTAAATCAGTGAATTTGAGGGTAACTCACAAGGTATACAAGATCGACAAAGAATTCCTGGCAATTTTCCATTCCAAGGTTTCAGATGCAGTGACTACGGATCCTCCCCACCTACCAGGGGAGATTCTGGGACTAACTCCCGGGGAATTTATGGAAGATGGGACAGTCGGTCTTCTGGACGGAGTGATAAGGACAATGACTCTGATAGGGATTCAGGTTTGGTTTGCAATTCAATTTTCCTTCTATTAAGTCCACCTTCTTCAGCATTCTATTATTCTGTATCACAAAAACACTTACAGCGATGCAAAGTGCCAACCACATCAACACGAGTTTACTCTTACCATCGATGATCCCTAGAATCCTCATCACCTCCCTAGACATATGGTCCATTCTAGTTTCTTGAGGCTGTATCACCTTCAACAGTTCAACTTCTTTCAATTTTGAACCCTCTTTTATTCAATTCAATACCTCTCTGTTATCCAAGCTAAATTCTCAATTCGTTTTGTCACCGGTGGTAAAAAAAAGAAATAAGAGAATGTTTCATCTTTCTCTTTCCTCCTTGCAACTGGGAACCCCAATATTTTCAAATCCATTGAAGTTTTGGCTCTTTTTTCCAACACAAACTATGAATATTCGGAGGGGTAAAGAGGTGTCTATGGCCATTAGCTGAGATGTCCAAAATTAGCTATTCTACTTCATAGGGTCGAGGAGACGGCAGAGAGGTGTCAAACATGTGTCCAGCATGTTAGTGTCTGACAAGGACTCAGCTTCTTTTTATAAGTGGTTTTGCTTCTTAGCTGGTTGTTTAGTGCTCCATAATGAACACATTATATGTTTGTTTTTATATATATAAATGTACTCATACATACGCACCGGCATGAGTGCTCGCCTTGTTCTGGTATTCCTGTAAATGCTACTAATGCCACAATGTCATGACTTAATTTTATCCTGGATTCCTGGGATTATGGATTTATCTGAGACAGTTCATGATTATTTGGATTGAGTTTTGGTCTTTCAGCCTGATAGTTTACTTACATTATCATGCAGATTCTGGAAAGCAATACGGCAACGAATCTTGGCGGTTTGGGCAAAGTCCTGAGCATGATGGGCTTCTTGGGAGTGGTTCATTGCAAAGACCATCTGGATATGCAGCGGGGATAGCTGCTCCAAAGGTTCGTGCAAATGATCAGTACCAGATTAACAAAAGTAATGAGCCATATCATCCTCCGCGGCCTTACAAGGTTAGTTTTTTACTAGTTTATTTCTGGTGATTTTAATAGAGCATCATTATGGTAATTGCTCTGAACCAATTCAACATAGTAGCTTAAAACATAGTTTTTTGCATCGTATTCTTGTGTGAAAAATATAAAATATTGGCATCAATGGAAGCTTTGTTGAACTAAAGCTTCGCAGATATTTATAGTACCTTTCTCCCCTTGTTTTCTTCAGGCTGCCCCTCATTCACGGAGGGAGACAAATGATTCATTCAATGATGAAACATTTGGTTCTACTGAGTGCACAAGTGAAGATAGAGCGGAAGAGGAAAGAAGGAGAAGATGTACTGTCCCTCTTTGCCCATTTCTTCTTGTTCAATTAGATCTTCTTTTATCTTTTGTTTATTGAACTTGGTTTAAATTTGTTCAAAGCTTCTTTTGAGTTGATGAGGAAGGAACAACAGAAAGCACTTCAGGAGAAGCAGAAACTGAAAATGGACAAACATAAAAATGATGGTGTCCCAGACATTATGGTGTTGCTGGAGGATACTAAAGCGGAAAAGAGTTTTTTGGGCAGAAACGATGAATTGGATGCGCCTTTGATGCTACCTGTTTCAAACAATGATTCTGGCAAGTCTTCTCTTTCTTCACTAGCTCCCCCATCCAGACCACTTGTACCCCCAGGTTTTAGAAGCACAATTTTGGAGAGGAATGATGGTGCAAAACCTTTAAGTCATCCAGAGTCAACGGAGGTAAATACTGCCCTATCCTTAGGATTATTATTTACTAAAATTTGATGTTCATAAACACCAATTTCTCCTCAACGTTGTCAACACTTGTCTCCTTTAGAAGACTTGTAGACATGCCTGAGTGTGTTTTCGCTGGGGATAGTTATTTAGCTGAGTTGAAGTTCAGGGTGAATGTTTTTGCTTTGAAGCTATCTCTGGCCCCCTCCTCTCCCCTCAAACCACAAAATCAACAAGAAAAAGAAAAACAACCAGAAAAATGGTTATTGCTCTCTCTAATCTACAGATGTAAGTTGGTTACTTGGTTGATTATATTACTGCGACACTTGCCTCTGGTCACTTTCCCTTTAATCCGACTGGTCTTGGCTTATGGATTTCTGTTCCTTTCCATTGCTTCCTATTCTCAACCGTTCCCAAAGTTTATGTTTTAGAGATTCTTACTGATGATTCTGGACTCCAGTCCATTTTCAGCGGATCTGTTTCACACATTTGCCAATCAGTTGTAGGAAGGGTTATAGGTTGTTGATGCATGCTAAATAACCATTCAATAACGTAAACTGATATGACAAATGTTGTGTGTATCTACAATGGTAAAACAAAGTTTAGTGACACTGGCATAAGCCTTCAGAACGTTGCCATCCATATTTTCATTCCACTCCTAGCAACTTTCCCTGGGTCATGGGTTCCTGTTACTTGATTAAGCTCATCAGATATAGTTTGGCTGGGTCACTTGAAAAACATTGACTGTGTCAACCTTTAACCTTGTCAGTTGGAGGGAGTTGGCAGCAAATTGAGATGGAGGTTGCCAGCTCAATAAATTTAGCTTTATTCTTTATATCTTGTTTTGTTTTCGAGTTCTAAAATAAGTTCTCTTTGGATGAAATGCCGCGGTGTTGTAAATTTGTAATTGCACCATTGGTCACGATGGTGGTTATAACACATAGCATCTGACTAGATCTCCAGTTGTAATTCTTTATAAAATTTTGACCCAAGCTCAGTGTGTCATTTGCTTAGCTTATTCATGTTGGATCATGGATTCAGAATTGCCTTCTGGTGGTCTATAGCACAATGATCAACCAAACACCCCGGTGAGGGCAATAATAAGGTGATCAAGTATCCTCACATTGGTCCCTCGTGTTCATGCAGTGGGCACTTAGGACTTGGGAAGTTTCTCTTATGTAGGATTAGGGTTCTTATGGATTCAGCTGACTTGGTAGTTCCTCTTTCTATATATGGTTTGTATAATCTGAATATAGGTATAAACTTATCATTGTTTTAAAAGTAGTTTGAATAGAGTTATTGGGGGGGAATTGTCTGTAGGATTAAGTGAACTTAATAAATCTGTTAAGGCAAGGGCAACCATATGCTATACATCAAGAATTAGTCTGCTACTTTGTTGTGGTGTCGGATGGTGGAGACTTTTCAACAATTTCTAGTTATGGTTTGATGGCTAGTTGTATGCCTTGTGTTTCATTTGTAGTTTAATATGCTAGGGTGACCCAAGTGAGAGTACTATTGACTATATATTATTTGTCGATCTATTTTCTTTCTTTGCAACAAGTGTGCTCATGTTTTGCTTATACAGGTTGGGAACCCTGATATTGAGCAAAGCCTTCTGCATGCCAATACTAACCTTGTGCAAAATGGGACTCTTGATAATGAAGAGGGGAGAAAGTCAACACATGAAAGGGGGTTCTGTAACCAGCAGCCTGAAGATAAGAGTACTGATGCGCCATTTCTTGACAATGGCGAAAAGATTGTGAATTCATTGCCAGGTTCAGACGTTTCGAATATGAAACTTGGCATGGACACACATCAATTCAGGAGTTCTAGTCTTTTAGAAGCCCATGAAGCCCTTGATAATGGTGAAAACCTTGAAATCAATGACAATAAGGTGACAGGGCTTAAAACTTTTGGCGACTCCAATCATGAAAATTCTTCATCTATTCTTTCAAAGATTTTTGGCAGTGCTTTGACAATGAATAGTAATTGCATTTCAGGTTTAGTTCAGGTAATTATTATTCCTAATGGTTCTTTGTCTCTTTGCTGTCCAATTCTTACTGAACTCTCAACTAAAATAAAGTCATTGAGGTTCAGCATCCTCTTAACTTGACAGTTTGCATATTTATTATAGTTTCAATTGTTTACTTATTTAAGCACTTGCATGCCACCCCTAACGCTGTTCTCATGTGTTTGAACATAAATTGGATTTATTGGCATTCTCATTGTTTCCTAGTTCTTCGCCAAAGGAATGGTAATTCGTCTTTCCCATGACTAGTATTACAAAGTTGTATATTTGTGGTTTTGACTTACTTTTACATCATACATAGGTGAGGGGAAGCCAATATGAAACCATTTTCAAGGTGTTTTTTGAATATGTTTTGAAATATCTCAAATAAGATGATCTTATTAGTCCTTTGACAATTGATCGAGCCTGTCTGTCTTCACACAGAGAGTTTGAACTCATAGGTAATTTCCCCTAGAGAAAACTATAAACAGAACACTCCAGTGAAGACATGAACACAATATTCTATATTGTCACTATTCTTTCCTACAAACTAGTACAAGCAGCAAAATATCCATATTCCATTTAGCGAATGCATGTTTTTAATGCACTATTTTAAGCACAAACACTTATATGAAAATCGACGTACTCATCTTGGATGCACGTGCCATATTGTTTTGGTTGTGCCTGTAGTTAAAAGACAAAAATCTTAATTTGGAACACGTGTTCGACACTCCTTTAATGGCAATGGTTAATACTTCTTAGGCAGTGCTACTAATAAAAATAAATATGTGACCGATGCTTCTTGAACACTTGTTAACATGTGATTAATAAGGTTTGGAAATCTGACATGTGACTATGTTATACCATGGAGAAGGCATGATTTTTGCGACTAGTTATAGTAAAATTTTACTTAAAATATATTGAAAGAAACAAAAGATGTTTTGAAGGTTATTAATGAACAGGGCTTGAAGTGGCATGTTGAAGTATGCAAATGATTATGTTATATCATCTTTGTAGGCATAAGCTTTTAAGATAGTTGGTGGTTTAACTTGCCTCAAGTGAGGGAGGGTGTGAAGAGAGCTTATATAAACACATCGAAAGATTGGGGTCACTCAAGGTGGTTTGTATGGTTGAGGGTTCTCTCTATTCATGCCAATTGGTTTTGGATTGAATAGCCAAAACAATATTCATATATTAATAAACATAATAAATCGATATATAAAGCTCAATAAATTCGATCACATCCTAGTTTTGTACATGTCTCACTTTTTCAGAATTTATCACATTGATTTGTCCGTATCATGTCACCTCCGGGTGATGTGTCTGTGTTTGTGCTCCACATGTTTTTGTCAATTTCTGTATCTTAAGACACAACATGGCATGAAATTTAACTGGCATCACATATTATCATCTCTCTGCGGAATATCCTCAAATTAGATTTTCTGGATGAAGCCCCAAAATCTGTAGTATCTAGACACGGGGATTGTACGGCAATATGAATATTTATAATTCAGTGGATGTGTAAATGTGTATACCAAAGAAGTTTTAACCACACTCGAGCTGTATGCTAGGGCCTCGATTTGGATTGTTGGATTTCATAATATGCTCTACTGTAGTCCTCAGTTACTCTCTTTGACCTTTTTGTACTTCATTCCCTTTGAATGAAGATGCTGAAGTGCTATCTCTGTACTTTGTATATGTGTTTCTAGAGGTTGAATTTCAAGTTGAACAAATGTAATTAATTCTTATGTCATCTGCAAAGTTCTTGACTTCAGAACTTGACAGTCATTTTCTTTTGGTTCCTCTTAGCATCATGATAGTAAACAAGCCGACAGGTGGAGCCCCAATACTGTGCAGTCTTCGAAGTTTGCTCAATGGTTTGTTGAAGAAGGTATGTCTTGGATGCTACTAGCAGAGAGATGCCGTGCTTGCCTGTGATGCAATCTTGTTTAAGCTCTAGTTGTCTTCCTATGTTTACTGCAGAAAAGAAGCCAATAGAAAATCTTTCATCAGATATGCCAAGTGACTTGCTGTTGTTGATTGTCCGTGGTGAGAAAGGTGGATCCCATGTTCTTGATGTGCAACCTGCCCAGACAGTAGAGTTTCCCTATCCAAGTTCTGAAGTGAGTGACAAGCTTATTACACCTAATATACCTTCTACCAAAACTGGGATCTCTGAGCAGTTGTACAATAGTATTAAACAAGAGGCAGTTCCTGCGGTCCTTACATGTGAAGATCTTGAACAGACTATTCTGTCAGAGTATAGTGAAGAGAGTTCAACTCTGGAGCCATCTGTGCAAAACTGGGGTGTGTCTGGTGCAAAGACTGAACAGCCAAAAAAAAATGTTGATGATCATGCATCTCACCACCTCCTCTCACTTATACAGAAAGGAGCAGGGCCAAACAATATGCCGCCTTCTCCCCTATTAGACACTGGATCCTCAGACAAACTTCGTGTCCCAGAAGTAGTTAGTACAGTCACTGCATTTGACAAGCATGGAGAGGCAAATGCCGAAAATGGTCACGGTTCGGGGAAGAATCTTACTCTGGAAACACTTTTTGGGACTGCTTTTATGACAGAGCTGAAATCAGGTGAAGCTCCAGTTTCTGTCCAAAGGGGCTCAGTTGGGGCAGCAAGATCTGATGTTCTGAAGTCTCATGTGTCATCCTTCCCAGTCTCGGATGATGTTCTATTGCCATCTAAAATCGATGAAATTGGATACCACATGACAAGTCATGAAAGCAATATTTTGGGGTCAAGTCACAGACAGCAAATGAAGTTGGATAAAGTCAATAATTGGTTAGGATTTGATGACCCTCAAATTGAATTGGACTCATCAAAGCTTCAGGCTGATGTAGCATATGAACATGATGGACCTGGTGGGGCTATTGAGATACAGCTGCCAGAGGAGGAGAGCTTGATTGCAGTTGGTGATCCTGGAAACTCTCTGAACTCTATGTTCATGCCTGCTGGAAATTTGTCTAGAGGTGAATTAATATCTTCAAAAACACCAGTTGACATAGCTCAGAAACTAGCAGCCCGGAATACGGTTTTTAAAGATGAGCAATCTATGGTAGGTCAGGAAGGTCCGCCTTTTGTTCGTGGTCCTTATGACTTGATGGGGCCCGAGATTCCATATCAAAATCATCATGCCCAACCATCATCCATACAGTTTCATCATCCACAGATTAGTCATGGGAGACCTTTGTTTCAGCCATTAGAATCTCATCCTGCTCATATTAACTCCCAGATGAAGTTCATGGCTCCAGAGAGTGTCATTCGTTATGATGCTCCGCCAAATCGTCAGTTTCCTGAAAATATGCTACGCCCTCCCTTCCAACACCCCAACACAGGAGTAACAGGATTTGATCATTCTGTACATCATCCAGTGTTCCGGCAGATGCAAATGCCAGAAAATACTCCCCCACCTCACTTACTTCATGAATTTCCCAGGGGTGCATCGATGCCATGTTATCCCAGCAATCAGGCAACGGGTTTTATGCAGGAACCAAACCTGATGCAAAGGTTTCCCTTTGGTCACCGGAAACCCAACGTTGGTGGCCTTGGAGTGCCCATGCCAGGTAAAAGCCTCACTTATCATTTTGTTTTTTGTTAACCTCATTCTAGAAATTTATTAAGAGGAAAAATTATCTTTGTTTTTGTTTTTATTTGGGGGGATTGGTCATTTGGTTGGGTAATGGATAATAATATCAATATATAACCAATAAGAGAATGCATTTCTTGTGTGGTTTACAGATTCTGATTGTAGATATATGTTTGTGCCTAGACTGTTGGCACATGACCCCTAATGTCACCCACAGTTCAGGTGTTCTTTGAAACTTGTTTATGTGTCCCATCAGTGAGTTTGGATAGTAATGAGATCTTAAGCATAGGTGGTTGGACTCACTTAAGTTGAGAGGGATTGTGACCCAGAGCCATACTTGCGGGGAAAATTCCATATTTTGTAGTTGTGGGGTAAATTATATCCGTTTGCTTCTGTCACAGTTTTATGCTTACAGTTTCTCCCTTCTGGTTTCAGTTCGTGATGCTAATAGTGGCAGCAATCATCCAGAAGCCTTCCAAAGGCTCATGGAGATGGAACTCAGGGCAAACGCAAAGCAGATCCATCCTTTTCCCGGTGGCCATAGCCGTGGGATGTACGGTAATGAGCTAGACATGGGTTTTGGGTATCGATAGTCAACCTTGATTGCAGTCGTCTTAACATCGGAATGTAGTTAATGATCATATGGATCATAAAACGTTCCTTTTTTGGTTTTTTGGGTGGGGTTTTTTTTTTTTTTTTTGGGGGAGGGGGGTAGGATGGGGATGGGGATAATGTGCTTAGTAGGGTGCTGTAGTTTATCGACTTCAATTGCCATCGGCATCTTGTGGGGTTTTCTGGTTCGTTTCTTCATAGTTCAGAAACAAAATAGTAATGGAAAAAGAAAAAAAAAAAGTTTCTGTAATTGCTTCCTCCTTGCTCTTTATATACGGTGTGATCGTAACATTTTTTTCTCCGACACCGTCTTTCTCCAATTCATTGCTTGTTTCTGATCTGATCTTCCAAGGAAATATACAGTGTGTTATGTACATTACATAATTGCGCAGCATGATGATGCCACCACTTTTTACGGGTTTCGGTGATGCTGTCGCTACATTGAAATTATGGACAGGTGAATGTACGGTGTGAGAGATGCAACAACAGACAGACATTAGTTTGACTGTTCTCATGTATTGATCTATTATGGTTTCAAAAAACTTCATCTAATGGGCAAAACCTCAAAATGCATGCCAAAGACCTTACACTGCAGACCCCTCTATTCTCTTTGCATATAAATGTGACTGCAGGCATGAGTTCTTACTTCTCAGGTACGTCTAGAGGCTAAATTCATAGCAGTCCTTTTCAATTGTTTTAGTTTTAACGAGAAAAAAAGAAAAGTCCCGAAAGCAAAATAGGCAGAAATTGAAGCCATCCAAAGATATTAGACAAGATGCCAGAACTCCCGAGCCATACATCTTGAAGATGTGTCAAACACCACCTTGCTACATTGGTTCATACATATGTACACAACAAGATGATGACGCCTGTGCTTGTTGCTCGTTCATGAGAAGATGGTAGATAAATACACATGCACATACAGAAGTATATCGACGCCTTCAGATGTAGCTGGCAGCTGAAGCTCACTACGTCTACGCACCCATTACCCAGGCATTTATTTCTCTGTATAATCAGCAATAAGTAGCAAAAATCTTCCAGCGTAGTTCTCTCAATCTTTTTCATCCTCTACACGTATAAAATCAAATTCCCTGGCTTTTCAGAATGGAGCTATATTGAAAGGACTACTGGATTTAACCTTCTTGGTGTCCACATCATGCAATGAGAGCAATCTTCTCTGAAGATATCATTAGAAGGAAGAAAAAACTAGATTAGCTGATAAAACTGTATTCATTTTCTTACACTAAGAAGATGATCAATGTCAATTACAGAAAAAGTTCCATAAAACTGTTTATATTTGAACAGAGAAAGCATGCAACTTGTTACACGAGGTTTAAAGATAGGAATTCATGTCCACATCTAAACTAACGCAAACAGTTCAATGCCATGATGGAAGTGCATAACAAGTACTGTATGTACAGGATGAACTGATATGCATAGCCAGCTTATTTCCCAGCAAATGACATCTAAGGATCATCCGATCATGGCCCATTGTACAAACCATGGTTCAAAGTATCGGCTGATATCAATATAAGTCGTATCCAACTCGACACCTTCCGAGACTATACCGTTACACGATACATATAAACCCCGAGTCTCACACAACTCAAGCCAATACAACACCGCAACACCGTGTTATGACCTAAATTTTTCGTTATGTTCAACATTTTTTTTTAGATCGTATTGCCCAATATCACGCCGTGACGTCATGACCGATATATCTTAAGAGCTTTATGAGTCGATGAAAAATCAAAAGGTCGTCTTATTCAAAACCTCAATTATGACATTCCTCCTCTCTATACCGCAACCTTGAACCATGGTACGAACATTGAACCATGGTACGAACACACACTCTTCCACACAAACACCTCATTATTTAACATTTTCTAGAATTTTCTTCAAATACCAGAGTCAATGCTCAAAAATAGGGTGCTTATATGGTGCTAGCTATTAGCAATTGAAGGGTCCGTTACTCATAGTTGATGCTTATGAAAAGGTCGTATCCAATGCAGAAGAAACAGGGCAACATACATGAAAAAGAACATCGCTTCTCATCTTAACTTGAAAATAAGAAAAAAAACAATGAAATTGATGAGCCCTTCTTCCATTCAGGGCAAACTTTTTGGTGGTTTTCTGATATATAAAAGCATATGCCTAATCAATCAACATACTGCCAGGAAATGAGAATGTGGCAAAGAACACTCACATGATCACCAAACTCAGGGCTTGCCAAATTGATGGCGAGGTTCTTCATCAACATCACCGCCTGGGACCGGAACCAAACAAAATCCCTCAGATCAATTTGCACTTCTTAAGCAACAAATCACAATATGTATCTCAAAAGCACATTGTGTATGCGTTCTGATATTAAGTAATTGACTTTGCCAATCCACGACTAAATATGCAAATAAATCATCTTGGCCACATACACAATATCAGAAGGATTAACATACCATCTCCATCATGTGCAGACTCAAAAATTAAACAAACGACTTTGCCAACCTATGAATCAATATGCAATTAAACTGTCTATTTCGCCAAACAAAAACTGGAAGTATCTACATACCGTCTCAAAGTTTATCGGGTCCATCTTCTTCAATCTCTGCAAGTGACCACTTGCATTGGGGTCAAAGACACTGCCAATGAAACTGTAGACTTGAGCAAAATCTGGCTTAACTGCATACGAAAGAAACAAGTTAAAAATGTGTAATAGAAGCTCAGGTGTATTTTACAAAACTCTCGTGCTAAAGCTAAATAATAAACAGAACAACTCAGCTTTTAATTATCTCTTGCTCGGAAATATAAATGCTAAATTTGTTGAGGACAACACACTACATAGTAAAGAAACGAACCTCTCATTGGCTTGTCCCATTCTCCTTTTCCTTGCTCATGTGTTTCACCAGTTGACCCCACATCATCTGCAAGCAATCACAACAAAGAATATTGTGTTGGCAGACTGAGGACACTCATGTCTTCAAGCGAGAATAAAGGTCAGCTAGTGTAAGCACTAGGAACAAACCTTCTGTTATATGTGACACACTGCTTGGTGGCACGACACCGCAAGTCCAGGAATATAGACCTGCACTGTTGATCGGGTTTCTTGGAACTGAGGATGAATCTGCCCAGAGAACATTTCCGGAGTGAAGCAGAGCAGTTGAAGCTTGTAATGGTCCTGTAACATGGGAGACAGCCGTAGCAGGCAGATATATGAGCATAAGCAATCGTCCTTACATGTCCTGTACTTAGCCTCAAAAACATATATGCAATTTACAGTTCCAACCATTATTTGGGGCCTTTTGTGGGTATGGGTGAGCAGCTTTTCTCTTCGGCCGAGGGGGAGGCACATGTTCACTTGTCCCATTCTTCTGGACTTTCAAAAAGTACTTCTGTGCGTGGCTACGTATCTGCAAAGATCACCCTTTAAGATCTGGTTTACATGTTTAGAGATGAAACAACACAAGCATATCGATGAAGACATGAAGCAGTCCACTTGCCGCAGAATGCTTGCCTAGAAATTACAAGCCAAACAAAATAAACTCAGTTCATACCAAATTATCACCTATTTGGGTTCCTCAACTATAATGAGTTGGACAGATATTACAGTTCAAGAACAACAATCTACAATAGATAGCAGAATGGAATGGCTAAACAGAAAAGTCCCAGTTCTTGTCGTACATTTTATCTGAGATGATATTTAGCCATACAGGACATACTGTTTGAACTTTTTCTTTGAATTGTGCAATAAAGCACAATAAGGTTACCACGAGACGAACAAAACCTTCTCTCTCATGTCACAATCTAAAGATAATGTTCGATTTATAAAACCGAATTTCCTTTTTCCCCAAAAAATCAATACATTGTATGAATTCATGATATCCAATGCACACAGCTACGCCCATAACCTACTAAGTCTGTTTCAGAGGCTTTTGTCACTTCTTTCTGGTTGAGACACTAGTTTAACCAAATTGAGCTTTATAATATCCCTACTACAGTATGACCTCGGAGATTACTATGATGCTTGTGTAAAATCAACCTCATGAAATAACATGACTAAAAGTGCATCCAGATCAATTTCCATATAGTGTTCTCACCTAACATGAAGTTATGACTAAGGAGAATAACAGGGGAGAAAGCAGTGAGCCATAAGAAATTTTTGTTTTCAAGTGATATATTTTATTTTTGAAGAGATTTACTAGAATTATCTGGTGATAATTCAATCTATTGCCACCCTCTATACAGGACAAAACAAATGACCAAGAAAATTACCTGGACAACAGTTTTTGACCCAACAAAGGCTTCAATCTTTTTCCAGTCGCGGTCAAAGCTGTACAAAAGGGATACAATTATCAGCATCTCACGTCTTCCTGCACAATGTGTCTCTTTAGAGCTAGCTTATAGATAAGTTTTAAGGACTAGATAATTTTTAAGGACGTCAGAGTAAAATAAATTATGTCTGTTTGGACCTCAACTTTTTTTAACCAACTTATGCTAACAACTTTTTGAACCCAAACAAACTTATTTAGGCCGATTCAAAAAGCTGATTTTATGAAGAAAAAAATTCTATTTTTTAGAGTTTTGTTGCGGGTCTAATTTATTATATTCATAAAATATTAGTGATGTGAAAAAATTTATAATTCATATATTGGGAAATATTATGCACATGTAATTATTTTTTTATTTTGATAAAAAAAGGCTAAAAAACTCACTCAAAATGGAATTTTTTGATTTTTGATTTTCCACAATCAAAAATTTCATATTTCATCTTGGAATTCATGTAAACAACCACCATTACAAGCAATGTTAAGTTGGGAGGATGACTACGATGGAGGCACCAATCAGACACACCCGGAAATCAAACCCTCTCCTGAACATTACCAAAATGCAATCGCCTGTCCAGATTCTCAATCCAATTTCCCCTTTCAACAACAAAACCAAACCAACTCTCTCTTTTTTTCCTCTCTCATCCAGTTTCTCGACAACCAATATCACTATTCACCATAAACTGGGTGTGTAGGAGCTGTGTGTGTGTGAGAGAGAGAGAGAGAGAGAGAGAGAGACTCACAGATGGAGGGCTTCGAGAAACCTGTCATGCTCTTGCTCGGTCCAGCTCTCCCTAGACTTGGTGATGGTGTATGGCTTTCGGGCCTTCTTATTCGTATCTTCGGCAAAAAACCCACAATTGAAATTCAAATTTCCAGCAGTTGATGACACAATTGTATTAACAGTACTCGTTGTACTTGGTGGTATAGAATTGAGACCATGAAGCCCCATTTTCATACGATCCACCATGCACAAGTCTTGACCTGCTGCTGGGTTTGGATATAGAGACACCATACATGTATATATAATTATACAGAACTCAGTTTTTTCAAAGCAGATTATGGGTTTGTGTTTTGTGAGAGTTTTCGAGGTTTTGTATTTGTTCTGAGGCTCTTTGGCTGGTGAGACAAGGCGGTGAGATGTGGTTACCGACTCCGTTTACTTTATATGCACGGGTAGGAGAGAGAGAGAGAGAGAGAGAGAGAATCGAACTGGCCGTACATGTGGCTTTCTGGGTTGTGACTTGATTGGAGAGTGACACATACTTGTCAGCGTCAAACCTCGAGGATTTACCTGTCGTCAGCCGTTAAACTATTTTCCAAGTGGGTTAATTACAAAGTCCTCCTTCAAGTTGTAAGTTGTGGTCACGTTGCAATCAAGTCCCTCATGTTTTAATTTTAACAATTTTCCCCCTAACATTTTTTCCCTAGTAAATTGAATGCCAAAGTGGATGAAAAATATAAAATCTCAAAAATACCCCCAACCCTCCATACAATTCTCTTATTTTTTTGACCTACCCATTGCATTAAAACACAAACCTACGTCACCCTTCCCCCTCCCCCCCCCCCCCCCACCCCCACCCCAAAAAAAAAAAAAACAACACTCCTTCCCAACTCAATTCATGTATATAATATAATTTCTCTCTCTCTTTTCAAATGAGTGTTATCTAAGTTTGGGGTTTAAGAGGTTGGATTTTATTGGTGAAAGGAAGAAATTCACTTGTTCATTGGTGAAGATTAGATTAGTTTGAGCAGAGGACAAGATTCTATAGGCATTTGTTGAACTTTTGTGAGAAGCTGAATTTTTTTAGGTTATTTTTTAAACAAAAGATAAAGATAAGGATAATTTTGTATTTTTAATTGAATTTTAGATCACTTGAAATTTACTTGGACAAAATTGGTGGGGCAACTTATGAATATTGATAAATTCGCAGACATCAAACCCTGCTCACGCTAGTGTGGAATGTGGATAATCGGGTATGTGTATAATCACATGCTTTGGCGCCCTCCAATTTTGTCACGTTCTTTAACGTGGTCGTGTTTGATAGTTATAAGAGTAAGAGAATGGTCGTGGCAACCGAAGATCAAACCAAGTGTAAATCATGACATTATTTTCTGCATTGGGAAGGTCGTCACTGAAAAATACTTTAATATACCAATCCAATCGTGACACGAAACCATAATTATAAGTGTTTTACTTAATTATGCAATCACTTATAAGATTGTGACGTGGTTGAGAGTCATTGGACTATGCTAAAATGTGTGACATTGTGTACTTTAAACTTACTCAACTATGAGATAATTCAAATGAGAATAAGAATGAATCGTAAATTCAAATATTTTGAGTTTGAATTTTAGTAACTCCTTATAGTTAGATTATGATGAATTTATCTATTGTGAATACATTAGTCTCAGTGTAATTAATCTGTCATTAACTGAATCGAGAAAAGAATTTATTTAAGGATATATAAATTGACTCAAACAACTTTGACCATTAAAACCCCCCTCTCCTCTCAAAAAAAAGAGTAAGTCAACCATTTCCAGATCTAACACTTCACTAACAAATGTTAGATTAGAATTGGTATTATTTCTATACTCTCCTCTTTAATTCCATGTTTTATATTTGTATGCAGGATAAATTTGTATTTCCTAATTTAATTTTTCTTTTTCTAATCCAGTATCCAAACGAGCCCTATAACTGTTATAATGTTTATTGCATTGAGGGCAAATATTCAAATGTAATAATTGATATCATAACAATCCGCTCTAATAGTCCACTAGTATGGAGTTGATGAAGAGATAAGTCCAATGTACCCCACAAATTCCTCGTCATAAACAAAAAACAAACAGGGCATGCAGTGATGTACATATTGACAAATTGAATGCTTTACATCTGACAAAGCTCACATTGATTACTGTTTATCTTTGATTTCTAAGTACACATGTCGTATTCAATTGAGAGAGTCCGAGAACAATATGAAGGCATTTAACAACCAGTGACAGAATTCAATCCCAGGAACTGTAAAAGCAATTCTTCTTATTCAACAAAATCAACTTATAGCAGCAACTGCAATTAGAAGAGGAATGGAGAAACACCAAAAGGTTCATACGCCCTGGTGCCCGGGGGAGGCATGACAAGTCCTACAACATACTATAAACCTCCAGTGAAATCAGACAAGGCAAAATATCGACAAAAAACTAACCGTTATATACATCTCTCTCAGGCGCTTCCATAAATATTGATCATAGTATTATCATGCCACTTCTTGTCCAAGGACTAAAGCACTGCTATATCAACCTTAGTTTTCCTGGACAGAGAATGTCAGCTGAACCAAGATAGTTCCATGTCCACCCTCCACCACAGTCAAGAGACCATTCCTACTCTCTTAGAATGCTTAGACTATGTGCTTTGCAATTAATCAGCCACAATGTTGAAACCCTTGACTCTATAAAACTAACCAAAACTTTTACCTTTTCTCTTCTTTGTCATTTAGACAGTATCATGTCTACACTCGAAAGAACAGATTCAGAAGAATTTCCTCCTGAAACTCCGTGTGGTTGCTTGATATGAGCGCATGAGCAGTCCAACACCAATTCCAACACCAAGGCACATTCCAAGGCCTATTCCCACACCAACTCTCACACCAGCATTGAACCATGAGAGCTGGCCATCCTCACCAGGGTACATGTCTTCTGCAAAATAGCCGTGACCAATTTTTCCATCGGACTCATAATCGCCAACATCTGTCTCTGTTATCTGCAAATGCCCCAAAAGGGATCAAATTCAATAGAAACCTTTGTAACTAACTAAGCATAAAATTCCAGACATACAAAGGCACCAACATAAGGTTTTCTTGTGTTTCTTTTATTCTTGTTATCATTGTTGTAACAAACATGCATACAAAGGTGGCACAAAGGTAATAAAAGAAAGTAAAAAAAAAACAACATATGTAGATACAAAACCAGATGAGAGAGAAAAATGAGCACCCAAGAGAGAGAGAAAAGGGGGGAGGCTTGTGTTGACATAGTCAAAGAAGCAATAAATCCCATCCCATCAAAATAAAAGAATCCCCCAGGATAACAATGGGTCCTTAATACAGTCCCATTTCTCCAATTCAAACTTCATATCATCCCTCCAAAATAATCCCCCATTTCGATCATAATCTAGTTGCATTCATGGGATATCAAAAGGTGCCTGAAGCAAAATTCCATACAATGACACCTCACAGACTCGGAAAGAATAACAATATTTTGAGAGAGGATACAGAATGGTTCAAATTAACAAACTAAATGTTCACTCATAGAGTAGGTATTTTGTCAAAAGAATGTGATATAGGAATATAAACGTTGTGTGATGCAAAATCCCTTCAATTATTGAGCAAGATCATCTGTTGAATGAATCTTGGGCAAAAATAAAAACTCCTCACACCTACAAATTAAGGAAAATACCAGGACCATGTTTTATTATGGGTTATAAGCATCATTTGCCTAATGAACTTCATAAAGAAATGAATGATATTCTCACAGACCAAGCAAGCTAAGTGAGAAACCCCTAACATCGACCCTACAGATGATTCACTATGCATGATAACCTCGCACTTCTTTTTCTGTTTATCATGGTTCCCAAATTTCTCCGTATGGTCCTCATGGAATTTTTACTAAATTCATAAGCTTGAACTAGCATAGAAATTAGAAGTTGTTGACTGCATCAGAAGCTCAATCTCTTCTTGGACTATAATTGGGACTTCCTCTCTTGCATATGACTTCAAGTATATTGCCTATTGCATGTAACTGGTCTTGGTGTGTGATTTTGCTACAAAGTTTGGGAGAAGCTTAATAATACTACAGCTCGTAAATAATGCTAATATGGGAATGCCTTATTTTATTATTTTCCCATTTCCTACATGTACTAGGAGATGCCATATAAGATGAACTGTCATGCCATTGCGGCACAATGTGCTCCATATGAATTGCACTATCAATACCGATAGAATTATCATAGAATGTGAGGAACAGATGATTAATCATCCGTTTCCGCAAGAAATTGAAGAGTTTCTTGGGAATCCTACAAGATCCATTTGTTCCTTTTTCTCTAACAGTGGAGACACAAAACAAACATGACACAAAATAAATTGAACCAGAACCAAAATCACTAGGGTGATAAACACTTAAATATTAGATGTATAAACAATAATGATATGGGAACACTACTACCAGAAACCCAATTTAAACTAGACTATAGGGCATAATTGTAAACCGGACTAAGAGACATGATGTGTAAACTAACATGCAAATTTAACATAGTATTAGAAATATAGCAAATAAAATGATTTCATGAATCAAGATCTACCCTAAAGGAATAGTTGATTTGAAACCACTGTTTTATTTGAACTTTTGAAAGTCGTGAGTCACAGTCATTCAATGATCCTCGATGTCCATTTTTTCCATAATTTCAGATTTGAATTGGCACAACCCACTTTTATTTAACTAATTCTCTAGCCTCATCACTTTTTATTAAACTTCCATGTTGCCACGCATTCATGGAAAATCCTTTAACCAAGCAGATTGCCCAACCTCTCACAAGAAATCATGGCTCGCCAGATCACCTTTTGATGTGATTCACTGAGCTTTAACAGCTATTCATAGGTAAAATAGTAGTCTAAAAGAACTTAGAAATATCCTGCTCCAAATTACGCAGGGTATTTCATCTATTTCAATGTCCTTTGCCAATTTCATTCAATATAAATTTATTTCTCCACCATATTCTGCCCAAATCACATTGCATATGATCTCCACATCTCCTAATCATTCCATTGATCTTTAAGTACAGTTATTCTGATTCTTTTTAACTCCAATTATTCTGATTCTTTTTATTGCCCACATCAACTACATCTTTCACTTGTAACTTTCATGATGCAACTCATGTAGATGAGGAAACCAGTGCCAGAACTCATATAACAAAACTGTAAAATCTTTTAATCAAACAGAGATATTCTGTAACTAAAATAAAATCAAATTTCAAAAAACAAAACCCACAAGCAGATCAATTCACGAAAAAAAAAAAATAATCAAACCACAAAACATTAAAATAAATCCAAAATTTACCGACACTGAAACATTACCTGCGTTTTCCGCCGGACCAAGCCACTTCCACACCTCTGCTCATCTCCAATCACTTCATCCTCAGGGATAGAATCCAGAATTCTCTGCCTCGAAACCTTCCTCCTCGGACTAATCAAAATTGTCTTCGTCAAAATTACAGGCACGCCCGAGCAACACCCAGCAATATACACCTCAATCGAGGGCGAACAAACCCCCAATTTCGGCTTAAAAAACGCCGACGACCCACTTGCAATCGTCGCCGCCGTGTAACAATCCATACTCCACCCAGTCTTCAAATCATTCCCTACACTCCCATTGCTCCAATTCGCTTCCATTCTCTCCAAAGACCCACACAAAATCAATTCATCTTCTTCATGTACCTCGAATTCAATTGCCCCCGTAACCCTCACACTGTCCGTGCTCACATACGTTACCTCTGAGGACTCCTTATCCACACGATCGCGCCTGAGAGTTATTGAAGCAGAGTCCGAGGGCAGGATGAGATTGCCGTTGATTTCGAGAGAGACTCCGATTTCGCGACGGAGATGGCGAAGCGTGAGATGGTCGGGAACGGTATGAATCGCGCATGGCGCTATACGAACGTAGAATAACCGAATTTCAAACCAACCTCTCGATGAATGCCCGTTTATTAGTCGATACATATTTGAATTTGGTGTTGAATAGATCGCCATCGATAAATCCTCGTCTTCCTGATCCATAAAACCCCAAAACTTAGAAAATTATGGTTTTCAAAGCGAAAATTCGAAGAAAATTGTGGTTTTAAAGTCAGATTATCAGGGGTTGGAATCGAAAAATCGAAAAAAATCGGTTGTAAAATAATTGGCGTCAAACGAAGAGCTAGGGTTTTGGATTGGGAGGTGAGAATTGGGGGGGGGGGGGGGGTTTGGGGGAGAATTGACGAGAGGCTTGTTGAGAGTGAGAGATATGAAGGGATGGAATGGAAGAAGACTAAGTCAATGGAGAATTAAGGCGAAATCCAAGGGGGTTTAGGAGTGTGTGCTTCTCACGCGTCGTTAACGCGGTGTGGAGAGTTTTTCGAGTGTTTGGGAGCCGCGGGGGGGGGGGGGGGGGTGTGTTTAACGGAGTGGGATCAAAGACGTTAGAGTTAACGGAGACGGCGTTGGCTTTTCGAAGCCCATTTCCTAACCCAACCGCTGGTTTTCAGTGTTGGAAACGTTTGGGCTTAAGTTAACCAACAACAGCTAAGGGTTCGGTCCAAGTTTTCCTAACAAATAGGGTCATTCGAATTTTCTTGCTCTATACTAGGGTTTGAATTTTCACATCTATAGTAGATTAGTGGGACTAAACTTATTCTTAAACCATCAGAGCATGCAGTTGGATTTTAACTTCAATGGCAATGTAGGTGCGATAAGGGCTCCTGCAAAAAAAAATAGAGAAATTTGGAGGCCGGTCCCTCTATATTGACTTGTTTGGACTTAAATCTGCCAAGAAAACTTATTTGTTATGAAGTCCGTTTTTTATCAATTTTACCGGACTATCATTTTCCTTTAGAAGTAAAGTAAAACTAAAAATTAAAACCTCATAAATCTTAGGAGTTTGACTAACATTAAAAAATTTTCTCTCTTATATCTATCTATTTTCATATATAAATTAGGAATATATCTCTATAATAAAACAAATGAGAGATTGAACTTGTGAGCGGTATATTTTTTTCCCAAATTTCACACACTCAACACACACTTTTCCCTTCAAATTTTAAAAATCTAACACACTTCACAACACACAGCTGCACATACATGCACACACTTCAACACACATTCCAATGCATGCACAATGTAATAATTCAGTGTACAGTGACTTTAGTCATGGAGTATCTCTAGTATATCTATATAATAAAACAAGAGTGTGTTTAAATTTTATCTTAATCATATTTTTTCCCTCAAAATCATTATCAATCACTTACATCACTTATCATCCCTTTGTCAGACTCAAACGTCAAATCACATAACTCATTTCTATCATATATTTAATCATTTATATATGTCATCTCTAAAAATATCACACCATTCATTTCTATCATATATTTAATTATTTAATATTTAATTAATTTATAGTTAATATATTTTTAAAAAATTTAATATAATGGGATCGATTTTTGGACGCTCGAATTTTATATTTTGTCGTACCTTCAGGCACGAGTTATAAGTAGTATATATATATATAGTAACATTAAAAATAAAAAATAGTAACATTCAAATACAAAAAAAAAAGTTATCATTTAGATACAAAAACTAATATCATTTAAACACAAAAAAAGATAACATTTAAACATAAAAAAATAGTAACATTTAATATTAATATTTTTAAAAAATAAAAATAATAACATGTTCAACAAAAATAGTAACATACTTAATAAAAACAATAACATTTTTAACAATAATTATCTCTCTCAAATTTAAACACCAAAATAGTAATATTCAAAAAAAAATGGTAATATTGAATATTACTATTTAGGAAAATAATAGTAGTAAAATGCTCAACAAAAATGGTAACATGCTCAAAATAATAATAATATAAATAGTAACATACTCAACAAAAACAGTAATATGAACAGTAACATAGTAACATGAAACATTCAATTTAACAAATCAATACTAATTCTAATAAAGCACGAAAAGTAACATGAAAGATACACTTAGAACTTAATTTGAAAAACAAAATAAAAAAAAACTCCAATAAAAAACGTCACGATACCACGTAGAGTCGAGTTTGTGCCCTTTAGTGGATTTGGTCATGGGCATGGTTCGGGTCTTCATGAAACGGAAGATGAACTTGGTATGTTTGACTGACCTAGGGAGCAAGGCAGCGAAGGTAATGGCGGCAGAGTTGGTCGTGGCGGTGCTAGGGGGTGTGGGTAAGTGGTGGTGCTAATGGCAGATTGGATGGTGGTGATTGTTTTCATTGGTCGGCCTTGCTAATTCCACTCCAAGTCCAAGCTCTCAAGTAAAGCTTCGACTAGTTAATATCCAAGGAAATAGGAAAAAAAATTAGGTTTGGTTTTTGAGTTCGTCTTTTAAGTAGCATTGATGTTCGAGTAGTATATGTTTGTTTAGGTATCTTGATTCAGATTTTGAATTTAAATTTGAATTTGAATTGTTAATGAAATCTTTTGATTTGAAATTGAATTAATAGACCAATAATTTTATCGTAATTCAAGCATCAGATTCGATTTCCATAAATAACTGAACAATTTGTTACCATATATATCTCAAACATCTAACATATGACTTTTCATATTTGACCAAATTTAACACTGTTAGGGGTATTTTTGAGATAAAAAAAATAGACTTAAGTCATTATACATAATTTTAAACATGGACTTAACCCCTTATAAGTTTTCTTGTCGAACTTATCTCCAAACAAGTATATTTAGGAGGACTTCTCTACTTTTCACAACAAAATATTGGGTGTATCTGTTACACCACATCAACAATATCATGTGATGTAACCATCTATTAATAAGCAACAAGCCTGCAAGTGAGCCTCACACAATTTTATAACCACCCAAACATGCAATATATAACTACTTCCATGATAGAAAATGAGTCACCTTTTATCTATTTTGTAGGTTTTTTATTAGATAGTTATACCACATTAACATTAGTTACATGATTTAACAATTACACCCAATATTTTCTCATGTCGTAGATAATTGTATAGTGTTGAGTGACAATTCTCTTTAGTGGATATGTATAATGACCTATTTATATATTTATTTTTTCTATACAAAAAAAAAAGTCTATTTAAACGATCCAAACAACTCAAGGATGATTCGAGATTGATTTGGTTTTTGACTCATGTTAGAATCTCATCAGTTTCTAAAATTTCTTAAATGAACCGAATTTGAAAATCATATGACTTGGTTCAATTAGGCTAAGCTTGGTTGAAATATTATCTTCTATGATCAAGGCATTCATATTCTAAATGTAAACAGCTCAAATTTATTACCAAATAATTCTAAGTCTTTCCCTCTCTTCTCTAATCGGCTTTTATGAAATTTAATATTAATAAGATTTTTTCCGGTTTGATGGCAGCGCATTTTGAACTTTGAAGGCTTTTGTTGAGAAATCCGACTATTTTAGAATTAATTAGTAAATTCTAATTAATTCTAAAACAAAATTATTTTTAATTTCAGCACAAGATCAACTCGAATCTCATCTATTTCACCACTATAAATATTAGTGAATTTTTTTTTTGCAAATCACCTGCACACATAAAAAAAAGAAGGATTAATTGCATTGGAACTAGAAGTGTCAACTCTGACCAACTTGACATGAATAATTATAAAATTGATACGATTATTAAATACGTATAATAAATAGTGTAAATTAATATTTAATATTCAGAATAAACCAAATAGATTTTTTTTTCGTGAATCTTGATACGAACAACAATGACACGACACAAATAACACAACATGTGAGTCATACGAACACGATACGTTTGACACCCCTTTTGGAAGTCCTTAATGTATAGATTGTATCTTATTTTGGTCTATAATATTTCAATTGCATTATTTTAGTCTTGAAGTATTGAATATATTTCTATATGATCTCTCAAGCTGGCATCATTTAAATTACTAAAGATTTTTAATTATAAACTTATTACATGATATATAACTATAGACAAAAAATAATTTGGATAACTCTTGACTAAAAATGTATAATATAGATAGTTCTTGACCAAAATTTAGATATATTTTTGTACAAAATTTGAATAGAAATTTAATCAAGAGTATCCAAATTATTTTTTGCACATATATAAGTATTACGTGACAAGTTTACGTATATTTAGATATTATGTAATAAGTTTACGTATATTTAGATATTATGTAACAAGTTTATAATAAAAAGTTGTTAATAATCTGGATGATGTCTGTTTAATGCACTATATAAAAATATATTTAATATTTAAAAGACTAAAATAATGTAATTAAAATATTAATAAATAAAAGAAGATAAATTTCATAGGACTTCATTGCAATTAACAAAAAAAAAAAAAAGCAAGAAAAGTCCAACAAGGGCTAAAATTCCCGCCACCTGGAACCCACTTTCTCAACGTACCAACTGTCCTCCTCATATCTCATTAACCGTAATTCAAAATGAAAAAGGATATTATCACGCGCCTCATAAATCGCGTGGCAGTCCGTCTTAGCCCATGCCTCTGGAAAGCCAAAGGAGGAGGGTGATAGTTCTTTACCGCTTCGCCTTTCAATTGACTCCTGGCCTTAATAGCTCCACTGGTCAGACGGACAATCCTTCCTTCACAGAATCTCTCTCTCTAATAATTTGCTACTTTTTCTCCCTCTTTTTTGTTTGGATTTTAATGGTTTTGGGTACAGACAAAAACTCCCATCTTATTCAAAAAGAGCATCATTCAGCATCGTCTCCTCATACTCTTCTCTCTCCCTCCCTCTCTTTTTATCATCTGAAAACCTTGTGGTTGTTTGCTTCTGAATCCATTAGCACTTTCGGCTCTCAGACAGATTCCTCAAAACCCAGCCAAAATGAAGGTTACGATATATTTGATTCTCTGATTTCATTCGATTTGTACTTTTTTTTTTCTTCTGATTCCTCTACCTCTTAAGAAACTTTTTCAGCAATATAAACTACCATTTTTATGGGTCTTGCTATGTATTGCGTTGGACTCCTGGTTTATAAATTCCTGAGTTGGACCTATATATTTTGTGGGTTATGAATTGTATGCTTCTTTTAGGATGCTTTCAAATTTGAGCCCTTCCATTGAATGAACAGAATTAGTATTGTCTGTTCCTTGAAATTTTGTATGTTCATACTTAAGGTGTTAACATGGGTTTACTTGATTCTTAGCATTCCTACTACTAAGTAAAGATTTTCCACTGAATAAGGGAAAAAGGGGGGGGGGGGGGGGGGGGGGGGGTTTGGCTTAGCTAAGCTGCCAGTGAAAGCTCTTCAAGCTTCCTCTCAGTCGCTTCTCGGGAGCAGCACAACACGTTCTTATCAAAATTCTGTGGATATAGATGGGTATTAGATATTGTATCGAATAGAAAAAAGAAATCAGAAGTGTTTTAATGTAGTGTGAATGAACTCACTAATTACACTTAACCTTTTAGGCAGGTATGTATTTCATACAATAGACATGTATATTGAGTCTTGAATTGCTATGTTCCTATTCTCCCAACGGATCTGCTCTACATCTTCATATACTGTTGAAATCGGTTCGTTGCAAGGAAGTTAATTACTCTAGGATTGTTTGTTTTTTGCTTTTGGTTTGTTGTAACAGAAGTTGATCTTGAAATTGGATTTGAATGATGACAAAGACAAGCGAAAGGCCCTGAAAACAGTCTCAACTCTGTCAGGTATTAAGCTAGTGCTTCGAATTCTCCTATTCAACTCTTCTGAATCTGCTGATAACCGATTGTGCCTTGTAGTATCTGTTCTGTTTGGTTCTCGAAGATGGTCCTTACTTATGGTTTTCTTTCTTGAGCTTTGTATTTAAAATATGTGTTGTTCTATTGTTTCTTGAGGGTTTTCCTTAAAAATGGGTTTATTGACTTAACTAGTTATGCTAACAATGGTGTGTTGTGTTTCTATCATTTTTAAGTTGTGCTCTATTGATTTTGTGTTTATACATATATCAGGGTCTAGCAGATTTATTTGTTTCCTACCTGAACCCGATAAGACTAAACATAAATCTGTTATTTTGTGTCAGTTTGGTACATTATTTGCAGATCATGTCTAGTATTGATAGGCTAGATGTAACATGTGTTAACACAATAAATGGTTGTAATGGTATTACTTGAAGGAATTGATGTGGTTTCCATCGACATTAAGAGCAAGACACTAATGGTGATTGGAACAGTGGATCCTGTAACCGTCGTAAGCAAATTGCGCAAATTTTGGCCAACTGCAGATATCGTCTTAGTAGGCCCTGCAAAAGAGTCTGAGAAGAAAGAGGAGGCAAAGAAAGAAGAACCCAAAAAGGAAGAGGCCAAGAAGGAAGAAGAGAAGAAGACTGAACAAGATCAAGCTGTGGTTGGGATGATAATGCCACACAGGCAATATTATCCACAAAGTAACAAGTATTACTATGTTAATCACAGCATGGAAGAGAATCCAAATGCATGCACTATCTCTTGAGTTGAGTTGGTAAGAATTTTATGTAGTTGGTGCTATAGGTTTGTATTTATTTGGTGCAAACATGAGATGATGACCAAGAATAGATAAGCGCTTGCATGTATGTATATAGTTTTGTTTTCTTGGTAATGAGAAGAGAGTTGAGTATTAATTTCTTGCATTTTAAAGTTTGCTTAACCCTCTCGTCACCACTATCCCTCGTGAGTGTTGATTTGAAGGTGTGTAATGTTAAGAATTTATGGCACCATTTAGTTTACACATAAGAAATTGTTTTTATGTTTTCGGAAACAGTTTTTAGGAGAAAAAATGTTTAGCCAATTTTTTTTTTTAATATTGAGAAATCGATAGATTTAGAGAATGATTGTTTTATTTAGAAAACACCACCACCACCACTACACTCCCACCACCGTAATATTTTTGTTTTTATAATTTTTTGGGTTACTGTCCAAACAAATTTTATTGTTTTCTATTTTGTATAACTATTTTTATAATCATGTAGCCAAATAAATTATACGACACAAAAATACACTTTTCTAAAAATCTTTTCAAAAATAATTTTTGTATACTATTTTTTGAGACACAAACTATACAGGACTTATGTTTCTAAATCAGAATTGATATGTGATGATAACAATAGAGTTAAAAAATAATAGCAAAAAAATCATAGACAAAATAACGAACCAATTCACGCTAAGAATATGAAAATCATAAAAAAAAAAAAAGATAATCACGAAGAAACAACAAATTTATTATAAAAAGAGTAAGGATATAAAAAGAATAAGAAGTGTTTTAATAAGTTTTTGTTTTCTCTCTTTCTTTTAGAATAAAAACTAGAGAACAAGAAAACAAGACAAAATTCCAAGGTGTACTGAAAAGCCACTTATTCTACTAGCTAGGGAGGTAATATGTCATTCATCCTTATAAAAATCAAGCTAGGATAGCCAAGTTGATCAAAACATTATTGCCTTTTGTGGGTCAGGAATGTCTCATCAGCAAAGAGAAAGAGACTTTAGATTGACATGTATCCCATTGTGTTCATCCAATCTAAAGAGACAAACTTGGATTATGTGATTGCATGCATGAAACTAGTGAAATTGTGTTTAGTGTTATCACATTTGGAAGCTAAATTATTGCACATAAACTTGGATTATGAATTCAAAAACACATAAACTTGACTTAGCACTATTAAACGATACTAGCAGCTCACGAGCGACTCGGGTTTGACTCAGTTTTAACTCGACTTGAGCTCACTCATTATAAAATAACCTGAATTTGGACAAATTTCTAGACTTGGTTAATATACGAGCCGAGATCAAGCTACTTGCAAGTCAACTCATTTTTTCTACTTGTATATAATATACATATAAATTATTACAGATCTTAAGATTATTTTATTAAAACTAATAAAAAATGTAAGTTTGTATGTTTTTATTGTAATTTAGGGGTACGTTAAAATTTATATTTGTATGCATTTTTTTGAATTTAGTAGAGTCTTGGCAGCCCATTGGAGCTGTAAGGAGTTCATACCTGTGGTATAAATATCTGAAACTTTTTTTTGGATATTTTAAATTTATGAATTTGAATTTTGTTTGAATGACCTGTTTTTGGCTCAACTTCGGCTCGAGTGCGGTGTTAGTAGAGCCTAAAATGAGCTTGAGCAATCATTGAATAGCACGAATCGAACTGAGCCTGATCATAGTCAAGCTCAGAAGGCTCAACTCTAACTGTACAGTAACAATTATAAATAAGTTGAAAATGAATTTAATGAAATTTTAAGCATGACACAACTCAATCAATTTAAAAAACGATATGATACAACCAACAGACAACTCTAGTCACCGTAGTCTCAAGTTTGGGAATCAGTCGCGCCAAAAAAAATGATCAATCACAAACCATTTTATATAGTGGGTACTAATTTTTTAGTTAAAAATAACGAAAATGGCAAATATTTATATAGAAAATATGCTACCAATAGCACCATACAAGTTAATTACAAGGATTAATAACGTGTTATTAGTGCTGTATTAGTCATATACCTCATGGCTTAGACAAATACGAACCATGCTGCTGATTACATTATGCTTCCTTACCCTCTCACATCCAAGTTTTGAGGTTTGAATATGTGGACATGGTATATTTACAGATAAGGAATTCATGTTCTATCAACACCATTATAGATATATTGCATATGATGATTAGTGTTGTGCTTATTGAGTCATTGCCACAAATTGAGGTACGGAAAATTTTAGTTTCTCATGATTATATCAGGAGTATTTTACATTCGAGTTAGAGATAATCCGTATTTATTTTAGATCGTCTCTGATTTTTATATAATTATCAAGTAAAGTTCAATTCACAAGAATAACGTGATTTGATGCTTAAATTTGGTGATATTGTGATGTGAGACTATCTTTATGGGTTAGTAATTCTGACTCAAATCGGACATTTCACAACGAAGGACCCTCATAGTCATGTCTAGAGTAGGCAATTAAGCTCCGGTCTCACTCTTCCCTAGTTTTTTACAAGCAAAAAAAAAAATATCACGACTACTTTTTGTTATTCAAGTTATATTATTTTGGATTGTGTCCGATGTCATATTGGATTATTTTCTTGTTCCACTTGATTTTATTATTTTGTCCGTGTTAAAATTGTGCTATGCTTGGGTTTACGCAACTAACTTGTGAATCCAAAACTATTTAATTGTATAATAACACATAGAATATTCAATCAAGAAATAAAAAGAAAACAACCAAATATTTTTCATGCAATTCCAATTAAACAAGTTAATTGCATCAATGTAAAGTTACAATTTGAAATGAATCAATTTCACACTTGACACATTTCAAGTTATTCAAAAAGCTAGCAGCTTAAACAGAGCTATGGTATGATATGCTTTTGATCGTACTAGAAAAAAAAATTAATCAAAGTGCTCTTAAACTAATCTAGACGATCCTGACAATAATACTTAAAAAGAAAAAAGAGCTATGGAATGAATACTAGTAATTTCCACAGCGAAAACATCCAGCAATGACTTTCATAGTAGACTAAAAGGTCACCGATCACTAGCTATTAAGCATTAATGTTATGCTTACCAAATTTCTTATCAAGTTTCTTATCCTAAATAATGTGACACAATCTCCATCATTAAATATTAATGGAATTCACCTTTTTTATGATGAAAATTGTACACATCACTTCAGACGAAAAACTTGGTAAGAAAATTTCTTCAGCATAGCATTGTTGCTAGCTAAGTCCTGGTCCGAACAAGCGGCGAATGAGGAATCGGAGAGTGAGGGGACATCAAGCACGGCGGAGGGACACTCTCATCATATTTCTGAGGTGAGAAGCTAAGCCGGAGATTCTTCTGCCATGGCTTGTTCTTCACTGCTACAACCTCTTTCTCCTTTCCTTTCCCCACAAATAATCGAATCCGTTGGAGTGCAACTTCAACTGTCTCATCATCAATATTTGCAAAGCAAGCCCTGAACCAACCCGGCTCAACGCAATGGAAAGAAGAGCCAGGAGAGACATTGAGCTTCACTTTGTTGATAATCACCCTCCATAGCACTATTTCAGCTTCAACTGTTGCTTCTTTAAGCAGTGAACGCAAATCCATCCAACAAAATAGGCCTGCATTGCTTTTCAAACAACTAATTCCCATTTGTTCAAGCCCGTTTGTGAAGATTCCGTGCCTCTTTGCCAGCCTCTTTGCACTCTCCGTAAGAAACATTTCCACAAACACCTCATCTGCAAGCAGTGAAGCAAGAAAGTATTGTGTTTGTGATGATACCAACCCAAAGCTTGACATTTTCCGGCCACAATTCACCACCGCATCATTGTATGAATACACAATCCCCACCCGAAATCCTGGGAAGCCCATGTCCTTAGACAAACTGTAAACAATGTGGATCAAATCACGATCACAATCTACATCTTCTATGATCTCAGAGATGCTGATGAAATTTGGGGAGCTGAAAACAGTGGCAGCGTAAATTTCGTCGCAGACAAGGTGAATGTTCTTGTCGTTGATGAAGCGCACGAGGGCTTGTAGTGTCTTTGTATCTAAGATGGTGCCTAATGGGTTTGAAGGGTTTATTATGATCAAGCCTTTTACGTTGACTTTGGCTTGTATGGCTTTTTCGTACGCCTCTTCTAGTGCCTCTGGTGTGATCTGGAAATTGTTCGAGCTCTCGCAGATGACTGGAAATAGCTGCACCTTAGTTCGCCAACTCAGGTCCCTATCGAGCCTACAATATTTCATTCCCAAACTTAATGATTTCGATAAAATGTAGAGATGTGCATACATGACAGACAGACTACCGTAGTCAAAAGTGATACTGATCGAGGCCAATTCTGATCGCAGTCATGATACTATCAGTTCCATTGTTTTCAAGCCAAAAAACTTAAAAGGGATAGAATTCGTAAATTATTTTTGAAAAGAGGCTTAAAATTGTTTTTAGTATTTTTTGTAATATAAAAATTAGTTTAATTATATGATTTTAAAAATAATTCTATAGAATAAAAAATATTATAACTTGTTTGGATAATAATCCAAAAAATAATGAAAATAGAATTATGGTGGTGTGATGGATGTCATAGTAGTGGTAGTGGTGGAAGTCAAGACATGGTGGTGGTAGTGGGGACATGGTGGTGGTGGTGGTGGTGGTCATGGAAGTGTACTAGGAGTATGTGAGTGGTGGTGGTATTTTCTAAATTCTAAAAAAATAATTTTTAAAAACATACAAAACAGTTTTATCTTGTTCTCTAAATCTATTCAATTTTTATTCTCAGTTTTCAAAAAACAAAAATAAAAAACAAGAAGTCAAATAACTTTTCTTCCAAAACTATTTCCAAAAATAGAAAATAGTTTCTAAAATGCAAACTAAACAGGGCCAAAAGATTTAAGAATTTTTTTTTGTTTTGTCCGCACATATTTCACAATTTTCCTCATTTTGATTGATTTTTCTATAATTTAAAACTGTTTAGAGTATCTTATTTATGTTGATTGTAAAAATTATACAGTAACCAGTGATGATTTTGAACAAATTTGAAGACATGTTCTATGCAATTCCAATCGATTTAATATTGTTAAGAATCAATAAAGATATTAGAGAACTATAATCTAATATTATATTTATGCTTAATAATCAACAGGCTAAATCACTAGAGTTCTTGTATTAGTTCAAATTTTATCTATTTTCTTTATTTGTTGGGATTTATTATCAATCTAATAATAATTATGATAAATTAAGTTAATAAATTAGATTTAAATAGTATTAATATTTTAAAAAAATTTCTCAGAAAAAAAATATATATTGAAAAGCCATCATTTTCTTGATTAACTTGTGATCCACTCACCTACCCTTGACTATCCTCAACTAGGAAGTACAGACACTTCATTTTGGACGGAGTCCCCCCTCTCCCCCTTTCCTCCGCTAACCCCAACCCAAGTCTCTATGAACAAACCCAACAAATTTTGGACAGAGTATTAGTGTCGGACAAGTGTTAAACACATTAAAATGAGTATTTGATTTTTTTATTGTTAATTTTTTGTAGGACACGTTGGAGACACGCTGTCGATACATTCAGGACACGTTGGGACACGCTGAGAAACTGTTTTGAGATTTATTTTTAATTTTTTGAGGACTTTTCAGATAATTTTATAATTAAGAGTTATTTTTATAATTTTAAAGGAATATGAGTCACAATCATAATATAAAATAAGTTATAATCATTACATTGAACATAGGACATGAGTTTAACATAATTTTGGATACAAATATGAACTTATATACAAATGGAAAAGTCTTTCAATATGAAAGTAATGTGTGAAAAAATTGGATTACAAAATTGGACTCTTAGAATTTCATGAAATTTAGTATTATAAAATAAAATATTTTTAAAAGTAAAATTTATAGAAATCATTGATTATTGAATCATGGATATTAATGTTAAATGTATATCATCATATCTTATACTGTACTTTTCATACAATTTCAGTATACCTTATATACAAAATTGGGGCTCTTATAATGTTAATGTTAAATATATATTATTTAACGTATTGCTAATGTGTTCGTATCTTTTTTTTTTTTAAAATTCATAGCAATATATTCATATTATTATGTCATATCTATGTCCCCGTATCCTTCATGGTTCTTAATTCATCAGTCATTTTAGTTGAGACATGGAAAATTTGTACTTGGAAAGCAACGGGTTGAGAAATTCTCCAAAATCCAGCTATCCATATGGTTGACTGGGCTTATTTGGCGGATGGTTGACCAGTGATCCAGTAGTCAACTCTCTGGTCTAGGTAGTCAGTCCACTGTGTAGGGCCCAGAAAGAAAAAGAAGGTCGTCTCAAAAATTTACCTAATTGGCTGTTCATTTGCACATCATGTTATGTAATTTTACTTGAGCACCTAAAAATAATTTTTTTGATATATTTTTTTTATTTATTTATTTAATTAAACTATGATGTGCAGCTAGTCATCTTGTTAAATTAATTTTCATGATAAATATTTATAAATAATTCAAAATCAAAATTTAAGATCGAAAATTACTCTTCAATATGATAATGTTTCAGTAATACTTTATATAGTTTACTTCAAACAAGGAACAAGGCAAACTAAAATTGAAAAAAAATTTATTTTAACCTAATTTATTAATTTAATGTATTATAACTATTGAATTGGTAACGAATTTTAATAAATAATGAATTCATTTATCAATTTAATTATAAAGAGTAATTAGATCATCAAATTAAATTCAAATACCGTCGTTCAAACCAAAAAAATCACATCGGATAGGCTTAGGGTGTGTGTGTGAGTTTATATGGATGTCATTGACCTTACACTTTTAAGTGTAAGCGTTTGTGGTTGCCCTTTGATCAAAAAAAACCACAGAAGTGAAGAGGAAATAGATGCTTACCCAGGATAATAAGGTGAAGGAACCAGAAACGCATCCCCAGGATCAGCCAAACAAAACATGAGCAGTTCATTAGCTCCAGTTGCTCCACCAGCCATTACTATACGGTCTGGATCAAAAGTTACCCTATCACCTCTGACTCTCCCCATAAACTTTGCAACAGCCTAGAAAGAAAAGAAATATTTTCTTGATCCGTAAGGAAGAAATAGCTATACATATACATATCCATATGCATGTATGTACGTACGTGTGACTAGACCAGTATGATCACCATAGAGAGTTCGGAAACATACTAAAATTTTCAACTAAATAAAGATTAATTAATAATTAGGTTATAAAACTTTTAATGCAATAAAAAAAAAAAACTCTTTAGTATCGTACGCTTACCCGTGACCCGTCATAATGCCTAGACGTGATGGTCTTGAAAGAATTATCATTATTGCTGTCAGAATATCATACCTTTCTAAACTCCGGCAAGCCATGATAGTCCTGAAATATGGCGACATCCTTGAACTTGTCAACTCCATCAGTGGTGCAAATGGATGCTTCTGGGTTTTTCTTTATCCAGTCCTCCATTAGGTCATAAGAAAGCTGCAAAAACCAAACAAAACAGAAATTTAACAGTAGGTTTCACATTGCTTAAGTCCCTATCATATGACTTTCAAATAAGAGCAAAAAAAACTGATTCTGATCTGGTGTTTAGCACTAAACATTGTTTTCGGCAAGACCCATTTGGATAACCCCGTTCGGGTTTTGATTAGTGCGAAAAGGATCATTGTCGTATGCCTTCAATCCATCAAAATATGGAGAATTTTCTCCATGTTGTTCGTTGGTTGCTATCTTGGACAAGTATTGCTCATTTGCACTCGTGAAACCCATTGTGTCTGTGTCTTAAGATCAATGTATATGTGTAGTAATACTCTCCGTCAATATGCACATGGACAGAGAGGAAGAGAGAGGGACATATATATAGATAGATATGGGGAGTAAAAGTTAAAGAAATTGCAACTAACATAGAAGAGAGAGGGAATTTCCTCGTTCAATGGGTGGAAAACAGTAACGTAAGATACACGTAATTTTAATTTTTAAATAATTATTAATAAAATTTATAAATATACCTTTGTAAAAAGTTATAGACTCATAATAACATAACATTTCATTAATATTTCACCAACTATTCAAATTTTTAATATAGTTCAGTAATATCAAAATACATATACATCTAATTTAAACTTCTAACATCAACAACTTGAACAATCTTAATATTAATCAAAAATTTTGAATTCAATTGAACAACATTAACAACAGATCTTTTTTATTTTTTTAAAACCATAACTACTGAAATGACGTTGTTTCACTAGTTAGTGATTTAAAAATAAATTTTATGATAAAACGATGTCATTTCAGTCCCAAAAAATAAAATATTAACGTATTAGACGTATCGTATCGTGTATCGTACGATAAAATGCAAAAATAATACAAAGATACAATACATATCATTTTTCAAATATATTGTAACATATCGTATAATATATATCGTATATCATAACTATGTATATATCCACGTCAGGAAGAACGAAGTAGTGTTCAAAAATCTTAAACGAAGTATAATATATATCGTATATCATAATTATTTAATAGTTTTTTTAATTCTTATGTAAAATCTTTAAACGACAAATATTTAAGAACGGAGGAGGGAATATTTGATTTTCTATAATTGATCTACATGGCTGCTGAGCGAGTCTTGGTATAAGTTTTCCATGGTGCAGGACAACTTGTTTCTTGGGAAATAAACGTGGGGAAAGTTAAAAGAAAGTATCCTAACAGTGACAGTTGACCTAATTGTCTTCGCACTGTTAAACTTTTAAGCCATAAGTTTGAACATCATCGTGCCCTTCCTTGTAATAACGATCAACCAAAAAAAAATTCCTATTGAGTAGCAGAAATCCCACCACCCTGACAAAGTAGGAGAGGCATGAAGTAAGACTAACAATGTGTAGTGTTTGGGTAAGTGTTATTTTAAGTTTTTGTCTAATGCAAGTGAACTCTAATCTAACCTGTTTAGTTAATCTTGTCAAATGAATTGGCGCTAACTCAACTAACTCTTGATTAGTTTTTTTCGTATCGTATTCACACACAAATAACCCATGAATCAAAAATCTCGAATTAAAATCTTCCTCTCTCAACAAAACAACCACCTATAAGTATTCCATAAACTAAGAATACACTCAATCCAAAAACTTGCAAATTCACATAAAAAAATCCTCTAATTCTACAAAGATTTATAAAATATAAAAATATACGAGTTCCTTCCATCAATGCCAACTAAATGGGTAATTGTTTCAAATTAGGTTATTTATTTTTGACTTTACCAATTTTGTTTGTTATTGTGTTAGCGTCACGAGTTATAATCAATCAATCCTAACCCACTACTATAGTGTCGTGTCAAAAATTGAAACAAAGCAAGAAGAAATAGGGGTAACCATGTGTTAAGTGGACTTGCAGACTTATCAACCATTGTTAGTTACAGGCTTACAGCTCATAAACAGCGATTAATCAACCTGCTGCTTGTAGAAAATGTGGTGCAGCAGCAGCTGTGAATAATAGGCTTCCCCTTCACTGGGTAGGCTGTCCACTACAGGATTTAATAGATCTTTTGTCTTCTGATTGTAACCCCTTTTTGAGGAATTAATACAAAATTTTCCACATGAACAAACAAAAAACAGTGTGATGCTGCTTGAAACTCTAAGGCAAATCTATAGATTTTGAAGTTAATCTACTTGGAGAGATTTATTACTTGACCCCTCGGATGACCTTCAACCTTGGCCCCAACCATGATCTTAGCAATCCAATGTAGTTTAGAGATGATGTTATGTTACTCGAATATGTGATTATGCATAAAATGTATTTAGTCGAGCCTCTTAAACAGCGAATCTCATACTTTTAGTGGGCCCCACCTATATTTTCTCACAGGCTAAGTATTAATTAAGTAGTACGAGAATTCAATCAAATGAATCCTTGCAATCAGATAGTATTGCATCTAAAATGGTCAAAGGAAAGCAAAGAAAATTTAACGTCAAACCAAAAAATCATCTAGAGAAGTCTTCGAGTCTGCTCTATCACATGACCAGTCATCTAGGAATTAGGATAGTCCTTAACAGAGAAGAGTTGACACCGACGTTTTAAAATTTTAATGGTCAAAGATCCGGGTCAACCTAAGGGTGGCTGGCTGGCTGCTGATTTTATCGGGTCAGTTTAGCATTCCCTCTTGGATATCCAATTGGACCCGTTTGTTTGGCTTTCTCCCAATAATTCCTATTTTTCTTGCAAGATTTCTCCCCCAAATCGTACATAAAAACTGTAGATTACTCTCACGTATTTAAAGGAATTCCTAACAAATTCCAATAAGAATCAAATAACAAAAACAAAAGATTGTAATTAAAATCAACATTTCCTTGTGACTATAAATGAACTAAACGTGCTAGACTATGGAAGTCTATTTTCACAACCGCTTGAGATCAAATCATAAAAGATTTATCCTCATAAATATTTTAATCTTACAGTGAATAATCTATCTTTAACCGAATCAAAAAAAAAAATTATTCGAAATGCATGTAAACTAATTTAGACTCTCTTGACTGTTAAACGAATGATCAATAAAATTATTTTACAACAAAAATTAGTTAGTATTGTTGTGTTGATGCCTCAAGTTTTAAGACTATATTAAGCTTGATGATCTTGGATATGCCAATTGAACCCAACTCAAAATGAAGTTGATAAGTTTGAAGAAAAAAAATCTAAACCTACTATGAAAAAGAGTTAAAAATTCCAACACAATGAGTTAGTTATATTGTGGTCGGGCTATACGTTATTAAACATATTGTTTCCAAAAATTTTAAAATATATCTACTTGAAAAGTTTATGGCATATACAAAAACATGACGGTAGAAAAAACACCTAACCTAACACAATCTATGTACTATTAGAGTAACAAATTGTATTTTGTTATCCATGTAATGAATTAATCTTATTAAGGTCATAGATTTTGGCATGGCTAATCAATCATGTCGTTTTTTAATGGACCCAATTTTCAAAAGATGAAAGGAACTCAAGTTAATGTTTTAAGATAAATCACCAATATTTTGTATTGCATTATGATATTATCTCTTCTCATCTTATCTATCCTTTTCATCTATAACTATAGATTGACTCACTATGGCAAGTGGCAACATTCCCTACAACACTAACGCAACGCAAATTCATGTAATTGGATAATCCAGTATGGATTTCAAACTTTTGAGATGGAATAGAAACAATGGTATGAATCCCACTAGCAACTTAGAAGTAGATGCAAAATGGAATACTTCTTCATAGCAAAACATGCGTTTTGACTATGTGCAATACCTCAGGTGTTGGTCAGTGGAGGACGTTTTGCCTGTCACAATCTATCAAAATTTCATTTTCTATCCTTCCTTTTCATATTCCACAGTAGCCAAGTTTTCTAAGACTACAACAGGTGCTGAAGTTGTCGTTGAAGCCAAGCTGACTTTACAATGATCAGAACCTATTTGTGAAGCATCGTTGTTCACACTCAGCTAGGTTCCCAACACCTTCAAAAATAGTGTTGGCAAAGTGGGGAGGAGGAGGAGGTAGCTTCTTATACTAATCCTTTGTTGTGGAAAGAGAGCCGGTTTTTTTTTTGTGGTTTTGGAGGGGGGGGGGGGGGGGGGGGAGAGAGAGAGAAAGAGAACATAAAGGAATAAAACCTACTTCACATAGTCTTTTAATCCAGGAAACTTATGATGTTTAGCTGGTGTCTTACCCTACATTTAGAAGTACACCTGCAACAAGGAGCTTGTGACAGTTCAACAGGACCAAGGGAATTCCATCATGACCTCACTCATTATACATTGAAAAATCAAAAACGCAAGCCTTAGTCCTTACTATCTCTATCTGGATACATGAAATTCAACAACACATGCGTCCAGGCAATATTAAATCAAGGCATCACCAACTCAATTCTTTCCAGAGTCCAAATCAAGAAAGAATGGATTTAATAAACTCTCAAAAGCTCCTATAGCAAACCATATGTTGTATTTTGCCCATGGTAAAAATGGTTGAAAATATATAAGTAACATGTTTCTTGCACATAGAAATCCCCACCTCCAGTTTTCATATTTCAGAGTTCATCAGATTCATAGCATATGATACCACCTGGTGTATACAAACGGATGTGCAGGTCAGAGCAGATCAACTGTATTTCCTAGAGTACCATCTGTTTTATTCTTGTCAAAAGACACACAGTCACAGACTTGGATGCCCAAGCAGCCCAACTGACCATAGCACATCCCAGATCAAAAACAATATAAGATTAGCCATGCAACTATTAGAATGGAAAAATAGTATTAAGAGAAGATGTCCCATCTTGGGAAGCACTTAGTATATTTCACCTTGTCAGATTTTCTATCCCTTCGTGCATAACTTTGTCATAGAATTTTGAAGGAAAAACCAAAATAATAAGAGAATAGCACAAATCTATTTTTGTTGACAGCAAATGTCTGTGCTGTAAAAATTTGAATTAATCTATCAAATACCAACCCAACTGGAGTGACTGACCTTTCCTAATTTGTAATTCTTCTTTTTGGGGTGTTACATAATGACTTCTTGTACAGGGATGAAGATAGTTAAAAGGGTTTTACATGACAGATGCCACTTATTACAGGCCATGGTGAGATAGGTGTGGCATTATCAAGCTCATAATGTATAAGTTAGAAATTTAGAATGTTTAAGAGTAATCTTAATTCTCAAATTCAAGGGTGCTTTTTTTATTCAACAGACGATGATACCAGAAAAATTACAACTTAAATGAAAAAGTTTTC